AAAAAACAGGCTGGAACCCCCCCCCCCTCCCCAATGATTGTCAACCTGTTCTGTAGTACAAAAACCGAGATACAACTTTTCTTTGGAGGGGCCAGCACTGATAAATAAGTGTATAAACAGTCATATTTTACAAAATAAAGGTATTTTACTCACACCAGTTAAAGGCCAAGGGCCCCCACCCCCGGTATCTCGGTCCTTGCTGTAGTATATTTCCTCTATTACAGTGTACTGAATGAGAAGGAAAAAATAGGTAGCCCCCACTATGAATTTCTTTTTGACGGCACTGCGTGTTAACTTGGGAATTTTCGCTTCTCAAATCACTTTTCACTTTAACTATTGCCAACAAATCTGTATCGTAAAAGCCTTTAGGGGGCTCAGAGGCTTGGGACTCATAGGAGTTGCTCGAGCCCCAACCTACGTCGGTTACGCCACAGATCAGTAGCACTTGATTGAGCAACGAAAGCTCCGTTAACCTCAGGAAAGTATTTTAATCGCACTGAACCGAACTGACGAAACAATGCAATTTTAATAGCATCTGTGTCGACCGCTTTGATCGCGACTCTTTCATGTCCTGAAATGGAAATACTCTTATCATGGACAAACATTCTAGTATTAGCTTCTTCGTGGTTACAAAGCTTTTGGGGCATCTAATATTACTTAACACATCAAATTACGCCTGCAATCTAAGTTCCTGGTTAATTACTGGGATAGTTAAAAAATAAAGAGAAAGACCCAAAAGAAGACTTGGTAAGATACCCCGATCTAAGAAAAACTTTTGGGGCGTTTTTGAAGCGGGATCTGCTTCCCATTTTATGTACCATGTCAAATTGTGTACATGTACATAATTTTATGATTTTATCATAAAATGCACTGCTCATCCATTCTCTAAAAAGACTTCAGAGATCAGTGCCCTACCCCAATAGACCAGGCTACAGTGGCGGTAGGTGCCACCTCAGGGCGGAGAAATTCAAATGGATATTTTCAGGTAGCTATTGGTCTGGTTACTTGGAAAAGTGATGGTGAACGGGGAATTGTTGGGGTTTAAGGGGTAAATACGGGGGTTAAAGTTCGTCATATTAGCATATTACCTCTGCGGAGGAGCCACTGTTTTGTTTACGACTTCAGAGCATAGCAAGTGCTTGTTATCATAAAAAAATGATCTAGAGGGAGTCTTTTAGAGCCTCTTCTTTAAATTCCGACATATTGCTACAATTAGAGTCGTCACGTGACCAATTGTTACCCCTTACCATATTTGGAAGGTGAGCCTTTTCTAACAGAATACCTGAAATTTCTTTTGTTTAATACTCATAAATGTTACAATAATGTATAAATCAGCAAGATTATTCTACAACCGAGCTGTTGTTGATAGATGCCCTGAATAACTTTGGGTTTATGACTGGTTTTAACTATGTGTAGAATGATGGTTGCGAAGACATGATACTTTATTAGGTCCGTTTGATTTCATGCGCATTTGGTTTTTTCGTGATGACTCCACACAGGGGCGGCTGGGAGCGGTATTAGCGTTATTAGTCTAATAGCAATTTTTTTTCAGCAAAGGATCTTATAATCTACTGGTCATATATCTTTAAAATAAAACTAGCACTGGAAATCCTTGGCAAAAACAGTTTATTTGGACCGCTAACTGTTTTCCTGCCATTTTGCAATGATATGGCGTGATATGGCCATGGTAGAGCGAGCAGAAGCCGCTACTCTTGAAACTGATTTGATTCTTTCAAAAAAGACCTCCCTCCTACGCTTGTCGCGAAACTTATTGTGACCCATTCATCTGGCGGCCTCAAACAAATACTACAGTCACAGCCCTGAAATTTTGCTATTAGGTTTGTGAATCCTAATAGCAACTTTCATATCCACCTTTGTTTGTGTCTCCTTGTCTGACGTAAAGTGGCCAATCATGCTGTTGTGAAAGACCCAATATATGCGGACTTGCTATTAGCCGGGTCACTTCTAATAGCAAGATTCCCCAGTTCACTCTTCCATGCATGCGGTATATTGCGTTTAAAATAAATCATATGGCCGTTTCTAGTTTACGTTGGGTGTTTTAACGACATACTGACAGACAATCCTTTCTTCACAACAACAATAAACACACCAAAAGCGACTTCGTTTAAATATTTGAAAGATAGCGCTCTCTTATTATTTTGGTGAAGCGATATGTAGTTTATTCTCAGGCTGTTACGTTAGTTTCATCGAAAATCCAAATCTGCACTTAAATTGAATTGAAAAATATGGTGCTTTGGTTTTTTATGTTAACAATGAGCATTTATCAGAAATATTTGAGTATTTCAATGTACGATACTTGCCGATATGATTTTGCTATTAAAAGAGGGCCGTTAATAGCAACAAAAAAGAGGCTACGGCTACGGACAGAGAGCCTTTTCATCGTAAGCTGATGATATTCATCTGCGGCCCGCAGGCCGTCGAAGCCAAAGCCTACAGTCGTAATTGAAAGACTGAATGTGTAGACATGACTTCGGAATTGAAGATATATTCCAATAAAGGTTGTTTTAGTAGAAATTTGAAAGAATGTCTGAATTTTATTTAGAACTAAGAAACGTGCTGCAACTTTACAATATTTTTAGGATTAGTATCAAATTCAAAATTATAAGTCTGACAAGTCTGACAATGGGCCTTATTGCTCTAGAGATCAAATAACCTCCGACCGTGGCCATAGCCCCCCCTCCCTGATTTTTTTGCTTTTCTCTTTATGACTATGAGAAAGAGAGCGTTACAATAGAAAATGGCAAGGTGTTTTCGACTTGCGGCCAAGAAAATCAAGATGTAACGATGAGGTAGAGCATAGAAAAAGACAGTGCAATATTGAAAACAACCATTGAAGAGGGTGTGGTTGGAAGTAAAAAACAGCGGCAGCCACGCCCTGATACCACGATTTTCTCTAATAGCAGTTTAAAATCTCTCCCAGCCGCCCCTGACTCCACATCTCCTTCAGATGCTGGGCAACTTTTTTCGCAATTCATCGCTTTGAAAATATTTGTACAAATAGTAACACGAATATGTAACGCAATGAACTCAAGAAATCACGGAAATACGTAGCAGAACAAAAAGACCTGTGTGCATCATTACCAAGAAGGAACTGTTTTGCTCCAAGCGTCATTTTCAGTATTTAAGTTGTTATTTTCGCTCTGAAAATTGGATACTCTGTGTACCTTTAAAGTATTGAGGAGGTCGTGTTTTATTTATATTTTTAAACATGCAAGGCCTAAGCTGTATTGTTCATTACCCGAGCAAAGATTGTCTGTACAGTATTATTAAAGATTTGTCTGACATCAATAAAGATAAAATTTATGCTGCAAAGGCTACTCGTTTACGACTTGGTGGCAAAAATCTCCACGAAGAACAATACAGCTCCATTCCTGACGAGGTTGATCCAAATTAGCACAGAGTTCGCTTAGAACCTTGTTATAAAAAATTTACAAAGATCCTGTCCCATGAGAAATTCCTCGCAGAAACTAGCACTGAAGCTATTCAGCGTCCACAAAGACTAAAGACTGCAGCTACTCAGAGACCAGATTTTTATCCCCAGGTGTGTAATTTTTGCCAAAAGTACCGGGTAAAGAGGCAACAGAAACATCATGTACCAATAACGAAGCAGGCCGAACTAACGTATAAGAAGCTGCTGAAGCCAATATCGATCAGAACATTTATTATGAAATTAAAGATGTTGATCTCATAGCTAAATAATTTTGATACCATGAATTCTGCTACAAAGAGTTTACAAGGAAAAAGAAACGCTTTAACTCGGCATCCATCGAAAAAAGTTGTTGTACGCTCTCCATCCTCAGACATCGACATCTTGGTAATTTTATTAAGTATTATTAAAGAGCAAAGTCAAGTATATCTCGATTTTGGAGTTGGTTTGAATTGAAAAGGACTATTTTTGTCTGGTATTGAGATGGAAGATGGTTTGAAGAAGTGCCTGATAGGCTTTCATGCATTCACGGGGAATGACTATGTGTCATCTTTTTTCCGCAAAAGGAAATCAGAATGTTGGGAGGTTGTCCAGAAGAACAACAGATTTGTTAACACATTTTCGCTACTTGGGCAGGTATGGGAACTTGATGAGCAAATATTTGTCAACCTTGAAGAATATGTTTGCCATTTATAGAATATGTGAATATGTTTGCCGGTATGGATACCGGCAAAAAAATTTCAATGATGTGAGGAAAAAATTATTTGACAAGAAGTATGTAAGGCAAGGCAAAGCCATAGACATTTCACTCTTGCCTCCATGTCAATCATCACAGAGGCTACACATATTGCGATCAAACATCATTGCAAAGATTTGGAAGTCATCGGGTGAAAGGTCCATAAATTTGCCAGATCTTTCTACTTTTGGCTGGAAATGGAATCTGACTATAGACTGGCAACGACAAGCATTTCCAGACGAACTGACTGACTTGTTCCTGGATCTTGAAGAAGACGTGACCTTCGGAGATGATAAAGAAAGTGAAAATGAAACCTAAAATGGATAAACAATGACAAATGCAGGTATCTTTGCCTTAACTTGCATCTTTTAACATTTAAGAGTACCAAACAAAAGAATACGTGGTACAAAAAAAAACAAAGGTATTCTGTTAAAAAAGCTCACCTTCCAAATATGGTAAGGGGTAAAAATTGGTCACGTGACGACTCTAATTGTAGCAATATGTCGGAATTTAAAGAAGAGGCTCTAAAAGACTCCCTCTAGATCATTTTTTTATGATAACAAGCACTTGCCATGCTCTGAAGTCGTAAACAAAACAGTGGCTCCTCCGCAGAGGTAATATGCTAATATGACGAACTTTAACCCCCGTATTTACCCCTTAAACCCCAACAATTCCCCGTTCACCATCAATTTTCCAAGTAACCAGACCCATAGCTACCTGAAAATATCCATTTGAATTTCTCCGCCCTGAGGTGGTACCTACCGCCACTGTAGCCCGGTCTACAAGACCCCACTGATCAGTGCAAGACCCCAGTTTCCAGAGCTGTTTCTGAAACGAGGCTACTAGGCCTAGTCAAGGGTAAAGGTATCTGTGCAATGCTTCGTATAGAAAATGACTTCAAAAGTGTTAAGAACCCTTATACTTGGTGCCCCTGGCTGTGGAAAGGGAACGATAGCAAGTAGAATCGTAAGAGATTATGGATTACTGCATTTATCTAGTGGTGATCTACTTAGAGCTCAGATAGCAGCAGGGACAAAAGCGGGCAACGAAGCGAAAAACTACATCGATGCCGGCAATCTTGTGCCAGATGGACCAATGATTGATCTTATTGTCGCTGAATTGAAAAAGTTGCAGAAGAGCTGGCTACTGGATGGTAAAAGTGCATCTTTATTTACATTAAGATGAATATATAGAAATCATTATAGACCATATTAATTGAGATGATCCTAAAGCAGGGGCGCCGTGGCCGAGGAAAGGGCAGGGGAGGACAGTGGTTTAAAAATTTGACAGATTTTCGGAAAAATTAATTTGTCGAAAAATTCTCAAACTTTAACTGTGGGAAATTCTCAAACTTTTAGCAACATAGCTTGGACTAAAGTACTTACTGTAATTTCAAGGTGGAATTCAATTTTGTAAAGAAAAATACTAGGTTTCCACAAATCAAAATAATTTCTTAGATTTCTATCAAAGAGTGATCTGCTACTTGGCTTTTGTAAGTTCATGAGATAAAATTTGTTTCCGTGTCTGCATTTGGAGATTAATTCGGATCGTTTGTTTATGAGAGTTTTGTTATTTGCTTTGCTGATGTGTAGTTTTTCTGTTTTAGCATAGCTCACACCTTTTTAAAATGTTATTGTATGGCTTGGCTGAGGTGAAGATTGTCCATTGTATGTCATAATCCTTGTTTTTGTCTTTGAGTTCCCAGGTGTATTTTGATAGTTCGTTGCTGTTGGCCTATTTTTGATGGGAAATGAGAGTTGGTGTTGGGTAAATCGTCGTTTAAAAGTTCCTTCTGTTGGGCAAATGTAAATTTTGTTGAAAATGTCTTCAGTTATGAATAGTGCATTGTGGATGATGCTGGAAGAGAGCCAATTGTTCATTATAGGTGCATTTTAAATATATTTCCAGCTAAGGCAAAAGTTGTGTGTTTTTCTGCCCCCCCCCCCTTATACAGTTGTATAATAACATTTTTGAGTTCAAGAAATTTGTTTTTTCTTTTTTTGGGTTTTGAATGTGAGATACGTTGAAAGAAATAGAGAAACATTGCAAAATTTCTTGTGCACGGGAAAGAAGAATTATTTTTGGGTCAATTATGCAAGGAATTATTTTTGGATTGATGTTTTGTACATCACCCCAAGCACTGTTATCATATAGTGTTTATCATTATTGTTCCTGATGATGTTTTGCAGGGTTTCCAAGAACTGTGGTACAGGCAGAGGCCCTTCAAAAACATCACGCCTTAGATCTTGTCTTGAATCTTGATGTACCATTTGCAACAATCAGAGAAAGGCTAGAGGTGAGCTGCTTACTACTTTTTTTTGTTCTTTTCCTTCTATATACATACATATACATAATTTTCATTGATATGCAGGTTTTGCTAATGGCAGCATGTAGCTAATGTGGACCTGCTTACATACTATTTGTGCTAAAAATTTAAACGTTTGAAATTAATGTGGCAAAAAATATTAATATATCAACAGGCTAGATTTTTTTAAATATCTAAAGTCAGATTGAATAAAATAAACTGATTACTTATTTTTGATAACTCTTTTTTATAATACTCATAGTTCTCAATGCCTTTCACTTTAATGGGTAGTCTGTTCCATATTACGCCTGCTCTGCGTTTGAATGAGCTTCGTCCAAATGCCCTTCTAGGTCTGTTCAAGACGACTTTTACATTATCTCTAAGATTCATTGATCCTGATTTCGAGCGTTCTATCATGTCCTTCATGGTGTCTGGGCCTTTCTCACAATGCAATTTGTGTGCTATGCATGCAACTCTTTGCTTGTACATGTATTCAGCAGATTTCTAATTCATTGCCTCCAGTATTTTATGATCTTGCAATGATTTTGGTAGGACTATTTTGGCTGCCCTTTTGTGGATTTTCTCTATGAGGAACTGAGCAAGTCTCTGATTCCCAGACTGCAATGTCATATGTAGCAGCAGGCAGTAGCAGCTATTTCTCAGTTATCAAGCTATTGAACTCTTTTTTAAGCATAGCATCCATTTTCATCATCAATGGTAAGTCTTCATTACCTAGAGTTCTTTTGTTAAATTCATTGAGTCAAAGCAAGAGCACCGGAGCCACTGGAGCAGTGGGGGCAGCTGCCTCTGTTGCCCTAGTGGTGCAGGGGCAGCACAGGGCCAGCACAGGGCCAGCAAAGTGCCCTTTTCAAGAAATTGTTTTTCGAGCAATATTTATTCATCTAAAAGTTTTGAATGCTAATGAAATATAGGTTTCAAGCATCTCTTGATACCTACATGCAAGACAAAAAAGTCAAATTTTTTTATTTTGATAAGAACTTAAATCGATTTGCAAAGCCATTTGACCAACAAAAATATTTTTTTTGATAAGTTCTATTTAACTTTTCATGATCATGCCAAACAGATTTAAGATTGCTACCAACGTTGGCTCACATATTATGTTTGATATATCACTCAAGGCATCAATGATGTTTAATTTCAAGCAAAGGAGAGGAACCAGGGGACCCCTTGTGCATGTATCTTTTTTTTTCTCCAAAATACCGAATTTCGGAAAAATTTGGTTTGCAGCTCACTGAGTTGCTCTTTTTGCCAACTACATAACCAAAAAGTGCCCTTGGATTGCCTAGATGCTATACGAAATGAGCAAAGGGGTGACTTTTTGAGGTGATGATCTAAATTGTTTGTACCTAGCTTCAGATTGTACCAACTTTAAATAAAGAAAGAAAAAACAGTAAGTTCAGAAGAGTTATATCCAAAAGTTATATCAAGCCATGTAGATGGTCATCAGAACAAAATTTTGTTTGAATGTAAAGTAGGATTGGGTCCAGCCTCCCTTGATGGTTGATGTTGGAATGAAAGGAATTTTGAGAATGAAAGGAATTTCGAGAATGAAGTTTGACTGTAGTCTTGATTCAAATGTATTTTTTGGGTGTTGCCTTCATTTCCGAGAGTTTAAGGTGTAGCAACGCAAAATTTCTTTGACGGGGCTTTTACCTACAACCAGGCTTCATAATTGGCTAAACGATGATTCCAGACCTGTTTCAGCAGCAAACTTTGACAGCCCAAGTTTCCCTTTCTGCCAGTCCTGCCCCGCTGCATCATGAAGCTTCCGCCCCTCTGAGTCAGAGTAAATCTTCATCAGTTGCAGGAAATTCTTTTCTTTGCTTTGCTGTCATTTTGGCAGTCTGTTTTTACAACAGGTCATTGCAGAACCAAGTTCAAAAAACACATCATTCTCAGGTCTGCCAGCACAAAAAATTCTCATCATTTTTTCCTTAAATGATTATTCAATGCCTTTATGTATTGTATTGTATTGTAGATTATTTATCGTTAGTTAATACAATAGTGAATATACACTAATTAAGACTAACATGAAGCAATTTCAAGGATTGCATAAGCCAGTCCATTTACTGCAAAACAAGCATGCACACTTGTTTTCAAGGAACCAAGTTTTGATCAAATTCTTTAATTGTCTAGTTTTTTGTGCTGTCTTTATTTTTGATACAAATTGAAAAGATAATTATTGTTTTTCTTAATGGCAGCATAAATTTCCAGCTAAGAGAGCCTGTAGCTGGTGGAAAGTATAACCTTTTTCATGCAGTATATTTGGCAAAATATCTCAACTTCAGTTTATTTTTCGTTTCTGCAGATGAGATGGATACATGCACCATCTGGAAGAGTTTATCACACTGAATGGAATCCTCCAAAGAAACCTGTAAGATGAAAAAAAATTTTGGCTAGAATATGCTTTCAAAATTATGTGTTTGTGAAGATAACCTATTCACTAGAATTAAACAAAGTGTTATTGGAGTAAACTCAAAATTGTAAATTGTGAGGTTTGGTCTGGTACAAAATTTGTGTTAATCTGGATTGTACACAAAAATTTTAAATAAAATGCAGTTATATGGGTATTTAATCTTTCTTCAAATGCATTAAGGATCACAGTTACAGTTTATTGTCATGTGATGTTACCTTACGCCAAAGTATCTAATATTATAAAGGTTTTATTAACATAACAGACACTTTTAGCATTGTTGATTTTATCATTAACATTTGCTATCTTTACCTGGAGGAGTCGTCTACAAACAAGTCACATGAGGGCTGGGCCACTCAGGTTGGTTATTTATTTTGAAAAGGCCAGAGACAATTTCTTTATCTGTTGTCATGAAATTGTCATGAACAATTTACTGTTTAATACACCTATCTCTTATTTTAAAGCCTTTCAAATCATATCTTTGTCTATTTGTATACAGGGTCTTGATGATGTTACTGGAGAGCCCCTTATACAACGAGATGATGATAAGGTCAATAAATAAACATTTTATACACTGTTTCTAAGGGTCATTTTATTTTTTACGTTTTTATATATTTGCTAATTTAATGTGCTTCTTGTTAAGCTCAGTCACAATAGGCAATGTAGAGAGTAACACACTAAGGAGTGAAATAGTCCAACTTTATTCCTGTTTCCTTCTAACAGTAGAATTTTTTTGCTTGCTGAGTTTTGCCATATGTCTTTCTTGTTAAGAACATGTAATAATCTTTTACTCTTTAAAACTTCCATTTCATCAATTTCTGGCATAGAAGATAGTGCATATTCAAAAAATTGTAAATATGCAGTTGAATTTAAATTTTGTTTATATTTCACTAAGCTTAGCCTCAGTACCAATTTACAGGGCTCTGTCTTACAGATTATAAAGCGAAACTGCATCAATTTTCCTATCTCAGTTATATTTTTCCAAATAAATTTCATCCAAATTACCTTCATTCCTTTGATAAATATTTGCTTAGAGTTATTGTCCCCTTCTGGCTGGGGGGGGGGGCTAGAACTCCCCCCATAATTGTTAACCTGTTCTGTAGTACAAAAATCGAGATACAACTTTTTGTTTGGTTACTTTTGATAAAGTATATGCAAGGTAAAGTATTTGCTCGTTTTTAATTTAAGTTTAAAAATTTTGCATGGCCAGTCAAAATCTCACTGTATTGTGTTGATCTTTTTGTTTCGCTTTGTTCCTGCTCAATCTTTTCTACCTGATATTTATTGTAAGATTGTGTAATACAGACAATCCACTTACAACCAGCCTTTTGACACATCAATAATTTGACTCAATTATATTTTGTTACAGCCTGAGACTGTCACTGCTCGTCTTCAAAACTATGAAAGACTGACTTCTCCAGTTCTAGAATTTTATGGGTTCGTTCTTCACTTTTTCTTTCTAACTATGTATTCTAACTATGTATGCTTATTGAATTACGAAACAATAGTGAAATGTATTTTCTGTTTAACTTTCAAAGGGATATTTGCTTTTTTCAAGGGGCATGAATTTGAGCCAAGTTGAGCTTGGTAAAGGGCCAAAGTAGAATTTCATAGTTTTTCAGTTCTTTTGAGCAAATTACTACTCTGATTTTCCTCATGTTGAAAAATACAATTCATCCTGTTTCTAAGTTTTTGAGAATTTTGTCCTTGATTACTTTTAAATGGAGTTGAATTTCTTCATTTTAGGAAACTTGGAATTTTGCAATCTTTTCATGGCGCAGAATCCAATGTGATATATCCAAAGATGCAGGAATTCTTGAATGAATTTATGAAAAAATATACCTGAAGGTTTTCACATAGGTCTTGATAACTTTTTTGAAGAACATTTACACCTGTTGTAATAGATACACTTACATTTCACACAGACAACACACCTGATGGGGCAATCATACTGAGGTCTATGGAAATTAATATGCATTTTTTATATTAATTCCTTATTAAAAATGGGTTAATTGTTTGATTAATATTTTATAATATCATTCTTCAAACAGTTTTCAATATTTTTATGCTGGCTGCTATCATTGTTCTGTAATTAATTTTTTTCAGTTCCCATATAAAAATTGTATTCAGTGATTTTTAAAACAAGGGATTCAAATGGAACATTTCAAAATTATTGCTTTGTGATATAATATTTTTTATACCTATTGCTTACTAAGACTATCAGTTGCTTTACACTGCTTAATTTTCTTTGGAATCAAGAATATAGTATCAATTGCATATCAATGTGTCTTTTTCTTCCTTTTGCAAGCCTGGGTACTAATTGCATAGCATGGCAACATGTTTTGTGAAAAACATTATGTTTCCACCTGTGCCTGTCTGTATTTTCCTTATAAAAATAAATCTACTAAAGTAATTGCATTGTAACTACCCCTTGCAGACGCAGATAAAAGTATAAAATGGAATAAATTGCACCCAGCTTGGTAAATCTATGAATTTTAAGAAATATTGTCTGGCCTATTCTTCACTAGGAGATTTTTATTTGTTATTTATTTGTCATTGAAGAGCCCCATTCTCAAAGCTTTCGATTGATGTACACTAAATTGCTCATCTGACCTTTTTCGGATTTGACAAAACAAGTGGGTCCATTATAGGTTCCAATTTGGGCACCCAATATGCGCACGACAAACCTTGCTTCGATTACGCGTATTTGGCCTAAATTTGAGTTTGGTTAACGATTGCGATTGCGGCTTTTTTAAAAAGAAATATCACGGTCAACGAATGAAGGGGGAAAAGGCGTGGCTAGGTGGATTTCGGAATAAAAAAGGCATAGTTGGGAGGATTTTGGGACCAACAAATTACTTCTCTTAAAGAAAGTGCTCTCAATGGAGAGAAGCTTTAATTGACAAACTATTTTAACACGAAAGGCATTTTTTGTGTTTACTTTTGTTTGTCTCAAAGAACTTAAAATCTTTTTAAGACATGTGATGAAACAAGTGGAGATGTTTGACAAACCGTGACGTTGCATGCCGATCTACATACCCAGAGACCACAGCGGTCTCATTTTTTCACGATAAAAAGTTTACCGAAGCTGGTTCCTTGGTACTGATCCACCTAAACTCCTATTTTTGTCAGCAGTTTGTACAGTAACATTCGAAGATAGCGGAATATACAATTGTTTATATTAATTGTGAAGTATAAGTAAGTTTTTCTCAAACTAGAATTTCTATAAATCTAGCAACAGCTCTGGATTTGAAACTTTCCCTACTTCCGCCATTCTCGTTACGGATTTTTTCCAAGAATTTTAGAAAGTCACCTAAACTGACATGCAAGCGAGGTTTTTTGCCATGGCCTATCGATGACATAGCCATGACAAGTCATCATTTTCAAAATGATTTAACAAAGTATATAACTGATTGACAGTAACCAAGATGCATTCAATGGCTTGGTAAGATTGTGCAAATCGAACATTTCTATCAACAATGGTGCCTTTAATCGCGCAAAGAGAGGTAGGCCTGGCAGATAGCTTGCTAATGAGGCGGTGGGCTAGGACTCGTCGTGTCATGTCAATGCAGCTTAGCAATGATAAAAATATGGAACAGATATTCTCAAGCGGGGTAAATTCGTTGGATCTTGAGAAGCAAGAGCAAAGATAGTGAGTGTTCTATTGACGTAAACCTGTAGCTCATTTTAACCATAGTAGCAACCAAAGACCGAGAAACAACAGCCATGTTTTACAAAAAAAAAAATTTTATTTATGCAACGTTAGTTTTTTGGGGGGCCAAGGCCCCCGCCCCCCCGCTATCTTAGTCCTTGATAGCAACGAGGTTAGTTTAGATGGATCGCTGTCAAAGTTGGACAGAAGGAAAAATTGTTTTTGTCTTCTTCGAAACTTTCAAAAGCGATGCACAATTATCTATCGACTTAACTTTGAAAGATATTTATCAAATTTTAAAAAATTATTAAAGGGGAAATTGAGGTATTTTTATATTATTTGGAAATTTATATTATATAAATGATTCATTTATTAGAAAACAGAAAGAGGGGGAAAGAGGAAACTAAAGAAGATAATCCAAAAGCTAAATTGCAAACTGGTTGCTTGATTTGTCTGTTTGTCACCAAAGTTTATAATGCCACTTTTCAATTTTAAACCAAAATACAAGAAAACCTTGCTGCTCTGTTGAATAATGGCATTTACAAAGATTAAGTAGACAGATTAAAGGAAATTTTTCCAGTTAATGTGTTCTATTTTATTAGCAATTTTCTGATAATATGTGTAAGGGCAATAATATATGTTTTCAATTGAAAAAGTTTCACTGCATGCAAATGAAATTTCAACTTGCTTCTCGCTGCCTTTTTTACTTTGTATTTAAGAAAAGCCTCTATCAATAAATGTGATAATCCTTTTAATGTACTGAAAACTTATGAACTTGAGTCTTCTATACAAAATTAGCCATCATCTATCATTTAATATGATCAACCTTCCCTTTAGTCTTCTTTCAGCAAGCTCAGATGCCAAGATTGCAATATATGACACATCAGTTTTGGAAAAGGAAGAAGAAAAGTATGTGTGCAAATCAATTGGGTCTATTAACAGGCAAGTTGAGATTTTTTTTACATAAACCAGGGGCGGCTGGGGGCGGTATTAGTGTTATTAGTCTAATAGCAATTTTTTTTCAGCAAAGGCTCTCATAATCTATTGGTCATATATCTTTAAAATGAAGCTAGCACTGGAAATCCTTGGTAAAAACAGTTTATTTAAACAGCTAACTCCTGAGCTAACTGTTTCCCTGCCATTTTGCAATGATATGGCGTGATATGGCCATGGTAAAGCGAGCAGAAGCCACTACTCTTGAAACTGATTTGATCCTTTCAAAAAAAGACCTCCCTCCTAGGCTACTGAGAAACAATCCTTTCTTCACAACAACAATAAACACACCAACAGCGACTTCGTTTAAATATATGAAAGATAGCACTCTCTTATTATTTTTGTTTATTCTCAAGCTGTTACGTTAGTTTCATCAAAAATCTAAATCTGCACTTAAATTGAATTGAAAAATATGGTACTTTGCTTTTTTATGTTGACAATGAGCATTTATCAGAAATATTTGCCCTTATTAAGGAGTATTTCAATGTACGATACTTGCCGATATGATTTTGCTATTAAAAGAGGGCCGTTAATAGCAACAAAAAAGAGGCTCAGCTACGGACAGAGAGCCTTTTCATTGTAAGCTGATGAAATTCATCTGCATGCTGCAGGCCGTCGAACCCAAAGCCTACAGTCGTAATTGAAGGACTGAATGTGAAGACATGACTTCTGAACTGTAGGTGTATTCCAATGAAGGTTGTTTTAGTAGAAATTTGAAAGAGTGTGGACATAGCCCCCCCTCTCTGATTTTTTTGCTTTTCTCTTTATGAGCATTACAATAGAAAATGGCAATGTGTTTTCGACTTGCGGCCAAGAAAATCAAGATGTAACGATAGGGTAGAGCATAGAAAAAAACAGTGCAATATTGAAAACAACCATTGAAGAGGGTGTGGTTGGAAGTAAAAAAAGCGTCAGCCATGCCCTGATACCACGATTTTCTCTAATAGCAGTTTAAAATCTCTCCCAGCCGCCCCTGTCATAAACATAATCAGCCTGCAGTGAATAGGAGAGCCATTGCATGAAGTTTATAGCATTCTCTTCAAAAGTTTAATTTTATATCATTCATACTTGAGCTTGTTTATTGTGGAAATATCTACAGATTGCCAAATTATTTGTTACCAAATATATACAGAGAATCAAGCAATATTGGCATTGCCCACTCACGTTTAGGACATCATTCAGAGAACAAATATTTGACTGAAATATATTATTTATGTAAATGGAATAAGTAATTGCAGTCTTCTCTCTTCGTGTAGATCATCTGACGACTCTCATCAGTTTAGCGTGGAGACTGTGCAGTGGTACCCGCGTGATAATGGGATGTTTGTGACAAGCTCTTTTGACAAATCAATCAAGATTTGGGACTCAAATATTTTACAGGTAAATTTATTCTGACATAATTAAATTTAAGTCTACTTCTCTTTACAGATTGAGACTGTTTTTACTTGAAATAAAGTGTCAAAATCATGAAAAACATTGTGTAAAAGACATAAACTCGCTTCCAAATATAAGTCCTCGTGAATATTAGCCCAAGGCTTATTTTCGAATAAAACATTAAAGCACTATTTTGTTAAACATAAAACCACTATTTTCTACCTTCAACACCAATACATGCCATTAATGAGACAAAGTTCAAGAACAAAGAATTCAATTGCTCATTTTTTTCTTTAGTGTATTACTCCCTTTAAGGCTGTATTGCTTATTACTCACAATATCATATAAACAGGGTACCTCAATGCCTTTTTACTTGAGCCAATGTGCCTTCTGAGGCCTTTCTAGCTTTACACGCCATCTTTCCTATTTTTCAAAATTATCCAACTTTCCACAATGGCTGCAGCTTTATTGTAAGTGCCTCAGAAACATGATCGATCTTTTCATTTAGACTTGAAAAAATTGATTTTGCATTTTCTTCAGACATTAACTGAATTTCGTTTATAGTTCCCCCTGAATATAGCCCCCTCCCAAATATAAGCCCCCAAAGACGGCATTTTAATCGTTATAAGCCCAGGGCTTATATCCGGAATTTTACTTTAATATAATCAGTAGACAGGCACATTTAACCAGACATCTTGTGCTCATAGTTTAGGAAGACTCTTGCAATTTTTTGTTTAGTAAGTTCTTTATGTTTACGACAGATAATATTGCGATAAATTATATATAAAACTATAATACTTCAAGAGTTGTTTATATATAACACTATTTCCTTTAACCATTCCAGACTTATAAGTTATATCTCCAGATTGGTAAAAAAGTACCAATCAAGTTCATCTCTCTTCCTCTCACGTTACTTTCGATCCAAACCTGGATAAAATTGTCAGCTTACTTTTGGTCATTAACCGATGTTTATACCCTGAGTAATATCGGACGAGAAGTACTTCAGTATACTATGTCTCCGCTATTTCATACCATTTTCAATTTCTGCATCTTCAAATAAGCTAAACACGACCCCTTCCTCATTTAAAAGGGATATTTCGTTATAGTATCAATATTCGTAAATAGGGACCTTTTAAGAGCTTCCATTTTTGAAGTTGTTTCTATCATAAATGGCTGGAAAAGTAATTAAGAATCATAACTGAAGCAGATACGTCGGAGCCGAGGGACTGGAGTGATGTAGCCCCCCCCCCCACTTTTTCGCCGATGTCTGATATTAAGGATTTGGCATTAAAGATGATCGTGGCATCGCAGTTTAACAATTTGTATGGAGCCCCCTCCCACTCCAAAAATTTGCTCCGACGTCCATATGAAGTAAAAATGTTTAACTCTTTTTAGTTCGTGTTTGTTTTTTCTTAATAGATGGCAGATGAAATCAATTTGCAGAATCATATATTTTGTCATCATATGTCAGTTGCAGCCAAAAAGCATTGTCTTTTGGCAGGTAATACGCAGACAGATTCACAGATTCTCCTCTATCCTTTAAAGCAAAGAGTAAAACGTTGCCTCTTTAGGAAACATCCATTGACATTATTATTGCTGAAATACCAGGCTCCGTCTGGCATTTATTCTACGTGTGACTGTTATGCAGAGTGCAAACCTTTCCCCCTTACAATTTGATAGATTTTCAAAGCCTTCTTCGGAAAACGAAGAAGCATAGTTCCTTTGTTTTCACTGAACGTTCTTACGGACGTTGACCATGTAACTACAATGTAAGTTTTCTAAGTCCTGCTCTTATACTGTTTTTCTATTTAACCGTGAAAGTGAATAAAATTGACTATCGCACATACAAATATTGCACAAGCATGTCTTGTCTTATAGAAATTGTGGGGTCGTCTATAAGTAATTATAATGTGGTGCGTTTTAATGCAATGTTTAGGCTAGGCGTATATCAATAGAAATATATATATGAATATAACATTGCTTATGGTTTTTAGCATAAAATTCTATAGCTTGCAAGTCGATGAAGCAAGTCTAGATCACAAGGAAAGGCGAATCGTATTCCTCTTCAAATCACTTGCAAGAAATTGATAGCAAACGGAGAGTTGTTTTACAAGACTGATTGTTTAATTTCCCTGTTTTATTTCATCTTCCAGTTGCATGTGATGTGTCCAAAGTGATTTTATGTGACCTAAAATCAGGATCATCTACACATTCGTTACGAGGTATTTCTCACTCTTATATTTTGCTGCCCAGCTCCTTTACTAATTCACTAGCCAGTTTTCAGGGAAAACTTCAATTGACATCGTCCTGTTATTATGGGTATTCTGAACATACAAATTTTGAGGTATCAGCCTTTTCTTTGGCATCAAATTTGATACAATAAGATAACGACTTTGTACAAAAAAATTAATTTTTATTACGACATTTTGAGCATAACTTCATCAGGTAAAATGAATAGAAGGAGAAACGGTTAAAAAGAGAGGGTCCAGATGCCACAGTCTCCATTCATTTTAACAAAGATGGCCATACACCAGCCAGCATTAAATCACTGGACTTTGCTACGCACCTCATAACAACACTTAACGCAAAACCCTCGAAAAACGTATTATTTTCAATCTTGGTACTTTTATTCCTAATATTCTTAATAAACAATTTTCGTTTCTTTTCTAATCCATACGCTTTCCACCCCCTTTCATATTTCCATTTCGTCTTACGTTCTACGCCATATTCCTACTACGTTCCATTGTAGTTTATCTTTCGACTCTACCGTTCTATTCTCTTCTTAACTGTTTCTCCTCCTCTTCTTTATTTACCTGATGAAGAGTTATGCTCGAAACATCGTACCAAATATTCATTCCTTGTACAAAGTCATTATTTTATTGTATCAAATTTTGTTCATTTTCGACTTACAACACGCACAACTTCATTGATTATCAATTTTCTTTGGCATATTTTTCCTTTTAACGACGCGGTCTCCATCTACTCAATGCAACACTAAACGAAGGAAAACTATTGTTAGCAAATGCCTGTCAATTCGTTCTTGAAATTGTAAGAATGTGTCACGAATCTTCGAGATATCAAATTTCACTGAATTATTGCTTTTCAATGCATCTTTATTTTGTTCATTCTATGCGGTACATTTTCCCCTCGTTGCAGGCATTAGCATTTCAAAATTGTCACTAAGATGCATCTATTTTAATGTTTAACAACTTTTCTGTTGCCTTTCTTATGTGATTCATAGAATATTTATTATAATCTCAATGTTCAGAATTGAGCCAATGTTGTAAAGTATATTCTTGTAAAGTGAATAAAGACGAATTTTTCTATAAACAGGCCATAAGAAAGCTATTTTGGCTGTGTCATGGTCGCCAAGAAACGAAAATATACTTGCTTCTGGGAGGTGAGATGCTAAGAAATTTTCAGCCATTGAATGTAGTTCGTCAGTGGAAAGCAAGATGTTTAATTTTTTTAACATAATGTTTTTAACACAATTTTTTAAAATACTTTACGATCTGCATTGATAGGTAATCTGGGTTACTAGAAGACGAAGCACGCTGAAGTAAAATTTACAGATTTTTTGTATAGCAGTATTTTATCACAGAATAGAGAAATAACAGGAGGGCAACTCCTGCAGCCTTTTTGTTTTTTTTACGACTCCATAGAAACAATTGTCGTTGGGTCAACCTTGTTTTAGTGGATAAGTGACGCAGCAAAACAATCGACGTGATCGAAAGAATCGAAACAAACAATCGTCCTTTCCAAAGTTTTGTGGGGCAAACAGCAATTAGTTGGCCGCAATCTGCGAGTAAAGGCATCCATTGCCAACCTTCATGATAAATTTGCCTTGAGCAAGCATCCTTGCCGACGAAAAAGCATTCTTGCTGATGACAAACTTGGTTAGCCTTGAATCATTGGCACATGCGCTTGCAATTAGCGTCGAATTCTTATGAATTGAGTTTCCCTTTTGCATTTTTCTTATCCTGTGATATAATTGTACGCAATTTGAATGCTGCAAGATGTGGGGTTTTATGTATGACACGTTTTGCAAGTTTCTTGGTTAGATTGGTCGACTATTCATAATCGATCTAGCATTGCCATTGAATTCTTGTCAGTTTTGTAAAACTCTGTTTGTCACGTTCTATGGTCTAACATATTAGGATTAGCAGTAATAATTAGCTGATTACTCAATCTTTTAGGTATGTTTTTGTCTGTTTTCTGCCTGGTTTTGTCTGGTTTTTGTCTGATTTTTGTCTGGTTTTTGCAATGTTTTGTCTATTTATCTTTAAAATTTATCTCTGAACGTGAACAGCATGGAGAGGTAGTATTGCTTGAAAACTTAAGTGTTGAAATTTGACGGAGAAAAGTATTGTGAATGGTAAGAAAGTACAGTGGATATAAATGAAAGAGGGAATGAAGAAAGTGAGAAGGATGGAAGTTAAAGAAGAGTTGAAAAATGAATGGAAAGGGAAAAGAAAGCAGTACAATGTATCGAAGGGATAAGGATAGAAGGAGTAAGGACAAAATGATTAAAAAGTAAGGGAAGGGGAAGAACATGAAAGTAGAGGGAAATAAGAAAGAAAGGAAAATAGGATGAAAGGGAATTGGACCAAAAGGAGAGAATGTGAAGAAAAGCGAAGAGAGATAAGGATCGGTGAAAGAATCGAGGAACCAGAATAGAGGAAAGAAAAAAAAATAGAACTTAAAGGAATTAAGTGAGAGGGAACCACTAGATTTTAAGAAGCCATTTAATATCTATGAGGTAGCATTTTATGTGTTGCTTATTTTCTGAAACCAACAATTTTTTCGTAGTCAGGACAACCGGGTGATGATCTGGGACATAAGAAAGGCCGCAGCCTGTTTGATGAGCTTGGACCAACACAATGGAAAGGCAGCCAGTAGCACAAGTTCAAGTATTAACAAATTTGTGTCTTTATTCATTTCTACTGTCTATTAGCTTGAGGGTAACCAGATTTTCTAGACACAAAATTATGCCCTCACGCCCATTGCTTTGTGAAGGAAGTATTTTTGCCCCGATAGCTTTCATAGCTTTTTCAATCATTTGATTTATAGCTATCCGGTATTTTACAATATCATGATTGTTGCTTGATATAGCACATGATTGATTCAAATTCCTTTAATAAATCAAAAGACAATTAGTTTATTTGACGTAACTGTGATAAAAAAATGCACGTGTTTTGATAATACTAAGAGTAACTGAATGTAAACTAAGTGTAACTATTGTAAAACGATGCACGTGTTTTGATAATACTAAGATTAACTAACTGTAAACTAAATGTAACTTCCATGACACAATGCACGTGTTTTGATAATACTAACATTAACTAACTGTAAACTAAATGTAACTTCCATGAAACAATGCACGTGTTTTGATAATACTAAGATTAACTAACTGTAAACTAAGTGTAACTTCCATGACACAATGCACGTGTTTTGATAATACTAACATTAACTAACTGTAAACTAAATGTAACTTCCATGAAACAATGCACGTGTTTTGATAATACTAAGATTAACTAACTGTAAACTAAGTGTAACTTCCATGACACAATGCACGTGTTTTGATAATACTAACATTAACTAACTGTAAACTAAATGTAACTTCCATGAAACAATGCACGTGTTTTGATAATACTAAGATTAACTAACTGTAAACTAAGTGTAACTTCCATGACACAATGCACGTGTTTTGATAATACTAACATTAACTAACTGTAAACTAAATGTAACTTCCATGAAACAATGCACGTGTTTTGATAATACTAAGATTAACTAACTGTAAACTAAGTGTAACTTCCATGACACAATGCACGTGTTTTGATAATACTAACATTAACTAACTGTAAACTAAATGTAACTTCCATGAAACAATGCACGTGTTTTGATAATACTAAGAGTAACTAGCTGTAAACTAAATGTAACTTCCATGAAACAATGCACGTGTTTTGATAATACTAAGAGTAACTAGCTGTAAACTAAGTGTAACTTTCATAAAACGATGCACGTGTTTTGATAATACTAAGATTAACTAGCTGTAAACTAAATGTAACTTCCATGAAACAATGCTCGTGTTTTGATAATACTAAGAGTAACTAGCTGTAAACTAAGTGTAACTTTCATAAAACGATGCACGTGTTTTGATAATACTAAGATTAACTAGCTGTAAACTAAATGTAACTTCCATGAAACAATGCTCGTGTTTTGATAATACTAAGAGTAACTAGCTGTAAACTAAGTGTAACTTTCATAAAACGATGCACGTGTTTTGATAATGCTAAGAGCAACTAAGTTTTAACGTCCTTGATGATGGGAAAAATGTGTATTGACAATTGCTATTGAATATCTGGGTATTAATGAGTTTTATGCCAGAATAATGTATAACCAATGCTACCATTAGTCTGTATTTTCTTTACGTTTCAGATGTCACAGCCCACAATGGGTACATTAATGGGCTCTCATTTACATCTGACGGTCTTCATCTTTTGTCTTACGGCACTGACGATAGACTGCGCTTATGGGATGTGTGGACCTCGCAAAATACCCTGGTTTGTTTAAAGCGTTTTAGGCCTTAAAAATGGAAATCTTCTTGCGGTCTACAGATTTTTGAACCAATCCAGTTGTGTTTTGGCTACCTTTTTATAAAACTGTGAGCTCCCTGGAACTACTTAGAGATTCGCCATTTTGAGAGTCTTGTTGCTACGGGGACAGCAAGGTACAAATTAACTGATCTGGAATTTTCTTGTTTAAGCAATTTTCTAAGATTACCTTTGAGATCTAATTAATTTTGACTGAATTCAACCAACATTGTTTCAGTACCCTCGAATCTTTCATTCAGCTGTTCATGAAGATTCCTGTTTGCCTAACAGCTTACACGTTAATTCTTGCTTGCTTTAGCTGTAAGAACCAGATAATTTCTAGCGAGGCTTGATGGTCTTATTTTCATTTGTTTGTGACTTGAATGTTTTTAATGCTCTTCTTATTTCGAAATTGATTTGTCTGCAACTACACACAACAAGTTTAGTTTGATACTAAAACAGAAAGTATGACATAAGATTAGAGTTTTGAAGAAGAACAATTATAATAGAATGAATGCATTCAGAGTAAATAAAGATCATAACACAGCATTAACACATGTATTGTAGTAACAAAATTGTTAGGATCGATTTAATGAATTGACTCAAACGAATGGCGTCAATTCTATTGAGATATTCAGACCTACTTTAAGATTCACGACACGCGATTTTCATAATTACAAACCATGCAGAGGATTTTTAATTAATGACATGTTTAAACTCTGGTTATTACATTTGTTGCTTCAAAAATTTCTCCCCACTAAATATTTCAGTCCATCACTATGAAACAAGGCAGTCTTTCCGAGGATATATCTATCTAGGTAAAAAAACGCTTCAATTTGGCTTAAAGTCCATTCGATATATAGGAGCGAAACTTTGGAACGACCTATCAGCTGATATTCGAGACTCTACCTCAAGATTTTTATTCAAAAAGAATGGAAAACATCACTTGCTAAATGCTATGTGAATGCCTAGATGAAATTTGTATTCGATACGTTTAACAAATTTCATTATTTAAGCTAGCAATTTGGCATCGCCTTTGTGTTTATGGTTCTGATAGACGATAGGGGGGAGAGGGCTCTCATCTCGTTAGTTTACCTACTTTGAGAGCTCCTCCTAAAAAATTCTACTACATCTAGTTGCATTGTGCTGTTGTTTTATTTTTCTATATTATTAATATCAGTATTATGTTAGCAATTATTATTGTAGTAGAATTTGAATAATAAATCAGATCAAATCAAATCAAATCAAATTACAGAAAGCAGTTTTCTGTGTAGAAACGTTTATAATGTTTCAAAATATTATTACATTGCATTCAAATCTCATGTTTCCATCCTTTCTCTTCAGGTAAATTATGGAAGTGTTTACAACTTGTCTAAAAAGCACGTGCAACTGGCTGTGACCAGGGAACTCAACCAGGATATCGTCTTCGTACCAACAGAAAACAACATCGCAATGTTCGACATATTTTCTGGCAAGAAACTCGGCTTTCTTACCGGACATTATGGGAATGTCAATTGTTGTCTATATGAGAACTGCTTCCAGGTAAAATTCTCAATAGCAACCTTCTTTTCTGAATTCGTAAAAACAGAGTTTTCGAAGCCAAGTCCACGTTTTATAGCAAACTTTTTGTTAACCATATTTCCTCTAAAGAATGCCGCAGCGTTTATTACAAAATTCAAATTTTGTATGCGGCGTTCAAAAGAGGACGGCGTTTATCAGAGGGCGGCCTTAAATACAAAATGAAAAGTTTGTCAAATAAAAAATGACAAGAGAAGTACCATAAAAAAGGTAAAAACAGACTTCAAGCAATGTTTTCTTTTTCCAAAAACACGTGATAAATATTGTGTGAAAATTTTTTGAAAGATCACGTTATGGACATGTCAAGGAATGTCAATATCCCTGTCTTCGTCAGAGCCCACGTCTCTATGACATGACAACTTTAATAGCTTTCGAATAGCAACAAATAAACCATTCGTTACTTCTTGTTTGGTGTATTTTCTAATGAGCGCTGCTTTTCAAAGTGCGGCGTTCAATAGAGGGCGGCATTTATCAGAGGGTGGCGTTCATTAAAGGAAATACGGTAGAAACTTTGTATGCAATTATCATGCTTTAAGGAGGTCGCTTGCTTGATTTGTGTTCTTTAGAGATACCAAAGGATGGTCTAACAGGTGAAATAGGAGCCTAAAGATGGCTGATTTGCTATCACGGCTGTCCACGATGTATTGAAAGGCCTTTGAAATATGATTGCTAGAGCATTACGTATCAGAATTCTTTAGATTTTTTCCTGTAATAACTACTTAAAACATACTGCGTGTTGTATATCTGTTGTTAGTGAAAATATCTATCATTCTCTGAAGGATGTTGGAATAAGATATGCCAGGACTCTTCAGAACTAAGACAATATCTCACGCGTATACCATGATCTTTAGGATCGAAGGTTGCACATGATGCATCTCCACATATTTTTTCTGCATAAATTTCTGCACAAAATGTACATAATTTGGGCAGATTCTTGTTTCTTTATGGGTAGGTGTCTTTTTATCTACAGAAAAAAGTAATTCTATTTTGAAAAAAGTTATTCCTTTAGTCTTTCAAGAACATATTTTTACTTAGGAGCTCTACAGTGGCAGCATGGACACGCGTATTTTGTCTTGGTCTACGGCAGGGTACAGGGCAAGTCACTTACTTGATTTTGTAAGTATAGCTTTCGTTTAAACTTTTACTAGTCTAATATAAGAAACAATAGAATTGGCAATTGATTTCCTTACAGCGCATTTAAAATGCCGGTGCAATAGCACAAGACATGAACCGCAGAACAATGACATTAAAACGCTGTTTACATAAGCCTGGGTTGGACTCCACCCCTTGGTCAGCTCAATCATAATCTATAGACTATGGCTCAATCATCTGCAGCAGGAAGTATTTATGTTTACGCGAACCCGGGTCAGCTTGTTCTTGCGGAAGGTTGACCATCGATGGGGCCTAGCACGAGGGACGATGATTTGGTTTGGTAATATATGGAGGCATATAATCAGCAGAGTATGCTTTTTAAGTCACGTAGAATCCACTGATTGTCTGTTTTTCATTTACTGCTTTTATCTCGCATCCATTTGCTTAAAGCTAATTTTTCTCAATTTAATCGAGGAAATTTTCCTCGCGTTTAATCGAGTAAAGACGGTAAATAGATAGCTGAACGTCAGTTTTGACAGCTTGCGTGGGCTTGCTTTTTTATGGTTACACTACTCTGATCTGAGACAACCTGTCTTCACATAGGAAAATTTAAAGATAGCCAACTTTTCTCAACATTCCTACCCTTGAAAATCCTTTTCCGGTGTCATATGCGTTTCTGCACGGGCATGCGTTTCTGCATGGGCTGAGACACATATGCGTTTCAAATGTTAAAGTGTAATGGCGGACATAGATGGCCTAGCTGTGGGATACACAACGCAAGCATGCAATATAAACAATACCAAAACAAATCGAAGTTCTATATATCAACAAAATATCAAATACTCAAAAATATATAAACCTCGTCACGCGATAAACTCAAAAGGCAAAATTACAATCAAGCTATTGATAAGGTGAGCAACTACCATCCGCTTAGCCCATGCAGAAATTCATAGAGAATTTTAGTGCTATGCGTTTCTGCATGGGGCATCTAAAATCAAAACGACATCGAATTTCATCGTAAAAGCATATTAACTAACAAGAGAAGTGATTGTGAAAACTTGATCTAGGTCAAACCTTTCGATGCAAGTAGCATTTTTGAATTTTTTATCTTTTTTTGTAGTTTGCCTTAGGCCCATACAGAAACGCATAGAGAATTTCAGTGTTATGCGTTTCTGCATGGGGCATCTAAAATCAAAACACCATCGAATATCATCGTAAAAGCATGTTAACTAACAAGAAGTGATTGTGAGAACTTGATCTAGGTCAAACTTTTCGATGCAAGTAGCATTTTTGAATCTTTATCATTTTTGTAGTTTGCCTTGGGCCCATGCAGAAACGCATAGAGAATTTCAGTGTTATGCGTTTCTGCATGGAGCATATAACGAGAGGAACGGATGTCTAAATGCAAAACACCATCGATGATCATCGTGAAAAAAATATTTATAACAGAGGTTGGATTAATTAGCCCGATTCGATTTAAGTTACGACACAAGTTGCCTTTAGTATTTGAAATTTTTTAGTTTTCCTTCTATTTTGAATATATGTTTTCGCAATCCTCAGCTGGCATTAAAATTGAACTTTAGTAATTTTCACCAAAAAGCAATATTGCTATTTTTATGGAAGTCCCTGTTCGACCATTTTGCTTCAACCGCTACATACCAATTATCGGTACCCCTAAACCTTTTGGCAGTATTAAAAATGTTTGGAGCATTTGTTTTTGCCAGGGACGGCACTATCGAACAAGTTTTAATGTATTGAGGTTTATGCCTTACATTGTTGCTGACAAAAGATATGCCAGTTTTTCGAAAGGAAAAATATAAAAAATTGCACAAATTTAGAAAATCTTTTAGGGGCAAAGCAGCCTATCAATGCAGGCTTTTAATACGTTTTGAATAGAGATATATGAGAGGGTTAAACAATGCAAATACCTTCTACGGAAAGAGCTTTTTGCAATTAAACATTTTAAAGTCTACGAAGCATCTCTTCCTGTTCTTTCTAAAGGACACTTGCAAGACTTGATGGGAATATTGTCGATGGGGTATTAAAATAAGGGGCCCACGAGACTGGACCTTGGAAAAATTATAAAAACCATGCCCTTTCAAACACTAAATGTTGTATGTCTTGATGTTTCTTAATGGTTTAGACTCAAAGATTAGTGATGTTTCTGCTGGTTTAAATTGTGCTTGAATTGGTAAAATTTTCTGTTCCCTTTTCGGTTATTGATTATAATAAGATTTTGAAAGAGGAAAACTTGAATATCTGAAAAGTGCTTTTCATGAGGGTTTTCTATTATATTTACTATTAAAGTGCCACTGAACTGGAAAAATCAAATTTTTTTTATTGATGTTCTAAGTCAAGTCGGTGCTCCTGAATCCGATGCTGAAGTTCGCTTTTCGGAATTGTGAAGTGTTTTGAAGCTACAACGCTTCAAAGTTGCGATTTTCAAGACTTTTTGTGCGAAAGTTTGTGCGCGGTCTGTGAGGAATTTCAGGAATGTGTGACGCATTAACGTTTATAAGTCGCGGAAGTGATGCGGGCTTCAGTACTGAAGACTGTATTTCGAGTGCGATAAAAAACCAAAAAAAAATTAAAGTGGATGGAAATAGTGCGATACTTGTGCTCTAAATATCACTAGCTATCTAACTACAAGACATGTGCAAGGTATTTTCTTGTGAAAATTTCGATCCCATATGAAATAAGCAAACTTTTTGCGTGCAGTTCTTACGAAGACTTCATGCCGATCATTTACCTTTTGTGAATTATTGAGCGTGTCGAATAAGAATGCTTTTACGAACAGCTTAACTAATTATGAATAAAAGTGAGCAAACTGATCAAGGGAAAAAGTTGATCAATTATAGAACCACACAAATTGCACATTTTTCGGCGCTTTTCCCACTTTCCAACTTGCGTTGCCACTGTCAAAGCATCAGTTATTGCCAGGGCCGTCAAGATGGGATAAGTTGCCCCAGAACCTCGTGGTCAGGGGACCTCAAAAAGTAAAGAAGTTCATTTTAAATGGAATTGATTAAAAGTCCATAAGTAGCACGGTGGGATATTTTTAAGCTTCTATTCATACCCCATCTTTTTGGCGTATCAAACTGCCTATCTCTATCAAGTTTCATGCTGGTATCACAATCTAATGGTTAAATTGTGACAATTACTGCTAAGAGGTTTGGAATCTAGTATCCCAGTCTATAAATAGCACAAGGGAAATTTTTCGGCGTCTATTCGCATCCTATCCTTTTCAGCGTATCAAACTGCTCATCTCTACAAAGTTCCATGCTGATGTCGCGATCTAAAAGTTAAATTATAAAAATCACTCCTTAGAGGTCTGGGACCTGGTACCCCAGTCTATAAATAGCATAAGTGGTATTTTTCAGCGTCTATTCGCTTCCTATCTTTTTTGGCGTATCAAACTGCCTTTTACTACCAAGTTCCAAGCTGGTATCGCGATCTAATGGCTAAATTATGTCAATTACTGCTTAGTGGTTTGGAACCTAGTACCCCACTCTATAAATAGCACAAGGGGATATTTGTCAGCGTCTATTCACACCCCATCTTTTTCAGCGTATCAAACTGCCTATCTCTATCAGGTTTCATGCTTGTATCATGTTTTACACAATTTGTAACTTTTTATCTTCTTACAGCCCTCACTATGGCTGAATTGACTATATAAATCTGAATGCGTCACTCGCCCCAGCCTCTTTTCGCACGACCTACTCGCAAAAGAGCCCCAGAAACCCCTATTTGTGGGCTCCAAATTAAAAAACTAAACTTTTTTTCGAAATCAGCGATGATTAGTCTACCAGAATCAACAATAAAAAAAATTTCATTTTTTTCAATTCAGTGGCACTTTAAAATTCATTAAGAGTTTCAGAGAATTTTAGCTAAACATCAGGGTAGCATTTCTTCGTGAGCTAAGTAATGTTTTTCTTAATGCCGAGGCTATAGTTTCCTAAAAAGGGTAAAAAGAACGAGAGAGGCTGTTTATTACTGTCAAGGTTAGAGGTTTTAGTAGTAGGTTTAAACGTTTTGTCAAGAAAGACACGGATTATTCATCTTTATAGATCATCACACTCCACTCTTGTGCTCTAACGTTATAAACAAGTTTACGTGTAGTGGCTGCAGCGCCACCTATTATGGCAAAACATCTCGAAATCTCGTGATTCGATGTAGAAAGCACTTGGGAATCAACAAACATGGCCAGGGCGTTAAAATACCTAGCCCTTTCTCCATTCACGATCGTATTTCCAAAACTGGAACCCGCATTAAAATCGAATTCTTATAAAAAAGATCTATCCTTAAAAGAAGTTGCTGTCTTAAGATCAAACTAACTTACTAGAAGCAATTTTTATCGTTCAGATGATGAATGATTAAAAAACCCATATTGGTTTTTACGCGCTTTGTTTTATTGCGTAAGAAAGTTATTACAATATTTTCCCTTGCAAGTGTCTTGCTGAAGCTTTATGAAGCTTTATATTTCCTTGTGCGAGAATGCTTTATTCATCTGGAGTTAGTCATCGCGAGTGCAATGCAGCAGAGAATAGAAAAAGCCACCAATGGGTCCCTCCTGCTCCCGAGAAATCAGTTCCCATATTGTTAAGCCCCACTTGAGGCTTACCGCTGAAAAATGTACATGATTTTAGCCAGTGATAAATTATGTATTAAAAAAACTCTGTTTTGATGATATTATTATTGTTTTAAAGTCGATGTAAACAGTAATTGTTCAATTCATAGCTTTTACAATTTCATCTTTCTTCAGGCAGCGCTACAAAATTTTCAAAAAAACCAATTTGCTTTAGCCCGTTACAGAAACATCTACAATTACAAGGACCGCCCTCCTCCCCGGACCAAATCGAGTATTAATGGTACTTTGAAAAGTAGTGCCTCCAAATTGACTAAAAGAGCTGCCACTTGGAGAGGCCTTTTTTCGATTTAGTACCAACAAGAAATTTTGAAACCTTCGCGGGAATATCATCAGGGACGGATTTCAGCGGCAATGATTGGGGGGTGTTTTATTGGATTTTGGTGAAACCACCTTTCAGGTAGCTGGAAAATATTGGAAAGGCCCATTTTAGAAATTAAACTTCTCGCTTCAAGGTGAAGAAGTTAAGAAGATAAAAAAAGTAAATTGTTCCATTATTTTTTCGCTACTGACCACCAAAAATGTTTTTAACCGAATCAAAACAAAATTTACCAAAGGACATAAAAATATTGGGGGGTGGCGCACCCTCTACAGCCCCCTCCTGGTTAATCTGTCCCTGAATATCATATGTTACCAACGGAGTAACAATCATTGCCTGATTCTTTATTGATCTTTGAAGACGTAAGGGCTCTGAACTACATACAATCTTTCTTCCATTGAACCCCACACCCTTTGTTTGCGATACCCTCGGTGTTCTAGCTTCATAAAGCTAGCTTTGGTGGAAAAAATTCCTTACAATCTAACGTCTCTTGATGAACTACAATTGTCAACTTGCCTTGGAATCAAACGGTCATATTTATAGGAAAAAGTACGAGAGACACTATGACCAGATTTGAAAAACTCGCTTTAGATATTTATAAAAGCCCATAAATGCAAAGCAGATAATATAAGATATTTTATTCAAATTTAGGTTTGAAACATTGAAACAAGCTTTTTTCTAATTTTATTCTTCTAATAGAAAATTTTATGTTTTTTTCGTAAGTAGTTGGTAAGCATTTTCAGCTTTAATTTATTTGCAAACTTTAAAACAAATAATTAACAATACTAGAAATAGAGCTGTGGAGGATGAAAATCAACTACTACTGGTTTACTTTTTTATCAGAATGGTAAGAATTCTATACCATCTGTGATTTATTCGAAAATTGCCCAGAATTTGATTCCTTGACCTGTGTAACAAGTTTATCTGGTTCTTTAGCCAAAAGAATAGTCGTATATCAGCAACTAATTTTATATCGTTGGCTTTGAATTATAGGAATCATTTTGAAGGAAGCTCTTTGTGTAAATCTGCATGATTTTATTCGTATAACGCATGATATTATCACATATTCTTAGCTTTATATTAGCTAGTTGCTGTTTTCTAACTTGCATAAATTTGTTATTAAGGTTTTGTGACGATGGATCTTTTCACAAACCTTTATTAAAAGTTGTTAGGAAACGCACATCCGTTGAAACACATTTATGTCCTGTCTATAACGCATGTGCGCTTCACGCCATTCACAGCTAGGCCCTGCATGTCATACTTGAAACGCATTTGCGTCTCGGCCCATGCAGAAACCATGCAGAAACGCATGCTCATGCAGAAACGTATAGTACACCGGCAAGACTGGTTGACCCAGGGGTTTTGCAAATGACTGACACAACAGTTTTAGGTAGATAAATTTTTAATAGGAAAAACCCACGCTATTGCTAAATTATCACACCATTACATACAAGTGTCTTTATCACAGAATTAAATGGAACTTTGGAGTGTCCTTTTGTCATCGATAAACTGTTTTGAGGAAAGTACTTGCAAATAATTATTTACTGACTTCATCGTAATGATTTCTTGCCGAAAGACTTGCCTTTAGATTTAAAGTTTTAATTTTTGTGGCAGGATTGCTTTTTGTTGTTTTCTGTTTAATTTTGGGACTTTCTTGCCCGTTTTAATGAAGACGATAGATAAATAAGCACTTCTTTTTATGTATGGTCTTTGATGCAGCGGAACAGATCATTTAGTGAAATTATGAAAGATGTTTTGTCTTTCCAGAAAAAAACAGGTGAAAAACAAAGTGATACTGAGCAAGCCTACCAAGATGCTTGGAGTAGTGATGACGCAGACGAAGATGGCACCCAGTAAGCCTCGTCCTTGCCACTCTAACGCTGCTATGAGGCGGCATTGCCAATGTGTAAAACCAGGTCTTCAGCCATACAAATACTGAGCTAAAAGTTTATGGAAGTACACAATAAAAGCATTACAGACTCTCTTACGTAAAAAATGTTTTAATATAACATACTAGCTGAGTCAATCTAACTTTGCCTACACACTAACCATGAATAAGCACGATCGTGTTCTCCCTGGTACATACTTCCGAATAGAAATATGTCAGCTGGATGTGTTTTCCACGCTGAATGGGGTTTTAATGTTCCCGTTGAGGTTTTTAAAAGCAACTGTTTAGAGGAACGTAGACTTGCTTGGCAACTTTTGTGATCAAATAGAAGTTTGATTGATGATGTTGAAAAGTTTTAGAAGATCAAAACAGTTTTTATTGTTTTGTAAATTTCTGGATATTTTTGGGCTACTGTAACAAACTTTTTACCGACTTTTAATTTTTTTGGATCACGCATATTTGCATACAATAAATCACTATGAGAAGGCTGTTGTTGATCGTTGCAATCTGCCTGTCCATTCATCATCGACTGTGTTTGAACCGAACATTGTTAGCTGAATTATAAAAGAAACATTGTACATCACTAGTGGCAAACTACTCGTACACCTTTGGTGGGAATCTTATTGTTTTACCAGGAAATCAGTAGAAATCCTTTATGGTTTGTTGAAGGTCTCGTGCACTGTTTGCAAGAGTGAGTTGCCACTTGATACAGCAAGAGAAGCAAAACAACATTTTTCAAAGGGAACTTTTATGTTGACAGCGTTATTCAGATCGAGGTTTTTTTATGCGTTGCGACGTCTCGGTAATTCAAAGCCAACTTCTGACCTCAAGCAATTGTTTGATATTTTTTACTTCTGTTCGACCGAGGATGAAATAAGAAGTATTCTTCTCATAGGTTGCAGTGCTATATTTGATCAGTTTGAAAAAACATATTTTCAGAATGAATCAATATTTTGCCACGAGCTTTCTCTTATGATAAAGTATTTTCTAACTTTAAAGGGGTCGCAGTTTTATGAATTTAGATTCGTGTTACAAATTTCCGGCCTTAATTTTAGAGCTTTGTCACCCACTCCCCTTCTGTTAAAAAACAAAAAGTTTTTACCATTGAGGGTACTTTGTTGGAAAATTTCAGACTTTCGGCTGCTGAAGGACGGCTCGCCCATTTTGGCGGCCAATGAGACCTGAGTACTTCCCTTGAGCGGCCCTGTTCCCCTTGAACAAATTTTGGAAGAACATCTAAGCGATCTTAGTTTCTAAAATACAGGTTATGTCCAAAAAGTATATATCTATGAAGAATAATCAAACATTGTTTGAAAGGGGTAACTGCTAGCAAAAATCCTGTCGGTGTTTTGAGTTTTGGCAGACTTGAAGGTGAACAGAAGGGATATGCGGACATTGATGTTCATGATAGAATCTCTATTATACACGTATAAAACTACTCACACGTAAAAACACGTATACAGATAATCAGAATGGCAGGTGTTAAGAGCGGGGACTAGCGACTTGCTATTGCACCGCAAACTGTTTGAAAAGAGGTACCGCGTAATGACCTTGTTGTTTCTTTTGCAGACATTTAAGTGCTTTGTCTATGATGAGAGAGCTGTGACCTTCGCATCATTGCACTTGATACCAAAGTATCAGCTGCAAAGCTAAGCTTAAAATTAAGGAATTAAGATGCTACCATGAGCTCTAGATCTGCTGTCAGATTATCGAGTTGGCTAAACAGTATTTGCTGTACAATATTAAACTTTAATGTTTTAATATCGGCAAACGGTTATGCTTAGTGTGCATCCAATCATTACCAAAGCAAGGGGATAATAATTTGTCAGTGAGAATATCACTTTAATTAAACAAGCAACGTTTAATTTCTATATCGACGACCTCTTCTCTGCTGCCTTCATCTGCACTGTCGCTGTAAAACCATATTCTGCAGGAAGAAAGCTTCCGAAAGGAAGGCGCTAATAACAGAGTAAGACCAGAGAGATGAAAATGTCCAGGCCACTTGGTAATTAAGCTAGTGTCGTAACAGTGGCATCTAATGCTTAGGAATCAGTAATAGTCTTGGAGTATCGTTCTCCGCAGTTTTGTAAACAATATTGAAAACGCTCGATCTGAACACCGCTAGCGTCAGATATTTAAGCACTCTGAAGAATGTTGTTAACAGAGGCCACATAAGCGAAAAGCATGATACAAACCTTATGCATTTTGAAGCTAAAAGCTGCTATGAAGGATAACTGTAAGAAACAATAAAAAAACAAACAACAACAACCAGGCATGATTATTATTATCATTATTTCCAAGCTTTTTTATTCACGATTTTCTCATAAAGATACAGATACCAAATCCTCGACCTTGAGGCGCTTTATATATTTGCGAGCTTTTTTGCAGTGTTCCTTTCTGTGAATTATACTTTCCTGCAATAAAACTGCTTGCTACGCTTGCAAACTCATGTTTGATCATTACAGAAAAAAGCTTGCTTGTCAAGAGCTCGAAACTAGATAGATGCTGCCTTATTAGATAGATGCTACCTTAAGGAGTGGGCATTCTATGGGGAGGCCATGCCCCCCTTATGGCACAGGATCTGGTCAAAAGTTGTACCTCGGATGAGTCGAACACTCGCAAAGTCAGACCATACCCCTTAAAATCCGACTTAACGGGGTTCAATTGTAACTTGATTTTCAGCACATTTCATATGCTTATTTCACTTCTTGACCAAATTCTGCTTATTATTCTCTGTTCAACTTGTATCTAGTGCTATGTGATAATGACAATAAAAGAAAGAACTTCACAAATCGTGCTTTGCCATTCATGAAATTAATTACTCTGGCCAATATTGCAACCTCTGTTTTTTCTACAAGAAACAACCCCTTGCTCTGAAGATCATCGAATTACTACCAAACACACAAATGATTTTGGATCCTACATGTAGAAGGATTATACTACTAAAGGCAAAACCTTAAGGAACTTTTCTCTTTTTGATTCTTCTATCTCTGCAAACAATCAAGAATTAGGGTGCCAGTTCTATTCACTTGCAAACAAACTTGCAAGTCAAGTGTCTCATTGAGAAGCCACTAGAATGAATCAAATTGCTTTTGCCTCTTCTTGGGATTACTGATCTCAGGAAAACTGCAACAATAAAAGTTCTTCAGGTGAATTGACAAAGTCAGGAAAGAGTGAAACAAATAACCTAGCTTAGGGTAGTTGGAGTGATATGAAAAAGTAGAAAATGAAAAAGCCTTTCTCAGCACCGACATATTTGAGTTGGCGTATAAATAAAAACAATTTCGTATTTAGAAAGTCTTGCTACAAAACTTGAGAGTGGGCGAGGTGAATAGAGGTTTATAAGTGCAAATGTTCTTCAGTAAATCAATGTTGGTGCCAGTAATGAAAAAACTCCTAACCTTGTTCCTGATTCTGGGGGGAATATCTTTACCACGCATGAGGAAATGCTTGTAAACACAAAACAACACGGGGACATCCTGTTAATATAAGGTAGGTTCTTTTTATTCAGTTACATTCTAAATAGAGTGTTTACTCCATATTAGCAGTCGAAAATCAGACTTTTGGAAAACCCCTCATTTTGTAAATGTGTTTGAAATTAGCTATGTCATTTGTACGTAGCAGCGGTTGGTTAATCCATCACAATGACAGTCATATGCAGTTTTTGTAGCTGTTCCTTGAAATTATACAACTGGCTATTACCTTGATAAATTGGAAATTGTAAATTGGAAAAAAAAGAGAAGGAAGGTTATAAGATGAAAATCAAGAATAACATTTTTCTATCATGAAAATATATTTGGAAATAAAACATACTAGCACAATAAAACCATCATGTGTACACCTCAAACCTTTTGCTTAAGTTTTTGCTCAAAATACTCAGATAAATAGAGTTGAAACTGTCGATAAAATTCATGCCTGGCAATTATCCCAAACTTTTTTCTTCGAATTTCAACAATTTTGAGTCTCAGTATTATTAAATAAATGGTATCGGGAATCTCTCAAAAAAGCAAAAACAGGAAGAGCCCCACATCCCAGTTCAAAGATTGAGACTTGTAACTCTCTCGGTTTTATAGAAATGTTATATATTTTGTCAAGATTTATCAGTATAAGTGCTTATAAAAGATTTTACCTACTGAAAGGTCAAATTAAGTGTGGGGTAAATGAAAGGAAGTGATAAACTAGACTACACTGTTAAATTGGAATTTGAAATAAATTTTAATTTTGATAGGAAAACGTGATTCAGAAAAATATACTCAGAGAAAATGTGAACACATGATGCAACTCGAGTAATACCCTGGTCGTCTAGCGAGCTCGCATTTCACACAGTCAACTTCCTTATTTTTACCCTTCTGCTGGTGGGTGCCTAAAAATGTTGCCGAAAGTCTTGGGGCACTCTACCCTCGATGTTATGCAAAGCAAAGTTTATTGACAGAATCTTAGATATATAAAACTCTGTTCCATTTTAACTGCAAAAAGATGTCTTGACTGACCAACTAACAATTGTTCGACCAATCTGAATGGTGCAAACAAATAACGTTTTCGTACATGCAAGTATTATGTGAAGCAAGTGAAGTGGAGCACCCCTTCATAATCTCCTGCAAATCAGTCAAAGAAGCAGTTTTGGGGATTCTAAGTGTTAATTCTTCGTAATATTTCGTCTTTTTCAGAATTTTGTTGAATATTGTAATTTTTCTGACGTTTCAATATTGCCGGATTAGTATATGTGTTCTATAAAACCTCAACCTTCACTTATTAAGGAAAAATAATTCTAGATTGAAAGAGTAGAGCAAGCATCTAGCAAATGTTTTTATTTAATACACAATAAGACAAATATAAACACAGAACATCTGAAGAGTTAACCTAAATAAGACATACAAATTAATGTGAAGAAAATCAAGTAAGTTTTTATAAGGTTTTGCCCAACATTCTCTCAAATGTTTTGGGCATGATAAACAAAACTTAGTAATTCGAATCATGAACAACCATACTAGCATATGACGTCTTTTTTCTTTTCTTGCTGTATGTTCTTTATTTTCGACTGTTACACTGCTTATCTTCAGCAAATTTCTGTGTGTCTACTGTTCAATAGCTGTCAAACAGAACCTAGCATCATAGCCATTAGTTTTTAAACATAAATAATGTAATTATGTGTAGTTCAACGTTGCCTGTTGGCCATAGGGTAGTCATTATCTTTTGCTCCCCTTGGTATCGTCCATGTGGTGTAGTATAGTAACTAGGATAAGTATAGTAGAAAGTAACATGTTTTTGTAATATCTTATATGCATAGAAAAAATTGCAAACTTTAGTTTTGTTCCATTCTAAATTTAACGAAAAGAGAAAGCACGAAAATCAGTAAATGGCATATCATTTGAAACATTCAATTATTTCTGCAGTTCTGTCGACTTAACATGGCACCAAGTTGCTTGGATAACTTTTCCAGCACCCATTAAACTTGCACAACAATTTTGTAGAAATGCAGACAAAAAGGCCAAATTCATCCAATAGCAATTCTACCCTTCTCAATACTAAAAGATAACAACTTCGGCTGTATGAAGTTAATTGCAGCCTACTTTACAATAATGTTCAAGATTACAGAATATTATAGCATACATTTTATTATGATTCACATCACAATAATCCCAACGGAAAGAAAAAAAATAATTGTTGCAATTCCGATTGAGTAACTTGCTAAACGTATCTTACAAAATAAACGATGCACCATGATTGTCAAGGAGCTATCTTGCAGGCATGTGGAAAGTTCGATTGACCTATAAACGGTCTAGATGTGACCCTTTTCTAGGAACACAGTGAAAATTTTATGGTTTCTTAAGGAATATAGACATTCCTGGGAAATGATTAAACGGGTTTGGATGAATAGTTAAACCTTGTGCAAACGGATTTTTCCTGAGGCTTTTTAAATTCGATCCATCAAAGGTTGCAAAATTGTTCAAAAAGTAACATGAAATTGGTCTATATCATGGGGCATCTAAATTCATTTTGCTGGGATGCTTACAGTCCTAGGATAAAAGTAATCTCTAACTGATTAGCCTAAGATACTTTCTCTAGAAAAAAATGAAATGACCTGAGGGATATTTCATACTTTAGGCAGTAATGAACATCATGATAGATCATAACTGGATACCTCAACCTCAGTTATAGTCTGTGATGCAGGTTATGATGAACTGTAATCAGTGATATCATAAGAAGTAACGCTTAAGATGTCGCCTTAACCCAAATAGTTGTGGAGATACGGCTAGCGTATTCGTAAAACTACTTTGGAATATTGATTGCAAAGAATGGCTAGGGATCTATTCTTTAAGCTCCTTCTGGAAATCGAGTAAGGTTTTCTATACAACAAACTTCAAATCTATATAATGGGATAGAAAGGATCACTTGATAGAAAATATTGTAATAGAAAATTTGGGTTGCTACTTGAAAAGATGTTTCTTGGACCACATTGTATAGTTATGTGATTAAATTGAAATCTTTTTGGTAAAAACGATCCCTAACAAGTTATTCAAATTTATGTCTCCCCCCCCCCTCCCCATTCAAAATTTCATTATAGAAGCAACACAACGTCTGGATAACGAAAAATGGTTTCAAGCACCATCTCAAGGCGCTTAAACTTGTGTATACTCAACCGAAAGGCTTGATAAATACAGACAATACCAGGGACGCTAGAGCACAGTTTGTGTTTGGGGGAAGGCTCTGGACAAATTGGCAAACTTTTATGGTGATTCCCCCCAATAATCTTTGATGCCCTGAATATCATTGTTCAGCAAAAAAGGAAGGTAAGGGGGCCATAGCCAACCAACACCCCCAGCTCCGGCGTGCCTGAATACCCTTACAACTTTACGCACAAGATTTAATCCACTGTCCGAGGAACACAGTTGAAAGTATGGTTAAAAAGTTATCTACAGCAGCTTCTGCCAGCCTGTTTTATACTGTTAATTATCCGAAATGCATAACCAAGCCCAAATAAAGCCTCTAAGGCTGAATATGTTTTAAACCGGGACACAGGTTATAAAGCTAATGCCAATACAATTCAAATTTTACAACACCAACTATGTTGAACTAGTATACATTGGTATTCAGTTAAAATCAGGGTCCAACACCAGTTTGGCCTGAACAATAGGTCCCCTTAGATCATATCTCGTTTCCCTCTTGTTCCAGAAACCTCATTTGGAGTGGGCTTTCCCCGGTCAGGTCATAGCACTCGTATTTCCCAGCATCCTCTAGGTTATCTTCTTTGCTCCTTCGGTGCAATGAATGCATGGAATAACTGACTTCCCTGCAGGTTAGAGACATTCCTTCTTTCTTTTCCAGCAAAATTGAGCATGATGGACAGCGAATTCTGGGAAGGTATGAATAGAACGTCTTCCTGTAATCTGTGCTCATTATCACCAAAATGACAGGATTGCACATGCTGTTGGCATACGCAAACACCAGAGCAACTTGAAATACCTGTCCGCTGCCACTCCACAGGTAGAAATTCTCAACGAATAGGCTCAGCATTGTTAAGATGTGAATGGGGAAGAAGCATACCACAAAGGCAATGAAAATGGCACGAAACATTCGTATAAGTCGTTGTTGACTCCGAATGCGTGTCTCGCGCTTTTTCCCGCGGGCAGATCCTTGCAACAGTAGTAGGCTTGCTTTTAATGCTTTACTGATTCGGATGTAGGAAAGCAAGTTGACAATGATTGGTAGAAAGAAGATCATCACCACCCTCTGAAGGTAGTAGGCATTTTTAACGTGTATGTTTGGCCACTGGAGAATGCAAGCTTGAGGCACCCAATAACCTTCTCCAAGTTGAAGGACCAAGCTGAGGGGTAAACCGTTAAGAAGGTAGGAGATCACCCAAATGGCAACCAAGGTTAGAATGCGTTGCAAGTGGCTGGGCTTTGCTGACATTGGGTATATGATGGTGCGATATCGATCCAGACTGATGCTGACGTGGGTAAGAACAGAAACTGCAATGACAACATCTGTAAGGGGGAATATATACTTGCAGACGAACTCTCCAAAGGGCCACGACAAATATCGGCCTGTTATGGTGAGCGGCAGGACGATGAACAAGGTCAGCAGATCTGTAATTGCCAGGTTCAGCAAGAAACAGTGTTTCATTGATTTTGTTTTCTCAGATCGAATTATCTTCAGGACTACCAGCATGTTCCCAAAGAACCCGGACAAGAAGATAACTCCATAAAATGAGTAAATGGTTATTTCCAGCTCAACATTATCTACCAAAGCTGGGCGAGTGAAGTTCTTCATATTTGGAAAATTTTTCATCGTCCCATTGATTTCCCGGAGATCGGTGGCCATTTTGAGGATTGCAAAAGAACAGCAGACTTGTTTTATGACCCAGGATCTTATTTGCAGTTAACTCTCGTGTTCGTGTTGCTGTAAATGATTGAGTTATAAGGAACTAGCATGTGCAATACGGCAACCCAGTTAACTCTTCCAGCCACTCCAGGCAAATTATGCTCACCAATAAATCAGTGAACACTGGCAAACCTAAGAGAGGTAAAATATTATAAAAATATTTTATATTCTCAGTGTATTTCAACAAGACAAAGCAATATTGCAGCTTGAAAATTCGGTCACACGCTCCTTGGCTCCGATAAGAATATTGTTTTTAAAAATATTCAGGCTCAGAATCATACAACTTTCAAATTTTATTATTATAATATTGCTCAGCTTCTGCTTGCATATTTGTGTCTCACTTTTCAGCAGCTGCTTGTTTTGCGATGCTCGTGAAAGGAAATCGTATGTCTGACAAATCTCGCTTTTTTCAAAAAGCGTGTTGTCTATTCAAAAGGGAGGGCAATGTTCCCCTGAAACCATATCAGATTTGAAAAAAATTAAGACCACTTGAAGAATATTTTACAGGTTTGAAACGAAAAAAAAATTATTTTCATTAAAAAAATTAGTGTATCTAAGAAGTACTGTCTACTTTGATACAACTGTTTTTCATACTGTCTACTTTCATACAACTGATTGAACTCCAAATAGGGGGTCCATCCGATAATTATGGATAAGAATTTTTCTTTGTGATCATATTCCTTTGGGTACCTGATATAACAATACACCTCTCTAATACTTGGGCTCAACTATCACGTAATAATATCAAAGACAGGAATAAAAGCACAGATTTGTGTAAAGTGATTATTATAGGAAACAGTCTAAATTACCATGACTAGTGGTATCTTACGTGCTCAGCAACAAGATTTTGCATTTTGATATTTTTGAGTCTTGTCCACACTTTTTGGCTGATAATTTTGGGTCTGTTGAATTTTTTAGGTGAATTTTGATTATTGCAGATGGACCTTCCCGTATAAAAAAGTTTGAGTTACTGCCCTGGAATAGTTTGACAACGAAGTACTGCAAGACCTCCTTGATTAGAGATACTCGATGCGCGTGTTTAGATTTTGTTTTTATCATATTATATTTTTTTCATTCATTGAAAACCCAGCACTGGGTCTGCTTAGCAGCTGATCAGCTATCAGTATTGCGCCAGATATACATAGATATGCATAAGTTCAACATTTTCTGTCTTTAAAGTAACAGAGTTGTGATGATAAATACAAAGTGACTGTCGCATTACTAAGCTAAGATGCTAAAGAAATCTTTTTAAAGTCATAATCTTTCGATTCTTGTTGAAACACATTTTCTTCAAAAGCAAGTAGAGCAAGACACACATCCGAGGTATTAGGCTCAGTTTTAGAATGTCAAACAATTCAAAAGAGACTGTGGAACCTGGGTACCAGACTTCAGAGTATGGAGCCAGTAGCAAGAGTTTAATAAAATTAAAGGAAGTCGTAAACATAGTTGTTTAGAGTTTGACCTCTCTCTCTCTGTTCTCCATCTTGATTCCTCTATTTCGGCGCTCAGCGGAGATTTACTGTCTATTCTCTTATCATTCCATACTTGAAGAAGTTGCTTTCGATGGATGCAATCTAGTTCTTTGCTTTCATTTTTTGTAAGTGGCAGTGTTCCAAGATTTTATGTTAACACTGGCTTTACAATTGATTTGTAAATCTTTAGCTTCGTTTGAATATTGACTTTTTTGCTCATCCATTATTTTTTGCCGTTGCTTGAGCTGTAATTGAAAGTTGCTCCCTTCTTTTCACCAATCAAACTTCCAAGTTTTTTATCCATCTCCATTTTTCTTTTTTTTCTTGTTTTATTTTGACAATGGTTTTCTTCTTTTTTTTTCATTTACTTTCAAATTTAATCTCCCAAGGCTGCCTTTTACAATTTCTTTGAATACTTCAGAACGGGAGTTATCTTCAGTCAAGAAAGCACTATCATTAGCATACGCTATGTCTGTTGTATGCTTGATTTTCTTCTTGTTCCTTTTCATTTAAATATGTTTGTAATGTTTGCAAGGCATTCTCTAGAACTATGTTGAATAAAATCCCCGAAATTCCATCTCCTTGTGGGGATCCCATTTTTGTTTTCACCATTTGGCTCTTCTGTTTTCCAAACTTTATTGAGATTGATGTGTTACTCAATAAAATTCTACACATCTTTCGTTCATCTTCATTTAGAATTGTTTTCAATACACTCATCAAAGGCTTTCGTTGTATGGTATCAAAGGCGCTGCTCAAATCAATTCCTATGATGTTAACTTGTAGCTCTTTGTATAAATGCGCTTTGGCAGCGATGAATCTATGTGTCCAAACAACATCAGACGCAGATCGTCCTTTTCTTGCTTGCCTTGGAATCATGATGAAATAATATATCTTGTTAAAATCAAATCTTGCAATTGTGAATTATATCGAAAAGCGAAAATGGGCGTCGCCGAATTTTGGACGAAAGTCAAGGGCGTTGCCAGAAAAATTTTGGACCACGCCCGTTTAGGAACTCATTCAAATTTGTGTCTAGATCCGCCACTGGCTTTGGTAGTGGTAGAAGGACTGATCGCTTGTGTTAAGTTCATTTTCATGGAATTCGAATGTTTCATTCAGTTTATTTGCAATCCTTGGTGTAGTTCTTTTGGGCCACATTTTATCATCCCATTCGTTATTCCATCTTCTCCCGCTGCTTTATTGCTACTCATTTTAATCGCGGCCCTGCTTCGTTCCCTTGAATGACCTGGAATCTCTTAGGGCCTGTTTACATGAAGTGTGCTAACTCAAGTGGGATCCGTGCTTTCTAAACATTCCTTTGTTCTCTTCCCATTCATTTGCGTTTACATGGAAAGTGGGCCAGCCCGCTCAGGTGAGATCTGCGAGAAGGACAGGTGGGATCCGCGTCAGGTGGGATGGAAATTATCCATGTAAATGCAATCAGATGGGCCCACTCACTGAATGTCATTGCGCGTGCGTAAAGGAAGTTGATGCGCTAAACCCACTGATCAGATCAGTGGCTAAACCAAATCAGAACGTCGTACGAATCGGCAACAACAGTTCGAGCTCTTCTGCCAAAATCGTAGCAACGCCTACAGAAACATAGGGTTTTACCTTTCCTTAATTGAAATGACACGAACCTGTCGATCGCATACTTTTGATAGATCGAGCACAAAATCAGAATTACGTTGGTTAACACTGATCCTTTGCGGCCCCGTGGGGATTTCTATAATGCAGAAATCGATTAACGGTTTGGCCCAGGTCTATGCTTACGATTTCCGCGCGCGAATATATTTTCGGACTATTGTTCAAGCGCTCAAACAATGGGCTCTATCGACAAGCATAGATGAGAAAAATTGAACTCGCGGCCAAACATAGATCATGAATTTGCAAAGGGCATACAAAACCGTACAAAACACGGAAGTTTGCGAAGGAAAAGTGGCTGGAAACTGTACTAAAACATGATAGAAATGTAAGAGCAACGGCTCCAGGGGCGGCTGGGAGCGGTATTAGCGTTATTAGTCTAATAGCAATTTTTTTTCAGCAAAGGATCTTATAATCTACTGGTCATATATCTTTAAAATAAAACTAGCACTGGAAATCCTTGGCAAAAACAGTTTATTTGGACCGCTAACTGTTTTCCTGCCATTTTGCAATGATATGGCGTGATATGGCCATGGTAGAGCGAGCAGAAGCCGCTACTCTTGCAACTGATTTGATTCTTTCAAAAAAGATCTCCCTCCTACGCTTGTCGCGAAACTTATTGTGACCCATTCATCTGGCGGCCTCAAACAAATACTACAGCCACAGCCCTGAAATTTTGCTATTAGGTTTGTGAATCCTAATAGCAACTTTCATATCCACCTTTGTTTGTGTCTCCTTGTGTGACGTAAAGTGGCCAATCATGCTGTTGTGAAAGACCCAATATATGCGGACTTGCTATTAGCCGGGTCACTTCTAATAGCAAGATTCCCCAGTTCACTCTTCCATGCATGTGGTATATTGCGTTTAAAATAAATCATATGGCCGTTTCTAGTTTACGTTGGGTGTTTTAACGACATACTGACAGACAATCCTTTCTTCACAACAACAATAAACACACCAAAAGCGACTTCGTTTAAATATTTGAAAGATAGCGCTCTCTTATTATTTTGGTGAAGCGGTATGTAGTTTATTCTCAGGCTGTTACGTTAGTTTCATCGAAAATCCAAATCTGCACTTAAATTGAATTGAAAAATATGGTGCTTTGGTTTTTTATTTTAACAATGAGCATTTATCAGAAATATTTGAGTATTTCAATGTACGATACTTGCCGATATGATTTTGCTATTAAAAGAGGGCCGTTAATAGCAACAAAAAAGAGGCTACGGCTACGGACAGAGAGCCTTTTCATCGTAAGCTGATGATATTCATCTGCGGCCCGCAGGCCGTCGAAGCCAAAGCCTACAGTCGTAATTGAAAGACTGAATGTGTAGACATGACTTCGGAATTGAAGATATATTCCAATAAAGGTTGTTTTAGTAGAAATTTGAAAGAATGTCTGAATTTTATTTAGAACTAAGAAACGTGCTGCAACTTTACAATATTTTTAGGATTAGTATCAAATTCAAAATTATAAGTCTGACAAGTCTGACAATGGGCCTTATTGCTCTAGAGATCAAATAACCTCCGACCGTGGCCATAGCCCCCCCTCCCTGATTTTTTTGCTTTTCTCTTTATGACTATGAGAAAGAGAGCGTTACAATAGAAAATGGCAAGGTGTTTTCGACTTGCGGCCAAGAAAATCAAGATGTAACGATGAGGTAGAGCATAGAAAAAGACAGTGCAATATTGAAAACAACCATTGAAGAGGGTGTGGTTGGAAGTAAAAAACAGCGGCAGCCACGCCCTGATACCACGATTTTCTCTAATAGCAGTTTAAAATCTCTCCCAGCCGCCCCTGGCTCATTCGCCTCAGCAAGGCTTGCTCTTGTCAAAGGTGGTCTTGTTTCGGACAACAGAGCCCGTTCCACCGAAAATTTGGATGCAGAAAAGGTAGGTAAATGTTTAAGTTAGGCTATCTTAGTTCTTTATTTTACCTAGCTTTTTGGAATATGAGGGAGGCTGAGTTGTTTCACTCCAAACACAGCTCTGCTCGGTTAGAATCAAACTTTGTTTTGTTTTGCTGGCTGCTCTCGCGGGCGCGCAAAGGATCAATGTTAACCAAGAGTCTTTAAAGATAAGGCAAAGTGTCATTCGATCATTGTGGTTTCAGATGGAGACAGCTTTGCTGATACAGTTGCTATTTTCGATCCTCCGTGGATTTAGCTTTTCAAATTCCTGATGTAAATAAATGTTGATTAATGTGACATAAGAAATCATATTCCCAATTGCGTTTTTGTTTTATATGCACTGCAGGTAAAGATTTAAAATGGAGCTGACAAGCTTTCACAGAGAGTTGACGGATAACCTGGGTCGTTCAAAAGTAGTTTTAACTTTTTTTCATTTGACAAGTGACTTGGTCTATAAACAAAGAAAAAACTACATTGAATAAACATATTGACAAGAAATGATATTCACTGTGACTGATTGTAATTACAGAAGTGGTAATGGCTTCGTTCGTCATATCATCCGTTACATTGCACGTGAAAGAAAAGATTCCATCAAATAATATAAACAAAGAAATAAAGGGTAATAGAAACTATAGTTGAAGTTTCATCAAATCATTTCTGTGCAAACGATAAAACGAATTTCAACTTCTCAACAATGTTTGGAAAATAATTATCTTATGTTTAATTCAAATCACCCACCACTGCACAAATCTTAGACAAACTTCTCAAGACAACTTCAACACGTTTACTATCTTTAAGCCGTTTGTTGCACCTCTCAGAGTAAGCAGGTGGATTTCCAAATCGAGCAAAAGTTAATCAAGTCATCAATATATATGCAGTCTCTACAACCGGAAAATACTTATTGTATACCTTGAATTTAAGTGACTCGTATAAATCGTATTTTATAAATTCACAATGGAAAATCTTGGCGGGTTAAAACACTCAAAATTGATTCAACGACTGCAAATCATCCAAAATATGCTTTTTACTGAAAATGAATGAGATCAAATTCATAAGAATCGTCCGTAAAGATCAAAAGGAAAACACCACAGATTCACTTTTAGGGTTCAAAAAAAAAATAATTGAAAAGCTTGCTTTCTTGACCCTTGACTGAAATCCTTGATATTTTGAAACCAATCCTGCTAAGAATTCTATCTCTGTGGGCATAATACCCAGCTATAGTGATGAAAGCACAGCTTTACAGCCGGTTCATCGGCTGCTGTTTTGTAATATTAATCATATTTTGTAAGAGAATTTTCTCGAAAAAATTCGACCTTTGTTATTCTCATTGTGCAAAGTCAGCAAACATAACGTGAAAAGCAAGTACTGTTACTACAAATTCTTTGAACAAACGTTTTTTGCGACTTTATTCAAAATCAATTAAAGCAGAAAGGAAGATACTGAAAACCTGACCCTATTTTGATCAATATATGTGCATATGAATATTAGAAATTCATTATTTTTTAAGCTTCGTAGCCGTATGTAAGTTTTTAAGAATCAAAATCACATTCAGGACTTGACTGGGGCTTAAATTCATGATCCTTCAACACTTAACTGGGGCAAAAAATCGCTTATGTTTCTCTGCCAAAGATTATCGCAGCCATGGTCAAGGCTTCTTGTTCTAAACTAATATGCAAAAAAGCTGAATTCTATGTCATCTTGAGCAGTTGTAATAGCGCGAGAATTAACTTTTTTCAGAAAAGAATAAATCAATTCTTGTTTTATCAAGAAACTCATTAATGGATGTTCTTATAATTCTGCCTTTGCAAACTAGGCTTGCGTTTATGTTTTGAAATATTACAAAATTTCGGAGATGCAAAAAACATGACTACAGCGAAAGGAACTCATTGAGACAAAACTAATAACATCAAAAACATCAAAAACATCAAATAATGTATCAACTAAAAATACAGCAGAAGAATAAGATATCTTTTCTGACCGACTGCTTGCTTAGATTACAAAACATGGCTAGTAAATTTTTTATATGGGTGCTTCGAATTCGCTGTCAAGCTCTTGTTGAAATCAAGATGTATCAGATTCAAAATTTAAGGGCTCCTTGACAGTTAGATCGATATTTATCTAAGTCAGCTACCGATTGCTTTAGCAAATAGTTTAAGAAAAATTCTACACTTCTGATAAGAAAGCGTATATTGTTTGTAAAGACATTCATGGAACCTTACCAAGAAAACTTCAACTGATGAACAGTTCTTCTTAATAACAATCCATGTCACCATACTTCTCTCTGCACAAGACGGTTCGAGTGCTCTTGCTACCAAGTTCGTTTGCACACCAGTGGCAAAACCACACGTATTTAAGATTAAGTGACAGGTGTTCGGTTGAAATTCATAGATTAAGCGTATAGCTATGTGATCGCCTCTTTGTGATACGGCGAATCCAAACACACATGGCTGGTTCACTATCAACGTATCGGGAGCAATTTAGCATCATAAACATCTAGCAGTTTTGGAATCGATCTACATACAAACGAAAAAGCCACAATTGTGTAAAATAAGTTCGTTTTCTCTCTTGGACTCCAGTGGTAAATTTTCTTTAGGCACGCGCGGCACTGATTGGACATCATAAACAAGTATTCAGTAGCGAAGAAGCATGTTCTTACCGATTTCCGTAAAGCTTGTATCAAGCAAAAGCAAATTTTAGCATCCAAAATCACGACAGATGCTTAAAGCAATGATTCCGCAAAACTATGGGGCCCCTCGAACAATCTTTTGAGATTACACACTTTACGAACTTTATAAGAAAAACATCGAGAAAGACAGAAAATATTGCCCATTTGTCAAGCAACTAACTTCGATTGATTAATTCAGCTGTAGAAATAAACTGTTTTATTGTATATAATTAAAAGCAATCCATAAAAAAGTTTTGGTTCATTGGTTTAAAAAGAAAATAAAAGAACGTTTTGTTTGTGTTGTCTTACATTTTGACATAGTGTTAAAACTTACATGCGTTTATAGTCTATAAAGGGTATAAAATGAAAATAACCATTTTACCGGTCTGTCATAAAATGCACGATGTCGTACAGGCAGCGCTGTTCATACTTTTGATGGATGAACAGAGCCGTTCTAAGTTGCTACTCCGTGTTTCACGATTGACGCGATATTCTAAAATAAGGGTTTATAGGTGTATTCTGTCACGTACAGACGTCAGTACCGGGGATGCACCAGCCGCATGCGTCCCCATTACTTAACAAATTCCCTTTTCTTAGAAGTTGCATCGCTGAAGAAGTGTCGCTTTTTCTGCGCCCGACGCTCCCGACGTCCCTGGGGTGAATAATTATCCATACCCTTATCTTGAATTACAGTATATGCACACTTTTTATATATATGTGTATACGTATGTGCTCTTTAAATAACGATTAACGCAAAAATGCTATAGTTAAGTGAAATAATACATATTTAATGGTTGAAGGCTAACTTCAAGTAAATTTCCCAGATGAAATTTTCGGCTCTATCTATGAATTTCATATCTTTAGTAGCAAGAAACAAGTGAATGCAAGAATAATATGCTATTAATGATAAAATGAAATATTAACTTATAACAGAAGAGAAGGTGAAACTTTGATGTGAGCAGAGTATGAAAAGAAAGGGTAACAGGTGATGAAACATGGCCGCTTGTGTCTATTGCTGGAGTTAAGAATTCTGGCGGGAGACATAATATTGGCTGAGTACATAAGGCTTCAGCAGATCGACGTGATGGAAATTGAAAAATCATCTTATGAGCCAAATCTTGAGGTAAAAACACTGTCCGAATAGGTGCCAAATAAGGTGCTGCTTTTGTCTTTCCTAATCTGCAACGAAGGCAGTCACCAAGCAGCTTTTTATGGCTCTTTCTCAAAGTAGAAAACACAAATGGTAGGTCAGCGTTTTAGTGGTAAATTATGCGTAATTCAAGTTAAGTATGAATTCTCTTAAAGGAAGAAATAGTCTTTCTGGGCAACGCCATCGCATTTATTAAAAATTCAAGCTGTTTCCCATCACTATATGTCCACGCTTATTTCGAAGTGTCCATAACAACCAATTCTTTTCATTATGAATTCTCTGACGCTCACGTAAAGTTTTTTAAAAATGGCTACATCGCAGCATCTTTGTTTAGGATTTCTGAATTGTGAGCTTATAGTCGAAAAGAACTCGCCGGGAGTTCCCTTTTGAAAAGTTAAACGCTGTGGTATCTTTTCATTTTTCACGTCCCCTGCAAATGCAAGAACTCTTGTCCAGCCTCCCTTTAAAATCTTTGCTTTGCTGTTTGATATCATACAAAAGTCCTCGTACAGAAGTGATATATATTAAATATTAAAAATATGCTCTGTTGTATACAACAGTTTTCTTTGAGACCTGTTTTCCATGTCATATTCCACGCAAAACTCAGACAAAATTTGTTGTTCATTGCTTTATTTATCTGCTATTTCCTTTCTTATCTAAAATGCGCTTGGCTTTTTGCATTTTTTTCGCGTAAAAGGACAAACGTTTTACTCGAAATCCATTAACTACTGACGGCATTCGGGAAACCTGGAGGGCCTAACTAGCTAAATATTGGGTTCTTAGCTGTATTAAACCCTGTGCGGTACTTCGGTGGAAGATAAATGTTTTTTGCACTTTATCTTGACACGCTCAGAATAATATGTATATTTACTGAAAAATTTTCGATTATAATTTCTCAATAAAAGCGTTTGAAATGTTTTAAAAGTGTAGTACAGATTGGTTGAAAAATACAACAGATAAGAACTGGTAAGAAGAGCTGAATTTTATTCGATTAAATCGGCGATTGTTAATTTCTGTACATTTTATGAACAGCTTTGCAAGCATTTTTTGCAAGCATAGCATTGTTTTGCGCTGTCCCGCCATCGGGAAATGAATACTTATCGAAGGAAGCTCCTTAAATGGGTTTCCAAAAGAACTTGCATTTTACAGATTAACATACAGTATTCTTAAATGTTTAATTTCCTTCTATTTGTTACTTTTTAAAATAACTTTGATATTTAGCCTGTTTCATATTTACTGATGTATTATTTGTTACAGTTAGTTTATTGAATTTTTTGTGTTTGAATGAATTCTATAATGTTTATCAAAATGTGCAATAATTGTTTAGGAAAATACATTGCATCTCATGATAAGGCTCTTTCGAGCTCAGATAAGCATCAGCTGCGATTGCTTTAGTCCGAATGCAATTATTGATATTGTTTGGTCATGTATTTTAGATTTTTTGATTTAATAGATTTTCAAAACTTGCAAGGGATCATGGTTAGATTAAGGACATTGAGGTACCAGCAATTTGTCTTAAAAAGGAAAACAAAGCGACTGCACAATCGTTGGAGGTTTAGGGACTCTAAACCGAGCATATAATCTATTTCCAGGGGCGTCTTGGGTAGAGGGGGGAGGGGGCACAGCATGAAAATTTTCCGACAACAGGTTTAAATTAAAATCATTACGTCATCAAGCGCATGCGCAGTTTTTTAAATGCAGAAAGACATGACAAACAATGGCTATCTTTTGCAGCATCACTTTTACTGTTTCAAAAAGACAGTCAGAGAAAGCCATATTCGCACATTGGATAATCATAATCATCAATAACCAGTATCTGTAATGAACAATAAAACTCGCAATAGGACTGATAATTGATATCTTAAGAATTTGAAGATACAAACTGCGCGATTTTCATTGAATGAGACGTCTCCTTAGCAATGGTGTGTTAGCAAACTTGACGATTACTTCATCATGACTTAGTGTTAAATAAGTTAAGCTCAACATTTATTTAACTCCTCTTGGCCCATTGTTGATTGTAGCCTGTTTTTTACACACTGCAGCTTTGAAAAGGTGCACTCGCATTTAGTAATATCAATTGGAAAGCTTTCCATTTTGTGTACAAATGTATAATACTTTCTTGCATTTCAATGAGCTACAAATAATATTTGCCGAACAGATACGAAATTTCGGACAAATTGCCGATTGGTCGATGATAGGAGGTACATGCCCCAGCCACGACGCCCCTGTCTATTTCCTCACTAGAGCCCCAAAGGTAGTACGCTTCCAGCCATCAGAAAATTCACTGGTATAAACAAAAAATGGTTGCAGGATAGACACCAGTTGATGAGAGTTCCAAAATTGCCGATTAGACATTAACCAATTTATTCGCCCACGGTTTAATATGTTTCAGGTCGTGGTTCATATGACGAACATCTAATGTAGATCGTAAACATCCTTGAAGATCGGTGGGTCGTAAATAATTAGTTTTGCATTGCATTTCCAGCAATCAGTCAAATCATTGAGAAAAGCAAGCATAAAAAAGGGTCCAAGAATAGAATATTGAGGAACACCAGCTGAAAAGTGTTCCATTTCGGTGTATTAAAAAGAGCAATATATCTCTATTTGCAGATGACGATATTCTATTTACATTTGGATAAGAGCATTCATGAAATTACTGATAAGCTGAATCTTGATTTAAAAAGTCTTAGTAGCTTCTTTGTCTCGTTATGAAAATAATCTCGTACGAATTTTAAAAGCAGTTGAACCCCGTTTGTAATACGATTAAACAATCGCGGGGGTCTAACATACATCCCTGTCGAGCCCCTGTCTTGCCTCTAATCGTCTAATTTTCCACTTATATGTCTTCAAAGTAACTTTGTCAAAGGCCTTCTATAAAACACATTTAAATACACGCTCATTATGAAAAGAAGACTCATTGTCTGCAAGTGCTTTCAGTTTATACAAATATTTTTCTAAAAATAGAAATCTCCACAACATTTTTTGTCACATGATCATGTCAGTCGATTATTCATAATGCCTCCTAATACTTGACAAAACATATATTTGACAAAAACGATGTTTCTCTCTAGTTTGATCTAGCTGTTTTGCAATACAATTCAAATTATAGTCTTTTACACCTAATCTCCAAACAGAAATGATAAAAAATTAAATAAAAGAGACTGTTCGAAATTCTGATAATCACGGCACATAGTAATTAAAAGTAAAAAGGATACAACTTGGACTTTTAACTGATTACCACAAAGTACCAAATGTGCAAAAACTGCTCGACAAATACTACCAGCTTATCAATTAACAGATAACTGATACCAGACCGCCGCTGCATTCTGGCTTGCCATCTTGCCTTCACAAAACCTGGATAACGCTCTATGATCTTGACCAGTCTGTCCTCCTCACTATTAACTTGGTTCAGTCTGCCTGTAGCTCTAAGCGTGAGCTCGCAGTTCTGCAAGTCATCTGCTATTCCCAGTAATGCTTCACGATCATTAGTTTGATGACTGGTCCTTTTGAGATTTTACTTATCCAAGCATTGGTAACTTTATATTTGCTGCCAAATATCTCTGCAAGCAAATTTTTGGCCTCTTTGCACCCGTCTTCTGAATCCATAAGAAAACAGTTTTCGACCACTGTCTTGGCCTTTTCTGTGCAGTTTTGAATAAGTTTTTGCATCTTCTACCAGGATCACTTGTGTCTTTTTCCACGTTGTTTCCAAAGAACTTCATAAAGAGAAAAGAACGTGAAGGGTTACCATCAAATTGAAGAAGTTCTGGCATTGGTAACAAAGTTGCTCTGCCAAATTTCTCATCTTTTGCAAATATTCAACACCATAATCCATGAATACAGGTGACGAAGTTTGTCTTCGTCTGAATTCGTTTGGATGTCTGAAAATTAGTTCTTCACCAGGTCTGTCCGGCTGGAAATATGGTTTGTTTGCCACTGCATCTTTTCATTCAACTGTCTGTCATGAGTTCGGCCTGCTTCTGAGAGAGAAGGGCTGAGTCTAAAGTAGGGTATGGGCAGGAGGAAGGTATTGGTGTGGTATTTGGGCTTGGACTACGTCAAGGTACGAGAAGAGGAGAGCTGCGAAACCGTGCACTGCATTCGACCTGCGTTCGTTTGCTTGGACACAAGAATTGCTCATTTCATTGCATGCTTCTTCTTCTGCTTCAACTTTTGTAATTTCTATTTGAGCTGCAGGTCTTTTTTCAGCTGGTTTAGCTTCAATTCTTTATAGGCAAGACTCTGTTTCCTCACAAGTAACGATTCTTTGGCCATCACTAATAACTGCTTTATGGCTTGATATCCTTGAAGATTTTGAGGCATTAGAAGAAAGACGTGAATTTGAATCGATTTGTCTTACCGAATCTTTCGGTATCATACTCGGCATACCTGTTTTCTCGGGAGGAGTCTCTTATCTGTCTCTAAGCGTAGCTTCACTGTGTCCATTATGTTCAACAACCTTTTCTTCATCTCGCCAAAATAAACAGCACTCTCTTCGATGTCATCTTCAACATGTAATGTTTCCTTGTAAGAATCACAGGCTATTCTAAACACTTCAATTACGGCAGAGAAGTTCTCTTCACAATTTTTCAGCGCGTCACAGCAACTGAACTATCCTCTACCAATGTACAAGAAACACCCAGAGGCACCGGAAGCTTCATGATGCGGCGGGGGCAGGACTGGTAGAAAGGGAGCCTTGGGCTGTCAAAGTTTGCTGGTGAAACAGGTCGGGAATCGTCGTTTAGCCAATGACAAAGCCTGATTGTAGGTAAAAGCCCTGTCAAGGGAGAGAGGGTCGGTGTTCTGGGGGTGCAAAGCGAATGTAAAAAGAGATTTAACGACTTTGGTGTAAATATCTAAAAAAATAAGTATTTTAGGCCACACTTTTTACTTCTTTTTGTTGGACATGTTGGACAGGCCTTTAATTCATAATACCCGTTACAAACGTTTCTATCATTTGTAAGAATTTAAAAGAAAGTCAATTATGGCTTTACAAAGTTGAGAAAATTGACTATCTAGCATAATTGAATATATTCATGAAAAGTGAACTTGATTTTGTCTTTTGGCATTTGGAATGCTTACTATTTGTCGTAAAACGCCAATTTCTTTAATGTGAACAAGGTGAAAAAAACAACAAAAAATTAACTACTACGAAACATTCAATCTGAATCAAAGTTTCACTATGTTCATGATTTACTAAACTTTCTAAAAAACTATATTTGAAACCGTATTTAAAATGCCCATGCTTTGTAATGAATACATACATACCCAGACTGGTATCGCATTTCTTTACAAGCGCTGCAAATCGGCAATGGAAGCGCCAACGCATAGAAGTTTTATTTTGAAAGCTCTGTTTATGCATTTAGTGTCTATTCACGATTTGATGCAATCTGCGTATAAATGAGCAAGCGGAGGAATAAGACCGGTAATGCAGATGCTTCTGTGAAGATAACATTTACAAATTGACGCGAATAAAGCTCTAAAGAGCAAAGAGTGATTGATCAAGCAGTGAAATGGCGAGCAGATGACTGAAAAACAAAAAAAAATTCACAGACAGCTAAGAGAAGAAAAGAACTGATTTAGCATACTGGCTTTTATGCACAGAGTTGTAAAGATATGCATAAGAGATAATAGAAAATTCTTGAGATAGCAAGTTTCAAAATAGGAATAGGCGAATGGCAAGGCCGTGCGGTACAGAACAATGCCGTCTACAAATTACTATAAACTGGTAGAATTGCCACTGGTATAATGTGTTCTTGTCAGAAATATCTCGCGTTAAAACCCAATATTCGCTTGTCTTGTGCTCGCCCTTAAATTTCTCTAGATGTCTAGTGCTCGCTCTCAAAGGTCCCAGTTGTAACTCAGAAAAAAGCAGGTTCCTAATAGAGTATTGCCTGGTGTAGAGCCTGGAACACATTTATAGTTGATCGACATTCGGCTCAAGCCACTTCCGCATCTGTCCATTGCCCTTGAATGCGCGAATTAAATATAGTCACTAGGATCCAGATTTCAATGCTTTATAGAATTCGTGTTATGTAAGTATAAGTTTAGTTTTTTTGTTTCGTATGATTTCAAGTATAAACAATTGTGTTTTACAATTTCTGTTTATGCTCTATATTTTCTGGTTGTGATGCGGGTATTCTATTTATGTTAAAAATTATACCATATTATGAATATATATATATATATATATATATATTATGAATTATACACTTCTACCAGTAATACACGTCCATGGACGGAATTGTCATACAGCTTGATTTGATTTGACTTGACAGTACCTACTGATAAGAATTTTAGACCCTGAGGACGAAAAGTCTCTGTTAATATGAAAATTTCTTATTTGCATCTTTATAATCGAGACTTCGTTGGTTCGAGGGAAGGTCCAGAACAAAAAGCATGTTAAAAAGGAAAATCTAAGATTAATCCTTTGTCTGATGCCCTGGACGTTGATTGAAGTATTGGTCACCCGAGAGAGGGTAAACGAACATACGTTAAAGAGGCGCCCTTTCCACTAGCTCGGGTTAAAACAAACACAAGTGAAAAAGTATCCGACTTTTAAAATGAGACCACGGAAACGCTTGTTTACTTAATTTTTTGTCGATTTCATTTACCTAGGTTTGAATGTATCCAGGTTAAAAATGAAGGTTAGCCTTTTCCTCTTCTGGTGAATCAGATTTGAAGAATTATAGACAAAAACCAAAGCACTGGGGCACTGTCCCACTGTTCGTATCTCTTTTGAGAGCGTTCAATTTATTGGAACGAGACGATATGTTAAAAGCGTTCCTGTGTAAATACAACCCCCGAGCGTTTCCCTTTTTGTAACGGAACTATAAAAAAAGGTGCAAGAAAGCGTTTACAATATCGGAAAAATTATAACGTTTTTTTGTCCACGAGCACAGCACATTGGCCGAAGTTAAGACATTTTCTGAGTAATTAACAGTTATCCATTTTGAAGAGAAAGTAATCCGTTATTCCAGGAGGTGTAATTGGTGATACACGTACCCCCAGTGTCAAAATTTATAAGACTATATTTTTTTTATACGAACAATTTTAGAAGAACACGAGCCTCAAAATTGGTCAAAAGTTAAGAACAAATTAAGAACAAGTTGAGGCTGAGCTTCTGCAAAATGCAATTTTGAACGTTTTTACTCAAAATCGAGGATTTTTAGCGATGTGTGGGTGCTTTTTCGGTGAATATTCAAATTTGTCAGCAAATTAAGGCTGTCTCGCTCACTTTGTTGGCAAATGAGGCCTGAACATCACCCTATAGGGAAAAAGCTACCACTCGCACTGCTTACACCCTATTAGATTAAGAACAAATTGAGAACAATCCAGCCTCAGATTTTCAAAAAAATCAAGAAAAGTCAGCCTGAACTTAAATTTACTGGTTCTTATAAAAAACAAGAGTGTATTTTTTCTGGTAAATTAAACTTTTCTAAATCCTTCGCCTTTATCACCACGCCTTCGTGGCATTAAATCTGCAGTTAAATTAAAAAGAAATTAAGGAACTTTTAGTACTACATTTTTATCAAAAGAGGCCTGACCAAAGAGGTTAAAAAATAAGTGACTTCAAGAACTAGGTCTCGAGCTGGATTTTTTTGGGTGGATTTTAAGCTCTGCAACTTTTACTGGGAGCTATTTTGAATTCAAAAATGTGTTTGACGGAATTTATAAATCGATGGATCTTATCGCCATTCACCCTGATTCGATAAATCCGTCTTTTCTATCGAAAAAAACCGTATTCACTGATTGAACATACGTGGTTGTGTCATTAATGTGAATTGCCTCAGATAAAAGGCTGGTTCTACAAATATTGGATTGTCGCCTCTATTTTTGGCAAGTTAGAAACGTGTGGGGGTCAGGGCTTTCAACTCAGGTCAATTACTTTAATAAAACATTTTATACTTTTCTAGATTTATCTATTTTTCGTCGAACAATTTGATAAAAAGTTTTTTTGCAAATGTTGTCTAGAAATTGTCATTAAGGTATATTTTTACAGCGGCGTTTGTTTGAAACCATAAAAAAGGACAAACACAGCTTGTCAAAGACTAAGATAAAGTAGTGTAATGCCAACCTCAACTAGATCATACTGGGCCCTCTCACAAAGTCTTGTGTCGTTAGGAGATCTGGGATCCAGTTTGTGGTTAGACGAGTGTGCCCAACTAGAATGGGGCTTGTGTCAGTATAGATATACTATACTGCTATATATAACATATACAAACATGTATACATGTTGTCTTTTATAGTTCTGAGTCCTTGCTAGCTCATCAGCCAATCCACCAGGTAGAGCATTTTGGGGCATATGATCAGTTTCCCCTTTTACACCTGGGTGCCCCCTCAACCCTGCGTCCAGGGATGATGCCAGCAAAGGTGTATTATTGTATGGTAACGTTGTACAGAAAAGAACGGGATATCCACGTTCATGTGTATCCAGTTTATTCACGTAGCCTTGCCGTAGAGGCATATGTATATAATTTATTCAAGTGTACTCTACGAGCTCACTGTGTAAATGGAGGGACAATGGGTAGTCATAGAAAATGTAATAGTGACATAAATATATGTATTTACAAATAATTGGGTACTCATATGTAAGTACAAGAGCAGTGTTCATATAGATATTGCAGTTATTCAGCCAGTGTGTAAAGATATACATTGAAATTGTGACATAGATATTTTGATATATGTACACACAAATAATCGTATACCAAAATGCGGGTATAGGTATTTTGTGTATATAGATATTGCAGTCATTCAGCCAGTGTGCATAGATTATACACCTGCCATTTCCCTAATTTTTTGCACCAGTGCACTATGTTTTCAAATAGCATTGCTGGTACAATAGTGTACCAAGAGTAATGGCAGGCGTTTTGTGTTTTAATTGACCAACAACAGTAAAGAAGAGTCGTTTTAGGCCTAATTAACAGAATTTAAAATGAGCTGTTAAAGACAGTAGGATCATGGAAACAGTTTTTACAACCAGGTTACAAGAGAGTAAATTTGCCAGACGTTTTAATAAAATTCCAAAATGAAAAACATACTATAATATGCTTGATTCCGCCTTTTAAAATTGCACAGTTGCAAAACAGTGAGGCCAAAAAGTGCACTTTGCGACGCCATTAGAATATCGCAACCTGGAAATTGGTTCTTCGTCAAAGAATAAAGAATGTGTATTCATTTCAAAAGATCCACTCGTTTCTTAAAGCTGGACAGCTGCGGTTGGAGATACCGTGTATGGTAAGGCAAGAGGGGATTTTATCTTTGATCACAGGATAAGGAATGTTGAAGAAGAAAGAACCGAAAATGATTTTAGAGCTCAAACCTGTTCATAACGGGGGAGATAAATCGCTTATCACGATTGTAGTTTCTATTTTTCGTCAAAGCGTAGGAGAAATGTCAAGAACATCGCATGCTGCCTGACACAAGTTACTATCGGTAAGGGATATTTTCCAGAAAAATTTGATATGTCTGTGATATGTCAAGCTGCTATCGATCAATTAGGAGCGAATCTACGGGATTCGACGATATTTATGTAATACTATCGCTAAAGATACAGTAAATACCCGCATATAAGAACATAGTGGACTGGAAATCTATAAGCTGAAATTACCAATTTAGAGCCCATTTGATGAGAACGAATCTATCAAATTGGTTATTGTCATTTAACCTTCAAATTATGCTTTAAAATTGCTATATAAATGCAGTATTCAATACTCTGTCCAGTGATAACAGCGATGTTCTAATTGTTGAAGTGTTTATCCTGTATAAATATTCGTTTTATTATTATCATTATTATTATATGTCATTCTATATCCTCTCAAGTCCCAAGCTTGAGTGCTTCTTTTTCTTTGACTTAAATTCTAGTCTTTGCTTGACTCCTTTTTGCTCAACTTTCTCAACACCTTTTGTGAGTAGTAGAGATTTCAACTTATTAGTTTGTAAGCCACTGGAATTTCAGGACCTTTAGACCCAACACGCGAAAATGCTTGTAGTTTGACTTAAGAGAAATTAGGCCCTTTTGAGAAATCAAGAACTAGGCCCTTTGTGCTGGTTGTGGTTGTAAGGATTGCCAAGAAGTAGGTGGCTATGAGTGGAAACATACTGTTATAATTGCGAGTCCAATCTGTTTAATCCCGAGGAAAAATTTTAAACCAATGATGACCCTCTTCTATAAACTTGATTGAAAATGCACGCCTTTTACTTCTTTCTCAGGTAACGCGAGAGCAATGACGCGAGAACGATTATTGCTAAATCAGAAAGTGTGATAACGGATTGTGATTCTCGTTTATGTGTTTTGTTATATAATTAGTTTCATAGCAAGACAAAGCAAAGGTTTAAAAAAATATGGAGTCAGTGCGATTCTGCAGTGAATGTAATTGATTTTCTTCTGTGCATCCAGATTAATTTACAGATAGTCAAAAACTGAAGAACACATGAATATTCACAACCATAGAATTTTCGAAAATAGACGAAATAAAATGGCAAATTATGGAAACTATCCATTTCATTGCGACGAATTCCATTTTTCGTTACTCTTATGACCGAAAAATAGTGCAATCTCTGGGACCTTTTTGCATGTTCAGGAAAAAACAATTTTGACAAGGTAAAGACTTGTCATAAGAAAATATGTTTGCTAAGCGACAAGCTCATTCGCTAATGTACTTGTGCATTGAAGTTTCTATTGAGTTACTAATCAATCGATCATTGGTATTTCTATGTCACTTGAAAAAAGGACTGAATTAGGTCAAAACCATGGCCTTTGCAATGAAATAGAATCGATGGGCTATGTAACGATTTTGCTTTTAACAGAATTCCCTTCCCACGTAATAAACTCAGTCGCTTTGTAAGAACGCCTTTAGAAATCAATCGTAGAAGAGATGTACCATTAACGTTGTATCGAAAGGAAAAATTGATTGTGGAGAGCTTGAAGATACCCCAACTTTCTACATAAACGTAAAGTATTCTCAATGTTTTGGAAATACTCTGAAGAACGCGGTGCTGTGAGAAGGCTACTTAATCGACACAAAGGAAACTTAATCGATACAAATATTTATAATAACGCAAAAGAAGCTGCTTGACAAACTTACTTTCAACTTTAGTTGTGTTGCCACTTCGTGCTAACAAATCACGTTTCTCCTTTCCAACTTGAAACTCACAGTAATCGCATCAAATTTTGTATATTACAAACACCATGGAATAAATTGGCATCTTAATTTAAACCACACATCTAAATCCACAAAGCGTCTCACTGGCATTCTTTATCGGCACATATATTGTGCAGTCACTTATCCAATTAAAAGATCCTTCCAATAAGCACCTCACCATTAACTGTCCACCATTTACAAGAGTTAACAATTGGACAAAGTATGATGCGTCTCATGGAAACAAGTGCAGGCAAACAATGTTGGCGCTTGAATTTAATCGGATTTATTTGACCTTTAATGCAGGAAATTAATGCTACCGTGGCAGGTGGTTTTGAAGTAATCAATCGTTACCATTACAAACTTACTCTAGATTAGCAAATGTATTCTAAATTCTCAAGTTAACACATGGTTTTAGCAAACTGAAACTAGATACTCCAAAACTAACACTAACTAAAGGAGATTTTATTCTAGATTGACAAAACTAGCTTTAGATTGGCAACTAGTTTAAGATTGTCAAACTAGTTTTAGATTGGCAAACTAGTTTTAGATTGACAAACTAGCTTTAGATTGGCAAACTAGCTTTAGATTGGCAAACTAGCTTTAGATTGGCAAACTAGTTTTAGATTGGCAAACTAGTTTTAGATTAGCAAACTAGCTTTCGAATGGTAAAAGAACTCTAGATTAGCAAACTAGCAATTATTTGGCAGAATAACATAAAAAATAGCAAATCCATTTTTATACTAGCAACAAAACTTTAGATTGCTTGATCAATCCATACTTAGAAGCACAAAAAACATGATTTCATGCTTTCACTCTTTTCTGTATGAAAACACATTAGAAGCAAACCGAGGCTCGAATTAGTACAAAAACAAAAACTACACAAACACATACCCAGCTTTAGATGAAAAATTAGAATACAAAATGTGTTTTTTAAAATTTCCGCTCATGTTAGAAAAGAGCAAATTTTATCAACAAACCAACCGTGCCCCTTAAAATTGCACGCAAAACTGTTATTTGGTAGTCTTGAAACAGCTGATAGAAAGAAGACGAAGAAAAATCAATGTTGAAAGAAGAACATACAGAACAATCGAACTTTAAATTATCCAAAAAAAGAAAAAAGAACATTGAGCCTCGATGCAAATTCTCTGGTTCTTATAAAAAAGGCAAAAATTCAAATTCGAAATTTTTATGCTCTATAACTTTAAATGAAGATCTTTCACACCTCTATAAGTGAAGAGACAAATTTGGAAATTTGTAATTTGTTGTGTCTGGTTCCGTATGACGCAGTGTACTGATATCCAATTTAAAAAAAACAACAGGACCTGGCTGTCAATTAGAATATCGTTCTGGAATACGAGATTACAATAATCAGATTGCAGCATCAAAATATTCCGCTAAGAATTTAAACTGAAATGCGTTCAGCAATGTGGTTTTCTTTTCAATAAATTATGGATAAAACTCCTGGAAAGCTAAATCTGAAAGGATATAGAGAGTTTTCTTTTGTTAAACATTTTAAGACAACACACTGGAGCAATCTGTTATGAAAAGCACCAGACAGCAATTTACATGGAATGTTTGTAAAAACATTTTGCAGTGAAAAATGAAGAGTTCCTAGGTGATGGCGTGGTAAAATCTGTTTTTAGAATTTTGAATTCAGTCCACATAGTCCAAAGAATCATTACGAAAAACCTCTAAATGTGCAAAGTAATTTATAACTGACTGCTTTTTGGTCACATCAGCATAGACTATTTGCCTGTCAAAATCATTGTAATTTGGTTTTGGTCCTGAAATCTACGAACCATGCCAAAACAACTGTAACCTTTTCAAAGCCCAGTTCTTCACTTGCTATATCTCATCAAATTGTCAACAAATTTGACTCGTTTTGCATTTTAGAGAGTTTTTCTATGCAATCTAAATTTAATATTATATGTACATAGGGTTCTATGTACAACATTTAAGGTTATGAGGCCAGAAGTAAAAATTTCTTAAAACATTTTCATGACGTCATGCAAAACTCAAGGCAAACAAGATGATAGCTATGAAGAACCAAAAATCTCAACAAGACAAAAATAAGAAATGCATTGTTGTTCTGCAAGCAGTGGCTTTGCCAATATCATTTAGCATTATGGGGAGAATGACTTGAAAGCTATGGAGTGCATAAAATGCAAACAACTGGTGGTGATCAGTAATTTTGCTTTACAAGAGCTTGCCAAAAAGAGTTCTATAAAACATTAGCAAGTCTTGGTAATATTTTTTGGCTGTACACAAATAAAAAATGGCTTTGAAAAAAGCAGATATTTTGAAACATACTTTAGCTTTTTGTCTAACACTCGTCAGAGTATAAAACGTCAGAACATAGATCGAGAGCTCTAACCAAGAAGATATATATATATATATACATACAGAGTTTTGGATCGTGATAGGCCACTCAGAAATGCCCGCACATGACTGTAAACATTGACCAATCAGTGCCGTTTACTTATTAACTTAACTACCAAGGAAGACTAAGTTGAAAACGAACTCATTCTGTCTACATAAAAGCGGGTTTTTAATTTTATGTAGAAAGATGGCGAATCGACTCTTGTTTAGCAGACCATTACTTGGTGACAAAATGCTTCTAGAGAGGATGCAAAGTGCAAATTTCTCCTTGAATATATTGTACAGAGTAATATAAACGCTTTTTAAACTCCGCATGTAACACACGAGGTATCTCTTACCATCAAACTCAAAATAAATCTTTCTCTTGGGAGAAAATGTCCACTGCCCTTAAAATAAATTGTGTTTAAATCTAGCTGTACACGAGCGATTTATGATACATCTTTCAATACAAACATAAATGATAGCTACCTATTGTTTAGCGGGGAATTCTATCTCTGAGATATTCTAAAACCTGAGCTGTTCCTTTCGTTAAAATATTGTGCCTCGGGTTTCGGAAAGAGTTTCCTTCGATTTGCAGTGACCTGGCAAAGAAGTGAGAAATCGCCATAAATTATGATACAATCAAAGAAAGTCACTTAGGGCTGATAAAAGATTTCTAGAGGCCGGACGGTGACGAAGGCCACTTCCAGAGCCTAGAAATCACTATACACAAACTTCATTTTACTGTTTTTGTTTTCTGAGGCACGGTAGAACTTTGAACGTGCTGTAGTTATACAGTAAACTATCGAACATTGTAATATCCAACTTCGATGCAATACAATTCTATGTCTAATCTAACTCTGATTTCTATGCTGAAGTACCATATCAAAATTGTTGCAACAAAGATTATGGTGGCCTTTGTTTGTCATTTTCAAGAGAACCCAAACACTAATCCCCCCCCCAGTCAAAAATGTGGTCCGACTTCCCTGTCACTGAGGAAGTCTTCAAAACCTGGAAGGCTTCAAACCATTAAGAGGGATGCCTTTTAGGACTCTGTTGATATCCAATGTGACAGAACGGTTTTTGTAAGGCTGAGGAGGGATCACTTAACGTAGAAAGAAATCACGTGGCATGATGTATCCTTGTTGTTATTAAGAATACACGTCGAATGCCATTGAAATCAGTGCTAAAGCGGAGGGATGGTTCAAAGAAATTCCAAGCGACTGCATAGCATACAAATTGACACGTACACGTACACGTACACTTACGCTCAATAAGTATTGGGACAAAATTTCGAAGACATTTTATGCAACAAATTTGGAAAGACTTTTTTAAAATCCTTCTCATTAAAAAGGTACCGTTGCAAAACCGAATCCAACGCAACGAATTTGTCCCAATACTTTTGAACGAAAGTGTACATAAAGCTTTTTTGCGTACAAGTTTGTTAAATTCGAGTGAAGTTTCTACTTCTCTGAAGTCAAAAACTGGAGCAATGTCCCTGAAAGTATTTGAGCGAACGAATCAATTGCTCCCTTAAAAAACCGGGTTAAGAGAGTATCTTTGAACCTTAAACAATGCAAGACCCAAATTCGTCCCCTTGGCAGAGCAGCAAATTTGTTTTTCCTAGACACATATTGTCAATAGTTATTAATATGCTAATTTGTTTTTAAGCTGAAAGGTATTCGTGTATAAATATTGATAAATTTTCATTGCCTCGTGAAATGTTTGTATTCTTTTCAACAAAAACATTTAGGAAGAAAGAGTGAAAAAGAACGGTGAGCTATGCTTACTTCAGAGTTGTCACATTTCCAAGTTCAGGAGGCACATGAGAAATATTGTTGTTGCTTAGATCCAAGGTTGAAATCCGTTGTAGCTTTTTCAGTCCGTCGACATCTATTTCGATAATCTAAATTTAAGGTATATATAATAAAAAATATTAGTACACAATTATGACGAAAAGTCATAATTCAGTAAAAATGATTCTCAGATCAAAACAATGAATGAGATAAGAATGACGCAGGAACTATTTTCGCCATGTCTTATGAGACCAGAAAACAAATTAAATCTGATCGATGAATGGTGTCTCTAAGAAAGAAAAATTGTCAAAAAATCTGTGAAACATTTGCAAAATACCTGCAACCTTAAGAAGGCCTGACCGTAGTCCCGACTTAGATTTTCGAGTCTTTTTAGAAATTCATAAAACAAACTTGGCGGAATTTAATAACACTTCTTCTCAAACATGGCGACGAATAAAGGTACCATAATATTTGGTCTACTATGTGGAAATGAGAGAAATGTTAAAAAGCAGATTACACTCATTTTCTCGTAAACATATCCTTCAAGACAAGAAGTTTTCATAGGGAAATTTTTTCGCGAATCATAAATAAATCTGCAGTTGAAAGAACCATTTATGTCGAATACGACATAAACATCAGACACTATACATTAGAGGCAAGGCGTACTTGCTATTTCAAAGTAAAACTGTACAATATGTTACTAAATAAGTAATGACCTATATGGCTGTTTGCGTTTGTAACTCCCACTCACCTGGTTTGAGCTTGCTAGGATTGTCTCCAAAGTACCAATTTCGTATAGAAGTTTAGGAACTTCTTTGAATCTACGTACAAAGCATGTTGAGAGATTTCGAATTAGTATTGATAGGTGTTTTTGCAGCCGTACAAAAAATTAACGTACGGTTGATGGAAAAATCGAGGAATAACTAATAGATACATAAAGATGGTAGCCAAATTCTATAGGAAAAGTCTCGAAGATTACTGGCTTTAAAAAATGCAAACACTTTACAGCATACTTAAAACTTTTTTGACTGACATTCCACAGAGTATAAAATGTCAGAATAAGGTTCCGAAAGAACACGATGAAAAATATGTACCCAGTTGTAGATTGAAATATCGGCATGCAGTACTGAATGGACAACTTTACCGGTCATATTTGTCTGATTGGAGTATTTTGATGAGGAATTTGTTGTAAAATGTTTTCTTTTTTCAAAGCAATTAATCTTTGAGTCTTTACATATGGATTTTGGCTTCTAATTTGGGGTTTCCTGGGACCGATTTCTTTTAAACGTAGCAGGATTTTATGTCAAATGCAGGATTTTGCACTTGCATTTTATTGGCTAATCTAAAGGAGTTGAACCTGCTTATCACGAATTCGGTATTTGTTTTTCGATATTTTTTACAGTTTGTGAGATATAAGCTTTTGCATTTCGATAATTGAATTGAATTAACCGACAAAAAGTTTTCGGTTTGGTGACACTGTGACGCAATTTTGACGTCACTGTGCATTTCGAATAGTCTCGCCTCAAACCGAATCGAACGACGGCGATTCGCAAATTGAACACTGCAAGTGATGGTACTCTCATTTCTGCTCCATTGGCTTTTAGTTTGAGCATTTCAGACACCAATTCTGAAGCCTTTAGTTGTTCATCGTTTCTGGAGAACAACATGAGTATCAATTTCGATTAATTATACCCGAGGGAAGAGCTGGAACAGGAAGCCATAGCTTTGTGGGCCTACACAGGTGATCAAAACAAAGTCGTGACACAGCATGGACACATTCCGACCCGCAGACTTAGAATGATTGTAAACATTTAGTATTTTTCGATCCTAAAAAGCTCCTGCTGTAGATTTAGATGCAGTTATCAACGCGTGACCATGACTTCTTCACGATTCGGTGGAAGATATACGAAATTCATGGCGAATGAGAGACGCACATTGTGACGTCAGAATGTCACAAAACTGATTCGGCTTTTGTCGTTTTTTTCCCGAAAAGGTGCAACTTTAAAGCCTTATAACTTCTAAACTAATTAGAATTTCGCAAAAACAACGACTTTGCCATAATACAAGCACCAGATGCTAACTTTTTAGTCAATATCAGCGATGCTTTATCAACGGAAATGAATGAAATGTTTGACATCAATAATGTAAACTTTGATTAAAAAGAAGCCTTTGTTTACCTGTTTGAAGATATTGTGATTTGCGAAAGACACTGCCAAGATTTGCATTCCTCTGGAATTTCTGATATCATATTATTTCTAGGGAGAAAATTAAAGTGGTATTGGAAAAAAGAAAGACAAATATAATGATTAAAATAAAAAGCACATGAACAGGAATTGGCCTATAAGTCAACAAACACGCAAGAAAGATAAAACCTATATTGTATTATACAAGGATCAGGCACGCAAAAAAATTCAAACCTATTTCGTGTGTACAGGGAAGCAACGCTAAAACTCGGATCACTATGCAAAAAGTATTTCCCAATGCAAGTTCTATAAACAAAATCCGATTTATTATTCTATCTTTTTACTCAAACACATATCATCCAGACTTTTCTATCTCACTTACAGCTATTCAATTAAACATCCCTTAAACAAGCCTCGTGTTGACCAGCAATGCCTCTCTCGGGCTTCCCCCAAAGAGCGCATGCACAAAATTACCATAAACATTAAACAAAATGTTAAAGAATCAAAAAAATGATCAGTGATTTCGTTTTCTCTGGTATCGCTATCTTCTTTGTTTACAAATATGTTAATGACAGTAACCTCTAAAAGAAATTTACCCGAGATCAAGAAACGTGAGCTTCTGTAAAGCAGCTAGTTCTGACGGGATCGTGGTTATTTTATTCGAACTCAAACTCAGATCTACTAAGGTATCCGCATAGGTTGACAACCTACGAAAAAAATGTTAATAACAACGTTTGCGTACCCACACTGTCGTATTGCATTAGCGTAAAATGAACTTTGTAACTTCATCAAAATATGCAAATACGGTTCAAGAGATAAGGCAAGTCAAAGCTAAAAATATCTGCTACATTATGAATTATGTGAAAAACATGCCAGTTTCCATCACACAAAAATAAAATCCCTTTTACCTTGCGGGCGGGAAAAACTTTAACTTTTTCAAACCGTTTTAATGTGACACCATCACAAAGTTAATGGAAGGGTTGCGATTGAATGAAAAGACTAGGTCACGGACGAAAATATTATAACTGTACATTTACATTGTAAACATAGAAAATTGCTTAATTAACATAAGGATCAGAAACCTTCTCGAATTACACTGAGCATTTTGATAATAAGGCGTGTGTTGATGGTGCTCATTAATAAATTCCACTTCTCTTGTTTCTCTCAATATTTCCCTGGGCGCACTGAACAAGATTTCAGGAAAAACTTTTGACAAACTTAATTTCTATTGCTCATAGAGAAAAGGGATTAAGCTTGCGAGTAAACAAATGCTGCTTTTCCAGTGCGCCCACCCAAATTGCCAATGAACCAAATTCATTAATCCCTCAAAGGTTCCACCGTCCTGCTCCAGAGCAGTCAAATCGTATCGTTCTTTGTTTAAAACCACTTTATATTAACCAAACAGCAAACAACCAATTCACACAAGAATTGCACAGCGCTCGAATTTCCAAGCGGAAATCGGATTATCTTGGTCAAACTTGAAAGATTTTAAACTTGAAACTTTGTCAAACTTTGTCAATTCTCGATTTTCCACTTTGACAAAGATAATAAGTTTTATGTCAGAAATCAGTGCGTTCAGGGCCTATGCAGCGGTTGCAAAATTAAGTGCATGTCATTTCTTGAAGGCATTTGGTACAGATAAAAGGGTTTCTTACAGCCAATCGACGACCATCGGTTGACCAATCGAATTGCGCAGGGAGAAATATCATGTGAACAGTTTCCGCCTTTCTGTAAATCGGCGAAATCCAAGCGCAGCGCACAGTGACGATATGGGTTATCTGGAATCTTCAAGCAGCCAAATTCACGCTTTAGGGGCATCGGCAATGGTCCGAGTTTTTCTTGTACACAGTTTCATGTGAACAGTTTCCGATTCCTTTCATGAACGCGTGCTCTGATTAATTTGGTCAACGTTTTTTGGATTTGCTGTACTTATGCATGTCGAATGTCTTTAAGGGCACGTAAACATGCAATGAAAACACTGGGCTTTTGATTTTAAACAGTATTTACAAAAATTGGATATTTGAATTACTACGGTATAACAATACTACCCACCTTGTCTAACTACCCCTTGACTATATGTTTGCAAGAAAAAGAACTTTTGACTAAGATACCATACCTAATAGGGACATCACTCAATAAATTTTTGCTGAAATCGACTACCGATATCGGGACATCTGCCACAAAACAAGATTCTGGTATTGAAGTTGCCTTTTTGCTACTGAAAAAAAAACAGTGCTGGTCCATTAGCAGGTGCCGGAAGCATTTAGCGAAAGAAGGGCTGGAACTGCATGCTTGGATGGAATGAATCAATTGCTGACATTGAAGAAAAATATCGCATTTGATGATTATGGGGGAGGAGCAGACAACTTATCGTAAGTTTAAATAGTTTTCAAAAGAATAGAAGAAGAATATCTCCTGGGCGTGATCTCGAATGAATTAAAATCAGTTGGCCGTTTATGATATTGGTTGCATAATGAAAATTTACATCTGCCAGTACTGCACACGTGAATAACAGTTGGTAAAAGCAGCCGAACGATAATTTACCATGTTACCGTAAACGAATTTCATCTGCTCGAACATTTGCCTGCTCTCCAACGGGACAATAAAAAATGATCTTTGCAGAGAACATGTTTTACTAGGTCTCAAAGTTATCGCCATAATTCTGCTTCCATTAACAACTAAATCAATAACATTTCAAAAGTTTTAAATTAACGCTGTTTCAAGGAATCAAGCCAACAGTTGAGTTTTCTGATTTGATCCACAAAGAGTCACTGAACACATAGACAAGAACCTGCAGTATGGGTAAACGGAGACAATTCTATAAACGAATTGAGGTGATGTATACTCGAGGGGGAGGGGGTAACTAAGCCTAGTTTTAGACAGGGATGTGCCATTTTGGTTCAAATTTGGACCCATAATTCCGCACGTATCTGAAATATGTGACCCACAACTCCGCAAACATGATGAAAGCCATAACCATAATTCAACAAGGCAATAACATTTCTAAAACGCATAACAAAACAAACTTTAAAACACATAAAATTTTAAAAACAAATTTTTTATGTCTTTTGCCCCGAAATCTCAATATTACACATATTTCATGCTTTCATTTCTAACTGGACATTCATTTTGTTAATGCTAAATTTTCCTCTTACGTTGCAATATCTTCCCAAAGTGATACCAATGATTCCACACATATTTCAAAAGCTGATAACGATAATTCTGCACTTTTCAGACAAAAGGTACCCCTAAATAATGGCACGTCCCCGTACCTCGAAACCTATTATTAAGGTAACCCCCCCCCCCAGCAAATCATCGCAAAAGTCAGTCATCAGCTAAATACATATAAGAAAACTTATGCTGTTTCAATTGGGAAAGATACTTTCAAATACTGATAGGACCAGATAAGAATCTATTCGATGGTATTGAAAATTTAGATATTCAAGATGCCTTGTCAGTATTTATGCAAACGGACAAGGGTTCCAACTCGAAAGAAACTGACATCTTGTAAATGTTTTGCCTTTAACAATTGTGATGCAGTCGAATGTTAATTTTTGAAAAAATGACCCTTTGCATTTCAAAGCACAGTTTTTGATTGGTGGATTGGTGCATCTATTTTCAATTAGCGTCCCTCTCCAATGAGCGCCTCTCTCTGACGAGCAACCCCTCTTTTAGGCCAAATATTAAATGAGCGCACCCGGCGCTCAGTAGAGGGAATATGGTGCGAGCAAACCCCAAAGCTTTTCAATAAAATTGTAGAAATAGGACAGGTGGTATCTCACCTATATTCAATTTTTCTAGTCGATGTGGCTTTGTGCAGATCTATAGGGCCTCCTAGTGAAATGGTATTGTCATTAATCTCATTTTGAACCTTGTTCGCTGCACCATCGTTGCTCTTCTCTTGATCTAAGGTACAAAAAGTTGTTAATTGTGACTATTTTTTATTTACTTTTTATGTCTTTGTGACTATTATTATATCTATTACAAATATATTTGCGAATAAATGGTTCAATTTACGGCATGATGAATTTCTCCTGTATGATTTGAATTTGGCCTAGTACAATTTTAGCATAAAATAACAATTGACCTATTGACCTATTGACCTAGTTCCAACCTCAAAAAAGATCCTTCTGATTACTTCTAAGGGTACGTGCCTCGTTGGCCGTTGAACAAATTCTTCAAACAGATTCCCATCAAAAATTTATGAATGTTTATTTGCAAAATGAACGGGTGGGCTGAAATTGCTTTTTGAAATCATTTGGTCGACAGAATTGACACATGACGATTTGCACCAATCAGCCACAAAAAATCTTGCCATTGATGTCATTGAATCTCACGTGATAGGGAATGTACGACAGACATATGACAAGCAAGCAAATTGAGTTTTGTTCCTCTGGAACCTGTTTGAAACCTGTTCTCTGGAAATTTGAATTTTCTCAAGTTTTTCAGCAAAATAAATTAGCACTTTATCAGCAGATTTAATGATCCTGCATAAACTTAAATCTTAATGAACATACTGCCTTTAACAGAATCTTCAAAATAATTATTGCGAAAATACTTAAGTGGTGAAATCATAAAAAGGTTTTTGAAACTTTTGAATTTCGATCAAATAGCCAAAAAAATCAAATAACCACAACAGAAAGTAGTTAATGACCATATCGAGACAAGTGATAGATTTGTTGCGAGATGTACCACTGGCTTTGGTGGTAACCGTCATATGAGGTTCATCACTGGTATCTTCTTTATAAGAATCCTGGTAATTCTCTGGATTCCATTGGAATCCTGGTAGCTTTCTTTCAACCGTTGGCCCATACAATTTTCCCAAAGTCTACACGAGCACCATGCTAATGTGAAAGTTGGTATAGAGATGATGTTCAAAAACGGTTAATTCATTTAAAGCATCTTTGACTTCAAATTTTAGTTGCATCTCAATCGTTCTTTTGCTATTGAGAAAACTCTTGAAATTAGTTGCTATTGCTGCTGTTATCTTTCGGAGTCTACTTAAACATTTCTTTGCTGTGTCCTTTCAGTACGTCCTTTGATTATGGCACTTTAATCACAGGCCCATCGTAAATGATCGAAACCATTGAAATATTATTTTTAAGGTTGATCTTGCAATAGACACTTCATCTTCAATTCTACAAGTGTGTTACAGGCATGACTGGCCCTTTTAGCTATCAACAAGGCATTCTCGATTTATGCACGTGCAACAACAATTCATCCAAAAAACATCGCTTCTTGCTAGCAAGGCGAAATTTCGTTTTCGTCCAATTAGATGCTTTGTTTACACTTTTCTTTTAGCCAATCAGAGCTCACCAATTTTGCCTGGCCTTTTGCAAGTCATAATACAAGAAAAGAGCAATATCATTCCAAGCGTCATGGTGTTTATCCGAAGCTGATTTTAATTAAATTTACAATATCTTCTCACAAGCTAATTCAGTATGCTTGTGGCTAAGAATTTCGCAAGGATTTCTGACACAAGTAATTTCAACTTTGATGCAAATTTGAGACAAAATTTTCCTTTTGACTGGACTTTGTTGAAATTTTCTATCAAATTCAACTAACAAATTTAGCCGAACGTCTACATAAATACCGATAAAATGGTAACTACCGTAGCTCGCAAACCATTAACTGTTTAATTTACTGCTCAATTTTGTTTTTGTCCGGATTTTTTTTCCTATTCACTCCTACTTCTCATATTAACAGTGCTAACGCTTCACCCATTGCATTTCAATCTTTTGGCTCTTCTGACAAAATTTGCTTTTACAAAGCAAACTTCTCAAAAGTTTGACCATAGTACACGTCAGAAACAATCTCTGAGCCATGTTAAATCTGTAATTATTGCACCCGGTCTTGTGTTTCTTACAAAACATTTCTAAACGAAAAATGTTTACATTTCATCCATCCTAGAATATTTCATACTAAATGTTTCATATTACAAAAATATAATTTATCCGCAACAGAATATTAATTATGTAAGTAACTCTAACCCTATACCGGTTTGAAGCATGGACAAGCCTTTTACATAAGCCCCATTGCAAAAAAATAAATCAACACAAATGATCTAAAATATATTCTGTGTTCCTGAATAGTTGAATAAGAAAGAGATTCATCATCTTATAAAGATACCGAAACTTCAAATTTAATAAAAAGCTAATTGTCAGATGTACCAAAAGAAAGATTTTGAGCTATACAATCTCAGGAAAAAACAAATCAATACCTGGCAGAGGTATTCTGCTCTTCAGGAATGCCAGCACTGCCTGTGTTCCTTTCTACGACAAAAAGGCATAATAACTACGATCAATATTATGATCAATATTGGCCGTTAAAATAATTTCTTTGTTCGCAATTTGCACATGCGCAACACATAGTCATTGGCTACGATTAAAACGTTTCACATGATACCACACACAATTAGGGTTGCATATTTAAGCTTTTGCAAAACTCAAGCATAGATCATTTTAAAATTGAAATCGTTATTTTATACTGCACGGATAGCAAAAGAGACTAGAGATAAACAGAAGCTAAAGCGAAAGAAAAAGACACTACAATTTGTTCAAGAGCTACAGTTTTGCCCTACTTCATAAGCTGCTCCAACGTTTGCACCAGAATCTGTCAATCTGAGACTGTAGAAAAACCTGGGTCGACTTTCTCGTCATAAATGCAACATTTTCATGGTAATACCATAAGCAATAGACAAATATGATGAATAGTAAAAAACAAACTTTGGTGCGAAAAACATTGTAAATCGAGCCATTGTTAAACAAAGAAAATACTCATGAATATGTGCAAATATCCTGCTTGAAGCTGTAAAACCCGACGCCAGTAAAAGACGTTGTTGTGTCTTGGTGTGTTTACTGACTAAATTACTATATTGGTTGCATACAGCGAAGACGAGGAGAAGCGATGAATGCGTGCTTGAATATGCTACGGTGAATACATAGAAAACGTCGAGTGTAAATAATAGTGGTACAATGGGGACATGAATGTAGATAGACAAATGGTCACCAAATTATACGCAAGCCACAAGTAATCAAACTTCTAGCAATATTTAAGGTACTCACTGCAACAACATCACGTCGTATTCCACGCAAAGGATTGCCATCAAGTGACAACGTCTTTAGATTTTCCATGTTGCCAACAGTGAATGGTAGACTGTGAAAAAAAAACAGAAAATAATACAGCTTTAACTTGTGGAAGACGAAGTGATTGTAAGCATCACTGCGAAAATGTAGCAAATGAAAACGTCAGGAATTTTGTAATGTTATATTTTAAAAGAAGATCATATGGAAACAGATTTGCTTGGTTTTGTTGTGAGGAAGAGGAATCGCTCCTGAATTAATGCAACAATTTGTTATGTAAACAAATTCATTTCTAAAAAAGCTTACAGTTGTTGCATAGGTCGATGTTGAGAATACAAATGAGCAAACTCGAAGGTAAATTTATAAGATATATGTCAAAACTGCTTTCAACAAAAATAATTCGTTTAAATACGCATGCAATGTTTCAAGATTGCACGAAAATTGCGTTCATGATCGAATTCTAAATTTCACGAACTAGTCAGCTTGGCTGTTTTGTGAATGTGGTTATGATGTTTTACTTAATCGTAACATTGTTGATAAAGAAGGCCTATTTTGCTATACAGTCATACATAGAGAGGCAGTTGTTTGTGAGATCCAATCGTTCCAGTTTGCAGCACAAAGTTATCTCTTCTGGAACACTAAAAGAAACAGGCAGCATAAATTATAAAATAGCACGGAAGAGCAGAAACAGATCATATCAAAGTACTTTCCGCCTGGCACTCCTTGGAGTATAAACGTCGGATAACTTCCAAAGGTAACTACAAAATGTATAGCATGATGCAGATCGAAAAAAAACGTGAGAGGAATAGATAGAATTAGATGCAACGTTACTATGTCAGTCCATCTTCGCATAATGCTTAATTACCCATACCTCTGAATTGTGTTATCTTTAACATCGAAGGTCACGAGTGTCGGTAGGTATTTAAACATGTCAGCATCAAGTTGCTTGATTCGATTGTTACTGAGGTAGAGTTCCTAAGACAGAAATCAACAATAAGATCAACGTCGTAAGCATCAGGAGATACACTCCCGTCATTTCAACTGTCTTTTCACTGCAAGATTTTGCGTCGGTGGCACATATACAAAAACGTAAATGGAAAAGGAGCACTCTCTAAAACCTCGTTTAACAATTTTCTAGTACTTCCATTAGAACGTCTGTTTGAATTTCCCCAGATTCTAAATTCATTTTCAATATCTTTTGAGCATGTTCCTTAGTTTCCGCTTCATTCTAAAGCATTTAACAATGGTTCTTTACTGTCAATATTTTAATTGAAGACTCTCAATTTTAGGGCCTTTCCTATAGATTGATTAAACGATTTCTAAGAGATACCCTTAAAGCCATTTTCTACGGCAGCATAGATGCACCCATTTTTAGAGGCTTTTTGCACAAAAAATCAGTCAGGTTAACTGTACCAAAACAATAATAATTAGTCTTCTCAAGGCGTTACAAGACTGGACATTTTTTTAGACTTTAAGAGAAACCTATTTGATGTACGATACAGAATTTAAAAAAGGCACCACAGCATTTCCCTTGTAAAAAAATTCCAGGAAAAGAGCATTTTAAGAAAAGAAATTTGCAAATAGCCATTTTCATTAACGATTGAATTCAATGATGTTATCAAAGAGTAGGAGGTTATTTGCCAAGCGTTCAATTGCCTTGGCATGAACAAAGAAAAATCGAAATAAAGAAGGAAGAACTACTTGCTCTACAGCCCTACAAACACTGGACAGTTGATTGACATCAGAAAGGAGTAAAGAACATACTTTCAAATTCACGATGCCACCAAGTGGAGGGAACTCTGATATAAAATTTGCTCTGCAGTCCAATATATCAAGGGCAGTCATTTTATCTAGGCCTGAAAAGACACTGATATTAACACATTATAAAACTGTATAAAAGAAACCAATTAATATATTTGGAAATTATATCAAATGGTTTTTCCAAAGTACAAATATTTTTAGACCGCAATAATCAAGCTTTAGAAATGTGTTTTTACCGTTAATGAATTTAAAATTGAGAATCATATATGCTATAACATACCTCCCGGTAAGGCCTTCAGCTTGTTGTTTCCCAAATTAAGATATTGCAATACTAGGAAGAAATGAAAATCTCTAAATTTTCTTATCACCATAAAAGCCATACAAGAAACAGAACAGGATAATATGCGATGAAAAACTTCATTAGTAAAGAGCTGCTGTACCTCTTACCCTATAGATAAATAATTTCATACGGTCATCAGAGCTATGTTGTTAATACAAGGATCCATGTATCAATTGTAAAACAAATGCAAGCACAATGATGATAAATCTCTATACGGACTTAAAAACACATATAGAACAATGACAGCTTAATGACAACACAGAATAGTGAACTTCAAAGACAACAAATGACTACCTTTCCAATAACTGTTTACAGCGGTAAGAAATAAGAAATTTGAATGCAAGGACTAGAGGACTTCATTTTTTTCAAAACAAATCTTTGCACTCCTGGTTTCAGTGATAATGTTCAGCTGACTTTGTCTTCATAGCCTGAGACAATATGTTGAGAATCTGATGACCCTGACGACTGGAGTCACTTCATTTTCCTCAACAGCCCAAATTATAACCTGAATTCTTATGTGTGTGGTTTAGCTTCAGAAATATGAAAAGTTGCAGCTAGACCAAATTTGGATGCTGAAAGTCCGAAACAAAGAACAAATATGGTGTATCAGAATATTCTGTCTAATTTTAGTACCAGTTGCCTGGTAATCGCATTAAGCGCAAAAATCGGATTAGGAACTTAGAACCGTCCTGTTCTATACATCAAATAGCGTTATTTAAGTATCACACCATAAACTTATTGGCGAATGGTCACCGGTGGCAGTAACAATGAGAACACAGTTCTATTCGCTTTCATTTTGCGACACCCGATAATAATGGCACTTAAATTTTCTCCATGCGTTCAATGACACGACTTGAAAAATGGAAACATAAACTTACTACCTGCACGTCATGGATACTGACCAATCGGGAAAGGATGCTGTTACTTTAGGAGACAGAATATTAACTCAATCGGGTGTTTTTTTAGATAAAGTAATATTTCTAAAAACAGATTTGCCGTCTAGCTACAGCAGTTCTTCTTTATATTAAGGTCTAGCTTTTTCATACTATTTCTTCGGAACGTCCTGTCATTTATCTATTTTTTCTTTACCAAAAATATCAACGTATTAACGATAGACAAAGCATAAAACTGTGAGATGCTTAGGCCATACCAAAATTCCTACAGCAAGCTAAAACTGGCAGCGAAAGCACCGCCTGTCTTGCCAAATCATGTTTAATTTGGCAAAGCATTTATTTCAAAATAAAGTAGATCTTACCAGAGAGATTACGAAATCCTTGAGGAAGATTTTCCAGCTCATTATTTCCTAGATTGAGTTTTCGCAGTCGTTGCAAGTTTCCAAAGCTTTCTGGTAGCGACGTTAGCCTGTTGTCACCAAGATCCTACGCAAAGTAAGAATATATAAAAAAATTTCCACTTCAAAGGATTTGATACTGAAATTTAGTATTTTATGATTTGTTTTTTGATAAAGCCAAAATATCCATGGCAGATAACCAACAAATGAACGAGACACGCAAGAGGGAACTGTCTGTGCTAGTAATTCTACTAGTCTCAAAAACACTAACTGCAGGAAATACAATCTAGAAAAATCTTGTTTTACTATCGGAGAGTTTCGGATTCTTCAAAGTGATCATCTACGTACTGCAAATGATTCATAATGTTCATATGTATTAGATGTCACTGATCCATTCAATTCAGTTAGTCAAAAAACTTACCAAATCTTCAACGTTAACGAGATTTCCGAAATCGTCCGGTAATTCTGTAAGCACGTTCCCGTTTAAAAGAAGCACTTGGATAGACGGTAACATTGTCATTGAGACTGGGATGACAGAAAACTTGTTGTGGCTTAAAAGAGAAAGATTCACAAATATCAATTAGGCTATGATTAGCAAGCATATTCTACCAAATATGTGATATGGTTTACCTGTATAATCAAGCAACATAGCATCGATTAAAGTCCTTTTGTCAAATCAGTCAGCCGTTCAGGGTTAGGCCCTTTGGAGCGTTTTCAATTGGGAATAGGTTGAAAATTACTCTTATGCTGCCGATTGGAAAACGAAACAATAGTTTTTTGAATAGTTTAACCAATGGGAAGTTTAATTGTCGTCGAAATTCGTCTTCAAAGTGAAAAAGTACACGCCCATGTAGGAGCATTTGATAGCACTCATGGATTAGGGTAATCTTTGATGTACAAACCTGCATGACAATCGCCCAGTAGGACATTTATTTGTCCCCAGTTGGCCAGTAGCTGGTCTCGGTAGTAAGGAAAACACAGTGCTCTTGCCTCTCGAGGCCTAAGTGAAAATAAGGTCCTTCTCTTTTATTTCGTTGTAAACAAACCTATTTCGTTGAGCTTCAGCTGATTGATCTAAACTAAGGGCTACCGTTATGAATTACTGTTTTCAAGGGTTATCGCAAGTCTGAAGGCACCTAATCATTATTTACGGAATTACGTAATTACCTTAGATTAAGCCTGGACAACTCCTGTAATTCACTCAGTTCATCTGGTAAAGACTCGAGCTTGTTGTCATGGACCTGCACATCAAGAAGGGAGAAAACTTTAAAACTATCAGGATAACAACTTCACTGTTTAGTCTTGTGATAATGGGAGTAGCACAAATGCTCCATCTCATAGCAAACTTTTCTTTGTAAAAATCAGCTCAGATTTTTCCTATAGCTTGTTTTACAACTTAAAAAACCTTTTAATTTGTTGCCATGTATTCAAAGTAGGTGCACTATACTATAATTCTTGATGTAAGAAAAATACAGATGTGGATTGAAGGCAACACAATAAAATAGTTCAGCTTGATGAGTTCCTTTTTTGCCAATCAGCAGCCACTAACCTATCATAAATTGAAGTATGTCAGAGAAAAGACTCTTTCTTTTTACAAAAGTTGGGTTTTTTACGTTTGATTCAGCAATTTAAATTAGGAATCCTAGTTTAGGCCCGAATTTAAATTTGGAGCTCTAAATGAGGCTAATGTGTTAATTAGGCACCTAACTGAAGTTTGCAAATAGTCACATTTCTTTGCTTGAATCACACAAGAGCATCTCTGTCAATGAAAATTACAGTTTACCAGTCTAAATGTGTTTGATGCCATATAGGTAGAGCTGTAAACACTTCTGGTACAAAGAACAGGAACTATGTTGCTACTCTGAGTTTCATGCTTAATGCAATCATCAAGCAACTCTTCTGTCTACACACCATCTAGCATTATACAGCAGGTCAATAAACAGTTTTCTTTATTACTTTTTTCCATTAAAGCCTAGCCAGAAATCTCAATTTTTAACAAGAAATACAAACTTCCTCTGGTTTTAGTACCCCAATACCAATCATTGCTATGCCTGTGTGTAACAAATTTTAACAGATAAAATAATCTAAGCCCTCCATTTTATAACAAATGAGAAGACACAAAGACCTACATACATCAAGCACATTCAATGCTGGCAAATTCCTGATTTCTGATGACAACTCCTTTATTTGGTTTGAAGCAAGGATAAGTTTTCTCAAGTCAACTTGCTCCCACCACCGGTCACCACTACCAGTGTCAAGGGACACATTTTTACCCTCTTCAGGAACATCAATATTTATCCTCCAAACCTACAGAGGAAAAAAGTACTTTTCTCAGTTTTAAAAACATGTTTATTGTGAGAGCCCTTGATATAATTCAAAATTTTTAAAAAGAATGATTCAACTGAACACCTACACAAAGCATTGAAATATTAGAATTGAATACAAAAGCTTGTAGTATAAATAGCTGAAGGAAGGTGATGTAAATATACATTCTTAGATAATTAAATAACACATTTGATAACCAATAACTAGATGCCAAACAGTTTTGAGGGGAAAACAATTTAATATCATTTTTGTTTAATCCAAAACCAGCAAAGTGCATGTCTTTTCAATCCATTTTCCCATGAACTTCCTTGTGGCCTGGTCTTCAGTCCCCATGCCTTGCCTTTAATACACTTTCTTCTTTCATACAAAGAGGATTTCCACACTTATATTTATGATGTCATGCTCCATTCTTACCTTCTAATTTCTTATTCTATCCAGTTGCACTATTCTTTTGTCTTTCTTACTTTATCTTTATTATTCTGTTCTCGCTGCCAGGCTGCTTAGGAGTATCATTACTTTAATTAATCTTCTTTAGATACTTGATTCTTAGGAGAAAGCAAATTGAACTTACTTGGATTGGTACTTCTTCAAGACTCCTGTTTGACAAATTAAGTTGACCACTATGTCTTGCATTCTTTATAAGAGCATTTGGAATCCCTGCACCTTGACTTTCTATGCCAAAACCAGTGCCAAAGCCAGCTTGTGGTTTCCACTTGCCTTTCCCTCTTGAAGCCATCTTGAAAAAGAAATCACAACTTCACTTGAATAATCAAGAACTTTAAATTCTACAATGAATAACTTTTAGAATGCAAATCACAAGTTATTTGGTTAAAAAAGGTGAAATTCTAGGCCTTCAAACTTGAACAAAATCTATTAACGGTTCCATTCTGTCAAATATGGAGTTAGTTCTAGGCTGCTGATAATGAAAATAGCACTATCTATCTTAAAACATTTTTGGTGATTTTGCTTTAGAAATGAGAAATTTTGAGGTATTGATCAGAATTGTGTGTTGCTTCCTATATTTCAATTCTGCTGTAATTTCCATTCAACACTTTTATTGTTTTGCAGAATACACGAAGCCAGCAAGATACAAAGTTGCATGACTGTGTTTAAATGAATTTACTGACCAACTAAAATACAGGGTGTACACACATAAAAAAGGGGGTATTGTAAATTTGTTGTTGTTTACAAGACTATGGATTCAAAGACAATCCAAATTGTTAATGACTGGAGATACTAATGAGGACAGTTTTACGTTTTGCTAATGGTCACTACACATAAGTGTGGTCCTAATGACAGAATTTTTATCCATTTGGCACTTGAATGGTAAACCTGCAAGTTTTTCTGCAATGATGGCTAAGTAATTTAGTGGTCAAAATTGACCTCGCTAGATATTCAAAGTTATTCTAGACTGTGTTATCATGTTAGACTTCATGTACCATATCCAAAGATCTTTGGCATAGCATTGGCAATGAATGATATGGCAATGGCATGGCATTGGTGTTAGATGAGCATCTGTGGTGAAGAAATGTGTGATGTGTGAAATGCATAGCTGTAAAGTGACAAAGTCTCTCTAAGTTTTTTATGAAATTATACACTATTCTTTATATTGTCGACTCATTATATATTGCCATTCAATGCAAAGCAATTAAACTTCATGCATTGATGCATTGACACATTGACTTCTGCATCATCCCCACCCAATGTACAAAAAATTTGCTTGCAAATTACTGGGGGAAGGGGATGAGTTGATGAAACTTTTTGTTTGTTTTTTATTACCTATGAACCTTGGCATAAACCTGGCCTAGCCTTGGTCTCCCTTCCATTGCACTCCAGCTGCCAAACTATGAAGTATTTTTTCTGCATGGAGAACACCTGAACAATGATTTTAAATTTGCTGATAATGAACATTTTCCACGAATTCGTGCACAAAAATGAAGAAAAGGCTTTCAAAGCGACCTTTTATTCTTTGTTTTTCTAGCTATCAGAAATCAAAGTTTAAATGGTGGATTTTTCATGGGGAACATGACCAGATAAACAAATATTGTGCGCGTAATCTACGGCAGGTTCTTAATAATGTGCAGGTGGAATGAAGAATAAAAATCATTCTTTCTTTTAAGTAAGCAAACCAAACTTTTCAGTCTGGCCCAGTTGCATTATGCTCAAGGTGAGGAATTTTTGGTATTTCCAAAAGTAAAAGCTTTGTAACCACATCTTGCTTTTAGGCAAAAAGAAGAGTTACTCTGTTGGGTTCCTAAACTAAATAAGATTGAATCAAGCATGGATGACCGAAATAATGTGCCATTTAACTGAATTCAGGTCAGCTTTCAGGTGGAGGTGGCTATGAGCATTAACAGCTAGAGGTTGTTCCTCTATACATCTTATCAGAAAGTGATATATTTCAACAATGTTGCACAAAGGCCAGTTTAGTTTTACAAAAAAAATAGTCTCATGCCAGAGGAGATGATTACACACTATGACGAAATAAATATTCTATGTATAGAGCACGCACTCCCAGCACTGGATGAGCGGAAATACTGCTTTGAAATTAATTGATTGCGAAGCGATAAGCAAACACACAATAGGAAAAAAATTTAAATAAAAAATTGGTTGCATTTCTACTTCAGAGACCTCACCTTGCAACTTCGCTCGTCTGTTATTGTGGAAATCTAATTTTGAACAAATGCAAGATTTGGGTTCCCGTTGTCTCGTATTGAGGTCAAATTAACCTCATTTCTGTTCCGGTTTCCTCAGCATCAAAAGAGGCTGTCTTGAAATGGCTACCTGAATCACGTTGGAAGAGAAAGACCTATTTGATTAAAAAGAATCGTAATTTAACATTTGATCGAGTGTTGAATTGTTTTCGCATAACATGAAACGCAGAACTGACAGAAAAGGACAGGGAAGCACGGGAAAAAAGCCACGTAAATCTGGTGATTTAAAGAAGAGAGAAGATGGTCCGAAAAAGTTTAAACCGAAATCCACAAAGCCGAAATCATCATTTAAAAAGAAGAAGGACCAGAAATCGACACCGGGGAAAGATAATGCAAAGAAATCAGCTGTGCAAGAAGTGTCAAAGCGTAAAAGAAAGCTAGATGATGAAAATGGGAATGAAGGATCAGGTAAAAGCCAACAGATAATTTTTTTCTGTTCAATTTGTGTGGTCAATCGTTTTGCTTTATCTTGGTTTTCTCTCGATACCTTTATTGTAAAACACCTGCATTGTTTCAATTGAATCAATTCAGTTTTATTTCAAATTCCCTTAACTACAATAAATTCACAGATTTGCCTAATTTTAACAACAGATCTACAATTAAAATACAAATATAGATAAACTAAAGATCAGTAAAGGCTGAAATACACTATGCAGTTGAATGGATTCAATTAAATGGATCACTGGAAAATAGACAGTGTAAATGCAAAATTGGATGTCAACTAGACAGGAACTTTGTTTCTTGGACAAGTTCACGTGCCTGACTGCGCGAGTGCCCACCTGAAATTAGGCGCTTTTAAGAAATTTGTATTTTTGTTAATGTGAAATTTATTCAAATAGGAACTTTGCGTAGCCAAAATGCAAAAGTGCACAGATGGAAAATTTGTGTGCCCGGGCAATATATCGCAGGCGCGCAGCAAAGTTTGCAGTCTGGGATGTCAAAATAGCTGTTACAACAAAGTGAAACTTCCTTTTAAAAAGTTGAACATGTTCAACTTTGATCCAAAATTTTTCTATTGTATTCTTTAATCATTTTTCGAACCTTTTTTCTTTGATGATGTGCACTGCACTTCAGGTTCAGGTTCATTTTATTTTAAATTCCACAACATACATTTTCACAAAATGAATAAATAGAAATACAGCAACATCAAATATCAAACAATCATTATAACAATAAGGTATGGAAGACAAATTATCTGAGGCTTCACTCCACCGGTGAGGTTATTTTTTTGATCATGCTGTGTTCTGAAATTCTTATAAATGACTGCAAAGAGTCCCAAATTTGAAAAGACAATCTTTTGGTGGTGCAAAAATGGCTTTGAAAAAAGGATTTGCATTGGAGTATACTAGAGTTGTATGTCTGACACTCTTCAGAATATAAAACTTCAGAACATAAAACCCCAGAATCAAAAAATACCAAGAGTTTTTAAATTTGTGGAGAGGGAAAAGCTATCATTGGGACACAAATATCTGTATCCCAGTAGAGATGCAAGACAAAAAAAATTAACAAGCCTTGCTAAGAATTTTATCTTTGCTGGTATTGCCTCTCACAACCTTGTGTTAATTTTTTTAATATCAAATTCAATGGGTTGCAAAAGCCCATCCATATTTTGGCAAAACATTCTCAAGAACCTTTGATATTTGTCACCCTCTTCCAGATAAAATTCTTGCAAAAGTATATTATCAAGTCATAGCCCATTTATTCAGACCAACTAGTGCTTTACCCAAACAGATATTTCTATAAACAATTGCAGTAGTAGTGGGAGCAGCAGCAAATTCCCTAAAGAAATGAGGGGTCACTTGAAAGAAGTGATTGAATAATGGATGATTGTAAACAAAGACATTTTCATGTAAATGGACCGTTCATTCAAATGAATCCATTTAAGTGCATAGTGTATTTCAGCCTTAAGTTTTGTATGTAAATGGATTCCTTTAAGGGAAGAGCTCTCTCAATAGCTAAACTAGTCATGGAGAGAACACCCCTCTATAGTTAGAACTACTGTTCCATCTTAGTATCTTATATTTGAAAATAATAGATTGAATTGGTGCAAAGAAAATTTAATTTGGACCTACTGTGAAAATTCACAACAGAAGAAGAAAGATTGACTTAGTATGGAAATGGCATTCCATTTGGAACAACAATAATCTAGAAAGGAAAATATTACGATGCAAGAGATGTTCATACTTTTAGATATTTGTCTAAGAGGGGGCTCTCTAACTGCTGAACTAACCAAGAGAAAGCCCATCTTCCACCTAAGGCAATATTAAAACAAAGTATATTATATAAAAGAATAAGAGAGCTTGGATAATGTTTTGTCTGCTTTCTGTACAAATATCCTTCCATCAGAGTTTGTAAGTTTTTATTTAGTTGAAAAGTGCTATACATTTTGTTTAAAAGCCAGCCTTGCAGTACCATTGTTTTTACAGCCAGCAAGAAATCTAAGAATGTACCCAAACAACCTTTAACTAAGAAGGAAAAGAAAGCGAAAAGGAGAGAGCAAAAGGACAGTGCTGGAATCATAAGCCCACTCATGGAAATGTATGAAAAGCTGAGAAGGTATGGGTACCGTACCTGTTGTTATGCAGACATGGTTGATTGTATATTATAGTGCTGTTATAATTGATTTTATGAAAGTTTGCTTAAATTGATATGAAAATATTTTGTTTAGTCACATGACAATAGTAAGCCATTGTAGATTTGGACATCCTGTTTCCTACAATTGTTGAAATTAAGTTTGTTAATGTAATATCATTTAAGTTAAATAAATCAAAAACCACATTCAGGCCTACCTGGGAATAAATTAGCACAAGTGTGGCATTTTGCCCCCCTAGACTGTTTTTGGTGTTTGATGGAGTGTGAATTATGTTTTCAATAGGTTTAATTACATAGTATATTATGAAGCCTTAAAGACCCATTCTAAGGTCATTTCTTCATTTTTCACACAACTTTAACAAAAAATATCTCTGGTGGAATAAAGATAAAGGAAAGCTTATTAATATTGCCAGGGATCTTTCCTAAATTTAATGCCGAAAATATTTTAGATGCAGTTTCTGTGTCTTATCAAAATATGAAAACGGCACGAAACATTTCAGTGCAAATGCTTGAAACAGAATAATTCTATTGCAGAATTTCCTCTCTTTTAATCCAGAGTGCTATTGTTCTGTTTCCAAGTGTAACCCTCGAAAATTTCATGACTTTGTCACAACCTGCAGTTTTCCAAATTTTTCCGGTTTCATATGAAAACAATCTATCTACATTGAAAATTTTGTGGAAAAATGGGACATCCTCATCGGAAAATATGCCATATTGCGTAAGCTCTTTTGGGGAGGATTGTTTAGCATTGTGTTGCGCTCCACTTATGTTTAACCCAGCTGGCGGTAGGAACTGGATACAGAAATCACTGGCGTAAGACCAATAGCATACAGACAGCGAGCTTTCCAGCATGGGCCTTAGGCAAAGGCTTTCACATATAAACTTCAACTCCTTAGAATGATGGATGGCTGATGATCTGATATTTCGCACACAATTTGCACCAAATCTTTGTTACATATTGCTTATTGTTGTGGGCATAAATAGTATAGCCTATAATGTCATCGTTGCCCCATTTCAGGAATATGGTGAGGTCTTTTGTGACCCCCTTACTTTTGTTGCTGAAGACGCCAAATTTCCGAGTGTAGATCAGAAGAAATACGGCACAAATCTTGTCTAAACCTGAAGCCTTTTGTTTAAAAATTCAATTTAATTTACCATTAGAAAATAGTATTTTAGCAACATGTGCATGCTAACACAGGTCTTTGATAGAAAATGTTTTTAGTTTTTACAAGCGCTGGGCTAGAAGATGATTGCAAATTAGGGTATAATAATGGTTTCTTCAGCCATGAGGTAAGAATGAAATTTACCGGACTACTACTAGCTCCAATGCTAGGGTCATTTGGTCCGTGTTTGATTACATGAAAGTGTCAACACAACAGCTCTTCACAATGATTACGGTGGCCCAGTACAGTGGACAAGACCAGTAAACACATCAAAATAAAAAACACAAAACCTTTTTTTTTTGTCACTTTTTAGTTTCCAGAGCTTTGGTTAAAAATGAAACGAATGATTACAAAAATAGGCTTGCGATCAAACACACTCCTCGGTGTGGGGAGGCGTGTACCAGCGAGTGCGATTGTACACCTTTCCTGGCATTATAGTGTTGCTAAATGCTTCTTAGTTTTAGATGCTTTTTAATTGTAGATTTCGCATGATTTGATTGATATTGTCGACAATTATAATGACTGTTATGTTTCCCAGCAAAAAGCTTAGCAAAAGCCAAAAACAGGATGTTATTAATGAAGTCCTGACAATTATCAAGGGAAAGGAAAGCAATGTAAGTAAAACTTGAAAGTCTACTCTTATTTTGAAATTTTAACAATTAAGGCACTAATGAAATTATAACACCTCTGAAAAAAAGTTGTTAGAAGCAGCTTTTTTATCATTGTCATTGAGTTTAGATATGCTATTTCAAGAGGTATTTACAGGGCCGTCAAATGTATTAGATTGCAAGATTTATATTGTTGTCTTAATTTATGCTTTAACATCCCCTGTTTGTTTATCCCTCGTTATTAAAGATGGTCACTATCAAATTTTCTAAACATAAATGTTTAGGAAAAGTTAAAAGTGTTTATTCAAAGGATTGTTAATGTTTTGCTATCATGTTTATTGTTGGTATTTATCTTGGCCAAGGTACTATTTTAAAGAATATTTTAACTGTAATAATTTAACTGCTGTGTGAATACCTTAACACATGAAAATGTACAACATTAATTTGCATTTGTTTTTGTTTTGAAGCTCAATCTAAAGAAGTAACTTTAAAAAAGCTTAGGTCATATGAACCTGATAAAAATTTATTACCCTAAATTGGTACAAACTCATTGTAAGGTACTAGATCATGCATGATAGAAAGCTGCAAGCAAATGGACATTGGCGCTGTTTGATATGCAGTGATAGCCTTCCCAAAAGCTAACAGGCGAAATACTACCAATTGTACATCAAAAGAAGCATATTGAACTGAATACAATAAAAACATAGACCAATTTCCTGGGGCACATTTCCATAAAAAAATCATTATACACCTCAAGCAAGCTAACAGTTGACTGCATCTCATAACCTTTTATAGGCAGCCATGCTGGATATGTTTAAGCTTCTCCTGTTCTGTTGTTTTAATTTTAATTTTTGTAATAGGTTCTATATAAACACGACTGTGTGCGGGTACTAGAATTCTGTGTAAAGTTTGGGAATGACAGCCAAAGAGAGAATATATATGAAATATATAAAGGTTAGAATGAGATGACCATTAATGTATGTTGATATTGATAATTTGTTTCTAATTCGATTTTATTGTGTTGCCAAAGGAATGATTGATAGCTTTCGAATGGTTGAGATGAGCTTAGAGTATGTCAAAAGAAATACCTGGTTAAATACTTCATTGGCTAAAGGATACGTAATTATTAGAGAGTCAACTTAATCACAGGCTCTTCTTTTATTTCTTGCCATCCCAATTATTTAACTATCTGATTGTCAGATTTACTTTTTTGCTTCATAATCATATTAAGGCATTGTTTGCACTTCAGTTTAGAATATTACGTTTAGTTTAAAATGTTCAAACATTTTTCATTTCTCTTCTAATTTGTTTTAGTTATACAAGATTAAATTTTGTAAATAACCATTAATTCTAAATTTCATCAGCTTTATAGGCTTTATTTCGTATTTCAGAACACAATGTAGAGCTGCTTAAATCCAAATATTCAAAATTCCTGGTTAAAAAGCTTATTAAGTATGGGTAAGTGAACATTTACTCTGTTACGACTGCTTAATCGCCTTCTTTCAATAAAAAAATTAATGTTTTGATTTTTTTAACCTTGCTATTTCCTCACTGTGCTTATTTCATCATAAATGTTTTTTTATTAAAGAAAAAAGAATCAGAGAAGTTTGGTCATAAAAGCCTTGTACGGAAATGTCAAAAAGCTTGTCAGACAAAAGGTAGGACAATAACTGTCAATTTACCATGTCTCACTTCTTATCAGATAAACAGCTTGTCAAGCGATTCAAAATGAGCAAAATCTAACTGACCTGGTTAATAAACGCTGCTGCTTTTACCCAACATGTTGTGTAACAAGCTTCTCATTTTGGACTTTTGTCATTTCTATTTCTTTGTTATTACTTATTGGCATATATATTCGTTAGTGCGCTTCCAAATTCTTGAAATCTTCAAAGTGCTCGGTTTATTCTATGCTCGCTAACATACTTTTAAATAGAGGATTGAACGTTTCAGTTATCAGGGTTATGTTGATTTCAAGGCAATATCAACATTATTTCAAGAACGATTGGTTTTTATATCGACATATCATCTATGAGGCTTGAAAAGCTGTCTATTCTTCGACCAGAAACCACGCGAGATTTCTCTTTATTTTTCGTATACGAGAATATGTTAGATAAACTTCCTTGAAATCTTAGGAGGCATCTGGTGTCTTAGAATTCATTTACCATCAATTCGCTGACTCTGGAGAACGTTCATCGCTGATTGAAGAATTTTATGGCCCTCAGTATGCTGTTTTCAAGGTAAAGAAATGAATCGTGGCATATTTTTAAATCTCAATAAAGTCGTGTTAATATTCGAAAAAAATGTGCTTGCTCGTGACCATCTAAGCTTAATTGTTGCTGACATTCTCTCACTTTCTACACTGTCTCCTGGTTGATTTTTGATGAACAATACGCGAACACTTAAACCGGCAAGCCTATAAGTATTCACAATAATGTTATCACTAGGATCCTGATGGCTTAAAAGTTACAGAGAAATCATTTATTTAAGGGTAAAGATTGAAATTAAGATTAAAGTTAAAATTAAATACAAGCAAAACTTCGATACTTCGATGCAAATGACATGTTGTTAAGAATTTAAAAACTGTCGAAAAAAACTCGGGATTCTATTTTTCTTGCCTCTATTGCAGCCAAGAAATAATGTCCCTTTTGACCGAATTCCGTTTTCAGCAGTGGCAAGCTTGCTATTTGTTTCTCATTTCTTGTTTTTTTCCCCGTGCATTTTTTTTAGTGAAGTAATCTTTCGTCACATCGCAGATATTTTGCTGTAGGCTATCAAAAACTATCGTACCCTCTTTTTTCATTACTGCATCAATTTTTGGTCTTCTGAAGTATTGAATTGAAGAATAGATCTTTAAAGAAAGGGGTGAATATGCTGACCCCAGTCCACCTCGTCGAATTACCCCCTGCTCCAAACTAATCTCTGCTTTTGTGTTCAAAATGTTGTATTGTATCTGAACTCCCGTGGTTCTACATTCCCAGGATTTGGGGAGCGGATATCTGTTTTAACAAAGATGAAACCTAAGTCTATTTGTCGTATTATTGCTTATAAATGATATTACCTTTTCAACAGGCAGCCATTGGAAGGAAATTAGAAGACATATTTGATAAAGAGCCTGATAAGAAACCTCTAATCTTAAGACATTTGAAGGATTCGTTGATGCCTTTGGCTGCAAAGTGAGTGTGTCTGACAGTTCCACAGCACAAATCTTTTTTTGGGCATATTTTTCTTATTTTTAATATGCATACATTAATTCTGGACGTCATTCATTCTGGTATATTAAGACAGCACCTAGGTTCCCTGATTACACACTTGGGATAATACAAAGACCAGAATTTTGCGATGTAAAAAGTAATAGTAACATTAACAACAGATAATAACATTAACAATCTGTCTTAGGCCGTGCAGCCTGTTCTTCTATGAAACTGACGAGGTCTCATTGCGTTTGATTGTTGTAAAAATTGTTGAAGAGTCATGTTTTGGGGTCATTTTATTATGGGCCCTCTTTGCTAGCTGGTCAAGGGATAATTTTCTCCCACGTCCTCCCTCTGGGTGGGCCTGCCTGTATTAGGAGTCTAGTAAGCATTTCTGGAGCAAGAAAAAATTGAAAATGAATATTGTAACCATTTAGGTACAAATATATGAAAACTGGAACTAACGATAAAAAGCTGTTTTAGATATGGCTACCTTTGGATTCAGAAGTTTGCAAATAAAAAATTCCTTGTAACAGCAAAGTTTGCATTTAAAGGAAGTTTTTTTTTCATTCACAGGACTGCCATAACGCTGACGATCGTTCATAAGCCTCTTCTTGAATTTTTCACATTTGCAGAAGATCAGATGAGAGCTGTAAGAATTCATCTTTAGTAATGTTGTATTTAATGGAAGATCGTTATGAAATCTCGCTACTTTCCCTATAGTTTGTGGGTAAATCTCACTAAAATCCATCTAAGTGTGATTTTTCACTTTCGAATATGCATTGGTCTATTCCAGGAAATGATCGAGGCTTTAAGAGAGGTTATTGTTCAAATGGTGCACACACTAGATGGCTCCCGCGTAGCAATGAATTGTATCTGGTATGGAACTAAAAAGGTAAAAATCGTTTTATGCCCAGTGTCGCCGAGAGTCACTTTTCTAACAAGGGCAATAAACCTACAATGCGTTTAATATGGATTTAATATGTATAGAATTATTTTCTTTTAATTTATTTTTGTAAAGCATTGTTACACTTTCCCAGTACAGACATGACCATATTACTAAGAGTCATATTTAAAAAAAAATTATTTTAAGTACCAGCGGGTACTTACATTATAAGTATCTTCGCTTACGGACCCAGGGGTAATTGCCCCCTTGTCCCCTGCCGATTGGCCCTTATTTTACAAGCGTTTGGCCTGTTCTCTGTGTTTGATTTTCAGTAAAAGATGAATCTTGTTTATGATCCTTCCGTAAAGATTTTCCTTTTTAGAGAGGAATTCTTGTCTTGAAGTGCAGTATGGCAAGGAGAAATTCTATTTTTACTGCCTTTAGCCTTACCGTTGTTGCCACTGGACACATGTTTGTTGCCACATGGCTTCTAAATCATGTGTTAAGACCTGATCTTGATTTCGCTACTTTTTAGCTTTCAATTCAACTGTCAAACACTTGGAAATTTTGCTTCTTAATATTCTAAAGGACTCTTCGGTCATCTCTAAAAACTGCTTGCATGCGAAAAACCTAGAATTATTTTTTGACATACTAAGGAGAAAAGGTATTTTCTACATTGGATCGGCATTATGTACAAAAATCTCTTTTCGTGCAAAGTGACAGCGAAATGCTCAAAGAGACAATACTACTGTACTTCAAGTTTGGTGAAACATTGGGTACTTGCAACATTCATAATTTGCTTATATGTGTATTGTGAGTCACAAATAATGTAATTTTATATTTTATTGTGCTAGTCTCAATTAAGATATATTCATTTTAGGACAGAAAACTCATAATAAAATCATTCAAGACGTTTGTATCTAAAATCTGCATGGTAGGTTGTAAAAAATTTGCTGTTATGTGTAATGTGTCTTTTTTATACTCGACTGTGTTTTTTTTGCGCCTTTAAAAGAGTCGTCGATGATAGCTATAAGAATAGAGAATTGGCAGAAAAAGTACAATCGCTTAATTATTCAGTTCCTTGTTCAATTCCCTTGAAGGTAGTTTTTTCGTAACAGACTATATGACATTTGATTGAAGACCATTTTGTTAGCGGCAACTTGATGCATAATTTTATCTCTTGATTGTACGGTAACTTGCATGATTCACGTCTGTGTATAACGTTTGACAGCAGACTGGTTAGAAATTGAATTACCTTCCAGGAAGAGTACGGTTATCTGGTACTTCTGGCACTTTTTGACGTCGTGGATGATACGGTTGCTATGAGAAAATCCATACTTTCGGTAAGCGAAACATGCTTTTAGTTTTATCGGTGGCAATATGATTTGCCTTGCATTGTTTGACTTAATTTTTTTAGATCTGGAACATGCATCTGTTGTTGTTTTGCAAAGCAAACTTTATGTTTCTTGTATACTTGGAATACATGCAAATAAGCTATCTGAACTGAACTTTGCTTCGTAGCTAAACTCTGTTTCGAAAAGTTTCAGTTAAATGGTAACAGATTGCTATGTCTATTGACACTGCACATTTTCTTCACAGAGATGTGTTTGGTGTAGAGCTTTAAGATGGCACTAAACTGGCCAACATAGACATTCAACGTAAAACCAGATACACTTCCAGTGCTCGCCCTTTCCAAGTCTCTTTGGGAAGTTCACAAACCCTTCCCCACAACTCATCCTTCCTCCCAAGGTTTTGTAAACTTTGGCATGCTCTCCTACTTCCAAGACTCTCATAACCCGTCTTTATTCAAGATTGAAATAAACAAGTTTTATATTTCCTCCCTCTCTTCCTAATTCTTCCCCCTTTTGTCTTGTTAGGGCTTAACTATAGGATCTTGGGCCTTCCCTAATATTAAAGACTAAAAAAGGAAACATTCTCTTAAAATCCCATAAATTAACATTGTTTTAAGGAAACTGCAATATGATTTTGAATTTGCAGGAAATTATTTCATTATTTCAAGGCAGTTCAAAAAATCTTGATTAAGTCCCATTTAATCAGAACAACGCGCAAATATAATAATTTCACAAATTTCCGGACCAATCTTCACCGTGTAGCAAAGTTGATATTTTTGCTTTTAGTGCAATCACTAAACAGCTTTAACTGGCTTGAAATGGCTTACCAAGTATGGATACAATTTTTGAACACGAATTCCTAACGTTGATGTTGTGAACATACTTTGCGCTAAAGAGCTGTTTTCAATTCTAGGAAATAATTCCAAAGTTCCCAGAACTTATACAGAATCAGTATGGAAGAAAGGTCATTCTGTACTTGCTAAGTCCTCGCAATAAGAATTACTTTGCACCAAAATCAATCCAATTGCTAGAAACAGGAGATGGAAACCCAACAAGGTATCTTGCAACAGTCACTTGATTCTAAAATCTACCACAAGACTTACTAGTTCAGGCCATAAAGATAAACAGTTTATGCCCATGGTCACAGCCTACGGTATCAACAACAGAAAAATCATTCGATTTGTCTCACTGCAAATGTATCATTTTTATTGTCAAGTTATCTTTGACGTGGTTTGTTTATTAATTGTTTAGTCCTGAATGCTCAAAATTAATATGTTTGGTCTAGTATTTAGCATTAGAAATATATCCTGGATTACATCAAATATTTCAATATCCCATATCTAGCCCTAATGAAAGAATCTTCACTTTTAACTCAATTTGACCGCATGAAAAGGACTTTAGTGATTGTCAAAGTAATGATCTAATACGTACGCTTTTAGATGTTTAACTTTAATATGCCTTATAACATTGGTGTGTTTCTGAGAATCGTTCATCGTTGAATTTCTTACCTAAGATTTGTTTTTGAATCATCTATTTGCCAGAGTAAAAACTGCAAATGTAACGATTCATGTTTTGCTTGCTCTTTGCAAGAAAGGTGTTGCGTGGAATTCCATGGAAAATAAACATGCACGTGGAGTTTCATGGTAAACTTGTGCTCAATATTAACCCTTTTTAGACTGAAATGCTAGGCCCATTAATGTTAACCTGTGTTTTCTTTCTCCAGTAAGAAAAATGCGGCCACAAGGCAAGAGGAGCTAAGAGGAGGAATTCTCGACAAATTATTTACTTACATGAATGAAAATGTGGACTCTTTTATCAATGACAAAAGCGACTGCCAGATCCTACTCGCTGCGCTGGAGCACTCCTTGGGTATGCACTGAAATTTTTATATGTGACATCATATTGACGTTAAATGCAATATGCCTGACCCCTGAAAAGAAGATAACGGGGCATGTAGATGAGCAACACGTTTACAGATAGAAAAATTGTGTTAACTCATTAAAAACTCTTATAAAACACGTCTGTGGACAGGCCGCTGGAAAAAATGAATTGTACGAGCCCAGCTTCGTTGTTTTTCAAGCTTTAAGCTAAGGCCTTCTGAACCTTTTCACCTTCGTTGCCCGAAGATAGTTTGGTCGTACGAGAATGATGGTTGCTTGTTGTAGTTACCTAGATTTCCTATGTGTAAATCAACTATTTGGGAGGATTGAAGTGTATTGAGCTGTCACTGATTTTACTGTCTTTGAATACCCTTACTTTGTTTACGATGTTTTGAATAGTTTTTTACCTGCTCATTTAACCAGTTTCTTCCAGCATCACTTGCACCAGTTGCTTTTCGAAAATAATCCGGATAATTTTTTGAAAGCTCACTACTGACTTTTCAGCCAAGTTTCACAAAATATTCGTTTTCTTGTAGTTGGTTTTTGCAAAATGATTGCTGTATAAACCGTAAAATTATCACGTAAGAAACAGGTTAACGTGTTTTAAACGTTATTTGTATGAGAAACATGGTATTGCTTTGTAAATATGCTCTACATACAAAGGAGATTTACTTCGCAAACCTGTTGGTAACCATCATTGGCTGCATTAGGATTTCTTTATCTTAATGCTTTTCGTCAATTGCATTTTCTAGAATCAGTCGAAAGCCTAGAGGTAATGACATCCATTGCTAAACTGGCATCAGAACCACTGGATCAGGAAGCTGGTGAGGAGGTAAGCATTGCCAAATCAAGTGCCTCGATCCATTTTATTATGTACTACCACCTTAAACCAACATACACAAATGCAACCTAACTCTTATTGGGCCAGAATTAACATCCGTTCCTAGTCGATCTGTCCTATCTTGGGGTAGCTTTTGAAAGCACTTTAACCCACGAGAAAAGGCGTTTTGGAGCAAACCTATTTGTCCTTAGTTTCCCGGTACTCATTATTGGAAGGTATTTTTTAAAAAAAGTTTCCATAAAGTCAATGTCATGCGATGTATTGCCTTATTTCACAACATTCGGGCATATGTCTAATAATGCTTATCGTGGGTCTAAATTAGCGAACTTGTGTTTATGATGATTTTTTTTGAATTTGTGTTTAAACGGAATGGCCATCCAAAATTTATCAAATGATGAAATATCCGAGCACTTAGTCTTTCGTAGGTCACACCATGAAATTATATTTGACATTTTTTTATCAGTTTAATTATCAGCAATTATTACGGATATTTTTGTAGTCCGGGAAGGTGTTTATCCTTCCAAAAGCCCGTAAGCTTGACCTTGAAAACTAATTATCCAATTGATGGTCGTCTCTCTGTTAGATAATTTAAGACCTGATCATCAATTCTACAAAGAGCTTTCAAACCTGAAGCATTCCCTGTTTTCAATAAAACAGTGCTACTGTCAATGCTTGGATGGTTTTTCTTCTCCAAGCTCTCATTGCTTCACTCACCGGGCTTTATATTCTGCAAGGCTATCCATATAGATGATTATCCAGTATTTAGAAATAGTTGATTGTTAGGGTAACCTTAAAAGAGTAACTGCATCATGGCAGGGTTACATATCAGTGTTGCTATTGCAATATTTATTTCTCAGAATCATCCTGCTATACACGCATGCGCTCATTGGGTTATCAAAAGAATAATACAACAAGACAAGCTCAGACAAGAACGAGGTGAGCCTCTATTTTAATTGCCATGTCAGTCATACTTCGTTATAATCACGTTATTGTTTGAGGAATCACGGAATCCTATAAAGCTGCTTTAAGTTAACATTTGATTCACTGGCATTTTCTTTGGTACAAATGGAACATTATAGCTAAAACCCTGTTGGTATGTGTTGTAATTAGAACTCGAATAGGTTATGTGAATGATGACCCTGATTGTGCGTTGGGATAATTTTTATTGAAAATACATTATATCTTGTTGAATGTAAGAAGAACTGGACTTTTTTAGTACAAAATTGAAAGTAAGGTCAGTTTTTGATAATAAACGCTTTGTGAAAAGTTACAATGAGGGACCTATAAAAGAGATTGAGCTAGAATATGTCAAAGCATCACTTGATTAACGATTGGCATTAAAATCCCTTATGATATCTGCCACCAAAGCCTGGGCACTGATTTTAATAGAGGAATACCACTTTTAACTGTTAGGTAAAGGAGAACATCGACTTTCAGGAAGCGAAATCTTGTTTGTTTGGTTCATTCAAGACGACCAGCAAATAACAGACTCTTAAATACTAGTGAAGTTGATACCCGTTGCAGGTTCAAAAGTTTTGACAAACAATTGCAGTGATAGAATAATTCAAATTTCAATATCTTTTTTGAATGCGGTTTTTTTAAAACAATATAAAGACCTGATAGAGAAGATATGAATATGCAGGCAAGATTCAACCATCAATTTGATTTCCATAGCCAGGGGTGTAGCATCTATTTTTAATGTTTCAAGAAATAGTAGCTTTTTAGTTTGCCAGAGTTGTGTATACTTTTTGAAAATTTCTATTCTTTCGATGTACAGGAGAGAAGAATCTTTTTTGCAAAGTCTTATTAGATACAGTTCCTGAAAATGAATATGGTAAATGGGTACAGTACAACAGAGGTGCCTTTGTTGTAGCAAGGTGAATTTTTATACTTCAAAGACTTTATAAAAGTATCTAGAAAGTTTCTTAAACTATTTAGAACATGACCTATAATTCACTGCGAAAGTACTGTCCTCGATGCTAAACTACGAGGAAAACATGTGCAATATTTAATATATAGTTGATCCAATTTTGCATTTGCGAAAATAATTGATTTTTCTACCGATTGAGCGGTAAAACTGTTGATCATGTTTTATGATGTTGCCCGTAATCGTAGTTGTCAATCTGAGCAGAGTACGAAATAAGTAAGAAGTAATTGCCTGGCAGGTTTGCTACTGTTTTTAGGTCATATGCCCCTTTTATGGAAGCTTGTCTACGATTGACTAGAATCACAATAGTAACCAATTTGATTCTATTATAACTGATACCCTTGTTAAAAAACTTTGGCTTTGGAGCCATTAGAAAGTTGTTTAACGGGGTTCAGCTCTTCAAATAAATCAAAGTTTCTTGCGTTGGGCTCAAACCTGAATTTCTTTTGTTGTGCTTGATTAATTTTATGGATTGACTAGAAGACCAATTAAATCCTTCTGTACTTTTCGACACATAAATTTATGCATTTGTTGACACAGAAATTGTCTTTTTACTGCTTTCCATAACCTTTTTTAACACAATCAATGTTTATTGTTTTACTTCAAAAATAATAGAGACTGACTGCGTTGTTTTGTTTTTGCATCTTAGCCTCCTAGAATCTGGTGTTGAAGAAGTGCAGATGCGAGTAAAGAAAGCTTTACAGAAAGTGTCAGATACGTTGCAGCCAGGCAAGTCCAAAGGAATGGATGTTGTTATAAAGCTCCTTGGCCTTTGAATGGTCGATCTTTAGCAGATTATCACAGAAGAGAGAAGAAACGAAGAAACGCTCAAGAAATATACAGCAGAGATGGCTGCTCAAAAGTCAATATGACGTCATAAGATTTTTATCACGCCTACTAGGAGGCCATGGGTCGTTTTACATTGAAAAGCGACCTCGAACATCTTACAGCAACGATCAAACAATTTTACCATAAAAACATTTCCTTTGCTTTAATCTTGTCTCTTGGTCGACTGCTTTATGACAGCTGCTATGTACCTCATTTTTGTTAGTTTTAACATCACTTTTTAATCATTCCTAGAGAAAAAACCTTTGGGATTTTTCCAGTTTTCTATTTTGTTAAAGTAACTACTGAAGGGAAGTTAAAAAGTCAATGGTGAAAAAATAGGGTCATTTATTCTGAAAAGTGTAAATTAGGAACCCATGAAATTTTGCTATGGAATACTATTTTTACATAAGTATGGAATACCATTTTTCTTCAATCTCTGACATCATAATTAAAGAAGAACTATTCTGTTTAAAGGGTTTGTTTGTAATTGTAACTTTTTAACATAAAGCAACTAACACTACAGCAAATATTACCATCTTTACATGTTTTGTTTTTTTCTGGTAAAATATCTGTTTATAATCTTTTAACAGCATTTCTTTTGAATCTATACGAACCTTACAACGAAATCTTCAAAAACGATTGTAGTGGACCTACTTTTGACACTTTTGAGCATCTTGTTAGAGTTACTTCTAGTGCTGTGTTTGTTTCAAGTATTTATCGAAGGAAATCCCAACTTAAGCCTCAAGTAGAGTTTTTATCTCCTCAAATGGACTTACATAAGTTAAAGCCAGCATTTAAAGTTCGCTAAGTTTTTCAGCCCATCCATACACAGCATATAGGCCAATTTTGCTTTGTTGAGCTGATGCGGTTTCACTGAATGGATCCCTGACGCATTTAAGAGTCAGCATTTAGTTTTAAAATTTGTGTCACTTTACATTCCATAAAGCAGATTTTGGAATCAAAGCAAAATGGACCTCATTTGCCATAAGTCATGGTAAGTCTGCATGTGATGGCATTGGAGGAACCGTGAAAAGACTAACCAAAAATTTACAAAGACATTATGGCAATTACATTTTAACCGTGGAGGCAATGCTTGACCTTTGTGACAAGAACATCGAAAGTGTAAATTTTATTCATGTAACAGATGTCAAGGCAGAAAAGATATTCCGTTATTCATCAAAACATCTCGTTCGTAAACCAACCTTTTACAAAAATCCTTATAAAACAACTATTGCCTACACTGTCTCTCACTCCTTACGGCCTTACAAAAACACGTGATCTAAAGTTCAAAATTAATCTGGGGGTTAATCCGGGGGATTGTTAGTGTACTGACATTCATATACGAAAAATAGACATGGTAGAAGTGCGAACAAAACTAGAAGCTCGTTTTCAAATTGGGAGAGCAATCCCAGGAACCAGAAGCTTGAAGCAATTGCGCCATACACTGTTGGCTACAAGCGAACTTCAGACCGCAAAGATTTTGCAGGCACCTTTCATATATCTGGTGGTGAAAAAAACTAACTGATTTTGTTGAAGGGTTTACAAGCAAATTATGAAAGAAATGGTGGATAGGAATAATTGAAGAAGTGAGAAGTGATGAACAAAATGTTTTTTGTAAATTGTTTACATCCTCCTGGTCCAGCTGGAAATTTTTTGTGGCCCAAGAGACCCGATGCCTGCTGGATCCCAGTGACAGATGTCATAACCAAGCTTTAAATACCATCTACAGCAACTGGACGCACTTACCATATAACTGATGATGGATTTTCAGAAATAACTGCAGCTTTCTCAAAAAGTTATTTGTAGTCAGTCTGAGGATAATACTGTGAGTAACATCGAACTTTATCATTTTTATTTTTATCTGATTGTCTAATGCTAATGTATGGCTTCTAGAAACATATGGTAAGTAGAAGTGTAGACAAATGAAATGCAAAATTTTGTTGCACGAAAAGGAAAAAGAGCAAAGTTTTGGATAAAAAGATCAAATTTTTTGAGCTTCAATATCTCCTGTGTTTCAGATATGCAATTGAAGTGTGTGATATTTTTGGAAAGCACTGTACAAATACTTTTAACATTTGAAGTTTAAAATTACATAAATGTTGAAAGACTAGTGGAATTTTAGCCTTAAAAATGGGTTGTGCAGATTTGCGATGTTTTACAATTGGGGAAAATGGGAATTTTCTCAATGTTCTGATGATTTTGTGATCATTTAAATGCAATTACAGACTCAGCATAGTTGAAAGGTCTTTAGTGGCAACTTAGGATCTCCTGTCAACCATATTTTAAATTTTATTGTAATTTTAATGTCGTATGTCACTCGGGCCACGCCTTAATTTAGGGCAATTTTCAAATGGTGATATCTCCGGAACCAGTCAAGAGATTGACTTCAAATTTTGCACAAACTCATTTCTCCAGGATGTTAGTGCATGATTGGAAAATCAGTAAAATCTGAGATCATGGGTTAAAAAACTGCCACTTTGTATGAAATTTCCTATGGAATCACCCTGCAGCACCGGCGATAAATTGTTGTAAGCAAAAAAAATGATCAGAAAAACCGCCATCAGTTAAAACCGCCGATTCACTATAACCCTTTGCTTCACTGCAGCCATCAACAATAGTTCTGTCATCCCAAAACGACCGTTCCTGCGGACGAATGCCACACAAAACCATTTTAAAACAACCCATCGTAGAAAACAACTGACCAGTGAATAATAGTACCTCCCCTTAGTATGCCAAATATAATGATAAAAATTAAAGACGAGCAATAGAAACGCTTTGTAAGGTCCTAGCAGCATACAGGGTGTCATGACAGTGTTTACTGCATGCAAAACTGTGGTGGACTGGGCCTTTCTAGTAATTTCTTAGTAATTCTTAAAAGTAGAACACACTAGAAAAAGTTGACTAAAATAATTGTAGAAACTTCTAAGTAAGCTTTACGTAACATGCTGTAATTTGCTTATTACATATTATTCCTAAACACGTGATGTGGTACCAGCATATTCTAGAAATTTCTTGTTAAACAGTATATAAGGGTACAGTAGTTTGCTGCAACAATTCGGTTTTAGTTGAGGATCTGTTATGTGAAATTCGATGGATACATAAACACGACGCTTTGTTGATTTCTTTGGAGAAAACCTTTACGGGCCTAAGCTGGAAAACGTACCTTATCATAGCGATGAAAGCGACGCACTTTGTTTGTGAATCTATTCAGTGTGTCACAGGGAATATAATTCAAGCCAATGCGGCCTTGGATTCTCCACAAAACTCCAGTTCTCTCAATATTACCCTGCTTCTGCAACTAATATACGCCCTGGTTGATTTCATTTTTCTTTTGCATCGGAATGTGAAATATTCCCATGCTACTTGTAAAAGGCACACAGCGCACTCCTTGAGGAATCAAATGGTCCTCTTTCACTGGAAGATCAAACATGGTCTTTTCTCCTTCGGGGTTGGGTGAACCACCGTGTCATGTTTCGTTTGGGGTCGCTCTTACCGTGTCATGTTTCGTTTTCTCGTCAATTTTTGCCTGTGAGCCATCGATAATTATAATTTTGCTCAGTGCAATATCGGGAGCTCCAAATCTCAAATACCTAACATATCTTGGCATAATGACCAAGAACATGGTTTTGCACGTCGATGCAGGCTTGTAAAACCCTCTGAGATTAAAAAAGGTCGAAGTTAAGGTGCAAGATTGACGAAGAATAAAAAAACTTACTGTTAACTATTTTTGAGGTACAAAAATCATACGAACTTTAATTTTACAAGCTAAAATCTCAAATTATTTATATATATTAAATTTACAACTCTCTCATAGCAAAATTCAAATATATGCACAATGATATCTTGTTTAAATGAGAGCTCTTTCACATATTCTTACGTCAATTTTTTTCCAATATCCACTTCATGGATTTAATTTCTCCTTACATTTCTAAACTAATGTCGAATTTATTAAATTGGGGTCAAGATACCGTCGAATTTTTGACAGTGACGCAAGCAAGCAAGCAGGATATATTAAAGAACCCTCATTATATCGTTATAAATTCGATTCGAGATTTACAGTAACAATGTTACATTCAAATATGACAGGCAAATTCTATCACATAGAAGCTATCAAATCAAACTTGATTTGATACAAGCTAAGCTTAAAACTAAAACTTTCGTTAAAACTGGTGAGCAACAATAAATGAATGAAATTCGGAAAATGATTAGAAAATATTTAGAATACTAAAAATTAAACAGCTTTAAATTCGACGAAAATTAATGGTAAATGAAGAAATTATTAAAGTGATGGAATTAAACAGTTTGAAATTGCAGAAATTACAAGCATACTAAGAAACATTGCAACTAAAATCTATAACATCAAATCAAGGCAAGATTTTATCAAAAAAATTATCTTGATTTTGAACAACTCACAAAGCTGATGCAAACTTTGAGTTCCAGTCCCTTTGAAAAACATTGCGAAGCTGTTCCTGGATAGGCGGCGAAGAAGCATTGCTACTGGCTAGCTGTGATATTACATACCCTATTCCAGCCGTGCTTATGAAATAGTCGCCTGACCAATTAGATGTGCCTATGTAAGCCCCAGATTCTGTTACCATGTACTTGTTGTGGTTAACACGTGTAAATGGAACATCTATTTTACCTGCTGGCACGGTAAACAGTTTCTACAAAAGAAGTGTTAGAAAAACTAATAAATCTGACTTACTATCATAATCTGTGTTATTTTAAAATATCACAACTTTCGCAACATTTACCTTTTCAACCTTTGGCATGAGAAAATGTCTTTAAGAGTCATATAAAAAGGAAAGGAACAACTTGCTGCCATTGCAGAGTGCTCATTTCATTATTCAACTCTCCTCTTAATGCTGCTATATTACCTTTATCTTCGAGCATTAAGTATCTTCAGATACAACTGTCGTAGCAAAAAACTTTCGTTTTGCTACAGTTTTTGACATTTTTATGATATTATTCTGTCTTAAGCATAAACAACAAAAATCATCGAATTAGCAACAGGGTCCACCGAGCCGGATTGTTAATGCGAAAACTTTTAAAGTATAATGTTTAATTATCTAATCTTTGTTTAATGGTGGCCTTTTCCTAAGTACATGAATGGTTATCAGAGGTCGGCTAAATGCCACTCTTCCGTCAAAAGTAGAGATGACTAAACCACCAAATTTCTTTGAACCTCTTCAAAATACATTATAAGTAAAGGTTTGCACCCGTGTTTTCTTAAACAAGTGGATGCTATCAAAAATATTAACAAAATAAAAAGAATGAGCCCTAAGTCAGTGCCTTGTAGTGCTCCAGTGTATGCTCACTTTATCTTTCGAGTCCGATATAGGCTACAGACCTGACTTGAGTCATTTATAGCTTGATCCGAAACTCTTATTTCTATTCACATACATGTTGTATCTTAAATGATATATATGATATGATATGAATAAATATTTATACACGAAAAATATACCCTTTAGCATCTAATAATACATGCATACAATTTTATAAAACAAACAAACAAAATTATTTCAAAGGCAATGTAGCATCTAAATATGTTAATATTGCTGTTCTATCAGTGGGTCGTGTTTTTAAGTTAACGTTTTTGATCAGCTAGTAGGTGTGCTTTCAATTGTTTTTAAAGACTCATTGCTAACAATGGGCCTTTGCGAGCGTGGCGACGGTCCAAACAAAGGCAGTAAACTTCTACGGAGTAACCAAAATTGAATTCAGACTGTCTGAAAATGCATTATGGGATGCTTGTGTGGCGCAAAAAAAATAAAATAGCACTTACAACTGTGATACTGCCGTTCTTGCAGGCATTGCCAAAATCTTGCAGTGATTTAAGCATGGGTATCATCTCCTTTTTGGTATGAATCCAACTGCTCATCATCAACTGTACTTCTACTCCTCGGTCATAAGCAGCTTCCCGCAAGGCACTATCAATCACACCCCAATACCTACAAAACACCAAAATATTCGCTCTGCTCACTACAAACAATGAACATATAGATGTCTTCACTGTTCACCTGATTATTCTGTTCTTCGGTGATCATGGTGAAAGAAAATAGAGTGGAGCTGGCGACATTTATTGGTTGGAGAAAAAACGGAATTATCATAAGACTACGAATGCCATAGAGTATTATGGGGATAAGACTTTGTATTGCAATCAATGATAATATATGGACTAACAGGAAAGATAAAATATCTTGAAAAAGGCAACGGTGCTCTATCTTTCAAAGAAAAGAAAGCAAAACCTTGATAATGTTATATCGAAGAAACCTAAGCTAGAGAAAGAGGAGGAAACTGAAGAAAGCTCTGTGGAAGAAGAGACGATATACTGTCTTTTAATTATTTTAAACTGTTATCGAACGATTTTTAAGATTAAGAGTTGTAAAAACTTGTTTTTGAGTTCAAAGAAAGTGTGTTTATTTCGCCTTTTGTGTCATTTCTCTACCCATTCCTCCTTATTCGATTGTTTTCTGAATTCCATATTATCGTGAAAGAAATGCCGATCAAATCGAGGGGCAAATTACTCTTGAAAATGGTGTACGAGATTGAAAAACAATAGTGATTAATTTGCGATTAAATCAATTTTGTGTGTGATTAATTTGATTATAAGTGATAAATGTGATTAATTTTTTATTAATTTGGATATATTTAGAAATTGAATCATAGTTTTCTTTCCTATACAGTAGCATTAGTAACATGGATGAGATAGCCTTGGATGAAAAACAGTGAACAGTTGTTGATCACCTTGTGAAAGACAATGAGGCAAATGGATGTTTTCTGTTGTATGGGCCAGTAAATTTTTTTAAACCTTTGCAAGAAAAGAATCAGTTTAAGCTCATCTAAAATTCTTTCGCCTTTCTGTAAAAAGTGCAAAATCCGGAAATACGGAACTTAATTTGGGTAAATTACAAGAATCTGACAAAAATCATTTCCCATAAATGTAAAAGTTGCAACTACAGCAATAGATTAATCAATTTGATATTTCCAATTTTGTAGAAACAAGCACAATCTGACACCACCATCGCCTTTTTTAAATGTGTAAAAATTTTTAGCCCGTTAACTTTTGCTCTGATGAAACCCCGTATGCAGGGGCGGAAAATTAGCCTTCACTAACTTAAGTGTATTTATTGTTGTTTATTCTTGGCGTATTGCGGTGTTTCATATTTGCTACAAGGATAAGCTACTCTGGGCAAAATAAGCACTGATCCATAAGCTAGACACTAATGAATCAAAACAACTATAATCAAATAATTCTGAGGCAACAACTAAACATCTGTATTACCTTTCAGGTCGTGAATAAATAACTGCAGTGACATAATCCATTACAGCAACTTTGATGAATTTCTTGGCCGACATTATCACATGAAGAATAGCATCAATATCAACAGTGCGGTTAGATGGACAAAACTGAGGAGGAGATGATGCATAGTAGACAGCAGACGAGCCATTGCTTGAGGTGATTACTAATGGGTTTTCTGTAGAAGCAGAAAAGGTAGAAATGGATCAATAAACCCCTGCTTCATTATAAAATAAATATCTAGAAGTTTATCTTGATCTATTTCAATGTTTGCAAGCAAAGGCTAGGCACTAAAAATTGCACACTTTTTAGTCTCGCACACTTTAACATGGTGCATTTTCTGATAACACTGCCTTTCTTCTGATAATACTGGTAATGCAAATACTGCCTAATTTGAAGTACAATTCAAATTTCAAATTAGATATTGTCTACCCAGTTGTTTGTTCCACTAGATTTAGGTTGTACTTAGTCTCTGTTTGCACATAACTTCTGTATGCTATTGTCTTAATTTAAGAAGCCTAGGGTGAATACGTTTTGCTTTTCCTGTGTTGTATACAATGCAAAGTCAGCTGTATTTTTTGGTTACATTATATGGATAAAAGTGAACTGATTTGAATTCAAAGCTGCTTCTTCAGTATCATAACAATCTTAAGATAGTTGAAAACAAAGTGCCTTCTAAAAATAAGCATGCATAATTATAACAACTGAAGAAACACAGCCTTTGTGTCCTTGTGTTATGTTTAAGGCGTTGCTGATCATATGCATTGCCTTTTCCTTTCTAATTCTGTTTTGAGGTAGATAAAAAATCAAGACTTTCAACATACAGTGGTAATGAAATTTTACCTTTATTTATATTGGTGTTGTATGACTGGGGCCATACTTTTGGAATCTTTGCATCTTTCTGAGCTAGCACCCAATAAGCCTCAAAGATTTTTGACATATCAGAACACAAACAAGGGCAGTTGTATGTCATGATTCCAAGCTCTTTTACCTGAAGAACAAAGCATCACAGTATACAGCTGTAACATACTATATGAGCATACAATGACCAGGTCTGGTGAATATATTCTTAATTCTATGAATAAAGTAAAATTTGGCAAATCAACAACCTAGGTCTCAATAAATTTTCAAGGATAATATTTTGTGCCACTGATACAGGTATTTGTTTTTATCTAATATATTGCAACTAGAATTCAAATATTATCCAATTCAAATATCATTGGCCATTTTGCTTCAAAATTTGCACACTTGTATATTTGTACCTTATGTACATTATCAAAAAGTTTTGTTGTTATTCCTTGATTTGCATCATTTTAATGGCATTAAACTTCTATCAAATTCCTTCCATTACTTTATTTAGCATTTTGAAATATCCCCAATAGGAAACTAAATTATAGAAAAAAAGAAGGACAGGAACACTTGAATTTTTTTGCACTCACCTCTGTGTATGATCTCCAGTCCATGTTTGCACTTCCCAGGTAGATATGGTGACCATCCACAATCCACAACTTTGTGTGTATAATCCCACTTCCTATTAGCTTTTCAACATCAAGTGTTCTAACCTCAATACCTTCAACTTTGGCAAGAGTATCTGTATCATTTGTAGAATACATGCACTTTCCACCTTTGCAAAGTACTTGGTGCACAATCCTTATATGAACCCCTAAATGAAAAAACACCTAAATGTACAACAAGTGAAACAATGCTTGAAGCAATATCTTGAAAATTAAACTGTTTTTAGTTGTTTTCTGGCTTTGTCATTAGAAGCAATGTGTCCTTTTGAAAATATAATGGCATATGCAATAGCAAATGTTCACAATTATAAAAGAGTGTAAAAACTTCAATAAAAATTAGTAGTTTCGTTGCATATGGTTTATGAAGCTGTTTGACAACTTCAAACAAATCATGATTTCATTAAGATTTAATAGTTTATTGTTAAAGATATAAAGTTTACTTTCAAGTACCAACTCCTTTGCAATCCAATTTTTAAGGTATCAACAACAAGGCAAATTTTCCATAAATCAACATCATTTGACCTCATCAACAATCGTTTTAAAAAAAGATGAACTACCTCGTTTCACAGCAGCATCAATGAGCCCATCAAAAATTTCCTCTCCAACTTTTGCCATTGGGTATGGTCCACCTTTAACGTCAGTACCCCTCAGTGTCCAATAGGATGAAGCAATATCTATACTTTGATTTGCTGTTGTCAAAATTTCTTTCAACTTCTCGACTATTGCTGGGTTCTTTGGTGATCCAGGATCGTAATTCATTCCACTTGGGATCGTCTCCACTAATTCAAAATTGCAGGCGCCATGGCAGACAACATTCGATGAATTGGAATCAACCTTCACTGCACTCTTTCTAGCTACGATCAAGAATGCCAACAGGATGAAAAAAATTGCAAAAAGTAATGCAGTCACTGTCACGATTGCTGTCCATCTTCGTTGTTTTTTCTTTAAACGTAGAGTAATGTCGGCTTTGTATGATTCCACTTGTTTCCCGTCGATTTCTGTGTATTCAAGACGATTAGGTCCATTTTGATTAAACGAATCAGACAGAGGATAAGCCATGTCTTAAATCTCAGGTAGGCCTATAATGTCCTTTGCTAGCTTACCTTAGGCCCAAGAGACCTCTTCGCCATACACAATAAAATGTACTGGCGAGCCCCTCAGGTTAGGCAAAGAGACTTCGGAACAAGGTTATATATTGTCTAAAAGAAATAACTCATCTGTGTTCCCATTAAATTTCTTGTAGCATTACAGCAAATAAATAATGTTCAGCTTTGTCATCTGACTTTGTGCATGAGTTCTGCTTGTAGCTAGTTAAACTCTCCTCCGCAGAGTACCATAACAGACGGGGATGTCGGTGGTTTTTGCTGATAAGAACTTACGATATTGGTAAAGTGGGGGAGGGGGGCGCAAGGGAAAATTGAAGACCCATAGCAAAAGATTTTGCAAAAGCTCTATTGCTTCGAGAAAAGATTGGGGGAGGAAGCAAGGTTCTGACATAAGAAGATAGTATGAAAAAGCAGAAAAACAAAGCATACTAAAGTACTCCTAGAATAATGACTAAAAGTATAACTTGTCATTGTTGGCTGATAAATTCTGCAAGGGTGATATTTGTGTGATGCAAGAAAATACATTTCAAAACAACATTCAATCTATTAGATATGAAGTGCTTTATACTGGAACAACAACCCCTTCAACATCAAGCATACACCTTCAGCCATGAGTTTATCAGCAATTAAAAACATCATCTGTTCTTTTTAAATACAAGCCCTTGTTCCTTTGGTAAGACAATTTTTCTTGCATCAGACTTTTTAATTTGGGGTCTCTTTTAAATTGTAAGTTGAGACTGCATATGGTAAGATTTCCAAATCAAAGTACAAAAGGGCTCAAATGTCATGGTCCATGGGATATGGCCACACTTTTTAGACTTGGATACAAAACTCTGTTAAGAGTGTAAATTGTACCAGCAGCCTCCCCACCCCCTTCAAATTCAAACATTCACCGGAGCCCCTCTTTCAGAAAGTTAGGCATACTCAGTCAATACTTCAAAAGCCCTAAAAGTAAAAGAATATAAAAATAGACAAACAGTGGGCAATTTGCTTGTTCACTGGTGGGCCGAGCCATCCTTGGTAATGAGACCAATGAAATGAAAGGAAAAACAAAAGTTATGAACAAGATAATTAATGGTCATGTTTGTTGTTCTCAAATATGCTTTCACCTCTCCTCCTGAATATTCTTTTATTAGTTTGTACAATTAACAAGGTCATAAAATTTATAAATTGGAGGGGTGAACCTTCCAATACAGGAAAGAAAAAAATTGTGGAGTACACTTCCTTCAATCCTGTTAAGAAAAGTACACTTCCTTCAATCCTGCTTTTGATTTGAAGATCTTCAGGGTGAACCATGATCTCGATGAAAAATGTTGTACTTCCACTCTGGGTGATTTGTGCTCTTGGCTCAAATGTATGAGATCATGAGTTCATATTCATTTGTCAGTGTACCTGGAGCCGTAGCACAGGTCTTATGCCAATGGGCTAGGTGTTTGCCATGAGTTTGGCAACACCCTTATGAGAGTTGTTGACAGTGCAGGAATTCAGACTTTTATTGGGAGGGGGGTTTAGACCAATGATTTTTCAACAAGATAACATATTGGATGGGATTTTAGCATGTTAAACATTTGTCAGTAATCTTGCAAAAGCCAAAATTTTAAAGCTAGAACGCTGATTGGGGGCCTGAGCTCTCCATAATTTCCATCACTGGTTGTTGAAGGGTTGGATTGGGGTGCTTCATGACCAAGGTGGAATAAAACAAATGCTAAAAGCAGTCTCATTTTGAGCAAGCTGAGGGATCTTGCCTGTTCATTAAATCTGTTTTCAAATTAGAACAATCAATGCTTGTTGTGATAACAATTGATTAATTAATTGGGAATCTGGTTTATTAAGATGACTCATTCAAATTTTACCAGAAGAGCGGATACATGGACACATACGGACTTGAATTGCACAAAAACCGTTTACAGGTACTTACAGGTGTCTTCCGATCAAAGGAGAGACATAGATTTAGCTTTTTAACATAGGGGCAGATTCAAATTTGCAAACAACCACCTTTAGAAAGGGTTTTCCTCATAAACAATAGACCCTACGTTGAAAAATAAACAAGCCATTGAAATAAACTTAGGCCTAAATAAACAATATTGATTATCTGCCCTTTGATTAGTGAACAAATAGGACAAAAGCAGTTGCATACCATCAGATTGCAGGACATTATTAAGGTTCAGATCGCCTGTATCTTTTGGGGTCGATGCATGGTTCGAATGGCTGATGCATTCCACAGCAGGCTCGTTGCCGCTCTCCATGTTTCAGGGTCAATGTACACGAAAGGAAGAAAATAGCTTCTCTCACGGTGACTGTTTTCCTTCAAGAGTGACGTCATAAAAGCACTTCCTTCTCTACATTGCGTCTCTAACCTGGAAACTGGGTCGGGTATTACCAGTATTTGTTGTTTCCAAGACATTTAAAAATGGCGGTAGGGGAGGAGACAACTTGTCTAGAATAAAACTTGAAATCATTGCTACAAAGTCTGCTTCAGTGGTGATTTTGGTGATTAGATTGTTGTGAAATTCATGGAAAAGGTTTAAGATTAAGTAATCTTCGTATCAAGATAATTTGCGGATAATTAAGAGGGGACCGAAGGCAAAAGTGTATTGCTATATGGTAAATATTCCTTGACAATATACAACCGTACTATGTCAGGATTACGTTTTCTGCCAAATAAGCTTCCTGAAATTTAGAAGTGATATACAGAAGAAGTTTTAACCCTTTATGCTAACTTATCAGCAAGAAGTTTATATCAGAATCATCTGTCTACTTTTTTGTTTAGGCCGACCTGGGCAGATGCAGACAGACTGCAACCTCGTGAAAAGGCTGAATAACGCTAAAGGAGTACTAATCTCGGAATTTATGACATGCTAGTGCCTAGGACTTTATTTAAAGGAGCGCAGGCAACATTCGACAGTCAAGTATTCAGACTGGACTCAGTGTCCTTCAGGATTTGTTTGTTAAACTAAATTAGGCTAAGTATCCCCCAATTTGAGGCTCGTGGTACTTCCAGTGTGGAATCCATGTAGCTTACGCCGCAAATATCGATTTCCCATTGTCTTTCTATTGTTTATTGGCGTAAATCCGGCGTGAGCTTCATATGGCTTCTACCCTGATGGTACTCGCGCAATCAAGGCAAATTAGATAAATAAGGATTAGGTTCCATTCAATATTTACGTTAACGGCATAGCATTGTTAAAATATAGACAGATATACACATTGGAATAGTGTACAGTTCTGCCTATACATCACTGAACATGCTTAAAGACATTCATCCTGAAATATTTTTCAAATAATATGCTCACCAAAGCTGTCACTTTACATCTTATAATTTACACTTTTCTGGTAGCAGTATCCATGTTTTCTGATTGCAATGTTACATTCTTGTACCCAAATTATTAAATACTAATCTATCACCAGGGGGAAGGGGTTGCAAATAATAATTGTTACTGGTTCATGACATTTTGAGTACTAGGCAAGATGTCATATGCTTTATAAGTTATGTTTGTAACTAAACAAGTTCAATATTTGGTGTACGTGACCTAAACACTGAAAGTTACATAGAGTTACTTTTCTTGGTGTTCCTAGAAAGTTTAAACTAAAGAACAGCCTGCTGGGATTACTTCCTCCAGTAGCAAATCATGATATTATTATTATTATTAATTTTACTTTTTTCTAGATTTCATCAAAAATTTATTGAAATGAGTTTTGAAGTGCAAGTTCTTGTATTGGGAGCAGAGTCTACAGGCAAAACCCTTCTTTTGAAGAGACTGCAAAATGTATTACAAGATGGATACAAGGAAGAAGAAGAATTTGAAATTATTCCACCAACAGTTCCAACTATTGGTACCAACCTTGCAAATATAACCTTTAACAAAAGGAAGCTTAATTTCAGAGAGCTTGGTGGTGCTATGGCTCCTATATGGAAAAATTTTTATGGTGAAAGCAATGCTGTAATGTACTTGATAGATGTTTCAAACAATTTTCAGATTGCAGCATCAACAATACTTTTCTTTGATGTTTTGAAGGCAGAAAAACTATCAAAAATACCAATTTTACTGCTATTTAACAAAACAGACCTTGCTTCAAATTTGAGTATCCAAGAGCATAAATTTATTCTCAGGCTGACTGACCTGGAAAAACATGTTACGCAAAAACTGACAGTCGTTGAATGCAGTTTGAAAACTGGAAATGGAATTAAAGACTTGAAAGATTGGCTTTTGACCATTTAGGGCAACTTATCATGTAGATAAGCACAAAATGTATCAAAATGCTGCCAATTAAAGGATTTTTTATCAAAAGACTAAATTGGATGACTTAGGGCTTTATGAAATGGGGGACCAAATTACAAGAAGCTCAATTTGTTCAAACTTTGTTAGAATGGTGATGTTAACTGGTTTATCATCAAACAACGTGAAGTGCAGAATTGTACAAACAAGTTCAAAGCAAAAGGATTTTCACCAAAGCAGACCTTTATGAATTAGAAGTTTGTATGATAGTAAAGATGTTAGTTTATTTGGGATTTAATCAATTAAATTTCATCATATTAGTCAATTCTCAAGGGTCTTTGTTTTTGGATAATAACTTGGGTTGCTACATATTAACATCTTATGATTTGCCTCATTGCAATTTGCTCTGCCGTTTCTTAAAATTTATGCTCAATGCTACAGAGGCACAAAGTCTCTCAAGAGTTTGGAGTAAAAATACTAAATGCATTGGAAATTATAACCTTTTTTGTCTCTTCTGGTAAACAGGGGGATTTAAGGATTCAGAAGTAGGTTTATCTCACTTTGATTAAATTTCAGGCTGTTTGTGCTCTAACAACACTCCTATTCTTTATATATCCATGTATATATTCTTATTGATGTTTCCATTTCTTTACATGACGATATATGTGCTATTATACCTTAAGGTATCTTTTGTTCTATCTGTTGTTTTTCTGCTTTTGATGCAACTGTTACATGTATATCAGGACATTTTCCAGGAGCGATAAGAGTTCAAATTTGTGAATTGCCTCACTTTTGGTCTCTTCAAAAATCTTTGCTTATTAAAAGGAAGTCGTAGTTAATAACGAGTTAGTTAACATAACTAACTATGGATTTAAATCAATTTATCATATGCTTTCTGCAAGAGGGGCTGAGAGCCCCTCAAAAACTCAGAATTTTATCAAGGGAGCTAAACCTCCGAAGCTTCCTCCATGGCACCCCTGGTGAGGATTGTAAATTGTAACTCTTAGCATATGTTTGATCGCTGTTCTTCCAGGAAGCCGCTGACTCTCCTTCTAGATGAGTTTTAAGTACCATTAAGTGATCACACATCATGAAAAACGTTAATGCTGAATTTCCCTAATTACGGTTATACTAGGTTGAATTTCCCCTTTATACCATACCAGAGTACTTTTAGATAGCAACTGAATAGGCAGCCCCTCCTCCTTCAATTTTGAATTACCTCTGACGCAGGTTTTTGTTTTGTTTTCATTTTTATCTCTTTTTATTTTCTACTTCCACCCTCCTATCTCCAAGAAAATTTTTGATAGTTTCGAAAAGTATCATACAAGTCACGAGAAAAAGCGTACTCAATAACTTCGTTCTTTTCTCTTCAGTAAATCAAATTTTTATTAGGGAAAGTGAGAGGTGGCTTGATTTGCCTTTGATAAATAACATCAATGTTTCAAGAATTCTAGCAATGTATATGACAAGCTACATTATCAAAACGTTTTTTAACTTTCTTCATCATATATCACGAATCAGTCCTCTTTCTGATACAAAAGGTTCTTCAAATGCTGTAAGGACCCTTATTTGGTTAACAAAATATCATCTTGCGCACAGCTGCTGCGCAAACTAGACATTTGATAGGACTCTACATGGCAGAACAATGGCTGCACGACTTGAGCGGCGACAGAGCCAAGAAAACATACTGCACACAGTTTGACATTGTAGCACATTAATGCATTGTAGCCCTATTACCCTTTTTTCCTTCACTTGTCCCTGTGATCACTTGAGGCGGTCGATGCTATAGGAAATCGTGCTTTAAATGAATGCAAAAAATGAGAGGAAGGCTAAATTCATTACCTTGAAAGTGGTATTCTCTTGTTGGAGTACTAGCATGTTTAATTCTACCATTTATTTTGGTACCCTATTGTTTGAATGCTTGGGTACGTTTTTCCATAAGCAAAATTGCCATGCGTTTGTGTAACTAGACCGTTTTGCATGCTAAAATTTCTACATTCGTTTTGGTACCCCATTGTTTAAATGCTTGGGTACATTTTTGCATTAAAAAAGGCCATGCCTTTTTGTACCCGGACCGTTTTGCATAACGTTACCGAAACGCATCACTTATGCATAGGGTATCAAAACGCATATTACACCGGCTAATTTGTTATTATCTATATGCTGCACAACAAGATCAAACTGATCGATGCGCGCTCGGTCTGCATATGAAACAGGTACAAAGTTTGCAACAGAACCTATAGTGTTTGAATTGCAAAAAAGTGTTTGAATTGCTGAAAATGATGCAAAATCATGTTCACAAAAAGATATTTTTGGTCGCTGTCGTGAAAGAGATTCGCTAATTTTAATGAAAATGTATGAATTTTTAAAAATGCATATTAGTTAACATCATTTTAATTACGTTGCATTTCAATCTTTTCTTTACTGATATTAAAGGCTCGCATGTGTTAAAGTATACTCCTTAAAATTTTGGGCGTTGTTATTTTTGGGGAAAAGAATTTCAGCCACCCCCTTCCTGAATTCACTCGGTACGCCCATGGCTATATGACTGCCCCCTTGACTCTAAAGGAGGAGGAATAAAATAGAAAAAATTTAGCTACAAAAATAACGCAACACTCAACGTACATATGCTAAGGGCTAGCTCCCTTGTTTTCTTGAAGTACGAATCAAAAACAAATCCAAATTCAAAAAGGCTAGCACAGCGTAGAACCAGCCTCACCAGCTCGAAATCGTTGAATTGATATAATTACAGGTTACTAACGTTATTATCCTGTTTGCAATTAGGTTCAGTCCAGGGTTTCCAAACAGAATTAGATGACACAAGGATTATGAATCCAGCCCTGTATTGTTTATTCCAAGAATATTCTAAAAGAAGCTGTCAAGAAGATACCTTCGTGCTTCTTCATAGATGACGGGCAGTTCGCAAAAAAAAATTGAAACGAAAGTAAATGTTTACTATCTTCTTCAACTCTACCATGCTGGCAGGCAGTGTCCAAAGAGTTAAAGCTACGTCTTATCTTTGCTCGTTAAGGTTTCAAATTGTGCTCGCTAAAATCCTTCGTTATCAATAATTAACAAAGCTAATGTCGTTCACAAGAGGTCTAAACTTTGCAACCAGTTGAACAACCTTGCAAGAAATTTTCCCTGAATTATATCATTTTATATGTCATAAAATGTTCTATTATGCCATCATATCTCCTCTTACATAATCTCAAGTCAAATGATTTTTACATAAAGGCTTTTTTAAACATACTAACTAGTGGGCAATTGCCCCCCCCCCAACCCCTTAAGCAATAAGCCATTGTCCTCACCTCAGCTAGCTTTCCTTCGAAAAGGCTATGTTTGGTATTGCATTAATCTATTTGTTTCATAGCACGGGGTGTGGCTCTCACTAAAATCTCTCTGAAAACAACAGATAGCAAAAATTGGAAAGGTTTCCTTTAGGGATTAACAGGGGGTCTGAGCCCTCTGGACTCTACACAAATGTGTGATACGAAATAGCATGAATTTCTGTCACACACTTCGCTGGAAATTCTACATTTCTGATGCCAGAAACTGAAACTGTCAGAAATCTTCGCAAAATATTAATGAGCTGGGGTAGCCTGTGCTCAATTAGGCATATAAGAACTTAATTGAAGAAGAGTGTTGTTAGATTTCTTCTACACTTTCTATTTTGCTCCTCTATTCTCACAAGTTACGTAATTTGGAAACAATTTATCAATTAATTTCCATTCAATTGCAGAGGAGACAAATCAGATGAATCATACTGATAAAATCAACGAGGAAACCTTCGACTATACGCCCATTCCCCTTATCAGTGCTGTTGCAGTCCGCAGGAAAACAGGACAGAGACAAGGTCAGCTATTGTAGAGTGGAAGGGTGATGGGCGTGACCCACTTCCATTTTGCCTCAATTCAGTGCATTAAACCATATGTATTTTCTTTAGGCAAATCTTTAAGAATATGACCTACATCTTTCGAGTTCATTTTAATCAATTTTTCTAAGAATTATATGGACCATCTTCTTACAAAAGGGGGGGGGATTAACCTTTGCGCCGCCAATTTAACAGGCGTTTCCGATGTTCAATTTGGCTTGGCTATGAAAAACTTCACCAAAAGCAAGCAGTCGAATGTCGAGAATACAATACATACCTCCTCGTAAACATATGTGCATTATTCGAAGTTACACGGATGTAAAATTTAAACAGTCAGGGTCGTTCGATGAATAAAAATGTCGTTAATGGGGGAAAGCACTCTTACTAAACATACGCCGATCTTGTTTCTAAGCCGAGAATTGTAGTGCAACGAAAGTAGCAAGGGGATTCTCATGAAAAACATCCCAAAACTGAAGCAAGAGGTAGATATTGGTTACTTTTCATCATTGCGAAGTTGCTTACCAACCTTCTTAGGTGGTCCCGATTCTGGCGAAGGCCAAAAGGAGCCTATAGCGAAGCCCCTACAACCAATACGTCCCCTTTGTGTATAACATTTATTTGTTTAGCCCCAGGCTTCATACAAGCAAAAATAGTCTAGCCTCTAAGTCATCTGGTCACCATGAGTTTCATCTCTGATGTCAAAAATAAAGGGGCATGTAATGAGTTGATAATATTGTGCTGATAATATTTTACTAGAAAAATGGAATGTCTGTGAAAAATACGCTTCAAGTTTCCCTAGAAGCTTGCTTTCGAAGAACGAACTCATTTCATAGCAGTCAAAGAATTACAAAACCACGTACGAATTAGGTGTTTGGAGGTTTAAGATTGGGAGCATAAGTACACTGATTGATTTTTTACAAAGGGAATGTCATAAGGTGCGTAAACTTGCGACAGATCCAAAACTTTACAGGGTTCAACTAACATCAGGGCTCTGCAATGACGGTGTAATTCTGTAATTTTGTTTGGATTGTGTCCTTATTTTGACGCTTTTAGATGCCAGTGCCTTCTGTGGGGCGTGGTTTCATGTAAATATCGATTGATCAGTGCACTGACGTGCCATATTGCAAACACACTTGAATAAAAAATGTTGCTAACGTGTTTTTTAATGAACCCTTGGGCGATAATTTCTCTTCTGTGTGCGATTATGCAATGAGTAAGACCATGGAGAAAGCTGTACTTGTCCCTTGCGATTTATTCGCGACATCGTCCAATCAAACATGGATTGTTCTAATCTGCCGGGAATAGGGCTAGTTGAAGGGCCTTTTGTCAAGGAGCGGTGACAACGTACAAAAATATTTCAGCCGTGAAGTCAAACTTTTCATTATTGTTCAGAAGACGTGCCAAACATACGGAAAACAGAACTTTGATAATTGTGGACAGAAGAGATTGCAGTTTAAGTTGTTAGTGTCGGTTGAAAACGAAGATAAAATATCTGCACGGATTAAGCGTTCAATAGACTCATTCGCCAACGTAAAATTTCAAGGTTGCAATTTTGAAGTTGCGGAATTGACTTCGCGATTAGACAGCAACTTTGTTGTTCACGGACACAAAGAAAAAGTTAAAATGAATTGTGCAATTGTATTTAAAGGCACATTGTGAGAAAGTGAGTTAATTTTGGTGTTTTGTAACCTGTCGAAAACGGGTAGTTAATCGTGTTAACGTCATAAGAAACTCAAGAATTATTACGCTGCCGAGTTTAAAACATCAAAAAAGAGATTTGAGGAAGGAGCTGAACTCTAAGAGGAAAAAAACAATTTAAAAGTTGAGAATTAAAGTCTTAGGAAATCGGATGGCGCTCGGAGTTCCCGGGATGCACCGGAAAAACCCGAATATCTCACTGATATTTCCAAAGATTGAGCCTGACCTGGCCAGCAAAGATCCGAAAATCAGCAGTGACATCGCATCCCCAAAATCTATGAAATCGAATAAGCAAGAGCGAATGCCCTTGTCGTTTCCATCGTTAACTGATGAAGTCAATAACAATTGCATACACGATAGAGCAACGATAAGCACGCGATACCAGAGTCTGCACGACACAGTATTTCACGGCTCGTCTCCAAAAAAGACTGTCAATTTGCAGTTCGGGAAAAAAGGAAAATTGAAGCTGAGAAAAGACGATAACACAGAGGCGTTCTTACTGAAACGGGAAAAACATATCGATCTATCAACATCGACAAACACAAAGAAAAATACCTTGAAACGAGATTCGCGTGTCGTAAACACGAAGCTCACGACAAAAGACACGAGCAGATATGCGTCCAATCAAACACAAAAACGAATTCAAAATTGCAGCATTCTCGGCAAAAACGGAGATGAGTTGATACAAGAAAGGCTTTATAGGGAAATTCAGAAGCAGGACGCGATTGATGTAGACAGAAACATAGAAATTGGCTCGATTAAAAAATGTTGTGTGTGGATGGAGATGTGGTTTGATGAAAGTGGACATCCGAAATTGGACACTGACGATGACCTTTACGAAACAAATGATGATTAAATGTAATATAGCTTTAAATACAGTAATAAATAAATGCAATCAAATTTCTACCCTGAAAATTTAAATGGATTATGATAAGAATCAAGGCATTTTCATGTGGAAAAAGTTTGCAAAGCAACCATGTTCTGAATCAACCATTTTATAGAGGGACGTAGAATTAGCTTTCACATTATTGCATTTTCTGACGACTCTCCCTTATCACATTTTGTGGAGACCCCTGTCTCGAATTTAAGACTTGACGAAAACACAAGGTCATTAATTGATTTCTTTTTTAAAAAAAAGGAGTCGTCATTGAAGGAAGGATTCGTGGGAGGGTATTCTTAAACGGTAAAAATGTTCAATTAACAGTGGACACAAATGTATATATTATCAAAAGGCTGTTTGCGTAGTAATGTTGTAATGAATTTACGAGATTATGTTACGTCTGCGTCTGTGATTTTTTCCTCAGCATACTATTGGGCGCAACATAGCGAGGTGCAACACAACGAGGCGCAATTATAAAGCTTGTTTCGAGAAAACGTCTTTAAGGAAAAAAAATTACCAACTCCACTAAAATGGCTAAGTCGGAATGAAAGTTTCAAAGCTTCCCATTTCACTCAACTTTTGTTTAGTGAAGTTGAGCGAAGTTTGGCGAGGGTGGCAAAACGTGACTAAACTTTTCATTAAACTTCACTAAACATTTTAAACTGTGATCTAGGCAGGACTTTTGTTTTGTTGCATGTTAGCATAAAAAACTTCAAGTACAAGTAGTGAATAAAAATAAGAATTTGATGAAGCGACGGGAAAAACTTTTTAGCACAATGATAACAAAGTTGAGTTTTGAAGAAGACACGAGATGATGAATATGTCGCACGATTCACACCAAGTCAATCTAGAGATTTTGGGTCACGTAGAGACAGGAAAACCGAGAAAAACCCTAGAAAACCTTTGTATTCCCACCGCTACAGCGCCTATGCTAGCACAACAAATGTTTAAGTGGTGGGAAAACCCAGGGGGTGGGGGGTACTCCCATTAAGGCCTGACAGGGGGTCCGTCGATTCGAGAGTCTTACAAATTGGCCCAGTTTCAATAGCAATACAGCGGCTTATTTTAGCTTGCGATTTATTATAGAAAATGAACAAGGTTTTATCTTTCCCGAATCAACAACAGTCAATGGCGAAGAAATTTGTCGAAGAAGGACCAGGCGCGTATAAAGAAATGGATGCTGCCAATGACATAATTTCCGTCCTTAAGCTACCATTTGAGTGCTATTGTCAAAAAACATTACCATTTGAGGGTTTTTTTTTAACATTTTAGCTTTGGCCCCCATTGACCCTGACTGGACCCTCTGTTAGGCCATAATAAGAGCAACCCCCTCCCGGGTGGCAAAACGAGTAAACATTTGCTAAACAATATTAAAAAACTTGACCAGAATCAAACTTTACTCACTAAACAACACTAAACAGAGTGGCGAAATGAATAAACTTTTCACTAAACAAATGTGAGTGATATGTTTACTGAAATGTTTAATCGTTTTGCCAGGAAGTTCAATTTCTTCGATGAAATTGGAAGGAGTTACCGAAATGGAGGAATAGGCATGTTTTCTGGAAACGGGGCTGCCATCAGAAAATTCTCAACTTGCAACGTTAGTAGAAAAACCCATTTCCCTTGCTTTTTTAAGAGTTTTATTCTTTTTATCTAGGTTCGGATCGAAAATATGTTGAAGAAAAATTACCGTCGAAGACAAATTTTTGTCCTTGCGAATAATATTTTTTTCGCGGATTTTGACAAATCCGAATTCTAGGCATAAGTTGAAAATGCGAAAACTTGTGCGAGAATTTTAATCAAAAAACAATTTATGCATAAACACAATGCAAAGCAAACCCGAATTATTCACGCACGAGTATGGGAAACATCATGGCTTTCCAAACTAAGGTTTGTGAATAAATTTTAACGATAGAAATGGCAAACATTTGTTAGGTGTTGCAGAAATGCACTAGTTTCTTCGATATCATAAGGCTTTTCGTTCTGAGCGGCGTGTGAAATAACGTACGGCAAATCAAAAGAAAACAAATTTAGTAGGTTCGCTGTAAAGGCGTCATTTTTCATGAAACTGAGCTATTTTTAGTATGCAAGTTGTCGACGCATTACCTTCGTCATAATAAAATTACACTCAAACTTGCGATGTACGCTTTTGCAAAGTCAATAGACACCAAAAAACCACAAGTGTCTTAGCGAAGCTAAATTGAGAATTTTTAATGTAAAGAAGGGTGAAAATTCCCTTCGTAGCTCTTCGATAAAAGGAAATTTGGCTACTGTGAGAGAAGGAAATCAAAAGTGCGAAACTTGGAAAAGCATAAAAAATTGAAATTGATAAATGATGATAAAAAAGTTTAATTTCACTTTTTTGCGAAAAATTTACAATGACGATAGACACCAGGCCCTGAAATGAGAGGCGATCAAGCGCGAGCGCCTCCACACTCGCCTCAGAAACTTTACCGGCTTGATTGCTCGAGTACCGAGCTGATCATTACAAAACATAAGTGTAAAGTTTTCATGGCTTTCGCAAATCCCAAGTAATGTTCATATCACAGTTTCTATTTTCCATTTGCCTGGCTTCTGTGTTGCAGGCTTTTTCGTTTGACGCGAGCGATCGTGTTAGCACTTGCGCAAACCCAACCAGGCGAGCGTTCGCAAAAAACAGTAAATTGTGAGGAATAAATGACTCATCAATTAACACATTTCTAGTCATTTTTTGTGACCTAAGCAAGTGACATAGACGATAAAAAGCCGGTATATCAAAAAATAGGAAATATAACCGGAAAAATGCATTTAAAAATCAATTCCACCGCGAATATTTAAGGATACTATAGGCACTTAGTATTTTAACTATGTAAGAACTTTTTGTGGGCAGTTAAAGCGGTTTTAGAAAGGTTTGGAACAACTTTTTGTGATCATTCTGCATAAACGTCTACAAGACAATGGTGATGTACATAAATTTTATCAACGAAGCACATTTAATCCTTCTTGCAGTACATTAAAGGTCATCGTAACAGTTCTTTTTCAATTGGTTTTGAGGACAATTTCTTACGACTGTTGATTGCGCACATTTAAGAAAATATGATAAAAGGACAAAAATAATCAGGAAGCTTGATCAAGCACCTAACTGAATCGAGGGGCTTGATTAAACAAGCTCCTAACTTTTGCTCATTTCAGGGCCTGATAGACAGCAAACATCCCACGATAACGTATATTAAAATCTACTCCAACACTGCGTAAAATGACCCATGGTACAAAATAAGCATCCCCTTTACGAAGGATTTCACCGTAATTACAGTCTGTGCATTACAAATAATCCTAGTGGCATGAATTCTAAATAGCTGTATTGCAATGAAAATCAGAACTATTAAGGATGATAAACCTTGGCTTTAAATCGAAGTGTTTTTAAGCTTAATGCTTTTAAGGTTTCGAAGTTATTGGTTTGACACATGCAGGCAAATTAAACACGCGATACAAATAATGCTTGTTATAAAACTCTTTGAAACATTGGATTGAAGGAAGCACCTTTATTGGCTGACAAAATAAATCCGGTGTTCCGCCAGGATCCGTTCTAGCGACTTTGCTTTCTAAAACTTTATTGATTAATTTTCACTTGGGGGAGAGCTTTGAATATTAAACTTTTCAGAAAGTAATATACTTTTCGTATGGAGAAATTGCAGAGGATGTTATATCATATTACATTAAGGATTGAAAACGACTTAATAAAACACATTGGTATGTTTGAAAATCAACAATTGTAGTACTCTGTTAGGGGCCTCTTCAAGTATCTTAAACGAATCGTATTAGTTTGCCTTTTGCACAATATTCTTGAAAGTTTTCTCTTGTGCTATCAATGTGGTAACTGTACTGAATTGGCTTGCCATCAGCGTCATTACAAAAGATGATTAAATATAAAATTAGCTGATTCTTGAATAATGCACCAAAACAACTACTGAAAATATTTCTCCCACTATAATAATCCAATTAGATTCCTTTCGCATGTAACTTCGGTGGTACTCGGCGCACTTTCTTATCAAATTCCAAAGAAAAAGCCAATCAACTAAAATAAATACAGCCTGCTCTACCTTTTTATGTTATGAGAGCTCCACGTGAATCAGAACTATTGTAATTCGGATTGTAAGCTGGAGGGGGTGATGAACTGCGTATGGCTATGTTAGGGGTGCTGTGGTTTGTGACATTTGTTGACTCCGGAATTCTTTCGTAGTCTTCTCGGTTCCTTTTCCGGTAAAGTACGTAATGCTGAACAATGAAGAGCAAATCAAACAGGATTGAAAACAGGCCTAGTCCAAACTTGGTCAAGTCACCGAATAATGAGCTCCACTCATCTGAAAAAGAAGTTCTCTCCATTGTACAGAGCAGAATAAAGTGGGAAATGATTGTAGCCTTAGATATATGATCCAGAATTTCACAAACTACGCTACCAATTGCATTATTTATAGACAATGAAATATTGTATTAGACTAGTTTAAGTTTATGCATACCCAGGCACACAGAGGGGTTCAAAGGACATGTTACCCGTTACAACTTCTTGCTATTGATGATTGAAAGCCTCTTTGCAATAACCCCTTTATCATTCCTCAATTTGGAGACCCCCACTGGCTTAGAAGTTCATGTTTCATGACAGCTGTTTCTACGACAAAAACTGCCTACCAACCACTGCAACATATACGGCTGCCTGCCGGCTTATCAAAAATATTTACGCAAAAAATGTCCTGATAAGCAATGGCAGTAGATATAAATTATAATATTATACAATTAAATATCTAGGAGATGTAATATACCGTTATTATGAGCCAGAAGAAACAGCTGTATCATGCTCAAACTGCCACCTGTGAAGTCTAGTAGAACGTTTCCAATACTCCACCCTACCGTGCTTTTTCTCTTGAAGTTCATATATGCCTAAAGAAGCAATGAAGTCATCAAAATAACGTAGTTAATGTAGTCAAAACTTTCTGACAGAGACAAGTTAGGGGACTGAGAATCCTGAACCCCTCCTTAGCACCACATTCCAGTCAGTATCCTAAAGTTAGCTTGAAATCGCATCTGGTAATAGTTGGCCTGTCTTTGGGCCAATCATATTGTGTAGCAAGTCAAATTTGGCAATACATAAATAGCTCTGTGTCAATACTAGCATCAACACTTATGTGTTGGCATGTATGCTCCTGACTAAAATTATCGCATGTGCTCACCTGTGGCATATACTTGATAAGAGTCACAGCAAGTTTTATGTAGGAGAAATAGTACAGGTATGTTAACCAGGTGATTGTCTTCAGGAGGGTTAACACCAAAGAGACAATAGCAAACAGCCAGCCACCTGTGACCAAGATCTTTGCTATTTTTGATACTTTCTGGTCTCCTTTCTAAAGAAGAAGAAGATGTACATACCATCCTTGAAGACAAATATGATTTCTTTCATCACATAAAAATTTTCTTGAATTCATAGTTAGGAAAAGAATAAAAAAATAACTACACAACCAAAATTTCATTTCCTATGATAATCAAAGCATAAATTGATAAAAATAGGTAAAATTGAAAAGATTTTTTATTCAGATTCGCACACAATTTAGCAGCCTATATGCAATTATGTGGACAAGTAAAGCAAAAAGCAAGGACTTATTTATTTTCCCTTTTCTAACCATATGAAGATGATTACCTCATATATGATGCACTGAAATATTGTTATTAATGTACAGAAAACAGCATGTATTGTAAAGAAAACATCATTTGATTCTACTGGTATAACATCACCACCATATTTGTCAAAGTATTCTGTCTGCAAAAAATGAAATAAAAAATGTTTGAAACAGGGCTTCATTTCCATATTCAACAGTCATTATCAACATTTGGGCTCCACATTGGGTATCAGAATTTCATGACTTTTTGTCTACTCAACAAAAATTTCTGAAAAAAATCTTGTTAATCAATGGCAAAACTGGTCAAACATTTCACCTCACAGAAATCAAAATTTAATTTCTTTATCTTGCTCCTGTCATTAGTGAGTAGTCAAACCACTAATTGGCATTTCTGCAAAAATCTGGCAAAACAGGCCCATATAATTCAACCAAACATTTAGTTTTACGATGCCACACAGAATGTCTGGTCAGTTTAACCAAGGCTTTAGAGGACATTTGCAACACATTTGCTCCAGAAGTTGGTTCAATACCTGATTAACAATCTGAAAACTGTAAAAAAGGAATGCACTAGAAAAATAACATAGAAAAAAACAGTGCTTACCTGAATTGAATTGAAATAGAACAGACCAATGTTGAAGAAAAGATAAGCCAAAAAGCCTGTTATATTATATGCCAAGAAATCAAAATTCAATCCAATGACACTGGAAGAAAAGATGTCTTTTCAGAAAGATGTACAGTAGATTCTGGTTATAGTCACACAAAATGTTGCCTCAAAAGTGGTGACATTATTTGGGTCTTAAAAAGGTACTATGACTTTAAGTAGAGTTGACTGTAGCAATTTTTCAATTATACATTTGAAACAATGTTCATACTTTTACTGAATTATCTGTGTAATGATAAGAGATTTATTTTTAAATGATGGTAAAACCGAAGTACTTAGTTGGTAAACAAAACTCTGGAAGTCCTAAGGGCAAAAACTAGCGGAACAAATATAACCATAAAAAAAATGTATTTATAGAAAAATACCTACTAACCATTTCCTCTTGAAATTCACCCATATCTAAAAGAAAACTTGATTCATGAAATAACAGTTGTTAAAAATGTTGGCAAATCCATTCATAGTAGAAAAAATAAATATCAAACCAAAAAATTTCTTACCTGAGGATAAAATGAGACTGACCAGGCAACAAAATATGCCCATCCAATAACCTGGTTGATGTCAGTTAACAGTTTGGATTTCACAACTTTTACGTCAACATGTATAGCATCAATGCTAAAACATAAATTGAAAACCTAAGTTATCAACTATGGGAAATTTCCCAGCAACTCCCAACAAAAAGTAATCAAAAATTTGTGGCTAATAAATTTGCATTTAAAAGGCTCCAGTGTCAATTTGAAACAGTCATCCTGGCAGTACAAATAAATAATTCTTGAAAATATCTGCTGGCACTCTTTAAAACTTTTAAATTTGCTCAATTCATGCCTGGCTTAAAATCCCACTATAATACTGGTGTGGAGATTTGAGCAAATTTTTATAATAATAACTATTCTTTCCTTACCTTATTAAATGAAAATAATGTGATGCGGAACACCAAATGATGGGGAACAAATTAATGCAATTGAAAATCAACGCGAATAGCAAGATTTGATTTCAGCTAATTGACTGCACATGTTCAGTGATATTTAACAGAGAACTAGAACAATCATTTCTTTTCTTGCCTAGACTAAATGCAGGCTTACCTTACTAGCTTTACTGAAACAATGACAAGAAGTAAATTGCACAGAAATGTACAGGAGGAGCCAGGACCGCTTCAAGGCTTTGGAGAGAAGCAGGAGGGGCCTGAGGCAAAACCAAAAGATAAGGCTCCGTGTGAGTGGAGCAAGCAGAAATTTGTTGTGACCATGCCCTTCAGATTATGTATTTAAGATAATTTTTTGCAGTCATATCTTGCAATTGTTTAGAAAGTTTTACTATTTTTAGGCATACTTTTGCTTCGTTTGCATAATTCCATTCTTAAAATGAGGCCCCTAGACCCTGAGACCCTGGTGCAATTTGCACCCCTTACACCCCCCCCCCCTCTTGGCAGGCCTGGGAGGAGTCTTCACCATACTGCATGGCTATTGAAGTGGATCAGAGTTTGGGAAAGACAACTCCAGAGCGATTTTCCTATCATCTCCAGAGAGGAGTGATTTTCATGTATATATGATGATGATGATGAAGATGCTCATTTGACTGATGATGATGGCATCCTGCAAAAAGGGGATCTGCAAGAGGTGTTTAATCAAAATTTCAGAAAAACTATAAACATGGCAAAGGAAATGGTTCTGGGGTTATGCCTTCAGACCCAGCTTTTGCCTGCGTGGCTGTCAGGATTCATCCCACAGGAGTCCAAACATTTTCCTGACCATTTCAATTCTGTGTAACTGGCCACTCCCACAGGAGTTCAAACATTTTCCTGACCATGTCACAAACTTGCCCATTTTGAAAATTGAAACTTGACAGGTCTACACATTCAGCCAAATGGTTAAAACTAATGGGAGAATACAAACATGTGTACTTTTTTATTTCCTTTGAATTAGTTGTTGCAGTAATATGAGTTTCTCCAGGATTTTTCCCATGGACAAAGACAGCAACTGGCTCCATTACACGACTTGGCAAAACAATTATCTACAAGAAAAATATTACAAAAAACCCCATAGGTTATATAATGAATAATCAAATATAAAATAAAACACTCAGACAAGAACAGGCTACCAATGGTGAAAGATGCAACCAATAATGTAAAAGGTTATGTTGCAGAATTACATTTTAGCAAATGTTGGTATGCCAAAGGTATGATCAAGTATGCTATGCACACAATTATTTGACCTGACCCTGTCCAGGTGCACTGCCACATATTGGATGCTCCAATGATGTACTTTTTGCACTGGTATAGACTCAAACACAAACCATTTTCTGCTTCAATTATGATCTCAGATGACTTTGTAACCTAAGAAATCTCATCAAAAGGTTACACAGCCCTGTTGATATAAACCTATATGAATGCTAAAACATGGTTAACATACCTGATTTAGAAGAGGACATGCAATGTTTGGTTTGGTACTGTTCAGAATGATCACTGCAGTATTGTTCAATATGCCACTAAACAAAACAAAGAAAATTAATCTTGCTTCAAAAAACCATCTCACTAATTATATTTCGTAATATAACTTAATTCTACAAGATTCTTGACAAAAATTTCTTTGTGAGAAGCTGTTTCAATTGTGGATTGGTGCAGAAAATAAAGGAAGTTACATTTTAAGGTTATGCAGTCAAAGCAAATGCTAGAAATAGAATTATTTTTACCTGAATTGAATTGCAAACGTTGTATGGTGTCCAGTTTCTACGATATCAGCCTTTGTCACAACCAGAGTCACTTGAGGAAAAGACATGCTTTGTCAATGAGGGGAAAATAAATGGATCATTTTACTTAAGATAATTACTCCTCATTTCTAACAGCTTCCAAATATCAATAATTAAAAATAAAAAATTTCAGAACACATCATTCTCAAGTATTTAAATTAGGGAGAGGGGCTCTATCAACGATTAATTTATTCAATGACAAAGCTACTCCTTAACAAATCTCCTTCAAAAAAATTTTCTTACACTACTAGTAATTTTTATAGTATTCTTAAAACAATGTTTTTATTTGATGTTGCTTTAGCTTACTTTTTGTCCTATTAAACCAATCTTATGGAATTGGAACATATATGAACTGGAAAAACAACAGAAATTTTGGGAAAAAATAACCTAAAGATTGTCAAGCGAAAACAATGCGGCTTTTACAGATAATTGTACTAGAGATAAAAAAGATTAAGAACATAGGCTTTGGTACTCCAAGAAGAAGCTTACCTCCTCTGTTCCCCGTTTCCTCGGCAAAAACACGGCTTGCTAGCAGCGTCATTGCAGCCCTTAGTAGGAAAATAGTTTTCATTTTTCTCCACATTGTAAACACAGATTTGATGCGGTAGAGTTCAGCGTTCTGCTCCTCGTTTAGTAAGCTTTGTAACTTTTAATATTGCGCAATGATGTATTAATTACCCTGTTACAAGAAATACGGCTTTGAACTTCCTAAATAGCGCCACTACGCTTGGATTAAACATTATAACATTCGCACCAGAAACATTTTGTGCTTCATGTGATAAGGAACTGGCATCTCACGTGATGCTCAAAGCCCAATTTATTTGTTGTTGTTGCTGTTTCACCTTGGGTGCAGATAATTAGTCAAATTGTCACTTTCAATATTTTTTACCTTGATAAAGAATTTAAAAATAAAGATTGATTGGTTAATAATTATCAGCTTATTATTCACCAAACTTATATGGTAATCATTATTCTATTTTAGTAATTGGTAGCTTTGATTGTATCGTAGTTACTTGGGGAAGCCAAAATCTGTTTACACTTTTTTTATAAGAATTAGTAAATTTAATTTCAGGATGGCTGTTCTAAGTGTTTTCAAAAATCTGCGGCTGAATTGTTCTTAATCTTTTCTTGAATTATAAAGTGTAAACTAGCTAAGGAGTAATAGTTTAGAGCCAAAAAATGTAGAGGGGGGCATAGAGCTTCCGCTATACTGGACAAAAAACGAGCGTTTCAATTGTTTTGGGTTACAGAGCATCTCGTTATCAATTTATTTACCTTTTCATTTTTTCTAAGGTTAAGTTAGCTTCCAATATCCACATGTTACTTGAATATCTACATGTTTGCCAGCATTTATTGAGTTTTCAGTTATCACGAGGGTTATCGAGGTCACACATGAATGCAAATGTCAAGAATTAATATCGGTTCAATTCAATCAAAAATTTGATGCTGGCAGAAATTAGCCATGATATTTTAGAATTACCAAGAAAAAAGGAGATGGCGCAGCCCTGCTAGGGAGGTGTTCCTTTTTTATAGCCCTGCTAGGGATGTGTTCAGGCCTCTTTTGCCAACAAAGTGAGTAAAACATTGTTCATTTGGCGACAACTTTGAAAACGCACGGAAAAGCATCCCCAGATTGCAAAATGATTGAGAAGAAACATTGTTCAAATCATCAATTTACAGTAGCACAGCCGCTGCTTGTTTTTAATTTGTTCTCGTCTTTTGACCAGTTATGAGGCTCGTGTTCTTATCATAGTGTATTTCTTTCTAGCTATCAAATTGCCATCAAAAGCAGAAAAGCAAAAACTTTTTGTTTTGCTGTTGGATGTGTATTTCAAAAGTAGGGAGCATATGTTGCCAATGCATTCTACGGACATCGGGATGCAGTGGTGATTTCTTCAAAAGTATTCAAAGGGTTCTATAGATATGAATTGCTGAATTTTTGAGACAATGCGGAAATAGGGATGCAGTTAATTATTTCTTATCTCTTCGAAATCTGTTGTGCTGCTGGTTCTGGTGTGACGTTGCCGACTGGTTGGCTCGCGGAAATATATACCCCCCCCCCCAGCCTGTGTAAGGGATCTAGAACACAGGCTATCACCCCCACCCCATCACACATTTCCCAGCTAAATAACCGATATAAGCACGAGACAAGGTCATGAATGCCTTTATAAAAACACTCTTTCACTCTGGTAAAGCAGCAGTTTATGGGAATAATACATACATATGTTGTTACATATATACTAATTGTTTATTATGAAATATTGTTAAGGAGTCAACTAAAGATTGATTAATAATAAATTGGCATACAATATCGAATGAATATCATTAGTTTTCCCGTAGGCACTTCAACTTAAAGTTTATCAACATCAGAAACAACCACACAGAAAACTAGTTTTCATCAGTGTTAAAGTTTCCAGCAGGTTTTCCTGTTCAAAACTTTGCTTTTTGAGATTTTTAGCTGAAAATGATCAATTTTGCTGCAGCAGCCATCAGACTTGCAACCCTGCAAAAAAATTCAAGACTCAGTTAATGAGATTTCAAAATGTACTACAAGGGCACAGACAATTTTTAGAAACAAGGAGGGCTCGACCTGTTAAAGGTAATTGCTAAAGAATACCGAAGTGTGACGTCATCAAAAAATGTATTTTTGGAATGTTTTTTGACAACTTAACCTGAAACAACAGCATGAAATGATGCTCAATAAAAAAGTTAGTTAAATACGTTCAAAGAAGCGCGTCATATATGGCCAATAAAGTTTTGGTGACAGATTTTCTGACATGGTTCATTAAGTTATGAACCAAGACGAGGTAACAGTGATTTTATGGGAAAAGAGGCTGGACTTGTGTAGCCATATATCAGCTAATTTGTAACAAATTCAATGATTTTGCACATTTAGAGGTATTTCATGATGCTTTTCTGGGTTATATGGTCAAAACTAAAAAGTCTACAAATAAATTTTGTAACGTCATCTCGTTGGTACTCTATAACCCTAAAATGTACTGTACATCTCAAAGTTGCATAAAGAGCATGGGTTGCTCTACAATAAATTCATTTACATTGTCATATGTCAGGGAAATATTGTAGACAAACCCTCTAGAGCGTCTCAAAATACCTGATATCATGAAAGTTTGGGGTCTGAAACAACGGCTCCTTTTTTCAAGCTTCATACAAAATTTAGAGCAACCAATTTCAAAATTAAAACATTAAATTCTAAAGTTTTAAAATTGAGAGGAAGCAAGTTCGTTCTTTCGTCGAATTAATGGGTCTAATATATTCTTAAAAATTCGAAACCACAAGGCTACAGGCAAAATGCTGAAATTATATAAATTCACTTTTTAGAACCTTTTAATACTCATTGAAAATTCACTTACAAAGTCTGAGATGAAGGCTTTAGGAGAATATTTCAGAAAGAGATAAAACTCTAAAAATATTAGAGTTAATTGCAATAGACTTTTAACAAATTTTGTATCCAAATTTCTTGCTGATAATAATTGCAGGAAAATCAAGGAAGCAAGCGGATCTAAGAAGCTCCTTAAAGTTAGGGGACTATTTTAGACATATTTGATGTTTTTGTAAGCTGCGATAGACATGTAGACAAATCATTACACATTTTTATCTTCTGTTAGTTACCATTGGAGCACAGTGTATTTTTCTTAGGTTCTAAATACACAAAAAAGAAAGCAAACCTTCTCTCTATGACGATAATAAAAATTCAAGGTGCAAATAGTTGAAAGGTGTTTGGTGGAAAAGGTAAGCAGTCTTGCAGACGATTCTTTGAACGACGGAAGCAAACAAGTGAGTGTGACCAGCGTGAGACAGTCACTCACTTAATTTTGACCTTGAGGTCTGAAAGAAATTGGAAACTGGAAATAAAGCCTACTCACCAGAAAGGGGTTTTAAGCACCCCAGAACCAGCAGTTTCTGGTTTAAAGTTGGAACCAATTTTGGATGAAATTTCACCAGGTTTTCCTACATCTTTGCAGTCTGATGGCTTCTTGCTTTTGGTTGATGGGACATCACATGTCATTTTCAAGCAAAATCCATTTGTTATTATAGCGGATAATGATATTTTGAGTTTCGGGATGTATTCCACTAGCTCTGCACACTATGAAAAATACAGTAGATTAATTAATGGATCAAAACATTTGCATCAGGGCAATATTAATCGAAAGAAAGATTAGTGGCTAGTGAAAATATTTCTTATCACAATTTGCAAAAATATTTTTTATCATAATCATTGTACATTCTGGACCAAATATAATTGCTTTGGGTCATGTTTGAAGGGAAGACAAACAAACAATTAGAATCTTTAGAACACGAACGGCGAAAGTGGGGAAGGTTGTTATGGGGGTTTAGCCCCCCTCCCCGAATTTTCTCGAAAATATTTTCAAGACCATAGGCAGAGCCACATTGCTGTTGATTTAGGCATCTTTAGCCCCTCCTCACACGAAACATTCTAACGCCCTCATTATATAGCATAAAGAATGCAAATCAAGTGTTATTGAAACAAAGTAAATAAAAGTATTAGAAAAGTGAAACATTCATAACTAGAATACATTTTTTAGACACATTACCAGTAACAATTGCCGATTTTATAAATAAAAGACAAACAAACCTGGAATTTCTAACAATCAGTGTAATATGTAAGGATAAAGGATAATTTCAGTTTTTGAAAGTTCTGTTTGTATGGAAATGCCATAATAAACAAAGGTGCATTAACATTTGTGAAAGAGAGATTCTCTTTCATGATGAAGCTGTGATCAAAGTGTTTTTCGGATTAGTGGTACAGTTACTGGTACATCAAAATGGAGTTGAATTTGAATAATCTATAAAAGACCAAATAGAATATAAATGCTTAAAATCGCTGAAGTTCAAGAATCATTTAAGAATAATCTAATGCTCGGGCTTTATCAAGAATTCGATTTTTCTGTTTATTTTATTTTTTGGGAAAGTGAAAAAATGTTTGTTCACACGATAAGTCTTAGACGTTTTAGAATATTGAAGCTCAGCAAAAAATTAGATATTCTTATAAAAAAGTTTGTATGGCTTAAGTGGTAACAACATAACTTACCGTTTCTTGCTTCGTGACATTCAAAACTTTGCAAGCATCATTAAATTCTTTTTCAACATCAAGGAAGATTTCAAATTTCTTGAAATACGAAGAAAAAACCATGTTTGTCATGAAGGCACAGCTAGCCTGGCATCGCTGTTCCAAGTCATAGCGGCTTACTGGAACGCTATCGAATTCGTTCAGCTGGTCTTCTGCTATAGGCTGGAATTTGTCGAAGCTGAAATCCTGGCACTAGGATGAAAAGACAAACGGGGATGAATGACACATCGATTCTTGCCAAAATAGAAGCAGACTTCATTGTTTTAAAGATTATTTTACAGGTTGTCATTCTGCTGAAAAAGGCTGTTGTGTAACAAAAGAAAACAAAATATTTAATAAGTTCAATAAAAAAAGTTAACCCTTTCCTGCATAATGTTGTTGCTCAACAACAATCTTTGGAAAAGTTGCTGTCGCTGCGCAGGAGACCAGATTTGTCTGAAAACCATGTGGTCTGATTTGTCACAGGTAGTCTATATGAAAAGTTAATAAAACCTTTATTCTGGCGTTTTACATGAAGTATTGGTTAAGTTGAAGTTTTGGCCTAAACTGATTTCAGAAGGTGTCAACAGCCCAGGTTACAAACAGTCTCTGTACTAAGGTAAGCCTCTTTTTTGCATGATAAAAAATAATTTCTACTTCAGTTAACTTAGTTATACACATTTTCATGGTCGATCAGTGTACTTGTTTGTTATGTTAAATTCCAGGCATGTAGACATGATTGTTGTTGTACAACAACATCATGCTGGAAGGGTCATAATGGTGTACCGTTTATAGACATATTTTGATTTGTATCCAGCATACATATCGAGGTATTTTCTGAAGTCTTGTGGGAAATGGTTGTTCACGCAGCATAAAGGGAGGTAGGGAGGGTCTGGCTAATTGTTTGGGGGGTTCTGGGGGTAAGGGGGCTAGGGAGCCAGAGAGATTATTTTTTATAGTTTTTGAACGGATATAATAACTTAGATAAGTTCAAGTTGTTTCAAATAAATCAGGAAAGATTGATTGAATTGTTTTATTTTCATCCCAGATAAACAAGGTTCAATTTGCAAGATGGCAAAGAGCATACCAACCACTTCGTTTTATGGAAGCAGGAGAACAACAATTCGAATAACGAATCATGGGGTTGAGGAAAAAGAAGCAAATTTGGGAATTATTGTCCCTGATGCTTTTAACAGTGATATAGAAGATGAAGAGAGTGATGAAAATGAGAACAATGATGTCATTATCAGAGGAGACATGAATATCAGTAATGATGATGATGGTGAAGACAGTGATGATTGTGATGATTATCATTATGATGATAATGAACATGGAGAGAACAATGTTTTCACCTTCCCAGAGAACCCAGTTCCTGATAATGTAGTCAAAACCACACCAGAAGGCACATCAGTTACCAGAAAATCAGCTACAAAAAGCAAAGCAACCATGAAAATCCCAATGCCAAGATGGCGCAAGAGGGAAGCTGCCGTGGTTAACAGTGTGTTCTGTGGAGAACCTCTACCAAGTCCACCCAATGAAGTTTTGACACCAATAGAATACTTCAAAAACTTTTTTGATGATCAGCTGATAGGTCACATATCTGAGCAGACAAACCTGTACTCTGTGCAAAAAAATGGATCGTCAGTTGCTACAACAGCTGATGAGATAGAGCAATATATTGGTATACTTTTGCTTATGGGTATTTACAAAATCCCTCAGTATAGAATGTACTGGTCAAGAGAACTGAACATTTCCAGCATTTCAGAAACAATGCCTGTAAACCGCTTTGACAAAATCAAAAGCTTTTTTCATTGCAATGACAACTCAAAAAATGTGCAGAGAAGTCACCCAGAGTTTGACAAACTCTTCAAAGTAAGGCCAGTGATAGATTCTGTTCAAAATAAATGTAGGAAGGTTCCACAAGAGGAAAAGCACTCTATTGATGAACAGATCATTCCTACAAAGGGCAGGTCTCCAATAAGGCAGTATATTCCCAACAAGCCACATAAATGGGGAATAAAGGTTTGGGCACGCTGTGGAGTCAGTGGCATTGTTTATGATTTTGATGTTTACACTGGTGCTTCTCCAAAGGGGAATCTAGATGAGTCATTGCAAAATTTTGGTGTTGGTGGTAATGTGGTGGCTCGCCTATCATCAACGCTGCAAAGAAATGTTGGCTACAAGCTTTATTTTGATAATTACTTCTCTTCCGTCGCACTGATGCAGTATCTTCAAAAGGAAAGGATCTGGGCTGTAGCAACAATACGGGCAGACAGACTGAAAGGTGCAGAGAAAGTCCTAGAAGACAAAAAAAGCTTGAGCAAGAAGGGAAGAGGGTCCAGTGACTGGTGTGTTGATGCCAACAGTAATGTTGTGATTGTTCGTTGGATGGACAATGGAGTTGTTCAATTAATTTCAAATTACATTGGCAAAGATGATGGTTCCAAGGCTCAAAGGTGGTCAGCTAGAGAAAAGAAGTTTATAACTATATCTCGACCTCTGATGGTTGAAGAGTATAACTTGCACATGGGGGGAGTCGATTTATGTGACATGCTGATGGCTCTCTACCGGATAAGACTTCGCTCTAACAAATACTACATGCATATCATTTATTATTGTATTGGCGTGTCAGTCATCAATGGATGGCTTCTCTATAGAAGGCACTGCATGCAGCTAGGAATTCCAAGTAAAGATGAATTGACATTGATTCAATTTCAGTCAATGGTTGCAAATGCCTTGACACTTGCTGGGAAGAGCACACAGCCAAGAAGAGGACGGCCATCGATTACCCCCCCTCCAAAGAAGAAAACAAAATGTCATGCTGTAGCAACACCCATCAATGATGTTTGCTTTGATAATGTTGGGCATATCCCAGATTTTGAGGAGAAGCAACAGAGATGTCGTTACTGTCCTAAGGGGTACTCTGCAGTCAAATGTGTGAAATGTAAAGTTCATCTCTGCTTTGTACGAGGGAGAAACTGCTTCAAGAATTTCCATTCAAAGTGAAGATTAGGACCATTTGCTAGGCATTAACTGCAGTATGATAGGTTCAAGATTGTCAGTTGATTTAAGAGTTTTAAAGTTCATGTTGAGTTGTTATAAAATATATGAACAGTATATACCTTCTGTTATCACTTGTACCACAACGGAATCAATATGTATGTAGAACAGCCCAGGGGGAGAAAGTGCTAATTATCAAAAGGCCAATCCTCTTTCCAAAAGCCCTATCTGAACTGAAAATTCAAATAATTGGCTATCTGTCTTAATAAAGTGTGTGGAAATATACAGAAAACCACATTTTTAGATATTTTGATATTTCATTATCAGCAACAACTTTATACCATTGCTGCATAATGTTGTTGTGGGACAACAATCTGACATGACATCATCTTCTAATAATAATGTCAAAATTGGTCTGAAAATAGTTCTCCACATCAAAATAAAACATTCTAGTGCAAAAAAAAATTTTTTTTTGGATTTAAAAAAATTAATGCAGGAAAGGGTTAAAGCCCTCCGCTACTTATGAGAAGCAAAATCCTAGAAAGTATCATAAAAAATGACGGTTTGAAGCATGAATGAATTACCAATGCCAATGCTAGAAATTTGAAGCAATGACTCCAAAATCCCTCTGATTTGCGATCAAAACCTAGATAGGCCCTTAAAACTTGGTTTGAAATACAATCTCGTACCTTGGCATTAGGGGGCCATATTTGCTTCTGTATGTTTGCCCTCAACTTAGAGAGCGACGGTATCATCGTTGTTGCCATGACGATTGCCAGCTTCGCTGAAAGTGGAGCTTTCTTTACATAGCATCCAACCGTGTTACTCTGTGAAGGACAGGCAGTGAGCTGCTGCAGAACGTTGCCACTATTTACGTCAGCCTCTTTTAGCTTAGCCAATGACCGGATCATCAACGTAACATCAGTGCACTGTAACAAAGTGTATAGGCACTGTGTTTTCAGGGTTTTGCTATTTGCAAGAAAGTGTTGTCAGTAAAGAAAAAGGCAAAGACATGAATTGCAATTTAACATAGAAAATGGTATTTACGAAAGCGAACCTGTAACCAGAGGTGAAGTGGCCAAGGGGGATAGATATTCGTGAAGTTTTAACAAATTCTAGGTTCGGGATAGTTTCGAGTTATCCTTCCCTCATCTTATAAAACCTCTGCCCCCCTTCTAGTGTTCAAAATCGATGGATTAAAAAACAATTTTCAGAAATTAGCAATTTATAACCAAAAAGATCATTATGAAATACCGCTAATTGTGTAAAACCACCGAATTTCTTCCAAATTGGCAGAGACATGGCCACATAAGCACAGGTTCTTTCCCAATCCAAATTGAAAAAATTTTAAGATATAGGCCAAAAGGACATTTGATATGACGTACAAAATTGAGAAATCCATGAAAACATATTATTTTTAATAGAAATGAGTAGAGAGTGTACCACCTCGAGCTAGCGAGCTAGCACGCTTTTTCATAAGCCAGAGGAAATAAACTTATGGTACCGATGCTTTTCGGTACCATAAGTTTACTGCAGATAACTGCAGATAACTGCAGATAACTGCAGATAACTGCAGATAACTGCAGATAACTGCTCTGACAGCGCGTTTGTAGTATAGGAGAAAATTCAAGGGAGTTGTAATAACTGTTCGAGTTAAAGGAAGTTCGAGTTTTCAGGGGTTAGAGTTATCAGGACCCTGTGGACAATTTTTTGGCGGTGCAGAACTTGAAAATGGCTTTGAAAAAAGCAAGCATTTCACAACATGCAAGTAAAAGCTTTTCGTCTGACACTCCTCAGAATATAAAACGTCCAAAAGAACACGATTGAAGATATATACCCAATACCCAGTTGTGTATCGATAGGCCAAACAAAAAAATGCAAGCACATGACCGGCATAGTTGTCCAATCAGTGCTGCGTGCCTATAGAAAAAATTCAGGATCATATTTCGAACAGCGAAAATTGATTGACAAAATTGCAGCGGGTCTTGTCAGGGATAAATTTGATAGCATTACCATCACGTTTTAGACGTCATTTATACATTTTACGATTTAATGCAAACAGGTTTCCAACAAGTGTTCTTTTGCCATAAAATTGCAATATTATACTTAAGCAAACTGAAAACTTCCAAACCAACTTACTATTTTCATAGAGTCTCCACGGTTTCCTGTTAATTTAGCGCAAAATTCTTGAAAAACCTTAACTGCATTCTTTGACCTTTGTTCAGGTGTCTCCTTTTCCTTCTTCTTACAAACATTGAGATGGTGGCAGATTTCATCAACATTGGCACCATGCTCTACAGCGACAACAATCATCCATGTGCTTTCAACAAGTGTCTGGCACTAAAAGCGAACCATACTCGACAGCAATAGTACAAAAATAGTTGATTTAGACGATATCTGGAGGGGAAAGTGTTACGGTCTGGAATTTTGTTATGCCTGCTGACATTTGTTGCAATCATCTTTTAATAAAGATATCCATTCTACAGGAAATACTTTTTATTTGGAGGCAGAACGCCAGGGGACAAGATACTCACACCACAAAAGAATACGTACCCACACCAATCGTGGGTGAGAAAAATTATTGCAAGATTCATTTTATTTATGTTACTCAAAGGAATTTTTTTTTGTTGTCTTGTGCTACTCATGACTAAAAACACATAAATAATACATAAATGCTCCATTTGTTAGTAATGATAAGATATATTTCATACCTCTGTTTTTCTTTCATTTTTGTTGTTGCAATACCCTGACGCTTCCCGCCTCACAAAGGCGTACATCCTATCTTGCGAGAGCAGACCATCAAAGATACTCTTTTTCTGAATGGTTCCATACACAAAACTGACAAATTCTTTGCACAATTTATGGCATTTTCCGTGGCTCTCAACCTCAGCACTGAGAACAAAGGAAAACTGGCACGAAAGAGCAACTATTAGCAGAAGTTTCAAACACATGCTTGCTAGCAAATTGAGAGTTCCACGTTACAACTAAAATGTTCAGTAGGAGGGATTCCAAGGTCTTTTATACCCTTAAAGCACAGCATCAAACAATGTTTAGCAGCATAAACTTGGCGTATCTCGTAATGTCATCTGACATTGTCCTAGACACCCGTGTTGATCTAATAAATACATCTCTCAAGCTGAGATTTTGGTCTGAGTTTTTAAGTGACCTACAATCACTGCCAAAATAACTTGGAACACCTAACACTTATCGCTGTGCTTTTCTATTTTCCATTTTTTTTCTTGAATACTACCACTTCCGTCCCCCTTTCCCCCCAAAACAATGTTGAAAGTATAGAAAAATATCAAACAATCCACAAGAAAAAGCGTACTCCAGAACCCCTTTCTTTTTTCTATAGTAAATCAACATTGTTCCTAGGGGGAGAGGGGGTTGGCTGAATTTGCTTTGTAAACTGACGTTAGTATTCCAAGACTTTTGGCAGTTATTGTAGGTCTTATCAACTCAGGATCACATGCAGTTTATCGGGACAATTTCGTAAGTGGTTACATTAACCTTTAAAAAAGTAAAGTAAGACTAGAAAATAAGTTTTACACAATTTAAGCTTGACAAAGTATTTCGAATAGTGCGAGGATTTTTTGCACCAGTTACAGTAGCTCTTTTAGAGGGATCATTTAACAAACTCAAGCTTGTCCAGAGTTTCTGGTGGAGCAAAATGACACAAAAAAGATTGAACGACATAGCTTGTCTAAGCGTAGAGAGCTAACACACTAGACTTCACTTACCCTGTTAGTGCATTTGCCCTGAAAACGCCGGTCAACTAATTATTTTGATATTCAATGATAATTCAGTCCTCGAGAGGACTAGTGCCACAATGCTGCTTTCTTTCTTCATAATCTGAAGGTAATAACCTGAACTACACCGAATACAAAGATTGTTATCTGTAGTTGAACGATTGGGTTCAGTCATTTAGTCGTTTAAGCAAAAAAGGGAAATATTGTTTCTTTGTACTGAAGTATTTTGAAGATTTATGTATTTTGAGGTTTTCCGCCCCCTCGGATGGAAATCACCCACTCCATACAGGAGAGCACTGGGGATAAGTGGTTTATAAGTCTTTTTTCATTAGCTTAAGAAAGCTGCTCATCGCGCACGACATTCTCGCTTTTGACTAAAAACTCTTCGTGACAGCAAGCATTTGAACATTGTCCCATCGTTTAGATTCATTGAAGTTGCCCGGGCTATGGTTTTGCATTTCATGCGTGTGGAAATACCACTGGCACTACCTGGCACAAGCCAAAAAGCAAAACTGCAAAATTAAGAAAACGCTAAATTTACAATATTTTCAAATATTCTGAAATCTCGCTGAAAATTTTAATTGCGAATTTTAAGTGACGATACACTTCAACACAACTATAATGAAACAATGCTGTTAATAAAAAGAGAGTACAAATGACACATGCAAACAAATCGGTATAAAGGAGGCAGTCAAGACAGTAAATTTATGACAGTCAACAAAACAAAGTTCTTACAAATATACAAACATCTAATATATATTTTCATTAATTTTATTAAAGACTCATGCTTTTTTCTTTCTAAGTAGCCTGGTGACGGCTCTTTGATCAAATTTTACGTCATCTTTCTCAAAGTCACTCGCTACATCAACAATCTTTTCGCCTTTCAACCTTCGGAGCCTTGACTTCTTCTCTTCTTCTGTCAGTAAATTTGGATCTTGTGGCATACGGATGACACCGATTGGTTCAGGATGCCGAACAAAATATGAAGATCCATCTGGATTTACGATACGCACTTTGTACATTCTTGCATAAGTTTTTTTCCTGATGCGCGTTATGCTGACAAAGAGAATAAAAGATGACTAGGAATTTACAATAATAACTATTGAAAAGGCACTTAGAGAAAAAACACTTTCCCAAAACAATACAAAAATTCTTGGTCAACTTTGTCTTTGTGTTGAAGGATACACTGTGGTAACTGCCAATATATTTTTGTATGACCCAAAATTAGTATTGAAACAAACGATTGCTAATACGAATTTTAATAGAGAAAATCCTTTGAAATATTTCCGTTAAAAATTAAAATTTATCGCCCAGGAGGTAGATTAACTAAACTGATATATACCAAAGCAATGGGCTGATTAAACCTGAGAAAAAAGAAATTTTACAATGTTCGGATCATGTTTTCAATGACAAGATGGCATTTGCTTTCTTGCTAATTAAATAATTATTAGTATTGCTCGTGCACATGTCATATGAAATTCACATTTACGATTTGTTCTGCTGAAGCAAAACTTGGGCCTGTTTGAAACATCCATTCATGGAGTCATAGACAAATCCATTCATAGAAAGATCCCCTCATAATTTGACAGAATCCAAGTTTTACCTCAAATTTTGCAATTCCCTATAAAGACTATGATTATATACTTAAGCTATTGCAAGTGTAGAAAGGTAATAATTCTTACCGTGTAGCTAATTAAAACACTTCAAGCTCTAATTAACATATGGAAAAAAATTAAATTCAAGACTAATGGTCTTGCCTTAGCAAAACGCTCATGACACTATCTTTTTATCTTTCTACAATGATCTGATACATAAAAGTATATGGGGATGTTATCGAAAGGCTATGGTTTAAAAGCGATACCTTGTAGAGTTCAGTCTTGAAAATTGCAGACAAGCACTTTGCTTCATAACCTAGATGGCAAAATTGAAAATATGGGTAAAAAATTTGTATTCAGATTTATAATCCTTGCTTATATTTTGTAATCATTAGAAGTAAACTTTGCATATTGCATGGAAATTATATCTGCAACATACAAACAACACAAGTTAGTGATGTTGGCACTTTCTGTGTTTCCAAACATTATCACTCTGAATAAGGATAAACACTGCAAAATTGCCATCAAGATGACATACAATAGATAGTCTTAAAACTCTAATTGATGGCCCTGTCTTGTAATTATCTTTCTAGCTCAGGGCATATGAATAACATTCTGGGTGTGACATTACCATTTTTGGCGACGTCAAGTGAGTAAACAAATGATTTTAGGAGCATGTAAATCAGAGGTGAAGTCAAGAAAGGGGCTAAAGCCCCTCCCCCCTCTGTTATAGTATCTCAGTCTTCTAAGAGGAAAATCTCTATTTGTCAGCATAGAACTGAATATATGTTATTTAAAGGATTGAACCACATTACACAAATCTGAGTACCCCATGATGAGGTTGCCGGCCCTGTTGATGTTTTTTATAATTCAAATGTTAATAAATGATAACAACACACCTTTGAATAAGTAGCTATGCAATTGGGAATTCCATTTGCACTCTTGCTCAAAGCAGCTAGCCAAGACATTTTGACAATCTTGAAGATATAATGTTAAGACATTTGATGATATGATGGCATTATGATGAGACAAATGGCGATATGTTTTATCATGAAACAATAATGATTGATATGATGAGACATTAATCAATATTATTTCCATATGCTTATGGCAGTGGAGTACATAAATTTCCTTTACTTAGTGGCTCAGGGTGAGGGGGGAGGGGGTTGCTACCTTAACATGTTTGAAGGTACAGAGATGTGGCATTATTTAGGGGTACCTTTTTCTGAAAAGTGCAGAATTATCGGTATCACTTTCTGAAATATGTGCAGATCTATGGGTACCATTTGAAGAAACATGCAGGAATGGGTACCACTTTGGGAAAATATTGGAGCTAAGTGGAGCAAAATTCAGAATTATTTGGAATGAATACTTTAATTCCAAATGAAAACATGTATAGAGATGTTATCTATTAATGTGGACAACATAAGACAATTAATAGTTTATATCCCTTTTAGGAACTGATGCATATTACAACTATGGCATAAAATCATGTTGCTTTATTTGGCCTTTTTTTATATATTCAATTTCTTTGGGTATATTTTCAGATGTTGACAGTAATTTTCCACTGCAATTTCCAAAATCAAAAAGCAAAAATTACATAAATTTAATAAATACTTATTTAACTGTAAATCTTTTAACTTCAGCTTTGCAAATCTAATCTTGCTATAAATGATCATTTTAAATTAGCTAGCAATGATAGGATAAATAAATAATTCTCCGGTGCCAGGAAACCTTCTTAAAGCCTATATATGCAGAAATGATAAAATGCAATTAGAGAAGGCCTTCTCTTTTATAACATTAGGTAACAATTGAATTGACTTAGGCCAACTGGCCTGGATGAAGGTCATTTCTATTTGACATCGTCTGTTACTGTTACAAATTTCCTATTGAAGGTAGAAAATATTCAGTGAATGAGAAATTATTCAGTTTGACTAGTCACAGTTGCAGGACAGTCTAAGTAGGTGGCACTGGAGGAGATATGTTTTGAAGGAAGATTACGTGGTATCCATCCAAACTGGAAACTTTATTTCTGTGGACAAGCTCAATTTTGAGAACATAAAACTGTACTCTTTTCGAAGCAGGAACCCGTGGAGCGGAGGTAAAGGACTGGTAAGTTACTACCAATTTTTTTAAAAAAATTCAGCCCATGTCATTTGATTTTGCCGAAAATTCAACAAAATGTGCACAAACTGATGGAAACATGGAAACTTAGTTGCATGGTTCTGCAAACAATGCACTACAGCCTTGTTTCCATTTGGTACCCTTGAAAGTGAGGATCTGTATCTGTATCATCAAAGAATCTGTATCATTGGTTTGCTTTCGTGATAAATTGAAGTCATATCTGCTTGCAAAAAACATTAACAGCTAATCCTTGAAATTTTTCACCTTGTTTTTCACTTCTTACTTACAGAAATCGGAGTTTCATTTTCGGTATTTTTTTTTTGATATCTTTGAAGTGCTGAAATATCTTAATGTATACTATAGGGAGGCCTCTCTCCTTGAATAGCTTCGCCAACTGAGAGAGTTCCTCCTTTAAATAATTCCCCATACATACATATCCCACCAATAATTTGTGTTCCATATCTTATTGTTATAGTTATTGTTTCATATTTGATGTTGCTATATTTTCATTAGTATTTTGTGGAAATGTATGTTGTGGAATTTAAAATAAAATGAACCTGAACCTGAAACTGAACTTTTCAAATGTTAGTACCTCCGCCATAGTTATGGGCAGTGGCTATCATCAATGCTTTCAGCACAGCCTACGAAGTGTTGCCAGCCTTTTCTATATGCTACAGGGTTGATTCTCAACCAAAAAACATAAAGACTACAGAGAACTAAACCGACTGCAACATTGACAATAGCCACTTACTAAAGAACTTTAGATGAATTATATACTTCGATGTCGAGACCATACCACTTGACAACAAAAGATTTATGCTAATAGATAAACTAAACAACTTCAATGAAAGCCACTAAGAACAAATAGAACAAAAATGTCACTGGTTTTCTAAACTGTCTGTGCAAAAATTAGCAATTCCTCACCTAAGTTGTTCCTGTTTTCGTTAGGCCCTTCTCTCTAAATCTGTCCTTTCCATCGAGCCTCGTTTGGAGCTTCCACCTCGCAAAATTGAATTATTGAATTTCGGGAAATTTCTTAAACATTCACCAATATGATTGACTGACTGGTTAGCATAAAATTTACACAAAGAATGAAAATATCTTTTCCCATCTAAAATAGCATTAGAATGAAAGCGTTTCTTGTGACAGAAAGCAATAGAAAGATCCAGGAACCGCGCACCAGCTTAAAAGGGGAGGTGCTAAAATGGGTGTACCCGAAAATTCTTGAGGCCACGCCCCCTAGAACGCCCCAAAAAGCCTTTTTAGAAAATAGTTGCTTATTTCTACTCAATTTTTATAAACAGTCTGGTTCAGATAAATTATCACAACGACTATAAAAGTAGATGAAATTAGCTTAATGATACTAAAACATCAAGCTAACCAAGTTAGAAGATACATCATATCATTAAACAAGATAAAACACCTAGAAAATGAACAATAAGGGTTTCCAAAAAAGGAACCACTAAGGGACTCCAACAGTTGGGCCCCGAAGGGGCCCCCAAGATGTTTCTCGAAAAACGGGTTTTGGATGAGAGCATTTGTTGCGTAACAGCATTCACAGTATCATTGAAATGAACGTAAACGATTTGTGAGCAACCACATGAAGATGTAAGATTTGTCATGTTTCCTCTAATGCACATCTATTTCGTCATAAAATTTTGCATCTAATCTTTGAGGATCAGGGGCGTAGCTAGCGGGGGTGTAACATCACCCAATACTTCATGGATTCGTCGATAAATCTTCAGTTTGTCTAAAAAAACCTCTAGTTTGTCTTGTCAGTAAAATCATGTATCAGTAAGTGATATAGCACCAAATTCTTCTTCATCTATGTCTCCGTCGGTAAATTTCCATCTATGTCAAGACAAATTCCCTGTTTTTTGAAAAAGCAAAGACCAAGGTCTAACTAGCTGAAGTCTCCCTCTGCAGGGAGAAAAGGCCGAAGATAAGGTCACGGACCCTGCCTTTAAGGAATTTTCTGAAACTCCTGAAAAGAACAACAAAGGTGCGAGTCAGGCTAAAATTCAATTGAAATCCTGCCATCTTTCAAAGTTTTATCCAACTGATCGTGGCCACTTTTGTGAAGATATGCTTGATTCTGATCTTAAGGAATTGGTTTTACGCATTGATGTGCCATGTGGTTCATTCGAGTACCAGATGGCTCATTCGAGTACATAAAGGAAGATAAAACGGATCTGTCTTGGCAAATTTTAGTGCTAGGTATTATAATAAACACATTAAAAAGGTAGATGGTTCTGTCTCTGCAAATTTTACTGCTAGTTATTATAATAGACACTTCAGGAAAACCCCAAAGAGTGAGGCTCTAAAACTTGATTATAGGCTATAGGGGACTCTAAACAGTGTTTAGTAAACATTGCAGTAATGGCCCCACACTGCTCCGCTACGCCACTGAACTACTACTACATAGAAGTATACTATCCGAAGTTGCGTTAGTGTAAACCTTCAAAAATTTTTTCAATCAGCTAGTACTGCAAAAGGATGGGGGGGCATAGCCCCTATTAGCACAATGGCTGCGCGGTGCCTGGAAACATCGACAATTGTCACTGTTCGTAGCTGTGAAAACCCCCCTCAAGATGTTTCTGCTCAGAGACTATCCTAGCATTAAAAATTAAACATTAGGAACCCAATGTTAAAATTAATGACATCACATAAGAAACTCCCGAGCATTGGAAGTTCCTAAAGAGTTAAGAAACTGGAGACCTTTGTCTTAAGGTACAATTAGGTTTTCGCTGCTTGAAATGAAAGGGTTATAATCTTGTATCTTTTATAAGGTCAATAACACCAGAGTTTCACCAGATTACTATCTTTATCATCTAATCAGACATCTAAAGAATTTTTGATTATGGAAAAGGTCTTGAAAAGCTAACTTTTACTGACGAAATTTAAACGTAAACTAAAACACCTTGATGTTGATTTCGGTGTAAAACGGACTTGCATGAAAAATGCAAACAAGCAACATACTATAACTGCGAGACCAACATACTGTAAATAAAAATGCAAAATCCCACTTTCTGATTGGTATAAACCATCGTCATTTCTCGAATAAGCGCAGTGAGCTCGTTTAAAAAACTAGTTTCAAGGGTGTGTGCTTACTTCTAAAGATGGAGAGATAAACAGACGACTACGATTTCCACGTACAATAAATCAAATGCAGTAAGATAGACCCAGAATTGAGTCAGTATTGGTGTGGGGAAAATGCTGGCCTAAGTCACTCTGACTTGCCAATTATTATGCTCAAGAAGTTCGTGTGATTAAACGGCTTGAAAGGCCACAATCTCAAACATAATCTGGATGTTCTACCTATCTTGCAGAACCCGTTTCCAACTATATCGATTCAAAAACGATAGCCGAAGCTTAACTTTAATCCTTTTTCTTCAAACGCGTGCGACTCTCACAACTCTTACTCCTACCTACCTTGATCACGTGATCTTACCTCCACGTTAACAAAACGCTATTTTCTACAATTGGCTCCAAGAACTGTCATTTCTCGCTATTCCTTTTTGCTACTTACAGCTACATTTCTTGTTACATTCCTTGCTACATTCTTTGCTATCTCTTGCTAACACTCTACAGAAAAGTGCATTTCGGCTATGGTAAATGAACATAGACGCCTTGAAAATGGTTTGGCTGTACTCGCAGTAAACCTCATGCGCAGTGAAAGGAAATTGCTGATCTGCGTAGTAAGACATGTCAAATATCATACATCCAAAAACAAGCCTTTTTGACCAATTTGACTATTGGTCATTAGAGCAGTTGGCTTGAATGTTGGCCTTTTGATTGTATATATTTTTGAGCAAATCACAAAATCAGTCAATACAATTACTGTCAATGCAATGAAGTTTGGTCTTTACAAGAAATAAACACAACAAAGAGCCTTGTGAAAGCCACTCAGATAAATTGTAAGGTCAATTCATCTGGAGACATGTTAAATGTTGAGTCGCAGAATTTTTGTGGTTGGATAAAACGTTGGACGGGGCGAAAGAAAACAATTGTAAATAAAGAAGTCACACTGATACAGATTTGGCGGGAAAGGTATAGTAGGAACAAAATAACAAAAGACACAAACTAAAATACCCAATTCATCACTTCACAACATTTTACAAAATTCTTTTAATACAAAAATACTAATCTAATATCAACAGATAAGAAATTTTAGGCACAAGTTATTGATTCCCTACAAAAATATATTTTTCCCATCGAGAGTTCGAAACCATTATACTTTTTCATATACAACAGGTTCTTGCAAAAATCCATGTCAAAAATATCGAAGTACCAGTCTATCAACTCTTCTTGATCATCTCAATTTTAATCCTGATTGAAATCTCAGCGGAAGAATGGCGGGAAATTCATATCAGCTCCCTGTAACGATAAAAGTTATCTCGATGAAGCAATAGCAGTGAAATGTAGGAAGAATAGCTACAATCCTGCACAAAATTCTTGAAACAAAAATGCAGTTTTAGCAATTTTATACTTAACGTTGCCACTGTAAATTCAGATCCACCCACCCCCCTCCCAAATCAGGGTTGAATTTGTAGTTCTATCATTTTTGCTTCAAAACATACATTGAATCTAGGGAGAGATAGGGGTTTTTTTACAATGGAAAGAGAAAACATAAATTTTGGAAAGTCTCAACAATTTTTGTCCGGGATTGTAGCCTCGGTTTTAAACAGAGACAGGTTTACAAATTGTAAAGATACTATGTAAACTTGGACAGAACAACGTGCTCTTCTATACCTGTGCCCCCCCCCTCTAATGCTCTCTACATCTATGGAACAACCTTTCATGCCTCTTCCCCCATGAAAAGACAGGAAGTGACTTGGAAGAGAAGTGAGCAAAGGAAACGTGTGAAAAAATGCCTTCTAATTGGCGAGCCAACAAACTAGCAGCCCTCAGCATAAAAAGGGGGATAGAGCATTGGATGAAATCATTTAAATTTGAACCCTTTTGTAAAACATATTCGATCGTTAGAGTTACTGAGTTGACAAGTAGATTTTTCTACAACAATAAAAAAACAATATGGATAAGATTTAAGAATAACGAATGCATTTAAGTTTTTTAACTGCATCGAAAGATTTAGTGCCTCAGGTTTCAGAATCTTGTTGTGTCTCAAAAAAGGTGGTACATATACAGGTGACTAGAGAAATACTGATGAAGCAAAGGGGAGTATGACGAATGAAAATCACGAATGTTATGTTTACACGTGTAACTGTTTCATTGCCTGTTCAGAGGATTCATATCTTGTGATCGTCTTGAAAAGAAATGGGACAATTCCAGGTCGGTTTTTTTCTGCTTGTGCAAGCACGATTTGAAAATCAGCTTCGGATAGCAACGATAGGTCTATTCTCATCTTGCGAATATCGTCAAGCGAAATGACATCCACCCCACGAAGTCTAAAAAACAATAAGCAGCAATGTGAATACGGCAGTTACATGATCTTGTTGGATCAACTTGTCCTGCATTGGTAAGTTGAGTTAAGCTCATTTATTCTACGCAAACATCTTCGGATAGTTTCCGCAGGGTAAATGCAAATTGCCCGGGTTTACCCGCGGGTTTAACTAACCCAACTCTTGAACATCACGAACAGTCTAAGTGCGAAACCTGGGCAAACAGGATTTGTTTCTATGAGGAACATGCGCAATCGTACTTAGAAAAATGGAACCAAGCAAGCATGTGTGTTATCATTAACCCACTTTCATTACACATCAGCATTTACACTACCATCTAAAACAAGCCCAGGTCAAACTTATCCGGGCTAACTTGATCAGGGCTGGACCCGGGTATGTTCGTGTAGTGTCAATAGGGCTTTAGAGCTGGTATTCTTTAAAGCAGAGTCCAGAAAAGTCCTTAACATTCCTCTGGTCAAAATTTTCACTGCCAAAACCTTCCTCCAGTTTCTGAGGCAACCACAGTTGATAGAACGTGGCTAGGGATAAGTTAAGGTAAAATCCCCTTGGCAGACGTTATGAATCGAGATAAAATTGCTGCCTTTACGTAACCAAAAGTTAGTCATGGGTGTTCCCTGCAGGTATAATTGGCGTTTCTTTGTTGATAAAAATGTATTTTCTGGCACTAATAAGTTGCTTCAATTGTTGCTTCAATAATTCTTTTTCACGAAGACCTTCCTCCAAACTTCTGTTGTTTCTCAAACCTTCCACCGGTTAATGACCGTGCGACCGTAATGTTTTCAGGACTCTGCTTTAAAGTGCAGAAAATATGTGGGTAAGGGACGAGTTGATGTTGATTGCTTTATTCATTTGAGTTAGTTCTATTGACTTTGGTCTATTGGCTGTGTACAAAACAATAGGTAGACAGAAATGTTCTTGTTAACAAGGAGCAAATTGACAGTAAAAGAAGGGTGGACATGGTTACGAATTGACAAAGTCACTTAACAGTCAATAAAAGACATTTTGGTTTGGTACACTATTCTGTCTCTATTTGTCAATACTTTACGTTACTTATGAAACAGCATAGCCATAGAAACTGCTTACAAACCATTGTCTATACACCAAACAAACCAATGATTACAAATAGGGGTCATACATTTCTTATACAACACGAAATTGGCTTCGGTTTGAAACAAAGAAATGTCATCGGAGCTGAAGGATTTAAACCTTCTCCAAACCAAAACCTTCTAATCAAACAGTCGATGCATGTCACTAGCAATTAGGAAGCACACTTATTGTCAATTCATAATTTCCAGAGATTAAAGTTCGTTGATCATCTACCTAGCAGCCTACCCATACACTTGAAGTAGGGTGTTAACCATTATAAAAATACTTACGATTTAGCATGTATATAAGAGATCAGCGTGGTTGCTTTTTGATTCAACAGACATAAAAAGTTTTTGATGTATCTTTCTCTCACAGAGTCTATATCAGGCAATAGTTGAATCTAAAAAGAAAACAATATTATCAGATACCCTATTGTCCTAAAATCCTTGCCAAGATTGTCTAAAAATCTGCGCTAGAAAATCAGTAGCTTGTACAATGTTGTATCTTTTCGACTCTTCTGTAGCTGTGGTTGAAACGTAGACTACTGAAAGGTGTATGAAAGCATTGAGTATCGAGTAGTGAATCGAAATGGTAATGGAGAGGAACGTAAACATTATGCTAGCAGGAACATCTTGCTGAGAGAAAAGTGTGAATTTGTTGTCGTTTACTAGTTATTGGGGTATTGTGGAGTTCCAACTAAAATTTGTCTACAACTTATACCATTGCTGATCTTTGTTTCGTCTCACACTCCTCATATTCTGAAGTTTTATACTCTGAGGAGTGTCAGACGAAAAAGCTTTAAGAAGTATGTTGTGAAATGTTTGCTTTTTCAAAGCTATTTTCAAGTTCTGTACAGCCAAAAAATGTTTTCAAATCAAAGAAACAAAATACAAAGTGTTCACAACTCAGATTGAGTAAACCTGTTGTAAAGACACTATGCCTACTAAAATCCCTCTGGACATCTAACAACCTGTTTTGCGTTTCTCGTGTATTTTCCTTAATACAATCCATTTTATTCCACGTCTTCTCAAAAAAAATGTAGTTGCCAAAATTTGAAAATGACGAAGATTGAATATGACATTAGAAAATGGCTTTAGTGTTTCACAAGCAATTATGGTAGGCAGTTATATAGAGACTCCACTGTAGTTGATAGACAAAAACAATAGCGTGGTTTCAATTTTACCTCTGATACAAAGGTTTGCACCATAATAGCAATATCTTCGCAATCATTGAAAAGTCCCCTGTCGAGAAAAATTGATATGCTGTACGTTCAGATTGAGGTTGAAAATGTAAGTAAGTACTGCACTAATCTAGTTAATAGAAAGGACATACTGCGTCCAATTCTTTTCAGTGTCACCTTCTCTTCAGAATCAAACAATGATTTACAAAGATGACTATGATGCTGTTGATTATGATGATGATGATGATCGACAATTGACAAACTTCCCATTAAATTCCTTTCGGCCTCTTTCCCATTGGCGCTGTGTCTTTGATCTCGCTCCCATTGCTCTCAGGAGATCAGAAATATGATCCGAGGTCCCCTGAGACATGTAAGTAATTCCAGACACACTTCCAGTGCTCACCCTTTCCAAGTCTCTTTGCCAAACACAAACTCAACCTCACAACTCCACAACCTCCCTAGATCTTTCTAAACTTAGAAATGCTCTACTTTCTTCCAAAAATATTACAACCTGTCTTTATTCAACAACTATCTTTATTTAAGTCTAATAAAAATCCCTCATCCCTTTCCCTTGTTAGTGCTTAGCTTTATTCTCCTGAGTCTTTCCCTTAACATTAATGATGTTGACTAAAAAATGATATGGACATTGATGATAACATAGTGGTTATAATGATGATCATAGCATGTGATTAAAAGTATATCAAAAACAATTTATTTACTTTGTTGGAAAAACAGGAGCCTCTCCTTCAAGTATTTGGTTTAGATACAGCCTCAGAAATTCAAAGCGTGTGGTGAGGTGTAGTCTTAGTTCACTGGTTTGCTTAACTTCTCTTGTGTCAATGTCGATTAATGTTGTTGGCAGACTGTTGATGAGCACATCTTTGCTCTCGATATCATAGCCATTAGTCCCCTGTAAAGAAAACATTTCTATCAAGATATGTTGCTCCATTCTTAGAAATTTACTGTAACTGAAATTAGGCAAGCAAGAAAAATGTCAACTGTCAATAGCAGTAAATGGTCTGTTTAATTTTTCCTCTAACCTGTGCCCTCTACATGACACCCCTCCTTTGAAGAACAATAATTTTATTAAGATCTTGGGAGAACTCACTATATCTAGAAATGTTGCCTGATGATGGCTTTAAATCAGAGAAGCAACATAGAGCTGCTGTGTTCTATACATTATATCAAAAGCATAGAAATGTACACAAGCTTCCTGAAAGTATGGAAAATATACTTAAAATAGCGGCTTACAGAGACCAAGAAGTTGAACGGTGCTTCAGAAAAGTCCAGGGAAATACTATCAAAGGCTTCATAAAAAATGCCCTAAAATACAGGCAAAACTTATGAAGCAAAAGATTATTCAATTTAGCTTGAAACTTAATATGTGCACCTTTGTTCTGAAATCACACATATTAGCGAGAAGATAATTTTGGCTGAGATATCAGGCTATAGGTTATTAATAATAATATCAGATGAACAATTTCTAATGCTGCCGTTTAGTGATCAAAATAGTTGACTTGCTAAATAATAAAGAAAGTTTGCGTGTAGATTATTCTTTTCATTAATTTCAAAGGCAAAATGAGCATAGAACATTTTGGTAAATTTTTTTATTGTCGTATGCTTAGATGATGAGCAAATCAGAATTTAAGATACAACAGTCTTTAAAGTCAAATGTAGAGCAACTCAACTTTTGTCAGCATTAAAGCTTTAAAATTAAAGTGCACTGCGAAAATAGATTTATTAGTCATAATTTTATTTGCAAAACAAGCTTTAAGCAGTTTGCTTCAAATTTCAACATTTAGCTGTTTTCCTTTTCTCCCTTAAAAAATGTTGGATTACGCTCCATAAAATGCACAATTCAAATACACAACAATTCCTTTGTTTCGATGCAACCTTGCTTTAAACCTACTTTTAGTAATCCTTGTAAAAACAGATGCCTTTCATAAGAACAATCCTCTGAGCTAATTGCATATCTTGAGCATGCTCTCTCACTAGGTGTTAGGAACTGGGCCAAAGTGTTAAGAACCTGTAATTGAAATTGTCATCCTATAATGTCTGAAAAAAATTCTGCAATTTATTTAGAAAATAGGATATTTGAAATGGCATCACAAGGGATGTGGTGAAGAGGCTAGCAGAAATGAAATTGGTAGACATGATAACTGGTACATAGAGGCTATAGGAAGAGAACACAAGACACTCATAAAGGAGTCTTTTGCAAGACATAGTATCTTATACAGTGACTCTACATAAAAATTGGAACAGCCATCAGTAGGAGCATATTATTAATTGTGCTTTTGGCACTGCAGCATAAGGCCCATTTCTGAAATTGTCGCAATCAAAACAGAATAGCATTCTAAAAGCTTAAGACAAAAATGACTTGAAAAACAAATAAATTCAAAGCAAGCAGGATTCTAACAAAAATGAAAATAATTTCACCAAAACAATTTCAATATCTCATCATATGTGTTAAGAAATTACACCCTTTGCTTTGGTAACAAAAGCACACAATGACACAGAAGGACAACAATTTAAATAAAGCTTTATTCTTGATAAGGTTGTAGCATAACCAAACATTGCACCTGTTTCAAAACCTTTTAGAATGATAAAAAGCAAAAAGGAAAGGAAAGAGTGCAAAACATACAAAATTGACATGGTCCTCTCTTGTGCCAACAACAACAGTGCATCCAGATGTTTGCAGATGTGATGTTATTACTCTACAAGTAAAATCAAGTGCAATGTTAACAATTTTACAAAACAACAGACAATCAAATAAAACTTCAAAGATATCAATGCAATCTTTCCAGTTGGATGATATTAATCATAACAACCGAAGGTAGTCTTTTTAACATTGGCACAGGAGCAACTGATTTTCCAAAAAGGCACAACTGCATCACAATTCGTAAAATGAAACACCATTTACTCATAGCAAGGGATATTCCTTCCTAAGGTACAAAACACAAGCAGTAGATGAACAGATTCTTGTTACTTTTCAAAACCCTTTAAAATTTTACCATCAGCATATTTACAGATGAAGATAAAAACAAATTTGATAGAAGAAACTGTGGGAGTTTCGAGAAACGTTTAGTACAAAGATGTATGATTGATTGGAATGAGCATCTAAATAATAATTAGGACTGGTCCTTACATTTGGCAATAAAGTTAAGCAAATTGTAAACTATTTCAAGGATGGCATATTCGAAAAAATGATTTACCTCATTAAAAATTTTGAATCATAAAGTTTTCCAATATCTGCTTTTTCTTTATTTCCAAAGATTGTACAACCAATCTACATTGGAAGGACAAATTTTAATTAATTTATAAGCAGGGTATCACAATGTTTTTTAATCATATTCTCCAGTGACATTTAGAAAGAAGCTCTAAATTCAACTGAAATACTACACAAATTCTGTTAAGGAATCTTGGAAGCTTGAAAAAGTGTGTTAAGCAATTTTGCTACCAAGTATTCAAGCATTAAAATCAAAGGGGGTTAAAAAACCAAGGTTAAGAAGTTAAAGTTAGAAAGATAGGCTATGCTGCAAGTACGGCAAATTTTTCACAGTCTTGAAACAGCCCTAAATCTTTGGTTATAGTTGCTTTATCATAGAACTTTTAAACAAAAATGAATTTTCCAGGCTGAATCATTCACAAAAAATCTACTGCTATTATTGGTGGTTAGTTGACATATGAATTTGATGTGTTAAAAAAATTTGCTCAGGCAACTAAATGCACAGTCATACCCCCACACTTCCTTTCTAACTCTGTGAATATTAACAAGTCATAATAAATCTCCCTGCACCCCTAGTAAAATATGATTCAAATTCAAGGTGCATTTGGAAGATGACCTTGTTGAGATCATTTGACTGAAAGTTGGAAATATTTTTGCAAAATTATTTTGGACTATAAGCTTTAAAATAAGTGATGATAATTTTTGGTTGCTCTTTAACCTTTTCCTCAACAAAAGCAATAAAACAATGCAAGTGTGCACAACATCCCTGACTCTCTTTGTATTTTCATGCTTTGAAATTTGTTTAGTCTGCATTAAAACTCTTATTGTAAAATTTAAAATAAGATTACACCAGATATTCTGTTAAAATGTTATACCAAAATATCCTGAATTGGGAGTTTGTTTTTCTGGATTAACTCTACTGCATTCGCCAGTCTTTCTATGTGAATGGAAAAATTATTCACTGATTTTGGAAGATTCTGAAAAACAAAAAATATTGAGGTAGTTATGCATTCTCTACGAAAGTAAAAAAATGAACATAAAATACTTTAAAAAAGGGGTTGCTCTCTCCTTGATAAGTTCGACTACTGAGAGCTCCTCCTTAAGAAATTCCCTCCACAAAATATGTCTTAATCTAAAAGAAATTGTCTCCTCTCCTTGAATGTATCTACAAATAATTTCACCTACTGATTTATGTTTTTCTGTAACTTTGTCTTATTTTCTTGTAGTTTAGCTAATTTATTTGTTGGATTATTGAGATAAATTGTATGAAGAGTGGAATTAAAAAAAATTAAACTTAAACTGAAACTCCATAGAATGCAAATGATGCATTTATAGTTTTACAAAGCATTATAATCAATAAGCAATGTTTCTTTAGTATTCTTTAATTGCCTCTAAATAAACTCTCCAGGCAAAATCATAAAACTGTCAAAATTATAAACTATGAAATGTTTTGTTGAAGAGAATAAGTTTTTCCAAATATAGAAGCGTAGCATCACCCACCTTTTCTTGCAAAACTCTGAATTTCATAACAATTGTCTCAATTTGTTTATTCAAGAATGTTTGCAGTTGCAAAAATCTATTTAGATCTTCTAATGCGATGATGAAAGCTAGACTGTAAATAGTTTGCCCAGCTTTAGCGGTTCCAAGAAATATAGATGCAAAAAATATGCATTCTCTGTCTGACAAAACATAGAATTTAGTGTCCGTTTGACCTTCCTCTCTAATACGACAAAGTTCACCATTGAGGGTGTGACTAGATACAAAACTGATAATGTCGGCTGTAATTTTTATTTTGTCATTTCCTACCCATAGTTTTTGGCTTCTAGGACCCAGTATGTTGTCCCAGTAAGAAAGTAATACTCCACTAAAAATGGAAGAGCAAATTGCAGTCGTTGAAATAGTCGAACGCAAATTTTCTTTTCCATTTCCTTCCGTGGCCATTTGGGCTGCAAAGTCGAGTAGAGTGACGTCTAATTCCCCCGTCTCTCCACATATATCAATATGCAGTTCTTTAGCTTCAATCTAAGCCAACATTTGAACAGCGTACTTGAATTAAAGTCATATTTCTTTCTATAAAGTTTATGGACAACTTATTACCCGATTACATTTCACGCCATTTTCGCATCGTCTGTTTTCTATTGCAAACGAGGCTCCACTTCCTTCCTCGAAATCAGATTCACAAAGAAGAAAATTTTGCTTTTTGGTCAAATCTTTAGCTATGCTATGGGTCATTAATTTGCCCTCGCGTCATACTTTCCAATTTGCGTCAAAGCCCCTGCCAGGTCAGTCTTCTAAATACCTTAGACCAGATAGTGTAAGGTTCAAGCTCTATATATTAAAAAACAAGTTCCCTTGCTGAGCTCTGCTCCCCCTCTCTATCTAGCCCCCAAACTTTGGCCTCAGGAAGCCTCCAGAAGCTTCATGTCAAAGTTACCGTAACCTTGGTATTTTGTACTAAGAAAAGGCTAGTTGGCATTTTAGATGGTCAATACTTAGGCACGACGGAGCCGGACTGGGGGGGCTGTAGTCCTCCTCCCACTTTTTTTGCTGAAGTATGATATTAAGGTTGTGGCAATTGTGGCATCAAAGATAATTGGTGGCAAACTACAAGTAAAGTATGGCAACCTGTCTGGAGGTACCCCCTCCCCCCACTTCAGAATGTGCTCCGGCGTCCCTGATACCTTATGAGTATCTTTCTGACGGAAGAGTCAAGCCTTCTAAAATCAAGGTTTAGCGTCAAATCGAAGAGTGTTAAATATCTCTTCAACAAATTAAGACAGATTATAAACAATAATGTTCTTATTGAGCCTTTTGTGTCCAATATCTTTACAATTATAAACATTTTACCGCAAAAAAAACAAAGGAATTGACTTCCCAATTTCATTTTTCTAAAAATATATTCGGCAAGAAAATTCTAAATAATAAAGTCAAAAACAGGTTACTGACAAGACAAAATCTTCATTCCATGCGAAGCTGTGCACCAAAAATGAATTGGAGAGGTTTATCACATAGTCACCCTTCTTGATAAAAAAGCTTAGCCAAAGAAATCGCTATTTGCCTGAAAAATTCTACTTGACTACTTGATTGAAAAGATCTATAAAGATTTCCAATTATAGAGAAAATGTTTCCGATTTAAAGGATGGTATTTAAAAATCCCGGTCAACGACGTCCATCAAATGGCAGGGTTGCAATTATAATCTAAAAATGATTCGGGTGCAAATCATCTTTCTATCTCTACTACAAAGCATACGTCTTTAGCTAATTCTCTCTGTATTTTCCCATTATTTTCCGATATGCACTAAAGAAATAATTAGCGAATGTAAAATTCTTGATGTTTAATACTTTCATCCAATGATCAAGCATTAGGGTAAAAGTACTAAGGCTACAGTTGTTTTTGATGGCTAGCAATGAGGAGAGTGTTGCCGTGACTGACAGCTAACGAATGAATTTTCATGCTTTCTTTGTTTTGAAATCGAACCAGTCCAGGCACAGGTGATGATTCTTCGCTGCCTCTTCCCAAGCGTCCCCTTCTGCCTTTGCCCCAAGTGTAAACTTCACCATCTAAAAAAAGGAGGAAAATCTTTGCAAAAGATTCTTAAAACATATATCAAACTACCCTCGTTTAATATCCTTACTTTAAAATCCAAATTCGAAATTTTCAATAGTAGGCAACTGATATTAAACGTTTTTAAATGCGAAATTCAGAGATCATCATACTGGATTGAGTTCTCAGGGGGTTAACTAAGTCTAGTTTTGGACGGGGACGTGCCATTTTGGTTCAAAATTTGGACCCGTCCTTCTGCACATGTTTTAAAAAATGTGACCCATAACTCCGCAAACATGATGAAAACTTTACCGATAATTTTGCAAGGCAAATAACATCAAATAGATTTTGTATATCTTTGCCCTGAATTCTCAAATTTACACATATTTAAAACTTTCATTTCCAACTTCCATTCTGTTAATGCCAAATCTCCCTTTTAATAATCTTGCAATATCATCCCAAAATGGTACTCATAATTTCGCTTGTTTTTTTAAAAAGAACCCATAGTTCCGCACATATTTCAATAAATTATACCGATAACTCCCCCCCCCCCACCTCAATACTGGCCGCCACCTGCGTGACCAAAGTTGAATGAATATAAAAATATAATGGCGTAGGCCTAGATGGAGTGTGCCATGAGGAAGAACGATTTTTAATCCCAAGCAAAATGCAACTAAACAAAATGGTCAGTTTCTGACTACCTTAAGCACAGAAGAAAAAAAGTTTCCTACAGATAATTGTAAGAAACAGTCAAATTTTATTTTACTTCATCCTCTGGTTCTCGTTTCAAGCCAAAAAGAATACAATAGCTGAAAAATTTCCTAAGAACTGTTATTTTGAAACGAACCTTCAGTAACTGCCAATGTGAACGTGTCTCCGCATCCAACATAAGTTATGACTTTATCTTCTAGAGCTAAAACTTTTTGCGGAGTAACTGCATTGTCCTCACGCTGGTATCCAAGTTGAAAGAACGAATTGGATCCAACAGTGTATAAAACGCCATCGTCTGCAAAGCAAGTAAAGTCTCTGGTAACGTAGCGTTATGCAAACTAAATTCATAATTTCAAACAGAAATGTTTCCATAAAAAGTTCTAGACGCCAAGAAAAGCAGACAATATCGCTAGCTTCTTTATTCATACAACAACAACAAAGCTTGAAACTATTCCATTAGGACCCAATTTAATGAAACGTCACAAAAACAAGTAAATTGAAAAAGGCCATATTAAAATATATGCACTTCATTGGTCTTTTTCGACTAATTCAAAAAATAAAATCCAATCCTTCATTTTTCAGATAAAATCTAACGTCTTCTAATCTAACGCAAACCTTTGGCATTTATCTAATTTATTAGTATTTACATCAAGAGAACCAAAACAGTCTTGATTTAGATGTTTATTTGAAATTAACAGAGCAAAGGTTATCAGTACAAAACTCCAAGAATTAGTTTGCTTCTTCATTCTGTAGCTCAGCATCTGAAGCAAAGCAATTTGCTTCAAGCTTCGCTAGGCCGGAGTGTTTAAGAGTATTATGAGGTGAAATTTGTGAATGAAAACTGGCTCACAATGACAATGATAAAAACATGCTACAAGATTTCGATTCAGAAGCTTTATAAGTTAATATTCTTCCTGTAATTTGAGGTATGTATCGTTATGAAAGATTTGCAAGATGCCAAATGCAGTATAAAAAGAGAGTAGATCACAACAGATGGTTTGGATGTGGTTGTGAATGGACGAAAGCTATCTTTAAACTTTTAAAGCCTGTTCTTAACGACGATAAAACTTTCATATCTGGTTGCAACGTACAACTTTTGTAATGAGGTAAAGAAAATGACATATTGTTTCAGGATAAGGAAAGCAATGTTTTTGGTATGAAAACGGCACGAAGGACAAAAATATCATAAAAATAACACAGAAAATATCAAACCAGTGAGAAAAGCAGTGTGTGATGTTCCTGTCTGAACCATGCTGATGGCCTCGTTACAAAGAGGAGGTGATGTCATTGGAACAAGATTTGGAGCTTCTCCGTCCTTCACGTATGTCCAAAGGCCAAGTTTATTTGACCTAAAGGGAATATACTTGAGAACAGAGGCGGACACTTGATCAAATATAGGGGGGCAAGCCTATTGTTTTAATAAGATGCTGTCACATGTCACATTGTTCTATAACAAAAGACCATTGTCCTCTAAAGTATTGGGGGGCGGTCGCCCCCCCTCGCCCCCCCAAGTGTCTGCCACTGCTTGAGAATTACACGCGAATGGTCAGATATTTCACCAGCTTGGTAATGTATGATTTAGCAGCTTGTTTTTGTGCAGTAAATGTTTGTGAGGATTCAATATGTTAGCTCATGAATTGCCAAGTGGCTTAGGTAGGTTTGATAGATGTGGTACTTCAGGCAGATGTGTTTAGGATGAAGATTTTACGGTTCGTTCCTTTTTCTTTTGACAGGCAGGTTACTTACTAAAAAAGTTATGGCAGAGTAGTCGATACGGTTACCGTAAAAGCTCCATTAAGCCCCCCCCATTTTCATACAAGAAAAAACTACAAAGTGAAGTGCAATGATTTAGTGATAGCTCATGATGTATTTCGTTGTAATATTGCCAGTTTCTAATTTCATGTGTTTGAGAGTCAAAATTTTCTTGTCCAGTTTTGTCTTCAACGTCTCTAGCAGGCCTCGAGAATCACTCGGTGTATCATTTTGTATACTTGATCTTGTTTTCTGAAATAAGCCCCCCCCTCTCCAATAAGCCCCCCTTTCCAATAAGCCCCCCTCTAGGACCTCAAAAATGAAATAAGCCGCCCGGGGGCTTAATAGAGCTTTTACGGTATTTTAACAAAATCTTATTTCAAGGGCAACTGAAAGAATACTAAAGCATTTTAGAGACTTTGTTTGCTAATTAATCAGATAGCATCCGTTGGCAGAATATTTGCTAAAATATGTTAATTTATACTGGGTAAGCATGAAAAATTGTATTACTTGTTATTTCCACAAGCGAGAACAATCTTCTCTTTGGACAAAACAAAGGAGCAGTCTACACCGCATTTGACAAGGTCAGCTTTGTAGCCAGAAGGAACGGGCACTTTTGTCGGAACAGATTTTGTCTCTGATGACCCAATGCCAAGCCTGCCTAAACACAAAAGGAAACGTAAGATAAAGCCTTGATCGATTTATTCAAACATAATTAATTGCGTCTGCTCTAAATTTTCAAATGCTGAATTTATATGCTGGATCGTTATCAAAGAATTATATTTCTATCAGAGCCCTGGAAAGTGTTTCCTTTTTCTCCAGACAACAGCTTTATGCTGTGGAAACCTTCCTTAGAAAAAAAGACAAAAATAATTTTGGGGTGGTACATCCATTGCATTTGTTTCCATTGGGCCTCCTCGCAGACTTTGATTGTGCGGTTATCTTGTTTTCTCAGTTCTGGTCGCTTCCTTGTTAAGTATTTCAGAAGACCCGAACAAGAAACATTAATTTGTTGGAATGATGAAACTTTAGGCAACAGCATTGTAAAGAATAAAATTCTGCGCTTACCACTATCCCCTCTGCCCCAAGAGAAGACGTCTCCGGCATCTAAAATCGCAAAGAAATTACATGAAGTTAATATAAACTGCGGATAGGTCTGCAAATTCATCTTGTTTCTCTTAGCATTAGAAGCAATCATATTTTCAATTGAACTTTCATTTTCCCTTTATGAATTGCTTCTGGATCTTGAAAAGTCAAATTTGGTTGTTCTCATACTAATGAAAAGAGCAAGAGAACAATATATGAAACAATTAGTTTTCATTCAACTCTTTTCTACCTGCCTGTAATGTCAAGGAGATTCTCTTGCTTTCTATACCAAAAAAACAGAAATTTACGTCACAAATGCCGAACAGATACCTGTTACGATCATGACATGGGCAGCACCACACGAAAGCTGAACCACACTGTATCCGAGGAGAGCTTCAATAATCTTCGGTTTTGTCGCATCTGTGTTACCACCGTGCCCGAGACAGCCATGAGAACCACTTCCAAATGTGAGTAACATTCCGCGATCTTCAAAAGGTTACAAACATTTTACCACGTAGGAATGTTCAGAATATTGCAAGGGTTTTAAGTTTTATCTTTAAGTTATAAATGGCTTTGAAAAAGCAAATATTTGAGTAAACTAAAGCTTTTCGTCTGACACTCTTCAAAGTATAAAACGTCAGAACATAGATCGAAAACTCTACGCTAGGAAATATACCCAGTTGTGGATCGAAATAGGCCAATCTTCAAATTATATATACAGCAAATAATACAATTTCTCCACAAAACTTGAGGTTTTCTCTTCATTGGATGTTTTTGGGGGTTATGACGAGAGAAATTGATGTTTGATGACAATTGTGGCAAAATATGGTTTGCTCCAGGAAATCTTTGGTAAAGATCGAAAAGAATCTTGATTTGGGAGTAACATATAATTACTGTCCGATCTTCGTAAGAACCTAGCTGTGCAAGAGCTTTTTTTAGATTATTAGAAGCTTATTACTCTGAAAATTCAAAGGATTTATTAGTTATATTCTGTCTGTGAATGACAGGGTTTGGTTCTTTGTATGAAATAATAAAATGAGTTTCTGTTGGAATACACAAAAAGCAGTAGTAAAAAGATTAAACCCATAAATCACTATACATGGATTTCATATCATTCCCACTTGTAGAGAATATACTTACAGACTCAAACATATAGTTTGCTACAGATAATCTGTTACCTAATCATCACCAAGAATCGCGTAAAAGAAGAAAAATCTGCAAAAGAAATCTAAATTCAAATTTATCTCCCTGGTATTTCTATGCTGTTGCTTTCTGTAATAAAAGAAAGGAGCCCACCTGTCAATACAGCAGCAAAAAGGTCTCCACAGGAAACCTGGGTGATAGTGACACCAGAGAGGCCTTCGAGAAGCTTGGGCACTAGCACACTCTCTGTGGGTTTCCCGCCATCCAAATATGAGTCAACACTTATCAATGTCTCAGCAGAGACTTGATTCTAAAAGAGGAATAATCACTTGCATTTAGAGTAAAGAGACATGCAAAGTATTTGCAAACACAGGAATGAGCTCGGGGAGCTAGAAAGCCAGTAAACAAAATGTCTATTATGTCTATTTGCCTCTCTTATTCAAAGATTTCACCGCATCTCTGAAAATTACGAATCAATATGGGCACCAATGCTCGGTTGCTTATTGAGATAAAAAAACTGTAAAAAATGCACAAAAATAGGAAGAAGGGCGATTTTTACAACTAAGAAAATCGTTGAAACGAGTTGCATTAACTTAAATGGGAAAGGTCATGCAATATAGAATAAAACATGATACATTTAAAAGTACTCCCAGTGATATAAGTCTCAGTTTTGATAAGAAGTCACCACAACATTGGCTTACATTATCATCACTTGTAGGAATATTCACTTGTACTAATATTGAACTTGTACTAATACTCACTTGTACTAATACTGAACTTGTACTAATATTGAACTTGTACTAATACTCACTTGTACTAATACTGAACTTGTACTAATATTGAACTTGTACTAATACTCACTTGTACTAATATTGAACTTGTACTAATACTCACTTGTACTAATACTGAACTTGTACTAATACTCACTTGTACTAATACTCACTTGTACTAATATTGAACTTGGAAATTGGCAGTGGTTGCTAAAGACTGTGCTTTATCGCGTTGTACTATATCATGTAAATACGTATAAGAAGTACCAAATTTTACAAAGTTAACGATAAAGATCTATGTCTTTAAGAGATAAAATAGAAATGTCGAGGTTAAGGAACAATCGCTCTGCAGTCCACATTGATTGACCAATTAATCAAAAAATGACATATCATAATAAGCGTAAAAAGATGTGTCCTGAAGGGAAAAAAGGTCGGAATAATAAAGAAAAAAATATCAGAAGTATTATGAAAATCATCAGTAGTTCGAGTGGCTTTTTCAAAATATTTGGGAGAACCAGCTGTTTATATTAGGGTGAACAAGTTCTTTTGCTACAGCAACAAGCAGCATATTTGAGTTTCTAAAAATGAGCACTGTTCATTCCCTGTTCTACGTCAAACTTTTATACAGACTTCTTAAACGTGTCTTGAGTAGCAATATCATTACACGCAGAAGTGTACATCAATTGTCATGATGAAGACCTAGAAATCAACTTTACTGCAGGAATACGACTTTTTAATACAAGCAATGAAACACTAACCTCCCAAGAGAAAACTCTGCCATTACCAGTAACACCAAGTTTCAATGTTCTTCCAACAGAAACGGTGGAGATCGTTTGCTCTCCTTGAGGCAGAGCTAACAGAGCGGGCACTTTGACACCACTGCCCCAGAAATAAACTGCTGAAGTATTCGGCGCTGTTAACAAAGACGAAAGATCCGTCGCCGTGCCGCCATCTGAAAAATTTGTAAAAAGATTGGTTTGTGATCGTAGGCCATAGATGGACGTATGACTGCAAAAATTCTTCATTTTAGGAACCTATTGAATTTTCTGAAAAATTTTCAGCAGGAATAGAGAATTTTTTTATTTGCATGTTCAACTTCAGCTAATAAACACAATCAATGGCAATATATACCTTGCTGTAATGACTCAAGATATAATTAACTTTTCAACAATTGTTGCATTTGACAAATCCTTTCAACTCTCAAATCTTTCTGGAAACCTAGTTCCCGGGTTTCGCTTTTCTATCTGCACTCTAGTGAGACATTGCTCTCTTTTTTGTGTATTCACCATCTTTTCAATGGAAAGTTCTCTTTCTACGAAGGACATTCTCAGAACAAATGGAAATTGCATACCCCAAGCTACTGAATCAAATCTTGTTGTTCCCGAGTTAGATGATGATCGTGAGGATATTGTTGGGGATCGCGAAGCAGTGATGGTATCTAACTGGCCAACACGCTTTGTTTTTGGCGGTAACGCTGCTGAAAATCCACCAGTCGGCTTGGGCACACTGGAAAAAAATCAAATATTGGATGACACGAACAGGCTATCACGTTCTACATGTCTTCTTTGCGACAAAACGATAGAAAATCCCAGCAAACATAAACAAATCAACTGAAACTTCGTAATCAGATCGTGAGACATTTTCCAGTGCTTTGTGGAAAACAATGAGCGATACAGTTACCAAGATCGGGTAAAAATAGTATTGCTGACCGATGTTGTCTAAGAATAGGGTTAAAAAGAAGACTTGTCATACATACTGCAATACTTGTCATACATAATATGAATACATACTGCAATAACGGATACCTTATATAAGCGAAAGATACAATAGCAAAGAACAAGCTAGCTGTGTAATTCTTTGTCAAGCATAGATGACTTTGTTGGGGAATCGAACAGAGGGTTTTGGCAAAAATACTTGCTAGTTTGTTATATATACTCACAATTTGTATGGCACTCGACCAATGTCTGTTGAGAGATCGAGAAGGGAATTGATCATGACTGTTTGAGCCATGATTTTGTTTACATTAGGCCTCCTTGCTGGATCCAAATGAAGAAGACTGGTGATCAGCTGTTTTAGTTCCTGACTGTAATGCTCTGAGATCGGCTGGTACTGACCTTTCATGATTTTGCAGACAATAGCGCTGATATTCTGTTACAAAAGAGCGAATTTTTAAGTACTGAGGCACCATTAAAACCGCACATTTAGTTACATTCATTGAAACAAATAATGATAATTTTCGCTTATCTACATAATAAAACCAGCAATTATTGTTCTCCATAAGAGAAGCATTTTCAATTGCAGCAAGGGAGCATGCTATCATCAGAAAATGTGGCAGGGACAACAGAGATACTGAAAACTTACATCAGCGTCAAACGGTCTTTTGAGAGTTGCCAGCTCGTAAAGAATACACCCCAAAGCCCATACGTCACTTTTTTGATTATATCTAAAAAATTTGTTAAAGAATCCTTTGAAAAACCATAACATTATAAAGTGCAATTTCTCTACAGTATCAGCATTCATAGAACAAGATGAATCAGAGGACAAATTTGCCCTTGTTAGACATTTTCAGGTCTTTTGTCACTTTTACAAGAGTCTTGTGAAACTTGAACACAGGAATTTCTACCACTTTGAAAAAATAGAAGGTATGCTTTTAGCTTACAATTTTGAAAATTCCAGTCTGAAGAACCTCTATCTTCTTCTATAGCAAAAACTTTAATCATAAGTTTTAATAACCCTGTCTTTGATCTGTTCATCTGCAATGCAAAGCTGTAATGTTTCACTTTAAACCTGACTGGCAAGAAGTCATAAAAGTCTTGCAAAACAAAAAGTAACCTACCTATCTTGGAAACACGGAAAAAATTCTACATATTCAATTTGTAAATAGAATATTCAGAAATAACTATCAAAATATGAATAAGCAAAAACCAATAAAGAGAGTTTTTTAAAGTTACTTTTAGTTTCTTTCTTGTGTAATGGTCCTGAATGCAGGAACAAAATATTAGTTATCAAGTTAACTCTTAAACTACAAGGTCACTTTTTTTACACCATCTTGCTCTTTGTTAACGATCAATGTTATTATCATTCTGCATCAATCTGTCTTAGTGTTCCTTTTTGGTGAATCAAACAAGCAACTAGCTCATATCTTTAAATTTCAGGCATTTGCCACGTTGTCAAGAGCTAAGCTTTTGCACAAGATGTACCACATTGTTATTTTGAAGGATACGGATGATTTTGACACAGTTCTGGAGACAAGTAGTATGGTGAGCCAACAAGCTGAAAAACGAATGTAAACAGATGAGACTTTTTCACTTAACAAGATCTTTCAAAAGAAAACAGATATGTGGTAGGCTGTCTTCTAATTTTTTCTAACATTTATTTGTTTTTCTTTCCATTGCCATTAGTGGGCTTTTGCCTTCAGGCTGAATTTATCAGTAACATAGACAATATACTACAAAGACATAACAACTTACAGATGAAAAACTTACTGTGCTGGCATTTGTTTTTGTCATCACTTTACTGATACCAAAATCTCCAATTTTCAAAATCTTTCTGTTTTTACTAAGGAAGATATTATGTGTTTTCAAATCCCTGTGCAAGATATTTTGTGAGTGAATATGATGAATTGCCAACAGAATCTGTGCAAACTTTTTCAAGATTTCCTAAAAATGAAATCCTTACAATTAATATTTCTCTACAATGTGTTTTCCCTGCATGCTAAATGCAGTCTGGTTCAAAAGAAAACTTACAAATTTTCAGTTGATTCATATATTTTGCAACATGATTTAAGCTTCTGACAAACAGAAAAATAATAAAGAGGGGTAAAAGAAGAAGCAAGGTCTCAAAGTAAAAAGGATTAGTTGCTTGTTTTTTTAAGGCAAGTTTCTTTCTCTTCATAGATTAGTCAGAAGTTATCAGTATTTTCAGTTAATTACTTACAACAAATGATATGACAAGAGATGCAATTCATCTGTGAGTCAAATAATACTTTAGACACAACTGACTTGTGATACTCTTTGACAATCTACACAACAAGAATACAATCAGACTGCTTCATTTGGACATTTGTCAGCTTATTATAGAATCTTCAGAGAAATGAACATTCTTGATAGCGATTAGAAAACACAGCATAAAACACCATTACCTCCTCTTCAAGCAGCATATTCTGAGATAAACGTTGCTGAAGATAATCATAAACAGTCCCTCCTAAAATGATTATATGGATGTTAATATGGAATTATGTGAATAAAGAAAGGATTTTCTGGATAAAATCTCAAAAAGGATGAAATACATGATAGCAAATACAAAAAGATGACAAAGTTTATACAGTGGTCAATACATAAGCATTACTTGCTTCCACCTTAAGATTCACTTTCCTTTATGAATTCTGTAATTAGCAGGTTTTTATGGGCAAAGCAATTTCCACACAAATTCAGATTAGCATAAAAGCAGTGGTGTAAAGATTTGGGGCTCAGGGGGCTGAGATCCCCTTGTTAGTGCAAATATATTTTGCTTTTATTTGAAAAATTCTCTCTGGGGTACATTAATAGGTTTGAGGTACAGAGATGTGCCATTATTTAGGGGCAATTTCTTTCTGAAAAGTGCAGAGCTATCGGTATCAGTTTTTGAAATATGTGCGGAACTATGAGTACCATTTGAAGGATCATGAAAAATTATGAGCACCATTTTGGGGAAATATTACAAAATTATTAGCCGAGAATTTAGCATTAACCAGGCGATAACAGGAATGAATTTGCAGGAGGGTAATGAATCGCAATTCTTAGCAAATCATTAATTTAACAAAATTAATATGCCAAGTTAGAATAAAAGAATTAAATAAGTGTAACATTGAGCTTTTGGGGCAAAGGACATACAAGATTTGTTTGATGATTTAGTTGTTTCTTTAAAAATTTTCTTTGACTTGCAGAGCTATGTTATAGTTTTCATCATGTTTTGAAATTATAAGTCACATTTTTCAGATATGTGTGGACTTATGGGGCCCAAATTTTGAATTATAGGGTATCCTCTTCCAATACTTAGTCCCCCATCCAGGGGAAATTCTTCTAAAGTCCCCTGTATAATTTTCATAGCAACAAATCTTGGCTTAGAAGAAACCTTTCGGAGAAATGCATGTAAAATCCCTTTGGTATCTAAGAAAAAAGCTACCTGGTGCATATTCCATTACAATCATAAGCGATTTTTCAGCAGTAAAACTGTCGTAGTACCCAATTATATTTGGGTGATGCAACATCTTCAAGACATTTATTTCGTTTTTTGAAGCAATTCGGTCTTCGGTTGTTAAATCATCCATTGGAATCTCTTTGACGATCACAAGCTGACTGTCGCTGATAGAACGGCAGAGATGCACAATGCTAAAATAGAAATATTGAATTTCAAAGATCTTATTTATAAAAGGAATGTCTCAAAACTAATTATTGGTGAAAATTTTATACAAACGCCAAATGTCAATGAGGTGAATTCTACAAAACCAGATCACTGAAGTTGCCAGCCAAATCAAGCTCGAAGCTTTAAAGCAAAACTAATTAGCAATGAAAATCAAAACTTCACTTACCCAAATGCACCTCGACCAACAGTTTTGAGTTTGTCATATTTCTCCATTTTGTGTTTTGATGTGAAAAAGATGTGCTAAATACAACTAGATATGCATTTGTTGGTGGCGCTCTCAGGCCCTAAAAAGGCGCCTACAGCGACCATCTACATCTTTTGATGTCATTTATTGAATGACGATGAAAAAAGTTCCAAATTTATATGCATATTGTAAAATATGACACAATGGAACGGCACGTCTACGATTTCTTGGTACACACACTACATTCGTTGCACCATGACATTTGTGTTATGATGGAAAGAAAACAAACGAGGTTAGTATCAAATCAAGACGAAAGCACAAAAGAGGCTAGCAACCACGAGCAGGAAATTTCGTTTCCAGGTAAGAAAGGGGAAGTGATTTGAAGCAAGCAGCATCAAACATGTCGGCAACTAGAAAGCTTCGGTTGTTGTGTTTCGGAGATTCTCTTACCGAAGGGTGGCATAAAAACGGATTTAAATTTCACCCATACACAATTAGGTTAGGTGAGCTATTTAAACAAATCAAACGAGAAGTTGAAATCGTTAATCGTGGCATCAGTGGCGAAGTGGTATACCCGGAAATGGTTACAAGACTACCTGCAATTCTCGAAAAGGAGGACAAGTATGACTTTGCAATTATACTTGGTGGTACAAATGACATGGCAGATCTAGACAATGCGCAGGAAGTTGACCTTTTTAAGAATGTTAAGCGTTTGCACGAGATTGCACATGAAAAGAATATCAAAACATGTGCAATAACCATTCCCCAATGTTCTTTTGACATGCTGCCTCAGTCAGGACGGTATGTCAAGTACAGGGAAGAAGTGAATAAAAAGTTGCGAGAATTTGCATCGGTAAATTCGAAACTTGTTTGCCTTTGTGACTTATCAAGAAAGTTACCAATGTTTGGTATTAGCGATTCAGACCTCATGAAGTACTGGGATGATGACCTCCACTTTACACCTCAGGGATATGACAAAATGGCAGAATTGATCTTTGAAGTTATAAAGGATTTCATTGACTTAAATTGACTATTCTACAATTATTCATTTAGGCCATTTGAAAGTGCATGGTAGTTTTTCAAGCAGAAAATATATTGAATTGAAGTTTTTTTGCTTCTGACCTTCTTTATTTTCACTTTCAATATAAGTCAGTTTTGCAATGAACAATTCCTTCTGTTCCTATTGTTATCAAACAATGGCTATCAAATGTGGAGCTCAGATAGCTGAAAAACTTTACTCTGTTTGTCATTTAATTCAAAGGCCATTTTGCAGAAAAACATGGGAAACAGGCAACATAATTGCAATGAAAAATCTCAAACTTGACAAATTTAGGGAGAAAATACTATCAAAATTTCTGCTTTGAAAACAATAAATAAATTGAATGATAGCAACAAATATTAGAAGAAAATAAATATCCGTTAATATACTTTTTCCTGGAAATAAATGAAAATTTGCAGACGATTAAACCAACTCTTATCCTCATTTTAGACAAGCATCTGGTTTTGGCCCTTCATAACTTTCACAAATCAGTTCAAAAAAGTTATATAATGCCTTTGTCTGTATCCCTTTACTTCTCTGAAAGAGATAAAAACAGAAATGTTAAAGATAAATGAAACTATGAATGATATTAAGTAGATTTAAATTATTGGACTTAAAGCAGAATTTAGTGAAGATTTGGGAATGCAATTATCTTTGAATATAAAAGAAGCAAATGTTTATAAAAGAACTATGATAAAATTTGATCCAAATTGCTTGGTAAAGAGAGTTTGGTTTAATCTTACAATTGTTATACTTGTATCAGCATTGCACTAAGAATACATATTGCACTGCATAATTTTTCTCCACCAAAGATTTACGCCAGAAGTTTTGGATATGAGAAAAATCATGACAGCAACATTTATTCAAATGATCCATTTCTTTAGAATAAACTAGTCTACAAACTACCTCATAACTTAAGTTATTTTATTTCCAGTTTTTGAGTTCTTTTCAACAAAACAGGCTGTTTCATAGCTTGGCACCTCATAAGATAAAAACTAGAAATGTTTGAAGCCTGCTTAGTACAAGGCTAAGTTGCATTTGCTGCTCATGTGATTTGCTTTTCCTCCTAAATATTCTAGTTTATGCCACCATGCTTTAAGTATTGGAAAAATATGCCAAACTACACATTTTGTCATCAATAAAGTTAAGTGTGCTGTCCATTTCATGAGGTAAATACAAATTAATTTACTAAAATGCAACTTTGAACATGGAAAATTAAAAAATAATAACAATGTTTGAAGCTTCTAACTCTTCACCATATAGAAAGTCACATTTGAAGTATATATTTATTAACTTTAAATTATTCTGTCAGTTGACATAAACAAGAATACCAACCCCGTTAATTGTGATCCATGGTATAAACGTATGTTTTGGCTTCAAGGAGTTAGTTTTTACACCCATCTGAAAGAGTGAAACACAGTTCACATTAACACATCAAACCATTAAGTCAAAAATCAAATCATCATTTGAAAATGATGCTTGACCCGTTTACTTTCAATCCTAACATTCAATTAACAATTTTCCATTGAATACATCTACTATATTTTTTAACAAATTTTTTGATTAAGCATTCAGACTCAGGTTAAGAACCTAAATTCTAGCTGCAAGTTTTCATGATGCTAGAGCCTGTGGCATTATCTTTAATATAAAAAGTAAAGAAACTTTAAGATAATAATGTAGTTGTTTATGAGGGGTTTGACCACGATTAGTAATTGAGGATAAACGACTTAACCAGTAACAACTTTTGCAGTCAATTCTCTTAATATACAAGTTTGCGAATTTTCATCACAACAAAATTCACAATAATAACCTAGTAAACAATACAAAAATTGCAATGAAGTCTGGAGTACCTTTAAAGGTTGATGCTGTTATTGAATTGGTTTTTTGTTATGTTAATTGCCAGGTATAAGATGGAATAAGGAAGACATTGCTCCAAATAGGTGAGGTAATGAAAAAATCAAACTAGTAAGCATTTTTCAGGAAAGTGTTAAGGACCACACATTTGTTGGGGTATTTCAAACCTTGACATCTAAATAGTCTTACATAGCACTTTAATCAATTTTATGATACACTTTGTTTGGCATTTCCAACACAATTAAACAAATCCAAACATTTTCATCAGGCATTAGTTAAATACGAAGAATTACTATGCATACAATGAAATGATCTAAAATGAACATCAATTATCTGATATGCTAACAACAATAATATGCTAAACTTGTAACCAACACACATATCTTGGACAATCACATCCCTTCTATTGATAACATCTTGTAAATGTCTACCAATCAGATATTGGCTCTTTAAAAATCTTTTCTTATGAGGCAAGCCCACTTGTAAGATAACAGAATCACAACTATGTAAACAAGGTTTTAACCTCATGTTGCAATTGGTTTCCCAGTGTCCCAGTTCTGCACTTTTCAATTATATCAAAGTCAAAGTGCTGCTCTTCAGAACACTAAAGAAGAAACAAAATTTACAATTTAACGAAAAAACATCACACTGCTAATAATTCTTGGAAAGTAGCAGGACATAACTTAGCTTTCATTAGCTGAATAAAGTTGCTATGAATGTTCTGAACAAATTTGCAAACTTTAGAACAACGCCTAGACTAAAAATGAATCAAAATATTTTGGATTATCTTAATATCAAAATATTTTTGAAATACCATGTTCCATTGATACTTGAACTCAAAAGTACAGAGAAGCACAAAATTTGGCTTTGCTCTTAGTTAATCCAGGGATTCCAGAATTACTGAGGCTCAGGCATGAGGCAAACTGAAATTATTCCTGGGTCCATGGCAATTAGATTATAAAACTGGGGGTCTGCAAAGAACTTGGGCTAGATGAATGATAGGAGAGCCTTGTGGTTCTCATCCTTATACAAGGCTTTAATTTTGCCAGAGAACTGGAAACTTTCAGACATTTATACAAAGGGTTGCCAAAGCAAGTTAATCTAAACCAAATATATACTGAGAGCTGTAAAGAGCATTATAATGTTGGTTATTTCAAATTCAAGAAACTGTCATTGAAATAACATATCAACATTTGAAACTCATAGCCGGGATTAACTCCTATTCAGCCAGCCCTAACAATTGTCTAAATTTTCACTAATTTTAGCATTCTACCATAAGTTGCAAGTTAACCCATCATCCTAATTTTAGCATTCTACCATAAGTTGCAAGTTAACCCATCATGATTACATTATCTGCTATTTCTATACTAGATGCCTACTGCCAATCTGCACTAAGAATTGGAGCTGGGACTCTGTTACCTTTTTTGCTGCAGGTAATGTTGCTTTGTTTTTCTCCATGCATAAGATAAAGGGCATCCACTGAGTTTCATTTTGCAGTTCATGAATTGCACACGTCTACCAGAAATTAACAAAATTACATACATTCTCTTGATAAAAAAATCATACATTAAAAAGTATTTTGAATTTAAAAGTAGCCTAAATTGTTTAAAATTTCTCCACTATTTTTCACTTCATACCATGTGGCTTAAAGTACCATGGCTGAATCACAATATTGAACTACATCAATATAAAATATCATGCAAAATTATTATGCAAAGTGAAAGGTTAAAATAAATGCATATAATTTGCTAAATGACCTCAATGATGTTGCCAAGACATTCCTCTTCACCATGCTGACAGGAAAATTGCCAATGATCACCCTTTTTTGTTTCCTAAAATGTAAAACAATGATTCAACATTATATCTCAGCAAAATATGAATTTGGAAAAAGTATTAATGTTAACAAGAATAAATAACCCTTTGAAAAGTATCCACTTTCAAACTGTGCATCAGATCACACTTGATAACAACATCTTGCTAAACTTTATGCATGGTATTGCCTTTATCGATGATAATAATGGATAACAAGTTAATAATGTATAATGTTGCAACATGTAAAATATCCACTGGCAAAATCCAAATACATTAACATCCAAGAAAGAGAAAGCGCAACTTTTATAATTTGTAATTTAAGCTTGTTGGGAATCTCTGTAAAAAAACGGATGGTTGAGGGGCAAAAGCTCTATTCTGTGGCTGGAGATACCAAGAGAGAATAGTGGTTTTCACAATAGACCAGAATAGAGTCAAGAGAATAGACCAACCATGTGAGTGAATAGATGTTGCTGATTGGTCAAAGTAAGAAAACAATCAAATGCATCATTCTTCTTCTGACATGATTTTTCAAGATGCACCTGGAAATCCCTATTTACTTTTTGGTCATACTACTTAGCAACTGGTTAGATAAAAATGTGCTATTTTTAAGGTGAACTGACACGCAAAATGAACTTGACCAAAAATGAAAGCACATCGAGCATAAATACCTGAGACATTGTCAGTTTCTTAATATTCAACACAGTTTACGAGTTATTTAGCGTCAAAGTTAGCCACCGAACAATTTTCCGAGCACGTACGAGTTTGCCCGAGCCTTCCGCATAATCGTGACGTCACAAACACCATGTTCAAATCACTTGAGCAGCATGACAGTCTGGAAGGCCGTAATTTTATGATTTTGCGGAGTATCGATACATTAATTGACTAGGTTTTGGCTCCATTTCGACAACCTGATTGGAAAATAGATTATAACTCCTTTGCGAACCTTTCATAAAAAGATTTGCAATAAAATCGTATTATTCAACGCGTTTGAGGCCCTTCCTCTGTTTCGCAGGACCCAGTGTGTGGCGGGCTAACATATCAAATAAAGGTAGCGATTAATAAATTGGCAGGATTTTTTATTTTCTAGAAACCTAAGTAAAAAACTTTTATTTTGTAGAATACGGCTGTTGTTACACTACACGCTTTTTTTTTATAAGGAACCTAGCTCGGGCCTAGTTCTTTAAATTCCTTATTTTGAGACCTGTTTTGACCACTTTGTAGTTCTAAAAGTTCCTTAATAGTTCCTTAATTTTAAGTTGGCATTTAGTGGACAATAATTAGTACAGACGCAAGAAAAACAATCAAATTCAGCGTTTTGCTATAAACTTAAGAAAAGATAACAAGTTAAAACACAAAGAAGCTTCATATAATATAAAATTAATAATAATAGTCATTAAAGAAGTTGCATATCCACTCCATTGATGTCGTCTGACACAATGTAGTCTTCAGTACCGTCTTCGAAAAGAACTCTAAACTCTCCCAGCTTGGTGTTGAACCACTTCACTTGTCCAGTGTGCCATTCGTCGTAGAATGCGCGTATTTTTTTAATAATCAACTCATGTTCGTAGACACGATCTTTTACATGGTCTACTCTTTCATGCTCAAGCTCGTCAGGCTCAAGTTCTTCATCCCCTTCATCTTCTTCATCACTTACATCTTCCTCACAGGCTGCTGAGGCCTCTGGTATTTGTACAGACAGTGGATTTTCGGGGCCAGTCACAGGCAATGGTGGTGGTATTGAGTACCCAATCAGACCTTCAGGCTGAATTTTCTTGTCCTCCGACCCATCAGCCGTTATTAAGCAGCCTGTCTTTTCAAAGCATCTGTACCGTGATGAGGCATAGCTCTCACTGGAAAGCCTATTGTATGCCTCACCAACCCAGTGTGTAATTAGAAATCTTCGCTTCTTGACATCCAGTTTTTCAACACTGTTCCCAAGCCAAAGATCTATATTTTCGTCACTTTGCAGCCACTCGTCTTGGAGGGTTCGAACCAAAGACTTCAGCATGTTTCCAAAGCCACAATCTACAGGTTGCCAGATGTCTGTCGCACCGGCCAAACCGAACCAAACAACACCATTTAATTTTCTGACCTCACTCAGAAACAGATCATTAGTTTGCGCACTTAAGTTGTCGCAGAAAAGAACGAATTCTTCATTTTCACCTGTTTCGGAAGAATTTTGGACAGCTGGTTTCAGAGTTCTCTTCACCCAGTCGATGCTGAAATTGATGTCTGCCCAGGCGTTTGTCTGCCAGTAAACATCCACGTCTTTGTGGTATGCCTGTATTTCATCCTGGCTGATTCTTTTCCCTGTTCCACGGAAAATAATTGCAATTTTGACTGGCGGTCCTTCGGCTGCAAAGCAGATTTGTAACGTGCACTGCCGCTTATCAAGTCCCGGTCCCGGTGTGCTGAAAAAGAATTAAAGATAGCAATTTTAGAAGGAGTGGACAAATGAGCAGCCCCCCAATTTTTATAATATTTCCAAATTAATTTTTTAAAAGGCCCAGTCTGGAAAGAGTTTAAACAAAAAGCAGAAAGCGGTTTACCTGACCCAGGTTCGATGGTTTCTTTGTTCTCCGCGCGGAAAGTGTTTTTCGTATGTTGTTTTACAATCGACCGCAAACGGCATAGGAACTTGGTCAACGTTGAAGCGTTTAGATGGTCGGAATCTCCCCCATTTGCTGTCATAGGAAGGCTTTGCGTTTCCTGTCTTGATCAAGCCTTCGCGCAAAGTTGTGTGCCAACCAATCATGCCTGGCAAGAATCTCGTTTTCTCAGCCCTTTTCTTACGCTGAATTCTCCTCAACTTGATTTTGTACTTCCTGATAAAGTTGAAGACTGCAGATTTCGGGATAGCTTTAATATCTGATTGGGCACTTTGGTCGAATTCGGGGTTAATCTTCCTAGCATTTGCGTACAGCCATGCAAAAGATATTCGCATCCCCTTTGATCTTGCTTGTAGGAACTTTTCGTGAAGCATCACGAAGACTTGCTTATGCCTTGTGCTGGGTCTGATCTTTTTCATCATTTTCCTGTGGCTATCGGCGGCTGCATCAGTAATTTTCTTCTCATTTTTAACCCAGGTCGATACCATCGATTTAGAGATGTTGTATTTGAATGCAACGTCATTCTTTTGGTTTTTCTTTGCTTCCTCGATAACTTTTAGCTTAAATTCGGTGTCATAAGATAGTCTGTTCTTCTTCTCTCGATGGTGCTGACTGCTTTCTCCTGCTTCTGACGCTCTAGCACTTTTCTCTATCTCTTGACATTCCTCTACAGTTTCTTCGATGTTCTCAACCACATCAATAGCAGTTGGTTCTTTTTGTGGCTCAACAGCCTCGGCGCTACTTTCCAAGATCAATGGAATTTCATCGATTTTTTTAGTTGGTTGTTCTTTTTCTCTCTCACTGTCTTTTTTCGAAGTGCACCAAGACACGTGCATCGTAAGGCCAGACTTACTTTTGAAATGCTTGTTGCATGTGTCACAACGATACAAACTTACATCATCATCCTCAACAAACGAACGACCAGGGACTTCTTGTAACTCATTTCGATGAGGTATCTTTTTAGAAAAACCGAACTTGAACAACGTTGACTGCTTTTTCTTATCTCCCATATTGCAACTACTGTAATACTCAGCCACACACACAGAATAAGAATTCTATTTTGTTGTGACTAACCTATTTGACTAAAACTAAAACACCTAAAGTGTGAATTCACAACAAAGCACAGCTGCATGTGAGGTGAGTTAAAACGGAAATTTCTCATGTTGATTCTTGGCCCCATGAGCATGGCCGGTTTTACTGAAAATCAATGGAACCGGCTTCCTAATTGTAAATTGTGCGGAAATATAAATATATTCAAAATTAAAAAGTTCCTTAGGGATTTGGCCTTTAGTAGTAAAAGTTCCTTAAGTTTTTTGACCTTCTACATGTAGGTTCCTTATAAACGGTTCCTTATAAAAAAAAGCGTGTAATGTAAAAGGTCGGCCCTCCCCCCAACACAAAAAGTTGTACCTCGGTCTTTGATCCTGATTAACTTAAATATATGTTGCAAAGATTTCGAATTTAAGTCACTCTTTTTCGGCACATTCTTTATTCAAGCGCATGACATATTTTCAGGGGTTAATAACCTTGTACGATCGAGTCGTTATTTGCAGGAAAAAAACTTCGTAAAAATCTCAACTCCCAGGCCGTTGCAGCCCTGTTACTCGGGTGAGCCGATGAGTTTGCAAACCCAAAATAACATTCATGATTTGTTTGGATGTAGACACCCCCTAATAGTTCTGTGTCCTTCGGTAAGTTTTGTTCCATTCGGTAAAAATAATTTGTTGGTAGTCAATAATAAAAAAGTAACGCCAAGATTTTGCTTTATTTATTTTTTGTTAGTATTTATCTTCTTATCAGTAGCGTAGGGGGGGGGGGATACTCTAGAAACGTATTACGTAGCTAATCTCAAAAGCACGGTCGCAAAAATTTTTCGCTCACTTCCCTCGGAGGAGAACCTCGATGCTAAGTAATTTCCCCTCGTTTTAGGGTTTGTAAAGAAAAGTCTTCACGTTCTTGAGACATTCCCGATAGAATAAAAAACTAAATGCTAAAGCAGTCCAATCCTTAAAAAAAGTTGGATTCTGAAAAGCTTGTCGTGGACTTTGCACCAAGGAAAACGGACTAGGTTTAAAACTTTTTGAATACTGTTAATTTTTTTAGATATTTGATTACAACTTTGAAAAATCACTTTTTACACGTAAAGATTCCTCACCTTAAACAATGCAGGATATAAACATTAGTGGAATTCAATGATTGTGAAGGAAATAGACAGTTGTAGAATATGGTCCGTCACCTATGACATTGAATAAAGGGAAATTGCCACGTAAAAATGCCATGGCTTTTTCAAATACATTTACAAAATGGTGTTTTCCCAAATTCTTAGGGTTGTGAACAGCAGAAATATTTTCCTCTTTGGCCTATCAATCTTCCAAACCTGGTTCCAAAATTAGTGTCTAACACCCTCCGCCAATCATTGTTGCTAAAATCCGCTCCTGCACACTGAGCATTGAATTTACTAAAAACCGTTCACCGCCGATTTTTCAATTACCGAAATACCGACAGAGGAAAAGGCAAATACCGAAATACCGTCAACCCCAAACACACCCCCCCCCCACCTGTAAATGCAAGGTAGGGTTTAGCAAGACTCTGGATTCCAAACTCTTACCTTCAAAACCAATGAGATATCTATTCGCGAAATTAAGGAGCAAGGATTTCATTTTGAGCAAATGCCTTTGGCATGGCCTCCGATGAATGGGGCCGTCAGTTTTTTGCAAATAAAAAGCCCCCCAGTGTCCCCCCAGTCCCCCCCGTGGCGCCGCTACTGGACAATAGGCTGTTGTTTTAAACAAAGAAAAATCACAGGGGCTGGAGGGGCGACTGCCCCTTCCCCACCCCCTTGTTAATCACGATAACTTGAGGGATGTATAATGTTACCGTTATAGAGTACCGAAGTGTGACGTCACCAAAAATCTATTTTTAGAATTTCTAAAATTTGGCCGCATAATCTGAAAAAATGGGTTAAAATACCTCTCAATATGCAAAATTAGTTGGATATGTTCCAAACTGGGCGAGATATGGCCAATGAAAGATTTCAAGTTTGCTAACGGATCACTGTTATTATGGCCTGGTTCATAAAGTTATGAACCAAGACCAAATTACAGAGGTTTGATTAGGCAAGAGCTTGTCCTTATGTGGCCATATCTAAGCCAATTCGTGATGCCTTTAACTGATTTTGCATATTAAGAAGTATTTCATGATGCTCTTATAGGTTCCGGGATCAAAATTCAGAAATTCTAAAAATAGATTTTTATGACGTCATCACTTCGGTACTCTATTCTGTCGGTATCCTTGCAAGTACTTCTATGTACAAATAATTAAAATTCCATTTGTTGCCACTGTGCCAAAGATAAAGAATGACGAAATAAAGAGATTCCCTCGTGATCACGTCAATGGGGAAAACCGTTCAATTCTCGGAAGTTCCCTTCACCTTGTCATCACGTGACATTTATACGAGCTTTCAAATTTTCACGTGCTTTGAGTAAAAAGTTCTCCAATTCACTGTCTGTAAAAATAGCAGTATGACCAAAATTTCATGCTTCGTGCTTTTAAAAACTGTTATCAGGACTCGGTCTGCTACTCAAATGTGTTTTCTATGAAATTTATCTTTTTTGCGGAACTTTTGGGCAAATTTCCAGATGTATCCTGCGTTTTAGGTGCAGGTAAACAAAGGGTGACCGTCTATTCCTTGAGAGATGTTATGTCCATCACAACCAATTTTTAAACAGCAGGGAATTGTTGAACCTTGCTTGTACCCAGTTGAGGTATTGCACATATGTGCCTAATTATTTTTTCTACGAATGCCTTGTTCGTTTATTACGGGTTACATAAAATTCAGAAAAATCGTAAAATAAGACCCAATCATCATGGCGCAAATTTATCATAAATATTTAACATACTGTAAACTGTAAAATAAATACAAGCAAGCAACATCTATACTATTTACAAAATAATATCATCATCAACTATGATATCATATATCCATTAATAATTGCGCCTTATAAATAAACTTATTTGTCTCTATTTGTTCGTCGTACATGATTCTTCGGTGTTTTCTTTTTTCTTGCTTTTTGTGAAGATGTCATAAATTCAGAAATGCTGTAGCATTTCAAAATATCGAAACATTGTCTCTGCACAAAGAATCACTTCCCGCGATATGACGTAATTACGGACAGCATAAACCAGTTCTCTCGACGTACCTGCTGGAAGGTACTCGGCTACTCGTTCTGTCATCAGAATTTCGATTCGTTGTTTGTACCGGGACACTGGATGCCTCTGGTCACCAAGTTTGTGTTTGATGAAGGCAATAATGTACAACGAAGATGAAAAATTGCCAATTACATCACCAATTGATCTTTTCAAATTGTCCTGCTGTGTATCCTGCGATTCATCGTAAATTTTACTCATGAAATCTTTCAGTGTAAGTATTTGATCTTGATAGTTGTCGAGGATGCAAACAAGTTTTTCGTTCCTCGTGGATGCTGTCAACAGTTGATCGTCAATATTTTTGTAGACAGGTCGTAGATTGTCGAATACGATTGCCCCAACATGGGTTGCAGCTTGATATCTTTCGTCGTACTTGTTCATCAGACTGTATGCAGATTTTGCGAATTCTCCCACTTTTACCTTCAGTGCTTGTAGTTGCTCCATCGTTTTCTGAATGGATTGGCCGCATGACCGTATTTTATAGGCATACCCCCTTATAGGCGTTTCTGTTGGGATTTCCCCTTCGTCTTAGGGTATAAACCAGGTTCCAAATCTTTGATTGGCTGCGCGACCAAAATTCTGCATATCGCATTACAAACGTGTCTCGCAGCTAGATTTAGGCCTATTTTGGACGTTTTTACCACTACCCACAAAAAATAAACGTGTAAAATGTGCTGAAAGATAGCCTGTTTGGTGTCATCTTCTTGAATTCTGATTGGCTAATGGGGTACGGAGAATTTTGGACGCTCAGCCAATCAAAGATTTGGAACCTATGCTGTGCTGTTTAAGCCTCTCTTGTCTAGTTCTACTAGTCATCGATATTCCAATACCAGTATTTCTCTACTACCAGCCGCCTCTGGTCATTATATAGAGTCTTTGGTTTTACGAAAATCATGGCAATTATAAATGGGCTGGCTGTATGACTTTGATTGTCAGCTTTGAGAGTGTAAAAAGAAAAATAATAATCACAAAAAAATGACAAAACAAATAATTGTTTACTTCAGCGTGTTTTTTCTATTAAGGCATAAAATAAGCATAGCTACACCCTCATTCCAATGATGTGCAAAAAAGTCAGTCCGTTAGTTTTTCAAGCTTATTATCGTTTTCTGAAGGAGAATTTTCCATTATCAAAGACAGACAGTAAAGAGGAAGGATTTGTTTATTTTTTTGAATTTCTAAAGGAAAGTAACATAATGAAAGTGGCTGAACTAGTCATTGATTATCTATGAGATCCAATAATATTTTCTTAGGATTTAACATTTTAAGGCACTGCTTGCCCCCTCTGCCCCTCCAGGAAAAAGGCAGGAGGGGCAGCTGCCCCTTCAGGGTAGGCACCCCTGGATTGAACCCCACGCCCACATTCTTTTCAAGCAATTTTCATAAATAAGGATTCAAAAGCATATTTGGCGATTCAGGCTTGTTTCAAGGGAGGAAGGCTAGGGGTGCAGTGTGATCAACTCTATAAATTTTTGTCAGTGCCTCTAGCAACTGAGTATTTGTCTATTCAGGCATTGACACAAAATTTAAAGTTTGTTTCACGAATTCTCACATCGGAAATATGCCAATCATGCTATCACGCCAAAATACCTAGCAACCCTGGTAATAATCTGGATCAGCCACTGCTGCACCCTCCTCAAGGTCACCACCAGTGGTGCCTCCAAGAAAAGGTCTTGGTAGAAGGTAATTAGAGACAAGGGGTCATAAAAAAATTATCTTACATACCTTGACATTTCCATATGGAACAAGATCAACCTTAAATATGTGTTTGCCATAGAGCTTTTGGTATGTTGGATATAATTGCTCAATAATGAACTTTATAGAGTCTGGACAAAGTGACTCAAAATAGACTGCCACATCCACCGGTGCAGGCAATTTTGATTGGATGCTGGGAGTTGCATTGTGGTAAGAGCTAGCTTTTTTCCATTTTAGTTGGCAATATTCTAAAACCTAAAAGAAAAGGTAACAGAGTTTCATGTTAATTGTTTTTAAACATCGAGAAGAACATCAAAATTATTCTTGCACTTCATACTTCGAAAACATAACATAACATAACATAACATAACATAACATAACATAACATAACATAACATAACATAACATAACATAACATAATATAACATTACATCACATTACATCACATTACATCACATCACATCGCATAAAATCAAACAAAATAACATCACACTTATTTTTATGTCAAAATACCTAATTAAAAATTGCCAAAAAACCTAAATCCCTTTATGTACCGCCCCTAATTCACCTTTTGTATAACCTCACACATTATGTAACACCTTCTGTACCGTATTATCTATTTATTCGAGGAATATTCCAGTATATCAACATCTCCTGAAGAGTGAGTTACTCACGGAACAGGCTTGTAGAGATAAACCATGTAGTTTTACTTTCTTCAACTCTATGATATATCACGCTCTACATGCTAACGTATTGAGCACTGTGCTACAGAAGTATCAAAAAACAAATTTCTAATTAAAAATTGTATATATCTCATTTTTTGTATCCGAAAAAAAGGGGGACAGGGTAATTTACTACTTGGGCTAGAAACAGCTTTATCCAAATATCTTGAAGGTATCAGAATTGTCCTCTAACACATTGGACAAAAGGCAGCCTGATTGCAATTCTTGGCCAGTATACCAATCTACTACTAAATAAAGATGGGAGCAGTGTTTCTGTGTAAAAGGCAATTTTTAGAATAAAAAACAACCCAAGCTTACTTGAGAAATATAATTTACGGATGACGGTTCAACATAGAAATAGCTTATGTTAGCAAAGCGAAGAAGAGATAGTTAACAGCTACAAAATACCTTTTTTTAATTCGCTGAAAATTAGACAAATTCAGGGTAATACTACTAACTATGCATAGGCCTAACTAACTTTTCTATCAAAATAGTTTTACCCCACACAATGCTGCGATATCTGGGCCCTGGCACCAGCGCTCAACATCATGGCAGTCAGCTGGAACTTGGGGTGACACATTTTGTTGAAAGTATTGAATGCAATATACAAAGAAACCAATCGTCAACACTGCAATTAGCGTAAATTGCACTGTTCTTGCCGCCACCATCTTTTTAAAAATATTTACAAGGGACAATGAAATCGAGGCTCTACAATGATGTCCCTGTTCCACAAGTGATCTGATCAGGTCGATGACCAGTGGCGAAAATAGACTCATCTCAATTCTGTGGCGGAAATTTAGCTTTTTCTTTTTTAAAGGCGGAGGAAAGTTTCTTATCTGAACAGCAAAAGTACTGCTCATCTTATGTCAACTTTCTAGCCGAAATCTGTTCAGTTCAATGTGGTATTCCTTAGGGTTCGTAATTTGGTCCCTTTTATGAATGACATTTTAGGCAGTTCCTTCAAAACAGTACCCCTATTATGTATGCAGATGACACACCCAGAGTGTGACCTGTTTTGTATGAATGTAGAGGATATATAAAAGCCATGCTCTGGTTTGAAAATCAAACTAAAAAACAATTCAGATGCATGCATCCAGTGGTGGAGTATAACGCAAAAATTGGGAAAACAAAAACCGCGTTTTTAGCTCTTTATAGAACAATGTCATATTTTGTGTTTTTTAAAGACATCTCTGCCTTGAGCATTTAATTATTTGCGTTGTACCTCGTAAATCTTATCCTAACGGCATATGCGATATTCTGCAGATCATCTTTGCGTCCCTTTTTAGGTCTTTCACGTCTTCTTTATGGAAACTGATAACCACTCAACTCAGTGATCTTCTTGTTCATCTTCTTTATTACATGCTGGCAACATTGCTTGCCCATTCGCCACTTACATATTTCTGAGTTTTCTACAATGTCAAAACATTTGTTTTGCGATCTTAAGCTTTCATTTTTCCACTTGTTCAGTTATGTAATATTAAGCATGCTTTTTTCCAAGCTTTTCTGTGCCACTGCCAATTTATGCTAGTGTCCATGTCTTCACACCAAATTTTGTTGCTAGTAGTATGACTCCATCCATTACTCTTTTCTTCAAGCATTGATTTTATCTCATGAAACGACATATTGCCCAAATCTTTCCCACCAGCAGCTACTTTTCTGTTAAATTTCTTCTTTGTTTTATTTTCGGACATTAGTAGATGACCTAGGTAACCATAATCATTTACTTCTTCTTTGATTTTTCTCTCTGTTCTGACAATTGAATAATATCCTTCCTTCGCTACTGCGTACAATCACGAAGAGAAGGATCCTCGAAACTACACATGTCTAATTTACATAAGCAAATGTCCGAAATGCAATTGCGATATCTTCATGCGACTTTAATTCTTTTCATACTCACCCGAACGTTGGATGAGGCAAGTATCAAAAGCCTAACCAATTTATTTGCTATATGGTCTAGTAAAATTTGGCTATTTGTTCTTCGATCTAGCATCACACTGATATTTACGATACATAACGCTACTTTTTGCTTGTTTAGGTAGTATAACGCTGCAGCCCAAACATTTTAGGAAGCATAACGGCGTTATGCTGTGTTCATCATCATCATTGTTCATTCAGCCGCCGGCGGGCTGCTTGTGCACCTCTGAATGATACCACACCACAATCTTCTGTCTTGCGCCTGTTCGATACACTCCCGGAGAGATGCACCAACCAGGGCCTTGATGTTATCTGTCCATCGGTGTTTCGGTCTACCTCTACTTCTTTGGCCCTCAACAAAACCCAGCATTACGGTTTTTTCCAGCGAGGAAGAGTCTCGGCGGGCTATGTGGCCGAAGTACCGTAGTTGTGCTTTTTGAATATTTCTCAGCAGGGTTTTCGAGTGCCCCACTCTCTCCAATACCTCAATGTTTGTAACACGGTCGCTCCATGATATTCCAAACAAGCGTCTGTAAGCCCACATTTCGAAAGCATCGATCCTGTTCCTTTCGCGTTGTCGTAATGTCCATGTTTCGCAGCCGTAGGTGGTGATTGAGAACACGAGTGATCGCAATATTCGGAGTTTCGTGTTGCGTGTTATGCTGCTATCTCGCCATATTTCCTGCAGCTTTCCAACAGCCGAGCGACCAATTCCGATTCTGCGGTCGATTTCTTTCCTGGACTCTCCCTCTGCTGTTATGTACGATCCAAGAAAGTTGAAGTCTTGAACTCGTTCGACTTCTGTACCATCCACAGTCACGGTGTCTTGTGTCTGGTCACCGATCACCATCAGCTTGGTCTTGTCTTTGTTGAGATATAGTCCCACTTTTTCGCTTTCATCCTTGATCTTGTCCACTAGTCTTTGCATGAGGTCGATAGCAGTTTCTAAAAGTGTGGTATCGTCTGCGTATCTCAGTTCGTGTATTCGGTTACCGCCAATAGCGAAACCACAGTCCTCTTCTTGTGCGACCTGTCTCATAATGTATTCGCCGTAGATGTTGAAAAGCAGCGGTGAAAGAATACAACCTTGACGTACGCCTTTACCTAGGTTAAAAAGTCCGTGATGCCGTCGTCGGTTTTAACAGCTGCACCTTGTGATGAATATAAATTCTTGATAAGATGTATGATATGTAATGGAAATCCCATCTTCTCTAAAATGTTCCAGAGCATGTTGTGATCCACGCAATCGAAGGCCTTACTGTAGTCAATGAAGACCATGAAAATACGTCGGTTCTTTTCGATGGCCTTTTCGATAATCCAGCGCATGTTGGCGATTTGGTCACGTGTACCACGACTTTTTCTGAAACCTGCCTGTGTTGGTGGGAGTTCACGATTGAGGTGGTTTTCCAAACGTGCTGCAATTATATAAAGAAGAATTTTGCTCGCGTGTGAAATCAAGGAGATGGTACGGTTATTTTTGCATTCCCTTGTGTCACATTTTTTCGGTAAGGTAATCAGCAGTGATTTGGTCCAGTCATCTGGCCATTCTTTTGTGCTCCAAATCCGATTGCACAATTTGAGAAAGATCTTCTCTCCACTTACACCAGTTGCTTTCAGCAATTCTGCCGGTATGTCATCTATGCCTGGACTCTTATGTTTCTTCATTTTTTTCAAAGCTGCAGAAACCTCTGATAGCAGAATTTCTGGTTCATCTACGTATGTACTCGATATCGGTGGCACATTGCTAATCCGGTCATCTTTTTCGTACAGGCTTTCGCAATATTCTTTCCATCTTGCTTTCATTTGAGAAGATTCAGTGAGGACGTTGCCATTGACATCTTTTATGACAGATAGACGCGTCGCAGGTTTGGTAGTGATTTCCTTGATGAGCTTGTGCATAGTGCGCGTGTTGTGGCACTGTCTGTTGGTTTCTATCTCCTTGCATTTCTCATTGAGGTAGTTGTTCTAATCCTGTCGGGTGGATCTGCGAATATCTCTTGTGAGGTCATTGATGCCTCTACGATTAGTCGAGTGGTCTTGACTTTTCAGTTCACGACGTTTAACAACTAGATCAATGGTTGCAGATGAAAGCATTTTGTTGATTTTCTTCGTGTTCGGTTTCCTGAGAGTTTCCTTTGCTGAGCATAAAATTGCGTCTTTCGTTTTTTCCCATATTTCATTACTGCTTCCGAGTTCCTCGTTCAGTTCAAGGAGCACATCAAATTGATTACTGACCGAAACTGTGTAGACGTCTGTTAGACTTGAGAGATCATAACGGAGAGTGGTTGGTTTTCTCTTAGATGTTTTGAGCTTTGTTTTGAACTTTGCCATGAGAAGCTGGTGGTCAGTTCCACAGTCAGCGCCAGGCAGAGTTTTACACGATTTGCAGCTGGACATCCATCTTCTCGGTATGATGATGTAGTCGATTTGGTAGCGAGTGCGTCCATCTGGTGATATCCACGTGTAAAGTTTACGTGCGTGTTGAGTAAACATCGTGTTGGCAATAGCCAAACCGTTGGCTACACAAAACTCACTGAGACGTGTACCACTTTCATTTTGAGTGCCAAGAGCATGTGGTCCAATTGCATCGTTCTCTGAATTTGTTCCAACTTTCGCGTTCAGATCTCCCATTATTATTGGTATATCTTTACTAGGAACTTTCTTGTAGCATTCCTGCAGTTGTTTAAAAGTCATCTAGAACCGCCTCGTCTGCGTCGCTAGTCGGAGCATAAACTTGTATGAATGTTATATTCATCGGTTTCGCGCTGATTCGAAGTGTCATGATACGATCGCTGATGGGGCTGTACCCAAGAACTGATGATACCATTTTTTTCCTGCAGATGATGGCCACTCCGTTCCGTTTTGCAGTATCGTTTCCAGCGAAGTAAATCTTATAGTCGTCTTGTAGTGCCATATGTCCGCGTTCTTTCCATGGAAGTTCCGAAATTCCAACCAGATCCAGTGCATAACGCTGCATTTCATTTACTACCATTTCGAGCTTGCCTTCATACATAGTACGAACATTCCATGTACCAAATTTTCTGACTGTTTTGATAAAGTCACCGCGTGCCCTTCCGCCACCAGCAACATCAGCAACTACCCGTCCGTGAGGCTTTAAGGTAACCGCGTCATAGTGCACAGTTGTGCGACCAGGGTTCATGAGGCACGTGTTGGCTTCTTCTCGGGTATCATTAATCGACATCCTCGGGCCCCGAGGTTTACCTTTGGATGCCATCTCTTGTATCTTGTAATGCTGTGTTACCCCTCTACTAAACCACATCAGGAAAAATGTGTCTAAATAGCAAAAAATCTAAATTCATAAATTTAGGTCTTAAGCAGGAGCTGCATTTCATTTAAGATCAAGTGAATTTAGTAAAAAAGACAAGAAGATAAGGTCTATGAAACAAATATCTTTGAGCTACTTTGGACGAAAATCTATCATGCAGAAGTACAACACAATGCAAAAATATTAAAAAGGAAATTAAAATCAATAAAAAGTCAGCTTTCTTTAATCAGTATGCTAACTAAGCGCAAGGTAACTTTCTCGATGCCTGCACGAGCTGCTCCGCAGCGCTCCGCCACAAACAGTAAACTAAAAACTATCCCCCGCAGATGAAATAAGATCAAGTTTGCACCTACTGTTCGAAAGTCACTTGTGATTCTGTAGCAGGATTTTTACTCACATCTGTACTTATCAATGTCATCCGCCATCCTAACCAACCTCGTGCAGATGGTAATTTTCCTATTGCAACTTATCCTATGGGACTATTGATGGAATGTGATACTGGTCGTGTTGCTACAGTCTCAGTTGATCAAAAAATGAAAATAATTTTTTTATTTCGAAAATTTTTATACATATATTTGTAAAGTTTTGCTAGTTCATTTATGTTACAACGTCATATCACACTAGTAATTTCGAAACGGGTGTATTTCTTTTGCTGTTTAGAAGTTCTATTAGAGAATTACTTGCACACTAGAAAACTTGCCGCTAGTTGTAGAATTTCAATGTCGAATACTATATAAAACCTGCCGTTTAACTTTGGTATAAACATATTCTTTCAAGATTTTAGATTTTGGTCACTTAATCTGAAGAAGTATTATAAAATTTGTTCTTTAAATTCAGTATTAGAACATGAAAAATATTGGTTGCGATATCGCTAAAATAACTCAAACACTTTTACTGCCAAAGCACTCTAATTTGAAGTTAGTTCTCGACTCTATCAAACGAGCAAAAAACCGCAAGAATCCCTTAACTAACCTCGTACCTTTCAATTGTCGTATTTTGATCAATTCAGAGCGAATTACTGGTTTTATAAAGTTATAGTCTTACTCAAGTGTTCTTTCAGTTGATTTTATCAACATATAAATATTCTAGTAAAGGTCAATTTATGTCACGGCATCACTCTTTAACTTTTTTAGAGACTGCCAACCTCTTCACAGTTCTTTAAAATTGTCACTCAAAAGGACACGTATTTTTACCGATCAGAAATATCATCGGTAACGCCTGATGTTAAATGAGTTTAAAAGTTTGACATCGACAGCATAGAATGCTTAACTTAAACGGGGAAAATCTGAAGAGAAAATCTTCTTTGTATCTTGAAAAAGCCTCGAATATGTTGGCATGACAGAATTACCAAAATTCCCTGCATAATGATGTAATTTCTTAAAATAGGATGTAATAATGCCTTGCAACGACAATATTTTGAATTTCTAGGAAGAAGCAGGTGTCTTAAGTTTCTTATCCTCTATTCTCTTGATATAAAGAGAGTAGACTCTTGCAGGTGGTCGTGGAAGCAAAAACACACAGAAAAATTCAATCCGTATCTTTGACCTTTCTGCTGACATTTTTTAGACTTTTTTTTCTTAAATTTTACGCTTCTTTACCTAAATTGTGAATTTTCCCTATAGATCTCTTGCATGCTTCTTTTATAAATTTTGCAGCAACAAGCTCAATAACTGGCTTTTTCAATAGCCCCTGTCAATAAAGAAATTATCGCAACTAAATTTCAACTATTCTTGACATAAAACTTAGCTCTTCAAAATGATTTGTATAGATCCTAAAAGATCTCGCCGTGTTGTCGTCTAACCAAAGCTCTTCATCGTGTCATTCAAAGAAACTGTTAGTTTAAACAGGCTTTTAAGAGCCCAAGCTCTTGAAATGTTGGTCATAATTCATAATAGATATCATTTTTATATAATTCATCTTGACTATTATTTTGTTTGATGCTTTTAAGGTGGTAATTTCTCTCTTTTTTTCTTACTCAAATTAGATACTTTGTGTCAATTGAAATGAGTGCAAGTCATGGGGATTTCCAAGGTTTGTAATACTTATTATCCTGATGAGCTTGACTTACTCGGTCGATTTACAAAGGATCTTCTTTCCATTGTCAATGAAACAATGGGTAATGAAGGGGAATATTTTCAGCAGTTTACCGTGATTGCAAGTGTGAAACCCCGTAGTATGCGCAAACAACCTGCATTTCTGGGATGTTCAGGGTCAAATTTCCGCATGAAATGGCTATAAAAGTATCGCCTGGTTCGAAGCTTCAAGTGCTGGACCGAAGAACATCAAAGTTGAAGAAAGAGAAGCAGGAAAAGAGAAATACAAGAAGTTGTCAGAAGTGAGTGCAAAATATAGAATTTGAATAATTATTCTTGAATATCTAAATCTCTGTTGATGGCATGGCATATAGTATTTAATTCATCCGACAGCGTTAACCTCAATATTATTCACAATTTTTGTGACACCAAGAATAAAAACATTGCAAGTACCATGAAAACTTCGCCAGTTACTAAACAGCAAGAGATCTTAAAAGCATTTTCGTAAACTTAGGTTGAAACATAGTTGCAAAGCAAAAAAATGAGTGATTGAGTGGTGTCTGATTTTTGCATTTTTAAAGGATCACTAATTAGCTTCAAGCATTTGCTATCAGTTATCTCTTGCTTCTTTCTAGACATTTGCAATTCAAATTTTGGAAAGATGACGGTGATAATGCATATTTTAGTGATGTTTGCTGTCGTGTTAAACATTCAAGGACATCGAAAACCGGAGAAAGACAATTTTGATATGCACAGCAAGCCAATAGATCTGCTGCAAAGACTGAAACTTCTCAATTTCCAGAATATCGAAATTATCAGAAAATACGTACGTAAAAAACCTGATTGATATGGCTACTGAAAGTAAGACTAGCGTGTACTCGTAGCTGCTTTTAAGCTGATTTTCAACATGCATGGGAAATTTAAGAATAAATAATATCTGATATAGAGGAAATTTTCCACCAGCTGCATACTTTCGTAACTTTTTCCTTTATTCCATTCATTACTTGATCTTCTAGAGTTATGAATCCCTCATCAATTGTGTAATAAACTCGTTTAATCATTGCACACTTTGGGACACTTTTACTGCCTATCACTGCACAAAAGAGCCCTAGCTTAATTTCTATAAAGCTCCCTAGACATTTTTATAATGTTGGTTAGGGTTAGGGTTAGGGTTAGGGTTAGGGTTAGGGTTAAGGTAGCCTGATAACCAGACCCCAATTTTATTTGCTGGTATGAATTTAAAAGTGAATATCTTAAGGTTTTACTGTCCTTCTAAAAGGTATTACCTTCTGAAGGCTCTTTTGAATGCTCACGATAACCAAACTGATTTATAACCGCTCAAGCAGGCATAAGAGTAGGCATCACAATGCTGACGTTTTGCAAATACCTTTAGGTGAAGCAACATTCGATTTGGGATAACAGTGGGAAGATTGCATTGAAGAATAGCATAGCAGTGACTTGTAGACAGAGGACAATGAAAGTAAAAATGTCGGTGAGTAACTAATGCTAGCATGACATGCTTGTTGGTATGAATGGTAATGTTGGTAAGTGTCTCAGGCTTCAAGCGTTATGATTGGTAAATGAATTTGAATTCACTTCAGAACCTGCAGAAGCAGTGGCGGTTTTAAGGGGGATCCAGGGGGGCCATGGTCCCAGGCCCCGCTCTTATGGTAGCCAAATAGGGGGCCTACATCTAAGGAAAAAGATAGAAATTGTAGAGAGCAAGAACCCCAAAGAATATGATACAACTTCGGTTGAGATATAATTTCATTTGAAAGTTGTAATCTTCTTCCGTCATGACATTTTATCAAACTGGTGCTATCATCAAACAAACGTTTCACACATAAATTTTTCACATTGTGAGACGATGTATTATTGAGACGATGTTTCTAAATTTGCAAGATATAATTTCCGTTTATTATTGAAGTTCCTTTGAATAAAAACATTACCAAATGATTCTTTAGATGCTGCATTTTTTGCTAAAATTATAACAAGGCATGACGAAAAATAAGCCATTTTAATCTGCTCAAATCGAAATAAATTAGGATTTAAAGTTCTAGAATCGTTCTTAAGGTAGGTCTGTACCAATGCTAGGGACATTAAGCAGAAGAGGAATGGAATTTTATTGCTCGCGGTTTATAGCATATCAAAAGACAAGTTAAAACATGTTATTATTGAATTTATCAGGTCAAAGATCGAGCCAATGAATTGTTGAATATGATGGAGCTTATGGTAAGCGTTTTGCAACAACTAAAAATTGACGAGTCACGCCTGCCTTTAGAGGCTGATGAGATGACGAAAGATCTCAGGCATATGGAATTCGAACTTCGGGATATTGCCGAGTCAGTATATAGAAAACTGGTGGGTAAAATAATAGGAAAGAAATGCAAATATATAACCATTGAAGGTTCAAAAAGATTACATATTATATAAACCATATCAGATTTTGATCCTGGCACGTGACAACATAGTTTAGAACTTCAAAAGACTCATTTTGCTAAATGCAATCTTTGTTCTTGAATAAAGAATTTTATGGCAAAACCGAGATGAAAACTGAAATGCATTTAACTCATTTCAGGGGAAGTGTCTAGTAAAACGTCATCACTGCAGAACAAAGATGGCGGCCACTTTCACAAGGGGTTAATTTTGGACTTCTAAAGCTCTTTGGCTGAAGACAAATACTTTCAGGATGAAAATGCTCTAATGATTTACTACTCGATAAGTTGGGTGGGACTTTTTGTGCTAAGCACAAAAACCTCCATTCTACGAGGAGGCTAAAAGAACTCAAATAGGAGCTGGGATTTTTGTTTCTTAATTCATGACTTTTTTGGGACTACATTTCAATATCGTTTATTACTTTCCAGGTTGAAAATAACCTAGGCCCTCTTTTGGCTCCATACACGAGCGGACACTTTCCAGACCATCCAATTTACAATGGCTACAGTCCAAAAACAGTGAGGACAATGATTGTCATGCAGTTATATGCACTACAAAGTTGCATTGGCGATATCTACCATGTTTTAAAGAACGATCTTCTAGATGTTTTGCATGGCATCAAATTCAGAGCATAGAAATGCAGCTTATATTTTGTGGCAAATATAGCAAGTATTTAATGAACTGCATTTGATATGTTAAATTTTGTGATTAATATATATATAAAGAAATAACTAAGTGATAGAAGCGTATCAATTCAAAATCTGTTTAAAATTATAATTGCTATTATAACTAAGATTGCTGCTTTTCTCTATCTTCTTTTAAACAAAACATTTTATTGAAGTTGTTCTCGTCAAATACACAGCCATCTCAGCAACCACGTGGCTGTAGGTGTCGGCTAGGGGGGGAGGCAAACTCGAGCAAGAATCATGCCTCAGGGGGGCAGGCTTTAAAACAAGAAAACAGATATATAACAAACAGATAAATTTGGAGAAAATCAAGGTCATGGAATTATAAATATGCCAAATTTTCAAAATATCATTTGGAAAAACTGTAGCCAGAGGTGGCAAGCTGTTGTCAAAATTTTCATTTGGGAGACACAGCCCTCCCGTGCCCCCCCCCCTGCAGCTACGTGGCTGCATCTCAGCCATAGTTACCATTTGTGATGGGCATAGAGCTGATCGACACAACCAATCAATTTTGGGGGCTCGTTATTAGCTTCCTCTTTCAACGAAAATAGATAAGCCTATTTTCAACAACAATTCTAAGGAGAAAGGATATATTCCGAAAAACGTTTGAGACCAAAATTTGTTTTTAAAATCCTCTTGGTTTAGGCTATATCCTTTATAAGTTTAATTATTGTGGCTAACCTTGATTATTTTCATTACAATTGTATTTTTTATCTATATCATTTTTCATCATAGCTTATGACTATTTTCTGATTAACACCATCATTATTAAATGGTTCTTTTTGTTTTATGATTGCCTTCCTGATTGGGCATTGCATGATAATAGTGAAAATTCTACATTGCACTCATCTTTTTAAGAACCAGTAAATTGAAGTCAGGCTGGCTATTCTCCATTCTCTTAAAAATGTGAGAATTGATTGTTCATAATTTTTTGTTGAATTATAAGGGCGTAAGCAGCGCAGTTGCTAGCTATTGTGCTTCAGGCCTCGTTTGCCATTATAGAGATTGAGAACTCCTTTACTTTCCCCCGAAAAGCTCCTTTTCTTTGGCATGGAAATTTTTTAAAGGGGTTTCACAACATTGCTTAAAATCGCATTTTTCAGTAGCTCAGCCTCAGCTTGTTCTCGATTTGTTCTTAATTGTAGGCCAATTTTATTTTGATCACTCCATTATTTTTTATTGCTTGTGATTTTTTGAAAAATTGGTTTCACAAGACTTCTATAGCACTTACAGTTACATTGTTTCAAAATACACTGTAGTTAACTTATTTTTTTAAAGTGTTTTGCCTATAATCACAACAACATGAATATTTTCAATTTAAAACTCGTTTTTCGTGCGAAGATCATTTGCAAAGTAAAACAGTTGCAACACCACGGGAGACTGGATTCTATGAGAATAACAAGCATTTCGTTTTCTATTGAGACCATTATCGAATCCCTGTGAGAAATTTATTTGCGCAAATTTCAGGCCGTGGGTGTCTTGAATGTTGTGAGAATCTTGCTTGTTTCCATGGAGAAATGGAAATAAGCTACCATTTGTCTGTTTTCACGTAATTGGCCAATCAAAACTTTCGAGTACCTATTTCGTACCGTCGAATTTCGATGTTCCGTTTTAGTTCGGTCGAGAAGTTCATGGCTAAATTTGCACTGCAGTTATTACGAAGGTGAATTGATGACTATGATCTGGCACTCAAAGATATCAAAAAATCGAAATGGCCTTACTTAATCGTAAATTGAAATGGAGAGCAGCTGACGAGATTCCACTTGTTGAGCAGGAAGACAAAATTATTGTTGACATACGGCCTAATGACGACGAGGACGACGATGACAGAAACGACACGTTCAAATATCGTGGCATATCTCTTTGGGTTTATGATGCCGTAACTCTTTTTGTAGAACATATCCAATATTATGCAATTATACTAGCACTCGCACAAAGGTGGGGCTGGCCACTGGAATGGATAAAGTCAACGTATGTAACGTTCCTTTTCAACTTCGATATATGGGAGTTTTGGATGGTTCAAAGTGGAGCCTTCAATCGCTCCAAAACTGCTTTTGTTGACACAAAGCTCCTTGGATTCAATTATCCATCTTACATAGCAGCATGGGGTACACTGGTATGCATGGCCGGAATTGCATTTTTAACTTGTTACATAGTATGGCACTACAAAAGGCCCTTGTACCTATTACTGTATGTTGCAAGGCTCAAAAGGATTCTATTTCTTGTCATACAGTTGGCAGCGCTGCCGTTCGCAATTGCGGTAGCGCGTCTTTTTCATTGCAGGAATGATGTTGCAAAAAATATTGTTGTGATGGATGTGCATAATGGAATCATATGCTACTCAGGCATCCACATTGGCCTAATGGCTGTATCAGTGGCAGCCTATGTGTTATTGTTTCTCTTGTACCCCATCATAATTGCAATGTCAATAAGGGAACAAGTATTTTCAGACTCTCAACGAAAACACGAAGGGTATCTGCAACTAAAAGAAGCGGAATATGAGCAAGGACTTGATATTCTTTGGTATGTGGGACAGTTCCATTTGTTTTCCTCCTACAAGCGTTTTTGGGTCTATTACAACCCATTGAAGCTGGTCTTCAAGCTACTAATCGTGGTTGCATATGCTTGTTCCATGAGTTACATGTTTTATTCAAGTTCAGCAATATCATTGCTTTTTCTTCTGGCATTCATTTCTGTGCTTATCAAAAAGCCATTCCGTGTCAAAACATTCAACTTTATGCTTGCTATGAATCATCTGTGCATTGCAGCAAATGCATTGATTGGCAATTTCATGGAAGTCCCACCATGGGAAAATCCATCACAATTTGTTATTGTGTCCTTTTTACGTAACCCAACAATTATGCATATCCTGATAAGTTTGAATGTTGGCTGGCTCACCATTTTCTTATTCTGGGTTGCATTTCTTGTGCTGAGGGAGAAAAAAATAATTGGCAAATCAGCCCTTTGGCCAAAATTGTCATATGAAAACTCAAATGATGTTGGGGAGGATACAAAGAAGTATTTGAAAGCGGTTTTACGTGGAAGACATACACTGGAGCAGGCATTGTCTACAATTCCATTATTTTCTCCTGTTCATGAGTTATCAAGACAGATTCAGATAATCAATGCATTCTGTAGAGAAGCAGAATACATATCTGATCCAACACATGATACACTATGGGACCTGCTTGATGAACTAATCCAAGCCCACAATCATCTTTCCCCCATATCTGTCTTTGGTACAGCAAGCACAAGCAAACAGTCTGTCAGAGAAACTGCCAAGGAGTTTCTAAAACTGATGCCCAGCTTCTCGAAAAGGTTGGCTCAGAGAGAATATGATCTCATATTGGTACCTCCAAGAAAGAGAAGACTTTTGCTCAAGATGTATGCTCTTGGTGTGTTTGTGAATGGAACAAGATTGAAAAGAAAACAGAAAGAAGAAATAAGTAAGAAAGTGCAAGATGCACTAAAAAGGCATGATGATTTCTATGAGCCACCATCATACTCACCATCAGATACATTTTATACATCAAGACCAACAACATCTGGAACTCTTGATGAATACGACAGGCTTCAGAGTGCCGGTAGTGTTGCCGGGTTCTTGGAACAGTTGGAAAATTGGACCTCAGAGCACCCTCATCCAGACAATGGTCAGTTGCCACCTGCAAGGGGATCAAGGCCAGGAACAGCATCCACATTCAAAACAGCCAGAGAGGGTAAAGAAATCTTGCTCACTATGTGAAATCTAATCTAAATGCTGGGCAGTAAAAGTATATTTCAATATCAATCTTGATAATGTTATCATTAATGTTATCTAGGGACCAAAATAACATTAGTGGAGACTTCTATTTTTTTAGAAAATTTTTATCACAATATAATCAAACCAGATTTTCCTATCATGGAGTGATTGGCTTGTGAGGTGAAATATTTTATTGACTATACCACTGTGCGACTGGATAATTAAAATAATTATTGTCTTTTTATACTATATAATATTTTTACCAGAGTATTTTTAACCCACTGATGTTGTCAATTAGGAGTCATTGAAAAATTGGCAATTTAAAGAAATATGTCAATTAATTGTTTGTTTAGCTTCAAATAGTAAACTTGATGAGCCTCAGATGTTCTTAGAAGACCTAAACAACTTTAATGTAATAAAAATTGATTATTAGGCACCCTAAAAGGGTAAAGGTTTGAAAATGTCAGATTTGATCTTATTTTTGATTAATTAGTTGGAATGTTTTTTTGCCGACTTGCAACTGTAGAACAAATATATTGCCAATAGTCTATTCAGATTTTGCTCATAATCTTCAAGGTGAAACATTTTGTTTGCAAAAACTTAGTTACCAATTTCTTTTGCAGAGTCATTGTCTTCAATGTCTCTTCCGGGACAAGTATTTGCAGAAGAAGACTATAATGGTCACAGCAACGGCAAGTCACTAAATTCTGATAATGACACCATCACAACAAGAACATCTGGATACACATCTGGATACACATCTGGCATCGTTCAAGATTCTGATGCAGATTCACTCAGGCTTTTTAAGGAATTGAAGAAAAAACAAGCTGTTGACAAAGATTTGATTCAAGGTTTCAGGCCCTCAAGCAAACAGTCAACATCAAGCAGTGACAACTAAGTTGCAATGAGTAGACTAAAAAGTGCATACTATTGTGAAAGCAATTGTTTAATGGTGTGCACAGCGTTCAGATGCATAGATTTTCCTTCTTGTAAATATGTTTTGCTTTAAAGTGTATGTTTACATATATTTTTTTAAAAGGTCAGCTGCATTGTTTTGGTGATGCTAGGCAAGAATGGTTCCCTGACCCTTGAGCATGTACAATTGTGTCTCTACTTTCAAAACTGGAAAAATTTAAACCCATCGTATATAAAATCCTTTATTGCATACTTGTAAATGCTCAAATACAGGATTACTTTTTGATCAGTTTCCTAACTCTTTGACTGAGAATATTTTGAACTTAAGGTTTCCGAAGAAAACTCTAGGACAAGTGTTTGATTAATCACAACCATAAATAGACACGGATCCTGAAGAAAGATTTGATATAGAATCTTTATTTTCATACCATAGGGATTTTTCAATAACCATAATTGATTAAAAATTTATCCTTATAAGAATCCATTCCTTATGGTCCTTCTCTGTTTCAATGCCAAAAAAGGCTCCCCTATGCTACCACATAATTGAAGTTGTTTGTATAGTTTGTACACCCATTCTAAATTTATTTAATGCTTTTCTCTGAGGTTGAGATGAGGTTGAACTAGTTTGTATCCTAATTTATTAATTAGCACCAGAGTGAGATTCTGTGTATAGATCTTTGATGAAAATAACAAGACAACATGCAGTAAATTCTGTATGACATCTTACTAATCAATTCATTTCACTTCTTGTCTCAACGAATTCTTTCCTGCCATGTAATGCAATGTTTCTCATCAATATTACATTAATTGAACTAGAATTGTAATTTTATAATCTTTTAATTCTATGATCAGAACACTAAGACACCCGTTTGATCAACTTCTTCCATTTCATCATATGTGAAATTCCAAAACCTTTAACAAACACCCATTATTTAAACAAGGAACTTTACTAATACCAAACATTTCTTAGCTGGTTTCATGGTGCAGTTTGAAGCCAAGACTTGTTGCTTAATTTTTCAATTGTGCTAGGCTTGGATAGCACTTTGGTTTGTGGTGATAGAGCAGGACTGTGATTGAGCCACTGTCCCGCAACATTTTTAGCTGGGGGGGGGGGCTAAAATATCTAGAGAAAGCTCTATCAGTTCTATGTTTTCCAAGAAGGGAATACCAGGGGGTGCATTATGCCGAAATTTCTTTGTGTTGTTCAAAATGAACACTTGAATACTTTTGTATTCGTGATCAAGAACGACGAGAAAGAATTGCTATAGCTTAATCATTTCTTTCGTAGCCGATAAGACGAAACTGTACGCCAGAAGCCCTCCAGCTTTCAAGTAACCTATTGTTTCGTCACACAGACATCGTCAACTATTTACAAATTCCATTTACAGTAAACCCAAAGTGTCCGAATGCTTCCCCGATCAATGAAATATGTCAATTTCAATTTGTATTCGGTTTCGTATTTTTACTCGCAAATTAGGGCAAAAACTAGACTATTTTAGCACCTTTCTGGAATGAGATTAGGTTTAATCAGCGGATTAAACATCAGGGCTTTTTTACCAAGTTATTTGCTATCTAGGAGTGCTTTATCGGCGAATTTTAAACTTGTCAGCAAATAAAAACTACTCTTTATCGTTGCTGGTAAATGGGACCTGGACACTGGTCCGTCGCTATGAGGGATGTTAGGTTTGTGACACCCTATTGAGAAAAGAATGGTGTCACATTATTTTCTCAACGAGGAGTTTTCGCAAAAACGAGGAGTTTTTTGCGATCTATGAGTACACGGTCGGCATATTTTCAAATTTATCCACAAATAAAGGATTGGTGACCCAGTTTGTCAGCAAATGAGACCTGGAAACCCCCTTTGAGCACAATAGTTAGCGACGGCTCTGCCTGGGCACCCATCTTGAGCACAAACAAATAAAGATGGAGGACCGGCTGGGAGATATTGGAATGTCGGAAACATTTCAAAGTCGGAGGAGCACTTTGTCTCAGAAAGAGAAGCTGGAGATGGCATGTGCCCCTACTCTGTTACCCGATTCAGAAATTCCTGAGAGAATTTATATGCAGCAATTAAAATGCACCACAGGGACCTCGACGAGGTCAAAAAACCATCTACTTTGCAGTAGCGGAAAAACCATTTCTATCGAGAAAGCCTAATCATAACAACAAAGGAACGAAAATCTAAAATCGATATGCTTTAGATCGACTGACAACCAAAACAGAAGTAAATAGCCAGAGCAACACACAATAAATCTGAGAATTTCATCGACGATCGCTGACGTTTCCAAGCTTCCATAAGTAATAATGTCACAAACATTTTTCATCATGTGCCTGTTTACGCTTAACAAAATGATAAGGCTCGTATTTATTTCTAAAGTACTTCACGTAGGAGACTTCATCTCGGTGCAATTGCGAACAAAAACAGTGCGGGATCTTCCTCAAATCCCCAACGATACGTCTTTCTTGACTACTGAGTTCAAATTTATCTAGCAAGTCTTCTACATTTTCCAAATTAATAACAAAACTACTGTAATGACACTGTTTTCCAATTTCCTTGTTCAAACTACGAAAAATATTTAAGTGACGGCTGAACTTTTCACCATACAACTGCACTTTTTCTTTGAATATTTTCAAGAAGTGTCTATATAATTTGAAATCTCCGCGATTTATGTCGATGATCTTATCCCGTACTTCACTTGTAAGGAGTTCTTTGTGACGATTTTCACGCACATGGTTTCTTTTATAAACAAGATCAAGGAACGTCCAGCCAAAGGTTTGCCTCAGGAGGACTAGACCTTCATCAAAAAATTCTGTCAACAGTACTAGATCAAAATCGTTTTCAGTATCCTTAATCAATATATCAATATCATCCTCTCGTTGCTTCTCGTCCAGCAATTCGCCCGTCAAGTCAAAGAGCATACCGTTCGTAAACAATCTTAAAATCTCCTTTTGTTCAAACGTCATGTTCTTGAACTTCCAGCCAGTGGACTTTCTCGCATTCAAAAATGATAAAAGTACGTTTGCATTACTTCTCTTGTCAAAAAGCAAATTGAATTTATCGTAAAAAAATTGCGACTCGAATCTTTCAACTGGATCTCGTAGGATAGTAAGGTATTTCGTACCAGGATACATGACATTATCAAACTCAGATTTTGATCCAAACACAGCGTGGTGACATAGAACGTTGGCCTTTTCGTTTTTCAGTCGACTAAGATCGACTTCATCAACAGTGAAAGGAGACGGCCATGAAAACCTCGATACTTCCTTCATTGGGAGTGCCATTTCAAGATTGTGATTATCAGCAAATCTACTAAAGATGCCAGTAAGCGTGCCACTGCCAGTTTTGTGGGTTTTCAGGAAAACAAATGTTTTCACCGTTGATGGTAGCCTGAAAATTATAGGGAAGAAGTTCATTTACCAATATAAGTTGAATTTACACAATTAGTAGGTCTAAATATAAAAATGGCGATTGTTGCAGCTATGTTTCAGAAATTTATCAATAAATAAAGTTATCATATTCCTGAAAGAATGCCTTTTGTTGAAAGGATAATCAAGAATTTGAATATGGAATCAATTTTGAAATCTTCATTAAAAAATAAATAGCTCTATCGAACTTAAAAAATAAAAAGCGAATCCTTCAGCTTTGAATTTTGTTGTGAATAAAGTATAGCGTTAGTGGGTACATGCTTACCCTCTTCGGAGGAATCCAGGATTGTTGAATTTGTTAGCGAAGTGCAGCAAGCCATACTGGATGACGATGATTGTTCCGCCGGCGATAAGGATTAACGCTGTCATGAAAAAATAAAAAGCATCACGCCTAAGCAAGCCTGAATGATCAATTTGCTGGCAATGCAGAGCTCGAGTCTTCTGCATACCAGCAATACGACACTATAATTTTGTCATCTAGGCCATATGTAAATTTTGCCTAGGTCTCTTAACAAAACATCTATAAAGGCGGTCTTAATGATTTGCAAAACAGGAGCAACATACAACAATGGAAAATATGCAAAAGTTATGCGAGTAAACTTACGGAAGACCCTGCAACTCCGAAGCATGTTGTCTGAAACATCTGAAAAGCAGCTAAGGGCTATGATAGAAAGCGGTCTATCCGGGTACCAGCAATCGCAATTCATCGATAGTCACCTGATATCAAGTCCAAGAGGCTTGTGCTAATAGAGGTTCTTTAACAGCTTTTAAAATCTTAAGCAACCAATCAAACAGCAAACAGAGCTGGTGACATGCATAAGATAATTTTTAAAAGCTTTATGGGCCTAATCTATGAAAAGTAATTTGGATTCGTGAAGCAGTCGAAAGTGACCATTCAACGACCGAAAAAAATGTCTTAGTACAGAACCACGGTCCACATATTGTTGAGCTGCAGATGCAGAAAAAGGCGTGAAGAACTGGATTTAGTAAAAACTTTAATGACCTGAACCAAATGATCAAGGTCCCGAGGCGAGAACACTGAAACATTATCTAGACCATGATTGTCTGAAGAGATGACTCCTTGAAGCTTCATATCAACTTGGGTAACAAATTTTGAGATAGAATTTTAAAATGAAGAACTTTTGCATTTTTGTTATCGCCTTGAATTTTATTTAAAACTTATACTGACAATCGAAAGCCCTACTAGATGAAGGCTAGCTTAGATTTCTTTTGGAAAGAGAGGGAAAACCACTCTCTTCTTGCATTAGATCTTTATAGGTCAACCGATGCAAGAATCAAATGCATTTTTGCTTCTTTTGCTTTTACTCTACCAAAGTAAGGATAAGCAGATGACGTGTTTAAAGAAATTAAAGTGACCTTGAAATACCTGGATGGTCATTTACCTGGACACACTGTTTCAAACATCTTTGATTTTTGAGATGTTCATGTTACAGTGAACGAAGTTTTAGTATCCTTCGTAACGTTACGATATGCATCAAAGATTCCTCATGTTTTTAAGATCATTTCTCTAAATATTCTTCGAAAACTGGTTGCTTCAGCTTCAAGTCTCTTCTTTGTTTCATCCTTGGAAAGTACAGAGAAATTCGCACTTTACATGCCACAAGCTCCCTGTTAGACAACACGTTAGTCTAAAGTGTTTTAGAACATACTGTCTAAAGGTTTGGGGAAAATCTATTGTGCTCTGGACGGGTTTATGTTGTCTCCTTAACTAAAAAACATTGTCGTCCAATTAAATCTCAATGCTGTTCTCTTTTGCATTTCTGTAATGGTCGGTATTTGAAAAATGTTCAGACCCATAACTTTCGTCATACATGAGGTACCTCGGATATTATTCAACATGCAAGAAACCTCAGTACAGAAATTACTGGTCGAATTTAAGCAGGGTTCCTGAATGAATTAAGGGCATTAGGACTACGAAACTGAGTCGGCAAATGTATGTAGATCAGTGGCTATTGATTGGGAAGGGGATTGCGTGTGGGGTGTGACCACATGTGGAGGCAAAAAAGAGAAACTGTTTGCTGTCTATCAGTGCTTCGTCGGCAAATTTTCAAACTTTTCGGCAAGTTAAGATGAATGGCTCACTTTCTTGGGTTCTGGATGTCTCTTTTTGATTACAATTGCTAGCGACGACCCTAAGAGTTTAAGCTGGACGGATGAGCAGGTGAATTTAATTCACAGTCAGGTCCTAAACGAAATATTTTGGAATAGCGCGTAAATAAGATCAATCAAGTCAATACAGCCTGCGAAATTATTCATTCCCGGATACTACCATTTCACAAACATAATGAACAGCAAATGGAATTCTGTAATATATTAGCTTCCTTGACATGGAATAAGTGCATACAAGGGTTGTTGATATCGTTGAGCGTGCACGCAAAAAACTGGCCCGAACATAAGACCATGTGATCTTTGTCAATACATTATTGCTAGCAACTATCACATTTCAGCAAACTCCCAGCGACTGTGTAAATGTTCCTAAATAGTGCTTCATACAAGTCTTCGTTAATTTTGCAAAGTCCTAAAGGGCAGTGACGGAGAGCAAACTAAGTATTGAGTGGGCTAAAAGGTTAGATACTTAATTAAGACAGCGCACTTTGAGCGCAGCGATTCATTCCCCTTAAAAAGTACATTTAGGAAATTTCTGGAGATCGAGTCCCGATTCATCGAATTTCTCCTTCGCAGCTTGAATTCACCCTAGTTGTATGCCAGAACCCCTGTGAAAGGGTGGGTCGGGAAAAAAGTGGGTAGCAAGACGAGAAGGGAGACTTTTCGAGCATCTCTTTCACTGAGGCTCTGGCACCCATGGTAGAGTTCTCCGTTTCTTCTAATCTTCTAATCTTCATATTTGGCAAAAAGGATCACAGAATTGGAATCTTCATGTTTAACTTATCTGAAATTCTTGTTGTTTGCAAGGTCAGAGCATGAATTACGCCGTTTTCAAAATATAAATTCTCCTGTTCATTTCACAGAAATTTGCTGCAGCAGTGAAAAAATTCATTGCTGCGGTAAAATCTTCAGAAATATCTAATTATCAAAAACGTGGTATCTCGCGAGCAAACAGTCCAAACGACCTCTAGTGGGCTTACGTCAAAATGTTGAACCACCAAGTGGGATAACGAAACTAAGCCGACAGCGAAACTGAATGCACAATCGCACATTCGATTTCGATTCTGACGTCATTTGAAAGAAACAACAAAACTGTGTTGCCCACCTCAATCAAAATCTGTCTACTTGGTTGTTCCGATAACAATGCTTGATGGGTGCAAAGCGAATATTACGATATCTAAAGGAAAACAAGAGATTTCGATATTGCAGGTGTGATTTGAAGGTATGGCTGCCTTTTGCCGAAAATGTAAGTCCTTCGTTATTGAATTATCTTAGAAATGACAAGAAATTTCACTTCATCACTGTATTTGCTGCATCAATATACGCTATCTTTCTGTAAGTCTTTTGTAAGTGAAGATCCCAGCTGCATGAAATCTTTCGCTTCAAACCTAAGTCACCACATTTCCTCCAACCTTACGGGGAGAACATTTCACCAAGTTGGATTTTGCTGTATTCTGAATTTACGATAATCGAGATTTTATATTCTCGTTTGAGGTTCCTATTGCATACAGAAATTATATGAAAAATTGGATTCCCCTACTAAAGAGCCCAAACCAGACGCTTCCTCAGGGAAATTACACAGTGTAATTCGAAGCAGATTCGAAAGTGACAAATTTTAAGCTCGAGTTTGCTACTCAAATGGAAATATGCTTTGTACCTGTCATTTAAAATTCTCAAGCAGGTCTTTGCCTGACGACAGCTTTTTATCAAAACATCGCTGATATTATCATTCGGAATGTCAGTTATTCGCAGTTACCGGATAATTTGCTGTTCTTTTCGCCAGTAAATATAATCAAAAGGTGTTATAATGATAAAGTGTTACTTTTGACAGCGAGAAAAAGAAGTTGATAAAATCAAATTGGGAATGTGAGGAAACTAATGAAGGAAAGAAAAGTGACTGAACTATGACTGAACAGTGACTGAAAGATGTTTACAAAATTGGAAAGTTTTTGTTATTAGCAGTGCACATAACAGTATCTCAACTTCCTTGGATTTTTGGTGTTGTCACGATCTACAGTTACAATGCCTATCGTTAATATCATTGCTACGCTGGTAATTGCATTCGCTGGTGCCATTGGCAATTTGACAATCATCTACGTATTCATTCAGTATAAATCACTACGATGCGTCAATAACATTTTCGTAGTTCAGCTTTCTATTGTTGACTTGATCAAAGCTTTAACACTGTTGCCTTTAAAGGCTGCAATGCAAGCATCGATGGAAATGCATTTAGTAAAGACAGTTTGCTACTGTTCAGGCTTCTTGAGCGCCATGGCATTTGTACATTCACCATTGGTGCTGGCAGCAATTGCTGTTGTACGGTATATCATAGTCGTTAAGCCACATCTCTATTTGACACTGTGCTCCAGGTCACGTATTGTGAAATACTCACTGTTTTTGTTGGCGATCGCTTCACTATTTTCTGTTTTACCTTTCATTGGAATTGGCAAATATACATACAGCATACATCATGGGGTTTGTTTTGCAGACTGGTCTAGAAAAAATATCGCGTTCAGAACGATATTGTATATGCTGACAATGGGTACCACATACCCGGTGATGGTTCTTTGTTATTGCAGCATCTTTTATAAGTTGAAGAAGCATGGCCGCAGGTTGTCACGTGCAATGTCATCGAACCCAGGCTCAAAGCGCAAGAATTGTTCATATAAAAGCACAGAAAGTAACGGGGATTACGAACTTCGGCAATATCCTAATGGGAAAAGGGTAGGCAAGCCCACGGGAAGCCACTATGAAAAGATAATTGATTTGAATAAGGTCAACGAGGAAATTACAACAGAAAGATTTTCAGCTGTAGATCATTGTTATGGAAAATCTCAAGAAATACTAACAGAGCTTGAATTGAAGCCCTCAAAGGGACATCATCATCATCATGATTCTACTTTTAACCATCTGAACTTGAGCAGTGAAGAGGACAAACAGGAATGGATAGCCGCCTTAAATAGGAACACTGACAAAGTAGAAAATTGCCTTCATGAAGAAAAAGCTCAGCATGGTATGCAGAGGTATAATCTGCGTCACAAGAACAGTGGTATGGCTAGGCCATGCAGTTACACATGTTTCGAAGCCTTAAAGAACTCAACCAATGAAAAAAGCACAGGCCATCAGCAAGCAATAAAGAAAACAGAAAGCATGTTGCAAGGGAAAGCTCTCAGCTGTGACGTAGATATAAAACAAATGCTTGATATTCAGAGACCAGCAAACGCTACTTGTTGTAAGTGTACGCATAGTCTAGATTCACATGCGAAACAAAGATCTGTAAACAATACCTTCAACAGTATGAACACAAGGCATATTAACGGAGTACAAGATATCAGCGCAGCATCAGCTGCAAAAATTCTGTGCCCGGAAGAAAAATCCAGAATCTCTTTTAACGCATCTTCGGACCAAAACATTGACAGTTCAGTCGAGATGCAGTCTGTTCGGCGCAAAATGTCGAGGCTGGAGATAAAAGTAACCAAAATCATGTTTATAATAGTATTAGCGTACACAGTATGCTGGCTTCCCGCATTCTTGGTCAATATTCTGATGCTATCAAAAGCTATCAACATTTCTGATAACGTGCTCTATTTAATCGTAACGTTGGTTGATTTTAAGGTGTTACTGAATCCACTTATCTATGGTGTCGGAAGCCCAATGATTCGATCAGCTATATATTCATCCATTTTCAAAAGAGGGGTTGGAAACTAAAGAACTCAAGAGAACCTAAATGGCAACGGACATCTCTATAAACGAATTGTAAACAAAAAACTCATGCTACAAAACAGAATCACGTGGCCTTTTGCTCAACAACTTTGAATCGATAAACCAGCACACTTTTAAACTGTTTTCATTCTTTGAACAGAACTTACTTTTAGTTTGTATTCAGATATGAAAAGCTATTATGGATCAAAATTTCCTTTTGTCTAAAGTCTTGAAGCTAGACCCACAATAGCAATGTACAGTGAAGAAGTCGCTTTCGAGCACACAACTTACGTCTTTATAAGGTATAGTTTTGCAGCTAATGCTGGCTGGTAGGAGGAGTGCACGGCTACATTGGGCCTGCGTTACACGCAGCCTGGGTGCATCAAAATTACGTGGAACATTCATTAAGTGAACATGTAGCATGGAGGTAGGATGGCATGTTCGAACAGTCATTTTCAAGAAGTACCGGTTGTCTTCTAGTAGTTTGTTCAATCTACTTTAAAAAAAAGAAACTTCTTAGAAATGGAGCAAAAGATATATGATAGAAAAATTCGTAAATTCAGAGTATTGTCGTTCAGAGAAATATGTCGCTTAATAGTTTAGATAAATGTTGTAAGCCAATCGTTAAAAACGATTTTAAAAGCAGATGTGAGTTCACTGATTGCGTAGTTCATGCTTAACTGTGCTCCCAACTAGAAATTTGCGATTAGCTTCCTCTTATCAACATATGACATTTGCAAACGAGAAACAGTGGGTTTCCTTATCATAATCTTCGATAACCCACTAAAAGCATAGAATGATACTAATCTAATCAAATACTGTTGTAAAGATAAAACCTAAAGTTTCGGTTGACATCACTTCGAAGCGGCTGGCAAAATACGTTATTTCCTTCCCATTCCAAAACTTGCTGAGGTATCGTAAATTTTCAATTTAAAGAGTAAGTGAAATTTCAAACAAAGGTGGGCTTGAGAAGTCCTTCCAACGAAATTTGCAAACATAAAGATTACTGCACGGTAGAAGCTGAGTTTTATTTAATGAATAAATAAATATTGCAATTAATAAATCAAATTGTTATCAACATTGCAGCAAGATTCTCACATACTTTTAATTTGCTTTTTGTTAGCAGTCTAGGGACGTGGCATGAGTATCGACAACAGAGGGAAAATGCATACCTTTCTGGGTACAATTCCACAGCAAATGAGACAATATAATTGATATGAAACAATGTACAGGATGCGTGATGTATGGTAATTAAAAAAATATTTCATGTAGTATTGCTAAGGAGTTAAGCAGCTTAATAATAAGTGTTATGACTCTTAGTCGGCGGCTAGTTCATGGAGTTCATTTGAAGCGTTTGGCACATTGAGAAAAACAGCCCAAAATTCAGAAAAAACCTCATACTTAAACAAGTGGATCTTCAGATTAACTTCCATTGATGCAGAAATTTTGTTGCTAATTGCTAATTGCAAGTTGCAAAAATTGTAGAAATATTGCGAGGTTTGTTGTACTGAACTTAAAGGAAAATGACAATCCCTGGGAGAGCCCAGCTAACCCTTAAGGACATGCAGTTTACCCTGGTACTCCAAAGTTACAATGTTTACCTTTTCTGTACAATCTTAAACAAAATTGCATGGAATTAATACTGGAGTTAGCTGGAATTGTTTTTCAAGAATTATCAACGTCGTTAAAACATTGTTCGTTTATGATACAAATATTGAAAAACAATTTGATGTATGTAACAGCAATTTTGTCTCAAAATCCAAGCCAGTTAGATAAGACTGTATTGAGCCCTTTGTAAAAAGTGAATGAGCAGAAGGCTAAACAATCCTTAAAAACTTGAACAGTTCCAACAACCTTTTCGTCCTTCAAGCCACCTTTCCAAGTTTCTTTAAGCGTAGGACCTGGTGTTTTTTTCAAAGCAAGGTGTACTGGCAAAACACTATGACAAAATGGATGAAATGGGAAAATGCCATGGCAAGGCATACTTACAATAGAAAATAGGCAATTTGCACGCTTTCTTGAGCTTGCCTTGTATACTTCGTCAACAGACTTGAGGCGTTCAAAGGTTTGTATTCAGGCAGAGAGTGTTTTGTCATAAGCCTTCAGTTGGCCTTACTTAAAAAAAATTTTCAATACAGAAGGTTCCTAGTAGGCTAGGGAGGGAAAGGTTGAATTTTATCAAAAAGCTAAAGCTACCGCGAGCAGCCAATAGTTTTTGCTATCAAAGCAGTGAATAGTAGCGTCATACATCAAGTAGTTACTGTAGGCTTTTCCTTTCCAGTTATGTCTTTCAAATTGGATATCACGAGTCCAGCGTCCACAAGACATTGTAAAACGTCCTAAAACGGAATCATATGTGATATTATGTTACTCTGGCCAAAAGCGTTGCATTCAATAGATGCTCAAATAGATACATAAAAAGCCAGTGCTTTTAGTGAATTTCATATCGAGAACTACACATCATAATGTGAATAAATAATGATTACCAAGTTTATTATCAATGCATGCATAAAACATCTTATACCTGGATAAATTATCATACATGCATAAATTATCATACTTGTGCTTGCTTTGAAAGGTTTGGCTTTGGTTCATATTTTTCAATGTACATTCTGATCGTAGCATCAGTACTGCTGGTTCCACTCAGACGAAATACAATTCTTGAACCATCTTCCAGCATAATTCGAATACCCTAGAAGCAATAAATAGCCAATATAAAAACTGTCGATGCTTACTTCAGTGATAAAAGAGATACTGGCCTGGACATGGTAGAACCTGCTCAGCTGCAGACAAACGTCAGTGAAAAATAGCAAATCTAAGTTTATATTAAATATTAAGACTGCTGATATTGTGAGATGAACACACAGATTGATAGTGTCAAATACCTGTTCTTTTGAAACACTTCCATCGATGGTATCAGTATATTGGAAGTCATCCATCATCTTCACAACAAATCCATTAAAATTCTTTCCGATCAAAGTTTGGTTTTTCACCAAATCTCGAAGACGTTGAATTAATTTCTTGCCAGATTCAGCAGACACATTTTCGTAATCGTATCTAGAGGAAATTGACTTACAAATGCATCAAAATATCTAGAACAATCATTTCATGCCAAAACAAGGCTTCAAATGGATATTTGAAAAACACATTTTGCACATTACTTGAATGTCTAGAAGTAGAGAACTTTCGAATGGTGGATTTTTAAGTCAGACCACGGAGGGGAGGGTGGTGTGACTGGAAAAAAACTGCCATTCCCCCATCTTTTTAAGTTTCTTAACATAGGGGTAAACTGTTTTACATAAAGAGCTTGATATATGCTTTACAATGATACCCTACATTTATTGAACCAAGGAATAAAATATTGCTACTTTACAGGATAGAGGGCTACAGCTCTACCAAAACAGAATGAGGTTAGCAAAGCCCATCTTTTAGAAAACAAGAAGCTAAAACAAGGACAAAAATTGGCAGTTTTACATCTTTACAATGTTAAATAGAAATGCTTTTAGATATGATTATTTCATATGGAATGGCCCCTTAAAATGAAAAAGGTATGCATCAAAACAGAGCTGAAATAAAAGCAGTACACCTTGATATCATTGCAAAAAACTAAGTGAGCTTGAGCAAAATATATTTCAATATGTTCTATCATTTTTTAAATCACTCCAGTAACGGGAAGGAAAACGTATTTACTGATCTTCGACATTTTGATGTATATCAGTCTGAAATTGATGTTTCTTATTTTTATACTAAATTTCATTTTATGTGAAACAACTATGTCACACATAAGTATTTTTCGCTGAAATTCTGTAACTTTTCTTCGAAAAAGATTCACCAATTATTTTAGTTTCTCTCAATTATTCAAAATGAAAGAATTATCAACTTCGACTATAAAGGCGACATATTTCAAGTTACAAAAGAAGATGATTTTTTGATGAGATTTATCGTCTATTACAAAGATGGTGTTATAGAACTCAAAATACCATAACCCCTCAACACTGCTTCTGGGCTGCAGCTTATCAACATTCGGAAGAAATCGATAATGTCAACCCTTTGCTGAATAATAAAATACCTTGTATAATAGTTTCTCCCATATGTAAGCCAGTGTTGTTCGATGATATCTTTAACTGACTTCTTTGTGCATGCTAGAATGCTTAGCCACGCTTAAAAAGGAAGTATATTTATTTCACTACAAGTTGACTTACAAATTTAAGTCAACTCTGAAAACCTACTATAAATATCCATCAAATAAGACATAACACAACCAAAGAACTTTTCGCTGGTGTACAGAACAAGAGGGTTCTTACTCTCAAGTACCGAATAATTGTCCCCCGGCTTATTAATTTTTGAGAAATTTTCCAACCCCCCCCCCCCCGCTATCATTCCAACCCCCTTTAAATAATTGTTGGAAATTTTAGATGACAGTGTACATTATTTTGAATAATTCCTGCTAAGCAAATGTAATTACGTAAACTTTATTAACTTTATTCTCATTTGTTTGCTTGACCCGTGACCCGTACATGAGAAAGGAAATGAACACTGCATTGGTTTCGTTTTCTCAAATCAAATCGGTCCAGGTTCAATTTGTCCAGCCTCCTCCCCCGATTGTTCGAGCCCCAACTTTTATTATTGCCTATAGAACCATTTCCAGCCCCCTCATTGTTCGACCCCCCTCATTGTTCCAGCCCTCAATTATTATTATATTGAACCATTTCCAACCCCGCGATAATTCTCAGCCCTCCCCCACGTATATTCGGTACTTGGGAGTAGTTGCAATCTCGAGTTTTGCGCTTAATGCCATCATTAAATAACTGTTTCTTGATGCAAACATCACACAAACTAGGGATTATATGTATAAAGTATCAGATGCATTCCAAATTAGTCTTCTTTAATGCCATTTTGTCATAAGAATGGAGAGTAATGATTGGTGAAGGGTGTAAGCCAAGAGGGTTATTTTCTGAGCAATAATTTTCTATAAAAAGGGCCTACAATACTCGTAATACTTTTAAGAAAATGGATATTATCAATTTTGCATCTGCCAAAACAGAAAAAGATATATAATCCATATTTACGAAATGACAAAGGAAAAATTCAGAGAATTTAACTTTGCTATATCAATTCAAATTGAAGGGAAACTTTGCTTCAGACAGTAAAGGGCAAAAAGCTTAAAAGCTTTGGCGCATAGGCCTAAAACTGCAACAGAGTCTAAAATTGAAAGCTGATGTTGGAAAATAAAAAACTAAAATCTAGCAAATCAACTCTGGACCACAATTCTCATGCCATTGGGAGTTACAAAGCAGTTGTCTCAGTTAGAAAAATGCTTTGTGCCAATCAAGTTATCAGCCATGACCAATTATTTGTAGAGAGTCAAACTAGATTGCCTCAGTCATTTTGTTTTTTCTTGTTATAGCATGTCCTATTGCTGTTACTGTTGGTAAAAGAGCAACTGCTATATTGCTTGAACAACTTAAAACCTTAGACAGTAATCTGATATTGAGATCAAAATTGCAACTTAGATTATTGTAATGTTTCCTCTGTATAAGTGAATCAGGCATAAAGGAAACTGCAGATTTATAACCCATAGGTTGAATTATTGCCAATTAAGCACCTTCAACAAGAACCATTACCTAAAAGTATAATAGCCATTCCAGCATGGCAGAAAATCCAAGATTTTTTAAATGCAAGTTTTAACTTTTTTATAATCAACCAAATAACAGCTGATTTTTCAATCATTCGCGGTATGTATGACACCATTCTGATGTCAAGAATACGTTTCAAGCATACAAACTGCATGTCGATATTTTGAGAGATATGTGAAACATACCTAGAAATGCCCAAATGCCATCCTTTTCTCTAATATGGTCAGAGCCAGTACCAAAGCTCTCTTCTCCACAAAGTGCAACCTTTCCTACATCCATCAGGTTTCCAAAAAACTTCCATCCTGAAGCAGGAAGATAAACTTCTTTAAAGTCTTGGGGATGAACTGGTTTTCAAGATGTTTAAATTTTCTCTAGGTATAGATAACATCTTAACAGGGATTCCATGTTATGGGTAAACTTGCTTTTTGGCTAATAACTAAAACTATATTTTAAGGCAAACTAACTACCAAGTTATGTAAAAACATATACATCTAGCTAATTCATAATCTTCCCTTCTTCCCACTCAGTATCAGTGAGGTTTTTGAGATGTCTGCAGTTGATTCAAAGAAAAAAATCACTTAATACGACAAGATCGCTTAACAGTTCACCCAAAGGGGATTAATCTGCTATCAACACCTGGTGCTTACTGTCAAAACCCGGCAATTTAAATTTTCGATCCAAGAGATGTTTTCACTGTTCGATTGATTTTTCTGTTCTTCGGTAATCATGGCGAAAGGAAACAAAGTGGAGCTGGCAACATTCATTGGTTGGGGAAAGAACGAAATTATCGGTTATAAGTCGGAAAAGGATGATGCTACTTCGATGATCCTGATGGCTGATGATGAAGTGGTTTGATCAAAAGCAATGGAACGACAACAATGATTACGGGGTCCCAGAGATCACTGCTTTTGCAGCTATTTTCAAACCCCCTCAAGGAATGGAAGTCATTCAAAAAATTAGTACAATATAATGCTTGTGGGATTGAAGCAAGAAAGCTGTGGAAAAATACGCTTTCTTACAGGGCAGACGAGTACCCCAACCTGTGCATTCTGGCAAAGATAATGGTTGCAATATCTGGCTCCAATTCATCGGTAGAGAGAGCATTCAGTATTCTCAGCATATTATTGTCAGATAGAAGATTGCGAATGTCACATAGGGTTATGGAGATAAGACTTCGCATCGCAGTCAATGACATTATATGGACTGACGAAGAAAGGGAGAAGATTTTGAAAAGGGCAACGGAGATCTATCTTTCGAAATGCAGAAAGCTAAAGCTGGATAAGTGCAACAGTTTATTAAAGAAACCGAAGCTAGGTAAGGAGGAGGTAGCTGAAGAAAGCTCTAATGAAGAAAAGTGACGGTGACTGTACTTATTTTCAAATTATTTTAAACTTGTTTTTGTGCCCAAAGAAAGTGTGTTCATTTCGACGTTTGTGTCATTTCTCTACCCATTCCTTCTCATTTGATTGTTAGCTCAATTCCAAAGGAATACCGATCTAACGGTAAGATATTTTTTATGAATATCCGCTAAGATATTCATTTTATGAATATCCGCTATGTTAACGATGCTACTGAAGTCAGTGACGCGCTGCATGGCAATGTCTCGACGGATGGTAGGGTCTACGGGTAATAGAATTTTTTTTTCAATCCAGATTTCTTTAAGTGACTAATTAAATTTAACATCTTTAAAAAATAACAAGAACAGTTTCTCCGTCAATTACCTTGGTTTCCGTTCAGTTTATAACACAAAAGGTCTCCTTAAAAGCAGCACCCAGTTCTTGACAACAGGGATGAGAAACAACCAATAAAAAGCGGTTCGCATCGCACGCCATCGCACGCGCAAAGTAACCAAGGCGTGCGAAATGCCGCACGCGGCCTATTTTCATATTACAAAGACTGCCTTTGGAGGCGAAAACAATAAAGAACAATTTGAAAATACTTTCTTCCAGAACAATTACCAATAAAAATGCTTTATCATCCACATCTTTATGAGACCTTGAAAAAATTGGCGAATTTTTATTGGCAAAGTATCCTTTAGTCAGTAGATTACCTGTAGGGACCTCAAAGCATTCCATCCCACGACCAACTGCAACCCTGTCTAATGCCTGACTTGTAGGCATACTGCGTGCGACACCTTTAAGACCACGACTTTTAAAGTATGGAATAGAGTCTGCATTTGCTGCTATAACTGCTATGGAATCTGAAGGATTTATGAAGAATGCATGTTCACCCAGTAACATGTTACGATCCTGGAAGATATATATATATATATATTTACTTATTCCAGATTGCGTTGTCTATTCTGACGTGACAGTGCTCGATGTGCAAAAGCACAGAGCAATAGATATAATAAAATAGAATATAGACTAGAAATGAGACATGTTCTCTGTTACTCCGAGTTTCGTGCTTGCGCACTCATCAGATTATAGTCTGCATAAGCACGAAACTCGGAGTAACAGAGAACATTTCTCATTTCTAGTCTATATTCTATTTTATTATATATATTTACTTATATAAGTATTTACTTATATTATTTAAAAATCTCATTAATTTCTCAGTTGAAACTTTCAAATTTCAGATCACATAATAGAAAATAAAGTTATTAAGAACAAGTAAAAAAAGCAAATATAATTTTGACAATAACATAAATAACATCGATTACTCTTATCCTACAAAAAAGGCAAATAACCATATTATTCTTTCACTTTGTTTTATTTTCGTTGTTTTCAGAACTTACATATAAAAGAACTTTCTGACATGAAATTCTTATGAAGCAAGAAAATATTTTCTTCAAATTAAGAGACATATCTTGCTAGGTAACACCAAATGAATAACTTTGCTTCATCAAGATTAAATAATAATAAAAGATTGCAATCTTAAATATCAACAATGTCGTGTTCATTTCAGCTTATTTATAAAAGTCTTGTTTGATTGTTTCTTCTCTTAAGAGTAGAGCCTTCTTTAAACTCACCCCATCACCATCAAAAGCTGCTCCAAATTTAAAATCACTATTTTGCATGAGTTCAACAAAGTCTGCAGCATATGTCATATTTGGATCAGGATGTTTTCCTGAAGATGGGGTAAAAAAATCATATATCAAATATTTTCAAAGCAATTTTCACAAGGGTTGATTGATCAACTTGCATATCTAGCTTACAAGGGTAACTAGCCTTCCAAAAAACAGGAAGCCCCTAAGAACCACAAACAATAAAAGTTTATGTTTAAGGTCATTGGTCTGTGAATGTTTTTATAACTCTTCTTTTAATGAATGATGAATTTCTGTTCATATACAAAACACAAAAATTCAGAAGATCTTCAAATGTTATGCAAGGTTAAAGCAGGACCCTCCACAAAGGGGAGCCAGGGGGCCAGTCCCCTACTTTCTTGGAAAACAATAGAGCTTTTTTATTTGTTATTATTGTCAAACTTTCTCTTGCCCCCCCCCCCCACTTTCTAACACATGTAAAGGATAAGCAATTAGAGCTTTTCTAGACAATTGATTCTTGATCTGGGCAGACATTCTTTAATAGAGAGTTCTTTTTTGTAAAATGGTGTTCTTTCTCTTTCATTTACGTGCCTTGCAGATAAAGAATATTTTGGTGTGGGCAATATCTAGATAGTGCAATTCCTTCTGGCTGAGCTCTAGCAATGACAGGCTGATTGAACAAACAGGCAATCTTAAGGAATCTGATAGTGATTGGAAGAGAATGATAAACGAATGATTTTGATGTAAATAAAACTTAGTTATTTCTCTTGGGAAATGGGGAAACCTTGTGCCACTGAAAGAGCAGTGCCTGTCAGCTGAAAAAAGATTGGATATAGCCTTAGTTTAGAGAAAAACATTGCATGGAATTATATTTGTGGAATTTCAAAAAAGGAAGCTATGCTTTGCTTGATTTGCCTTTCCATTGATAGTTTGATTGAAAAAGGCTGGTTTGATTTAAAGAAGGACAGTTGTGTATGAAATTTTGATTAAATGTGTTATGCAGGTAATTTAGCATCAAAATATACTCCGTCAATGTTTTCAGATTCTTTCTCTGATTAGATATCTATTGAGTTTGTGCTGCTTACTCTATGGTGTAAAGTAGTAGAAGCACCTACACGTGGATCAAAGCCTTTTGGTATAAGAATTAATGGGCAAATAACTTTGGGCTCAAGTACCAGGCACATAACGGCTGTATAAGAAGACTACTTTCCTCCCATATTTTGCCGTAGCCATTAACCATGTGTACTTTTTAGGAGACATCATTCACCCAAAACTAGCTGGATATGCTACACAAATGACTAAATTCAAAATTTTAGAAGAACATTTTCAAAAGGACATCAGCATCTTTGGTGACTCCAGAGGTCAGCGCTTTCAAAAAAAAAATAATCCAAATAACCCCTAAAACAAAACATGTAAGCTCCAGCCTTGTCAATAGTTTTACGACCTGAATTTTTATGTCTCAAATACGGCAGACAAATATACCAATATTTTTCTACCCCTAGCCGTGCCTGGCTACTGAACCCATTTATGATCCCTTATCCTAACAACAGAATAAACAGTCCTTTTCGTTTAGCGCGTGCGTTTATCGTCTTTCAGCTAAGTTGTCATTAGCATGTTAAATGTAATAACTGATTTCCTGTCAAAACGTAATTGTGCCCTGAAAGCAAGTAACTTTTGAAAGATGGCTGCTAAGGGTAACAAAATCTGTTATGTATTGATTTAATTGAGTTTTGCTCTTGCATGTATTCGAGTGGCTTTTACCTTTCTTGCTCCTTTTACCAATTTTATCAGGTTGGCACTTCAAATTTTCTTACAAGTGCGATCGCACATGCAAATTTGTTTACATGTGCGATTTGCCACACACGCGTAATTTTGCTCACGAAAAAGACTGAATAAACCATCATCTTTACAAGACAGTCCAGATTACAAGATCAGAGCAAATGTTCAGATTACTGTGGACTCTTTCATCTACATCCATGTCTTGACAGGATCACAAAACATATATCATTTATTTTATGAAAGCATCATACCTCCAAAGTCTACCTGTGGTACACAGTTAATTGTTGATTCTTTTGGAGCTCCAAGCTCATCACAAACAATTGCCTTCAAGTATGGGCCAGTAACTAAAACAATATACAAATTGTTCTTAAAAACTGTTACCATTTACATACAAAAAATGGCCATAGTATGGAAAAAAGGTTATAAATAATTATAGTATACAATAATATGAAAATCAGCTTTGAGGAAATTTACTATCATAGTTGAATGTAAACTTAAGAAGGAAGTCAAAAAAGGCATATTCTGATAAATTTTGTTTAAACAGAGGGAAGTCTAAACATAACATCTGACAAACATAAGTACCTACCTCCATTCATTCCATTTACAACTATCTTGAAACTTTGCAAAAATGATTTCAACAGAGGAAAATTGAATATCTCTTTCATGAATGCCACATAATCAACCACAGAGTCAACAATCTCCACTTCAAATGTCCTCTGATCAAGGTCATATTTTGTACAACCCACTTTGCTAAGATCAACATCAATATTCTCAACTAAACAGAACTCTGTTATTTTTGTAGTTTCGTCAAATATGGCACTTGTGATTTTCTCTGGGGCTGGCCCTGGAAAAAGCAGAAATGGGTCTGCAAATGGTGAAACCTTGAAATAGTCAACTAATTTAAAACATAAAGAAAAGTATAGTATGAAATAACTGAGAACATTTATGTTCTCAGTAACATCAACTTTATAAAGTCAAAAATTTTCATGTTACAGAAAAGTAAAATCAATTTATTTAATGTTACAGTCATCAACATTAAAAACGGTGATTAAAACTTAATTATTTTCAATTACTGGGTCATTGTTATCAGCACATCTCAAAACATATGTATAGAAGATAAATAACCTCCATTAGATGTATTATACTTGATTCCAAAATCTCCTTCAGGTCCTCCAGGGTTATGACTTGCAGTCAAAATAATACCACCTAAAAAAAAATTTGCATTCTCCATAATCAAATGGAAAGGTCAGGGTTGATCTTGTTTACTAGCAAATTGCAAATTTCACAATCAACAATTTCAAACCTTTTTACTTTTATGATAGTATAAAATCTCTTTCATATTTATAATCTTGTAGGAACTTCGCAAGATTAGCTTCTGCTTCTGAAATGCGCTTTTTACCAATTTCAGGAGCAAAATAGAATAGGTTTATAACTGAAACTAATTTACACTAGGTTTATATACAATAATTTGAAAAAGCATTAAGGCATCTTGCCAAAATAAGTCATGCTGTAACATGGAAGTCAATAAAAATAATATACGTATGAATGAGACAATGGAGAACATCTTTAATTTTGCAACTTGGCAAAAGCATTCAAAACCTTTTGGAAAAATTTACAACACACACACTGTTGCTTGAATGTGGAAACATACATATGATAAAACAATTGATAAAACAAAAAACAAAAATCTTGGTGTGAAATGAATGCTTGTTTTTGAATATTCTGCAACAAATACATAACAATGAGGTTTTAAAAATTTATTATAATGAGTGTTTCAAAATGAGATTTTGAAGTAAAAAGGCCCTGATAGTTGTGGTTATTCCAGATGATTCTGATGTGAATGGCAGAGCAGAGTGATTTTAATGATGGATAGCTTTGGCCTGATGTTTACAGAAGCACTGCCGTATAATAAACATCACAATGCAATAATCACTAAAAGGCATAACACTAGTGTGAATAAGGACTTGGTATCAACACCTTACTTTGAGGAGAACAGTTCTGAAAAAATTTCCAAAATCAACACAGGGCATTTGGAAAGTTGAAATCGTACAATGAAATATACCTAAGACTTTGTTCTTCCTGATGAGACAGGAGACTGCTGGTGTTGATAGAATTCCATTTTCGCCAATGATTAATTTGCCAACCTAAAAAAATAAGCAGATTGAAATTTACCAGACGTAAGTTTGAATATTGTAAAACACAAAACTGACTGTGAGATATTGGCACAAAAAGCACAAGTTGGCAAATTTTTTCACCCTGCTTGGGGTTATTTTTGCAGCTATAATGTTGTGTTGTAATGATTTTGATGTGAGAGTGAGAAGTGGAGGTGTGTGAAAGAAGGTCCAAGAAAGTGGGTGTGTGGCAGTGAGAGACTTAAAGTGGATGGAGGGACGGTTGAAAACTCCTAAATTTATTAGGAAAGTCCAATGGTACCATGATACCAGTGGGAATCTAGAGCATACCTTGTTCGCTGCGGCAATTTGAATTATAATGCGGATGGCTTCACTCATAAAATACCTTCCATCTCCACCAACGATTAGAGTAGAACCATTCAGCTCTGTTTCGGGTATCGCATTGAGGATGGACTGAACAAAATTTTCCGTATACTTTGGTGTCCTAAAGGTGTCGACCGGCTTCCGGAGACCTGATGTTCCTGGCTTCTGACCTTCAAAGGGACTCGTCTGCACTTTTGAGGCCTTAAGTGCTGTTGTACTCATGATTCAATCTTGCTACAAACTTACCCTTTACCTGCTTTTGAAGAAACGGAAGCAAATTGTAATGTCAAGAGCCTTGAAATATTTGAAGTGAGTGGATCCATGCAACCTTGCATGCCCATCCGCCTCTTTGTCTGGAGCCTCGGCTTGGTGTCTGGTGCTTCTGTGCTTCTGTTTACATTCTACAACGCCGCAATAGTGTTTTTGGACAGTGGTTTTTGGACCTGTACTGCGCACACTTGAATAGCATGTATAACGAAAGGTTTTGCTTACATACATAGTGTGTATTGGAGAGTCTGTTATAAGCTGAAAAAATAGTGTATCCATAGAGCCTCAGCTTAAAGCAAAACATTGCTGGAAATTATCTTTATGGAAATGTAAAAAATGCAGCTATACTTTTGCTAGTTTTGCCTTTCCATGCAGATAGTTTGATTGACAAAATTTAGACACTGGATGTAAAGAGCAACAGTCATGAAGTGATTTCAAGCCTCCTGGTTTGATTCAAAGTAAGACAGTTGTATAAATTATGTATGAAATTTTGATTAAACTTGTTATACATATAATTTAGCATCAAATATCCTCAAGCAATGTTTTCAGATTCTTTCTCTAATCAGATATCTCTTCTGTTTTGAACAGCATAGAATTATCTTTATTTGCAATTAATTCAAATTGCAAAGAATTTTTACACTTTCCTAGACCGCTCTATGATTGGAAATTACCATGTCATTAATGGTCATTATTTCTAAGGGAGCCAGTTTTATTACCTACGAGCCCCTCTTTGCTAATTTCCTCCTTGTCCGCCTTTCGGGAGGCCTGCTAATTACGAAGTTAAGGAGAGTCTAGATATTTAAGTAAACAGTTGGGTTTATGAACGAAAAACGTACAGTTGATGATTTTTATATCAGGTAGCTACTTGACTAGTTTGAGCACATGGATGGCAGAGCAGGTACGTGAAGGAAAAAGAGGGGGAATGAAAGAAAAAGAACAAAATAAAAACAAAGGAAAGGAAGCTGTAGAAAGCCATGCTCGCCCACGTCTTGAAAGGATATGGCACATAGAAAGAGAGAGAGAACTACAAAACTGGGCACTAGAAGCCAACCAAAAATTGTAAAATGTATTCTCAGGTGTAAAGAGTCAGATGAGTTTAGATAGAATCAGTGTGACTTGAAGAAGGGTTGGCTGTAGCCCCATTATTTTTTATGATATAGTTATTGTTGTCTACAGCGAGGAAATCTACAGGAAATGATGGCAGAAATAATAGCAGATAAGGCAAGCAAAGAAAATAAAAAAGGGATTGCTCAAAAACATTGCTGACTTGAGGGACAGTTTGCACAGGAAACAGATAACCTTCAGACATCGAGACTTCAAGAGCTTGAAATAATGGCTAATATTTTGCCATAAGACTTTCAACGTTTTGCAAGAAATATTTGGCACACTGGCGTTTTAACAACAGCTAAAGCGGAGAACTTTTTCACAAAAATTTTTTTTAATTTATGTGGAAAGCTTTTATCATGAATCTACTGAAATTTAATCGAGAACGGAATCGTTTTTTGACGACTGGGATCGAAAATAAGGCAGGATCGTTGCACCAGGAAATTTTTGTGACAAATATTGATTCCTTTGATCTCCTTTTTACTGTATTATTATTATTTATCATTAAATTGGCAGTGCCCTACAGCAAAATCGTTTGAAAAAACAAACTTCAGTGAATCTACAATAAACTACTCTGTTGTACCATTTACACCCACAAGCAGACCGTAGTGAGCATGAAATTCCATTTGCACACCTGTTTCAACAAAATGGCAGCTGAATTTATTCTACGTTGGCGACTATAGAAATTAGAGGGCGACATTTAAGGATTCAATCACGAAACTATAGGCTTTACTTTACAACAGACTTGATGCTGCTTTAGAGGGTTTGTAACAGCAGGTGTGCAAGGTAGAGTTTTCTCACAGTGACTTGGCCGGTAGAGGATGCTTGCTAGGCAGTATTGCATGTTTTCATATTTGGGATTCTCATTGGCATATCCAAGGTATTTGTTGCAGTACAATCAGCTCAAGATGCCTTACGCTCGTTTTCTATAGATACAGACATTTTCACTATACTTTTGCGGACGAGAAGATATGTGTTGTTGTGGAATGAATACAATAAAAGATTTATTGCATTGGGAAAGTTACATAGTGGCAAACAAGGATCACTAAACACGGCAAAAACATCACAGGATCCTTCTATCAAAGGTCAAGACGCAAATGACAAGCAAAACCATTGCACAAGAAAACAAAGTTATCAAAACCTATACTCTTCTACACGTTTGCAAAGTTTCTCTTTACTCTTCTACTCGTTTGCAAAGAACCAATTGATAGGTTTCATACTAACAGAGAGGAAAGGACAGTTGCAAAGACCTGCAGCTTCTCCACCAAGCTTAGCAGTGTAATAACGATGCCTTCAACATTTGTGTTGGTTACTGCAATAATAAACGGGGTGATTTCTATTACCGCAACTCTTGCAAATGGCATGATCATTTACACTTTCGCAAACACAAAATCAATTCGCAGCATCAATAACATATTTCTTGTTCAGCTTGCATTTGCTGATATTCTTAAGGCGGGGATTATTTTGTCAGTAAAGACATACAACCAAATTATGGATAAGAAATCAATAAATGAGAATATTTGCCTTGTTTTTGGTGCTTTATACACAATCACAACGCTGATGGACGTGCTTCTTCTCACAGCAATTGCAATTGTCAGGTTTTATAGACTGATAAAATGGCAAGCTTACGAAAGAGTTTTCTCCACCAAAAGAGCAATTTTGTACAGTGTACTGATCCAGTCAACAACTTTGATAATCTCAACATTTCCTATTCTAGGTATTGGCAAATATTCTTACAGCAAATATCATGGAATATGCTTTGCAGACTGGTCAAGTCAGAATATTTTGTTCCGCTCCGTGTTCTACTTTTTCATCGTAGCTGTCTCTTTCACTATAATATCATATTGTTATGCAAGACTGATTAGAGCTTTGAAGAGCTACAAAAGAAGATTGGAAAGTGGTAAGGAAGGCTTGAAGCGACCAAGTGCAGCTAAAAACGCCGTTGGACCTACGCCTGATTTAAAGAACGGTTACAATGCGTCTCCTGGTACAAGCGCTGGGATACTGGTGGATAACGATACAGTTATTAATGAAGGCAGGCATACTGCTGTAATAGCTATATCAGAGAAAATCAAAGCGAAGCAAAGGGATAGAAATGCACGCAGATATAATGAGGGGGATAATACGCAGTTAAGTCTTCATGAAATTCATGTTACAAAGGTCATGTTCGCCACTGTAATTGCCTATGCGATATGTTGGTTTCCAATGTTTATCATAACACTACTTAAGCTTGCTGACGCATTCCACGGCAATGATCACGTGATATTTGTTACTTTGACACTTGTGGCCTTGAATACTTTTATAAACCCTATGATTTATGGGGTCTGTGACAATCGGTTTCGAAGTGCAATGAAGACACTTATACTAAATACTGGGAATCACCGGAATACTGGCAGCAGAATAAAAGCCAGAAGAGACGATACTGCAGCAAATGATTGATTATTGTCGTTCTAATGTAATCAGGAAAAGTAGATAGAAATTCAAGAGAATCAATAATATTAGGTTTTAGTGTGAATAAATTCTACATGAAAGTAAACATGTTAAGTTTGTATTGTGCTGAAATATAGACTTTTACCAATTAGGTCAGGTTAATTAGAAAAAAATAGAAAGCATATGTAAATTGACATTCGAATGTAATTAATTCTTCACTGTGGTAAATTTTTAAAAGTGATATCATGATATGAAATATCCTTGTATAATACAATTGAGCTACTTTATTGTACCAAATAGCCTTTAAAAAAGTTGTCTTTTATATTAACAGTACATTTCCAAATGTTCCTTGTACTTCATGTACATATTCAGTTCAACTAGGAACTTAAAGCAGCCATCATTCGATCAAAAGAGTACAAGCCTTCATTATTACATACTAAAAACAGCATATGACGTAAGTAAACTGCCTTCTGCTCTTAGTATCATAATTATACCAAATAAAACTTGTTATTGATAATATTCTAGTTCGAAGTAAGAATCTTTCCAAGCCTCAACTGATTCTTGAAAGAATGTGATCATTAAGAGCAGAAATTCAAATCGAATGTTTCATCAACGTGCAAGGGTGTAATATAAAACATTGAGGCCTATTAGGAGGCAAGTGTTTGTTGTCATTCATTTTCCGTATAGTAAGAGGGCGAACTAGCAAGAAAGTTCAGCTATATTTCCAACATAGCAAAAGGAATTCATCCAATATATGCTTTGCTAATCAAAAGGAGAACCCTCTTTTCTGGGCATTCTACTGGCCTTCATTTGAATTGCAACAGAAGGGTAAAGTAGGTTATCAGGCTGATAAAAACCTGTAGAAGAAACAATACTGTTATTAACTTCAGTTTGAGAGCACACCAGAGAGAAGGTACAACAAGGATGTGCACTGGGTCCCATAATTGTCACTACTTATTTCCGGTGCAACCAAAGCGCGTCGTTTCAATACAATTTTGCTGATGGAAAAGTTAAATGTTAAACCAATATTGAGTACGCTATGTCAAATCTTACAAGATGCATTTTGAGTCGACATAAGGAGAATTTATAAAGTGTGTTTCTGAAAGTATTAAAAATTGATGATATCTTTGTCCTGATCTTTTAATATTTAAATAAAAATGAAGAGGTATAGTGGGTTTGAGAGAAATTCTTATGCATTGCAAGTGAATATTTAGTTAAGCACAAGTGTGTTCTTTTGTAACGCAAATCTGCGAAATGACTTGACCCTTTTTATAATTACATCTAATGGTATTGAAATCCATAATTTTTGATATAAGTAGAAAAGAAACCAAAGAAAGATTTGAAGGAAATGCTACTCACAGATACAATGATAGATTTGTAGAGAGGAATAAGACTCCATATTGTCATCACAATGGGTTCACCCGAAAGATGAAACAGTAACAGAGACAGCTGCAAGGCAAAGTAATAAACTGGGTGGAAATAGCGAATCTGGATAGGTAATATATTTGTCAAATTGGCAGTGTTCCTTGCCCCTAGGCAACCTGTGGTGAGTTAATACAGTCAAAAACACCTCAACGTGTATGACACGAGGTAAATTGGATCATTCTATCCTGAAATTCAGAAGTCAATTCGTCAAGAAAGAAAGGTAATAAAAGACAGAGCAATAGTACTATCTGAAAACAAAATTTGATCAAGAACTAAAAGTTCATAAAAATTGATTCTTAAAGATCTCTCTTTCTTGAATTTATTTTATTGTGCTGACAGGTGTATTTTTTATTGAAAAAGTAAGACACGGGAGAGCGCTTAACGACAACGATAACAGAACATCTAACACCAAAACTCTATTACTTAAAATGGGGCTAATGCATTGCACCTTTCTTCCCTCAAAAGACAACAAACAAATATATTTATATCATAAATTTTATAAAAAAGCATTTAGAAGTATCTGAAAAACGCTTTAATAACGACATAACAAATTTCCCTTTGTTGGCTTGAATGACAAAATGGTAAAATATATTGTAAGTGCCATTTATAGGGGTAGCTCGATGACCTTGTGTCTTTTCTCTCTATGAATGGCATCATATGAAGTAGCTGTTGCCTAGCCTTAATCTTTTAATTGCTTAAATAAAAAAAACATAACAACTTGAAAAGGCAATTTTTCAATAAAAACGACTGCAAGTAAAGTTGGGCTACCTTCAGAAGAACAGCATTTTTTGGTTGCTGACTCTAACTATTTTTGATCAAATATGAATCACTTTAGCCATCTATAAAAAGCAAGTGATCTTAGGCAATATAATTAGCGGGGCCAGACACCTTTCCTCCTGCCTCAAATCACTCGGAGTTTTATCTTAATCCTATGTCAATGCCATGTTCCTCTCTTTTTTTATTGAATCTGATTCCTATCCTTTCCATCTGAATGTAAACAAAATGATTAGGACCAGTATCAAGATTACTATTCTCTTGTGTTGCTTTTATTTCATTTATGGATACTTATATACAAACCTCGGCAGTGGCTTGAGAGTCTGCACCTTCAGGAGAAAGTCGCTGTAATTGCTCGACAACCTTTTTACCCTGGGAAAAAGTAAAATTGATCCAATTATACCCTTTGTTCTACTATATCTTACAACTTTGAAAAGAACTGTCTTTGGTCAACTAGCACTTCTGGAGAATGGCTATTGAAGCTTGAAGGATAAATTCTAGTTAGCTTCAAACAAATCAACCTTGTCGATTTTCTTTGAACCTTACTTTGTTCGATGAGATAGTTGATTTTCTAGACTGCAAACCTAAAGAATATGATATAATGAATTAAACGTTAGATAGAAGTGTTTGCCTAATCTAAAGCTTAAAACGATTGCTATCGTGCTTCCATCAATTTTGCTCGTCATCGTATAAAATTATTTGTCACTGGTATCTCACCAATAAGAGGCACTCATAGACTTACCTTTTCAACCACACGTGATGCATCGAATGAGACAACTAGAAGGTTTGCCAATGTCATAAGTATCCAAAAATATATACCAAAATGCTCAAGGAAGCTTCTTGCTATAAACAACGAAATGTAGAGATTCAAGGAGAAGAGTGCTATGTCAAACACATACACGAACATAACCATCGGACCAAACATCGCATCAACTTCCCCAACCAGCCGTGTCATCTTTAAATACATTTGGCGTATTTCACTTATATGGTCGCGAACAGTGAGATTCTCACTGAGAGAGGCCAGTTTATCTTCAAGAAAGTTGAGTTTTAAAACGAGGCTGTCACATACCGAGTCGTACAACAAATTTGGTGCCATCCATGCAACATTCATGTGCAGAGTCATGAAGACATATAGGAGCTTGTAAACTATCTGATCTTGAAATGGGTACAGCAGCAGTAGGAACATCTTTCCCGAATCGCCAATGAACAACGCTGCGGCAACCAATGTAGTGCTTATGATAACGACGCCAAAGATAATTATAAACAGAATTTTCGAACGTCGTTTATACCGCTGAACTTCTTTTTTGCAATTCCTCATTGTTTCTCTGCCAATGTTTTCATCTAGCTGTTTGACAATGGCAAAGAGCTTACTTCTCTTACCATTGTTGCTTGTCATGATCTTCATGACATTAATGGAATGCAGAAAGCAGCGTGTCATCCAGACGGCAATGCAAAGTCGCAAGTAAAACAGAAAACCAGACTCCCAAAAACCATGCCATAGCACGTGCGAATGATACTCAAAATGGAATACAAAAGTATTACACCGCCGTAGCAGAGGGACAGAACTTTCCATGCCGAACACCGTCGATCTCTAGTTTTCAGAACACTTGGTACAGTTGGGCTGAAACCAAATATCTTCAAGGCGGTGAATATGCGCTGGAAAGTTTTCTCAAAAATTGTCTCACTGATTTGTTCTTCCACTTGCTCCATCTTTGCTTCAACTACATGAATTCCAGTGACGATCAAGACAGAATCTTTTTGACTGTTTATCATCTCTTGAATACTTCTCAATAGTTTCAATATTTAAGCTACCTCAGATAATTGTAAGGATTTGATAAATATTTGTTCAGTTGTTAAGGAAAAGTGTACCGCCTTACAAAGAGAATTGATAAAATTAATTGTTGAGAATTACTTATCATTTTAGATCTGATTGCAAAAAACTCTAAATAACGTGACCATCCGTTTTTACTTGGGAAAATTCAACGTTCATTTCACAATAAAAACACAGTTTTGAAAAATTTGCGAATGTGTTTTCCATCCCCATGCAATAAATATTTATAAAAGATATTTTTGCAATTCAATAATGAAAAAATGAATGAAGCGCTAGTAGGAAGGATGACATTACTTCACATTTCATGATTGGTACATTGGAGGGGGAACTAAAGGCACCGGAAGATACATTTATCTTCTATTTTACTCAACTGGTTCTTTTGGGAGCAATTAAACAAACGTGAGACGAACATGTACCAAAAGTAATATTTGAAGTCTCTTGTGAAGAGGATACAGCATTTAAGGGGCCTTCAGACATGCTATAGAGATGCAAATTACTAGGAAGGTTACATGGAATCTTAAGACATCTTCTTTGGCTCTGCTGGCCTCCTAGAGACTCCATAACAAGAACATTCGGTTGTTCAATGGATTTCTCCTACTCTAGTCTTACTGTTATTTCATGACATGTCGATGAACACGCAGTCTTAGGTACATTAGGTGACAAAAAATAAGTTCTTCTATCTTTTTCAAAATAGGAATAACTTTGCGGGATGCGGGTAGTCTTGCGGGATGCGGGTAGTCTTGCGGGGTTCGGATAGTCGCCATATCTCGTAGTTTTTCACTGACATACAGGACGAATGACAGAGAAGCTCCACAGATTGGTTAGGACCCACTCCTTCCATAATATCTCTTGCAGTTTTCATAACGTTTTTTGCAGTTTTTTTAGCGCTTATCTATAGAACAATATTCCTTGCTGCCACCCAGTCTCAAAGACGTAGAAAGAAAACGACGTTTCACAATAAAAGTTTAGTCTGGGACCGACTTGTTGGAGATGTTGGGGCTCACAGTCCCTAATTTGAGCCCCTTTTTATTGGTATGAAATAAGGCACGTATTTGCTGCTCGCTCTTTGATGTAACTAGAACACGTTAAGAGGGTGATAGTGGGAGGTGTCATCTCCCGGAAAATGTTTTTATAACACATCTCTTCTTTGGCTTAGAACACTTCTACGTATCCCATCATAGCCGATGCTAGAAAGACTATTCTATCCATTTTAACAGCTTTTTATTAAATAGCATCCTCAGGAAGTATTCTGAAGAGAAGTAATTTTTCTTGCCTTTTCCAGAGCCAAACTGGAAACTTTCACAACTTTAATATAGTGATTTAAGAATCATCACCAGTGGAAAATATTTTGATTAAACATTTCTCACCAGATAAACTTTAAAGTAATAACTTTTATTTTAGCTCCAGCAACTGTCTCTATTGATTATTACTTTATAGAAATTATCACTTTACCTACCTGTACACAATGCTATTTATTTTTATTTTTAAAAGGATCGTGAGAACCAAATTTGGCCCCCCTCCCTATACCAAACACCCCTCCTCTATGACTGAAAAATGAAAGTAAAGCCCCGGACGTTTTTTCGAAGAAATACGATATCTTAACATCTCAAAAAGAACTCATTCTCACTGTTTGAGTCGCTGCTTTTATCAAATGAGAGAAGCTCACACAAAATTTCATGTTTCATACTGGAAATCAACGTTATTTCAGATTTCAAAACTAAAATACCTTACAAATCATGTGCCCAATGTTCACCATAACACTACTTAAGCTTGCTGACATAAACCGAGGCAATGACCACGTGATATATGTTACTTTGACACTTAAGGCCTTGAATTCTTTGATAACGTGCAAATTTATGGGGTCTGTGACAATTGGTTTCGAGGTGCAATGAAGACACTTATACTAAATACTGGGAATCACCGGAATACTGGTAGCAGAATAAAAGCCAGAAGAGAAGATACTGCAGCAAATGATTGATTTTTGTCGTTCTAATGTAATCAGGAAAAGTAGATAGAAATTCAAGAGAATCAATAATATTAGGTTTTATTGTGAATAAATTCTACATGGAAGTAAACATGTTAAGTATGTGTTGTGCTGAAATATCGACTTTTACCAATTGGATCAGGCAAAATAGGAAAATTAAAAAGAAGATGTGAATTTTAAATGGAATCAAAACGTTCTTGGTACTTCAAGTATATATCCAAGTCAACTAAAAAATTGTAAACTGCCATAATTTGATCAAAGCGGTAAAAGCATTTGTAATAAAATACTAAGAGTAAAAAAAACAACATACAATGCGAGTTAACCTCATATACGTATAATAGTATTGCCAAAAGAAATTTTATGATTATCACAATTCTTATTCAAATTAAGAATCTTTTCCAGCCTTCAAATGATTCTTGAAAGAATTTTACAATTCAGAGAAAAAATAATTCAAATTATTTTCAAAATTTCTTATAGCTTTTGTAATTATATTATATAATAATCCTTATTCACCGGTAAATTATAAGAGAAATAATAATATGTAATCTATTACAATTACTAGATAAGATAGAAAAAACCAGAGTTAACAGAATTTAAATTTACATCATAGATTAAATTGACTGTTAATATGTTTCGTCTTCCCGTACATTGAAGACATAAGAAGTGGGAAAGTGAATCTTGAAACGATTATTACTATTACTTCCAGAATAATTATGAAATGAAATAAAAATTTTTATAAATATTGGACTTTGATTTAAAGCTTTATCATTAGAATAACGCTCATTCGAAATGAATGCTTAAAGTAAGAACACGAAAGAGCAAGGAAGTTCAGCTAAATTTCAGACACAGTAAATGGCTTCATCCAATGTGTTCTTTGACCATCAAAGTGAGAACCCTCTTTTCTAGCATTCTACTGGCCTTCATTTGAATTGCAACAGAAGGGTAAAGTAGGTTATCAGGCTGATAAAAACCTGTAGAAAAAACGATACTAATATTAACTTAGGTTTTAGAGCACACCAGAGAGAAGGTACAACAAGGATGTGCGCTGGGTCTCATGATTGTCACCGCTTGTTTTCGGTGGATCCAAAGTACATCAATGCCACGTTTCCATTCAATTTTGACAACGCAAGAGTTAATTGTTTGATCAATATTTTTTACGCTAGTTACATCTCACAGAATGCTTCTTGTATTAGCACAAGCGGTGTATTACCTTAAACAAGTGAAAATTTTGGAAAGCACAAGTGCTTTCTTATAAATCGCAAATCTGCGAAATGACTTAAGCCAAGACCCTTTTTATAATTACATCTAATGGTATTGAAATCCGTAATTTATGATATACGTAGAAAAGAAATCAAAGAAAGATTTGAAGGAAATGCTACTCACAGATACGATGATAGATTTGTAGAGAGGAATAAGACTCCATATTGTCATCACAATGGGTTCACCCGAAAGATGAAACAGTAACAGAGACAGCTGCGAAGGAAACATATTGTGATAAACTGCTCATGGAAAACTTGCTTTGTCAATACAAAATAAAAGGGCGATGAATAGTACATATAATGATATCGAATACCCCTTATTCTTAACGAGAAATTGCATGATGCAATAAAGTAACATGAAGTGTTGAAACTTCCTTTTGTCATTATCAATTCGGTCAAAAAGTATGGTCATTAAATATAAACCATAATAACCCAGCCGTACACATATCGGCCTAGTGGTACCCAGGTTGTATATTATCAGAAACGTAGATCTCTTTGAGAATCAAACATGAAACAATTCAAAACGAGCTGACAAATGTTTTTTTGAGACAAGGAGGGCACAGAAGAGCAGAATCAAGTCTCGCTAGACGCCAACAGTGGCAGAACATCTATCCGAGGCTGTGACGACATAACTCTATTACATAAAATGCGGCTAATGAATTGCACTTTTTCTCCCTTCAGAATGTGATAGCCAGGTTCAGTTATCTTGTAGAACTCTCAGAAATTGCTTGGAAGCCTCTGAAAACTATTTAACAATGACATTCCAATTTAAGAATAGCAGTGACTCGATAGCTATCTACTTAATTTGGACTACCTACAAAAAGAGAAGCATCATTTTTGCTTCTGATGCCATTTTCTATTTATCATATCTGAATATCAAACAAGCATCCTCTCTTCTCCTCCATACCAAACCTCAAGTAAAGTCTGCGGTTTAGGCTACATCGCTACCTTGTCCGTAGAAAAGAGAGATTCTACCCAGCACCAGTAAATTCAGCACCAAACATCCCCCCACCCCCCAACTTCAATTAGATTTTTCCTGCAGCGTATCCATATCCTTTGTTCTTTTCTCTACTATCTAATCTTATTCCCAGTCTCTAAAACCTTAATTAAACAAATTTATTAGAACCAATACTCATTTGGGTGATGATTGTATGTGATTTATGAATACTTTTATTCAGACCTCAGCAGTTGCTTGTGGGTCTGCACCTTTAGGAGAAAGTCGCTGTAATTGCTCGACGACCTCTTTACCCTGTAAAGGAAGCAAACTTGATCAAGTGGTATCTTCTCTGCAACTGTATCATACCACGTTATAATCAATTTGATAACAAAGACTTCTGACGCTTGAGCGAAAAGATATTAAAGCTTAAAGGTAGTGTTCCTCTTAGCTCTGAAACTCGGCAGTCAATTCTTTTTTATTAGCTTTATCTTCCTTGATAAGAATGAGTGACTTCTAGATTGCAAGATTAAAGAAATGTTGTTTAGTAAATAAAGAGTCTGCGTCATTTAAGACGTTTGCTTTACTTGTTTCCATCACTTATGCCCACCCTCGTAACAATTTATTGTTTATTGGAACAATCAAAGACTGTCAAAGACTTACCTTTTCAACCACACGTGATGCATCGAATGAGACAACTAGAAGGTTTACCAATGCCCCCAATATCCAAAACCATACACAAAAATGCTCAAGGAAGCTTCTTGCTACATACAAGGAAATGTAAAGATTCAAGGAGAAGAGTGCTATGTCAAACACATACACGAACATAACCATCGGACCAAACATCGCATCAACTTCTCCAACCAGCCGTGTCGTCTTTAAATACATTTGGCGTATTTCACTTATATGGTCGCGAACTGTGAGATTCTCACTGAGAGAGGCCAGTTTATCTTCAAGAAAGTTGAGTTTTAAAACGAGGCTGTCACATACCGAGTCGTACAACAAATTTGGTGCCATCCATGCAACATTCATGTGCAGAGTCATGAAGATATACAAGAGCTTGTAAGCTACCTGATCTTGAAATGGATACAGCATAGTCAATACAAACATCTTTCCTGAATCACCAATGAACAACGCTGTAGCAATCGAAGTCGTGCTCATGATGACCACGCCAAAGATGATTATAATCAGAAATTTCGAACGTCGTTTATACCGCTCAACTTCTTTTTTGCAATTCCTCATTGTGTCTCTGCCAATGTTTTCATCTAGCTGTTTGACAATGGCAAAGAGCTTACTTCTCTTACCATTGTTGCTTGTCATGATTTTCATGACATTAAAGGAATGCAGAAAGCAGCGTGTCATCCAGACGGCAATGCAAACTCGCAAGTAAAACAGAAAACCAGACTCCCCAAAAACCATGCCATAGCACGTGCGAATGATACTCAAAATGGAATACAAAAGTATTACACCGCCGTAGCAGAGGGACAGAACTTGCCATGCCGAACACCGTCGATCTCTAGTTTTCAGAACACTTGGTACAGTTGGGCTGAAACCAAATATCTTCAAGGCGGTGAATATGCGCTGGAAAGTTTTCTCAAAAATTGTCTCACTGATTTGTTCTTCTACTGGCTCAATCTTTGCAGGAAGTACATGCATCATGCTAGTTACCATCAAGAGTCTCCTATCGAAAAATTTCGTTCACATATCAATGAGATTAGGTGTATAGATACAAAATTGCTAGATCTCCAATCATTTTTTATAAGTTTTAACTAATATCAGCCTAATATGATATTTAAAATATAGGTAGGTATCAACTGTCGATACATCTGTTACTTAATCAAACAACTTTCTAAAAGATCCACAAAAAAAGACGATGTTCTGGAATAAGAGCCTAAAATCAGAAGCCCTTTGCCATCTGTTGACTTCTTCTAATATCTAAGCTTCCGCATGTTAGTCTTAAGGTTTGATAAATATTTGCTTTGATTTCTTAAAGAAAATGCACCGCCGTACCAACAAAATTGATAAAGAGCAATGAAAAATAACTTATGACTTCTAGAATTTACTTCCCATTTTAGATTCGATTGTAAAAAACGCTCTATTTAAAGTGACAGTCGGGCTTTTACCTGTGTTTTTTTTAAACTCATTCGTCCAAATAGAATCCTTTGTTAAGAAACGTTTTCCAGCCCTATGCAATAAAAGTTTGCAAAAAAGTAATACAACTCATTGAGAGAGATGAGTTTGCTAGCGCTGATGTTAATAATCTGGTATCATACTTAACAGGCTGAAATAAATTTCATTTTAAGCTTGCTTTAATCCACTTGTCTCTAGATTCAGAGTGGTTGAGACGGGGCAGGGGACAATTGATATAATCAAATGAAAGAGAAAATTACATGAATCCCTTCCTTAAGCCGGAACTCATATCAGCAGTGTTGTGCAATACAAAGAATATATTCGCATACTGGTTTAGGCTATGTCTGCTTTCAATCCTGCAAATCACACACATAGCCTCGTTTGGAACCCAAATAGGAGTGGGTCATCTATATCGAGTTACAAAACTTATAAAAGAGCTCTCAGTGAGGCCAACAGGAGCTTTTACAGTCTTATAAAGCAACCAATAGGTAAGAAAATGGCTTCTTCCATTTAGAAGTCATCAAATGTAGCGAAGTAGCAACAACCAGTTGAACTCTTGGTGAGAACCATCTTTCCATTTATATATTTTTGCCGAACAGCTGAAAATCACTACAGGTTTTAAAAGATATGGACTGGGGATCGATAATCCCCCAAGCAAGTCAAAACTATATCACAAATTGTTTTTTACTCTTTTTGAGCCCTGATGAACACGTAGCATGGAATCACACCGATCCCTTTGGCAAATGCTAATCACACCAGGGCCCACCCACCGGGGGGGGAGGGTTAGGAGGGGCCATGACCCCCAGATTTCTGCGAAACAAGTAGTTTAAAAGCTGCAGTAAAAGGGGAAAAAGCCTTGGCTCCCTACATTTGCTAGCCTTGGCCTCTCCACTTTCAAATTCGTGGTGTAGGCCCTGCACACTGAGTGCCAATGAAACTGCTGTACTTTGATTTGATAGACTTCGTGGTCCTTGCTTTTGATAGTTGTGCTCACAGCCATTTCCTTAAAAGTCATAAAGATTCTAACTTTTACAATTTAATATCATATGAAAGTCAAAGAAAGACAAACAAACTTGGTCAAAGAAAGTGGCTGATTCCGAAAATCGACAGTTTAGTACTACATACGCAATTTGTACGTGTTTTTTTAAAAGCAACATTTTATTAGAACAGCAGTGAAGAAAATGCTGTCCTTCAAACTAATCAAATTTTTACATATCAAAAGAAACGTTGAAGACCAACCCTTTGGCTGCTATAGCACTGAACATGAAAATGAACTAATTGACCTTTGACTTGCACTATCACAGCTATTGTGAGCATGACTTAAAGGCAGAGATCTTTCTTGTTATGCTTAAACCGACAAGCTGCAACACTTCAAGAAAAAAACAAGCTAAAACATTCACTCGTGTGTTTGACTTACAAGAGACGTTCAACAGCTAAATAAAGATGTGGATTCATGAAAACTTACCGTTAACTCTTTGCAAACTACAGTGATTGCTAGACAACCTTATCCTTCTATATAGTTAACCTTAAAACTCTCTTCAGTAACTTCACTGTGTTTATGGCGTGATGTTGACCAATTTCCTTCTATAATACAAGCCAATTCATCTAATTACACAATCAGGAGACTTTGTTAGATTTTAGCCTCTAGAAGGCATGACAGCTGCTCGTTTTAATTATTAATCAACTATCTTCAAGAAGTTTAAGAACAAATTTTCTAGTCTCTCTCTAATCAAATATAACGCCAAAATCTGCCCCTTCATTATGGTCATTACATCCTATTTTAAAATGCTCGATACTTTTTTCGATTGAACTTTAATCAATCTATGAGTCTTGCCCAGTGCTTTTGGTAAGATCAAATCACTTTGCCTTGAAGCAGTTTCAAGTGTTGTTTCGGTGTTGTCAGTATTTTGCACTCAAAGTCTCCGCTTAAATTAAACCCTTCATTTGCCAAGGCTTTTTAAGTCCTACAAAAATAACTGTTTTAGATTCAATTGAAAAAGCGAGATTGGGCAGCCGTATGACAGAGCCAATCAAACACAGGATTGATAAAAGAAAACAAATTAAGTCAAAATGATTGTTAGAGCAAAGTAATTAGTATTTTGCTTGTATATTCTTCCGTCTTTAAAAACATCTATCCTTTGATTGAGGCCATGTTCAAATCACATTTGTAATCACTTGGCAATGTCAGTTTTTTCTAACTGAATGCAAAACAAACGCTCAAATTAAAAAGTCTAATAGGGTCATGCATTGTTTTTATTCACCATTTGTTTTCTTTTCTAATCTTAATAATTAGGAAATCGTTGATTTGCAATTGCACATGAGCAGCTGTTTTCTTTAATACTCAAGCAGTGTAGTATAAGGTAACCAGCATGCTCTCTGCATATGCAGAGACAAAAACCTATCTGTGGTAAAAGATTCATCAATTCAAGAAAGCAGTAGCGACTATACCGGCTCTAGCCGTCAAGTTATCTATGCAGAAATCAGAGACACAAAATCGTCCATAATGCCGATAGTACACTGCAATGGCCAACTGTGCACATTGAGTTGGATAATTCGAAGAGGAGTCGTGCCAATGCACAACATAATGAAAATATTTGGCCTGACGTATGGGTCAACATGTCCTCTTATAACAAAGATTGGAACCAGGCATAAAATCGAAAGAGCCTACACTGTTGGGGTTGCTTTACTCATTTTGGTGTCTGTGATACGATTGCTACCGTGTCTTTTTAACAGCAACACTCCCTACCCGAGCTTTCTCAAGTATGAGTACTTCCTGTGGACCGTGAAATCAGCAATTCAGGCTTTTTACTGTATTTTTATTGGTCACAGGTATGGAAGAAAGATATCCCGCCTACAAGAGCTCGTTCATGAGTATGATAAACAGATTGAACGGTACATGGATACTGCTGATCAAAAGTTGAACCGACGGTACCTGAAGATTTCACGGCTAATCCTATTTTTCCTACTGGCTACAGCAATCATAAAGATTACCATGTTTATAGTTGTGTCATTTCTGCCCTTTTTTGAAGACCACTATAGTGTGACTGCAACCTACGAACCATTTACCAATCCTTGCATCCCCATCAAGTTACTCTACATCATAGGGTATACCTATCTCATTGTGGCTTGGCTCCTCCCAGTCAACCTCTATTGTGCCCTTTGCCTCAGCCTCTGCTTGATTTTCGACCAGTTTCTCACGTCAGTCAAGGCAATTCATTGCAACAAGATCCGCAGCCGCATCAAATACATTCGTGAGGAGTATCAGAAGCTAGAGGGACTGGTTTCTCGAACCGATGACTGCATTGGATTCATGGCTCTGTGCGTTTATCTTCTCGATGTTGTTCTCTGCTGTTTCCATTTGTATAACGTGTTCTATATCTCTAAGGGACACTCCATAAACAAGTTGGGCCCTGCATATCGTGCCTTTATCTCTGTTGGCAATCTATTTTTCATCTCATTTTGTGCATCAAAAGTTGTTGACAAGGTAAGACAAGCATATTCCATTTTGAGCAGCTCTAGACAGATAAAAAAATTTCCCTAAAACTGAACGAACATCTATTTCACTGAGGCTCTTGTACCCAGGGTATATTTTGTCAAATTCTATCTAAATTCCACTTTTGCTCTTTATTTTCTCTGTATTAAACAATAAATATTTAGAAAAACCACTGTAACCTGCACTGGCAGTTAACGGCACCAAAATTCGGTTCCTTGCCGTCTTTGTGACAAAAAAAACTTCACAAAGCAGGGCAAATTATATGTTTTTATTTTTGATACAACACACCAAGAAAACTGGTGTGCTGTCTCACTGCTTGCTAAAAAGCAATCAACAGATACAAGTGGCTTAAACCATATGTCAATAAAAATTAGCCAATCATTAGGCCAGTGGGTGGAATCAGCCAATCAATAAGCGTGTGAGTGGTATCACGCTCACTGACTGGTCAATTGTTGATTGACAGGTTGATTATGCCATTTTTGTATCTATTGATTGTCTTAAATGCCAATGTATGTCTGAATTTTGTCATTTTTGTATCATTTCCAAGCAAAGAGGTGTTTTCTCCGTATTGTTTTTACAGATTTCATATGCTATCTAACATTGTTTTTTATAGGGACAGCGCATCAGTGAATACGTTGCCACAATGAGTGCTGACGAAGTTGATCTGGAATCTCACGCACAGGTTGCCTACGATTCTTCTCAAACGTCAATCAGTGCCTACTTTGGTGAAATTTTGTGTCTTTTACAAAGGCAAAAGCAGACAACAAGAAAGAGCACGCCATTTTCATGATCAATAAAAATTTTGAGCAACCAAATTCATATATATATATAGATATATCTCTAGAATATCGCAAAGAATTCCTGTCTCTTGTAAAAAGTAACTATTTACAATCTGCAACCATCTATCAATTTACCTTTTCTGTGGCAACCTGTGAGAATATTTATTGAAAAGAGGCTCCACAAAGCTGGTGCAGGGGGGGGGGGGGTAGCTTTAAGCTTGAAGCCCCTTCCGCAAACTATGCAGCAAGTTCCGCCAAACCGCGAGTCGACTTCAATGATAAGTAATTAAGAAGACATGGTTTCTGATAGAATTTACGACATAACTTTTATCCAAATCAATACTTTTTATACTTGAAAATGTAGCATTGAATCTCTGGAATTATGCACCAAAAACTGCTTCTCCTTTTTTCCAGCTGGTGATGTTACTACACGAAATCTCAATCCATCCGATTTCTTTGACGATTTGGAAACTTGTTCCTTTGTACAAGTCAATTGTTATTTCGGTATGTGAAATCAGAAGAGTACTTAGAAGTAAAGCTACTTACGAATCTTAGGCCAGAGGAAAGAAGCAAAAAGGAACTGTTTTCGCAAATTTCAACTTAATTGAACATTACTTATAACTCAACCCAACCACCTCATAAAGATTGCGCCATGTTTTGCAATATTTAACTGGCAGTTTGTCTTAACTCAAATAATTTGGAAGCAATAGCGCCACTTTCTGTTTGCACAAAAACCCTATTATCACAGGAGCGTTAAGGATTGTACCTTTCATTTGAATCACTATTGCAAAATGGCACTCATTCTCAAGCTAAGCCCTTTCTCTGCTTGTAAACGTTTTTCTTCATTTCTCCAGGTTTTCGTCAGTCTTATCACTTACTTCACATTACTCATACAGTTCAAAGCTGGAGGCTGAAAGACAGAAGAACCAAAAAGACAGCACAGATTGAATGTTACTGGCGTAATAATTTGATAGCATTAAAAAAGCTTGATAGGTAGCACTTAATGTAAGTCAGGGGTTTTTCATTCGTTACCCAGTAACTTATGCAGCTTTTGATAGTTACGCCGTTATATTGAAACAAGGATTTGGGAAGATCAGCAAAAAAATTTTTCATTTTTGATCATCAATAAATAAACAGACCAAGAATGAAAACAATCAATGATTTAATGTTTCAAGATGGCCCCTTTTGAGGCAATGACTCTAATCAGAAGGAGCATCGCTAAATGAACTATCGGATCGAAATAGCAGGTTTACTTCAATAAGAAGTAATTCAATAAGAAGCAATGCTCACTTCGAAAAGCTACAAAATATTTGAATTACAAGTTGCAAATACATGACATTAATAGAATTGAAAGAATTCTTGTCCTTTGTTTCTAAAGGTCGAATCGGGTCTTGATTAAATCTTGTCACCCTGATTAAATTACACAGAACCTAAGGTAGGCCAATATAACTAAAGAAAAAATCGCACCTATGCTCATGTTATATCAAAGAAATAATTCTACGCACCTATCAAAGAAATAATTGTACCTATAATAATGATAAATATGTCAAAAGTATTGATGTAAAGATGCCAAAAGGCTCTGTACGCACTAATATTGCCATGTATCACGTGACTCCATATTTATTGCAATCTATTGAAACACAAGTAAATGGAAATTCATATTTTCTTTTGTATTGCTGTCTCTGGGAAGCAAATATTTCTACTTTTGCTAGAAAGCAAGCAACAAAAATTGCATAAAATGCCTTTGAACTTTGCAAGAAGTTGTCAAAGAAAACTATAGGCAAACTTACAGTTGAAGTTCTTATTCGGTTTAATGAAGGTAACAGCGAAAAACAAGCGAGTACTATTGTTTATGTATTTCAAAACTCCAAAGCTAGATTGTCGATGCTAGATTTTTCTTGCAAATTTCTTATAAAACCCCAGCTTTGATTTAAGATTACAAGATGCAGAAGAAGAAATGGTAACAATGACTCAAAAAGATTGAAGTTGAAGAATTATATTTTTTGGTCAAGATTCTTGTATCTAAGTGCTTCAATTGATTCAACATGTAAGATGAACCACCCATATAAAAGCAATCAATATGAATATCTTTATTCTCAATACTTCCAAAATTTAGAATTTTTCCATGGGAGAATGCATGTGCAAATAAGCAGTGTATTTACGCATAAGAAGACAAGCAGTTTGGAGAAACATAAGGTTGTTTCTTTTAAAAGTGCATCTGGCTCTCGTTTTGCGTTCGTGTTTCCATGACATGTATCCGATCATAACAAAATTAGCTTTGTTTTACACAACCTTTCTGTACTATTTTCCACTCACATAGCACCAGCAAGGTGCCAGCAGAATGTGGATGAAATCCTTAAAGCAATGCACTTTAGCGATTGATAATTGAGACTACATGATCTATTTTTTTTACACGAGAAAAGTCATCGCTATACTCGTTGGAATGGGATTCTTTTCAATGACGTTTGAGTGACGACTGGTCTTTCACGCTCAATCGAGGCTATCTTTTTTGGAAATGCAGAACAAAATAGCCATAGATTTACAAAAGCTTAAGTTATTATCCAAAGAGCTGAGCCATTATAAAAGTCTTTAGAAAAATGCTAAGAGACATTTGTTTCCTAAACAAGATATTGCTTAGTAAAATTTATCATACAGCGTCAAATCTTATCAAGACAACAAGGATGAAAAATGTTTTGAGCCAATCAGACTGTTTGTTTACAATTTGAACCAGCCAATGGTATAGCGTCAAAGACAATAGAAATCTGGAGAGAAAATAGCATCGAATCAGCCGCAACAGTAACGCTCGCACCTCCTATACAAAGCTGTGGGGAAAAACCGGCGCCACAAAAAGTTAACGCTGAACGCGAAAATTGTCATTATTGAAGTGCTTCATACAATTATGCATAGCAAAGGAGTATATCTAAAACTTTGCCGTCCCCATTTTTGAAATTCGGTCGTTAACCAGAGATAAGCGATGAAACGTTTAGCCCATTATTGCCCTGATTGAATCTGCTTACGTTGGTTATGGTTGGTTGTACTCCAAGAAAACGGCATCATGTCATTTTATTGAAAAACAGGTCATTTTTTACTTACAAAGTATTTACGTCGTATATTTTAAAGTAAAACGGAGAGATAATTATCAAACTCGGGTTTTTTCCCTTCATTCTGCCTTTTTCTGGATACGAATTGTTATAAAGGCTTCAAAACGTTAGACAGTAAACGATAAAATGTTTTCTCTAAGCACGCAACGGCCCACGCTATCTGTCTCCACTGAAATAAATCCCCTGGTTTTTTTAGTGACTTAAGTACGGATTCATTTAAGAAAAAACTCAGAAGTACTTACGAAGTGCTTGAGGGTTCAAGAATTGTATTCTTTTTTACTGTAAAATGTAGAGCGTCTTTGTTGAGTGAAAGGTTCAAGGTTTCCCAACTTTGCATGTCAATATATTCAAATATTTTTGCAAAGTTTCATTAAAAAGAGTTGGAGAATGTACCACTTTACAAAATATAAGCTCAATAATGACCCTGATCGTTGTATTGCAATAAGATAATGAGAACTCAAAAAATGTAGCTTGTTATATCTCAATAGCTTTTTCAGTTGAAGGTTTGATTCAAACTTTTGCAGGCCATGCAGAGGTTTCAAATTTTACTTTACAAATTTTTAAACAAGCAATTTTTGAAATAACAAGTAAAATGTGCACAATTTTTCAAGGTTTATTTTTTGCTTAAATTTTATCAACGATCTGTAAAAAGATGGTAAAATGACCTGTTTTTCAATAAAATGACATGATGCCGTTTTCTTGGAGTACAACCAACCATAACCAACGTAAGCAGATTCAATCAGGGCAATAATGGGCTAAACGTTTCATCGCTTATCTCTGGTTAACGACCGAATTTCAAAAATGGGGACGGCAAAGTTTTAGATATACTCCTTTGCTATGCATAATTGTATGAAGCACTTCAATAATGACAATTTTCGCGTTCAGCGTTAACTTTTTGTGGCGCCGGTTTTTCCCCACAGCTTTGTATAGGAGGTGCGAGCGTTACTGTTGCGGCTGATTCGATGCTATTTTCTCTCCAGATTTCTATTGTCTTTGACGCTATACCATTGGCTGGTTCAAATTGTAAACAAACAGTCTGATTGGCTCAAAACATTTTTCATCCTTGTTTATCAAGACAAGTTCTTTGTCTAAAACGTTTGTACTTGGAAAATTGAAAACGTGTAAATGTTGGTAAAGGTTGTAATAATACGGCTTATTTTTTAAAAGATCTTGTTTACAAGTTAAAATTCTGCCTAAGATGTATTAAAAATAACTGGCATCAGAAAATTAAAACCATTAAAATGATTGAATACACAAATAAGGCAATCCTTTGCAGGTTTTTATCCAATGGTTTAGTTATGTAGAAAGCTGTCGTGATAAAAGCTGCAAAACAGATTTCAATTTTTAAAACTCATCCTGTTTGGGTTTTTCTATATAAAGGAATATTTAGACTTCACAAGTATAACGGCATGGTCGAATCGGGGTTTAGCCTTTTAACACAGAATCTAAAGCAAATGTCAAAAAATAGATAGTTGGAGGTTTTGCTTTGAAGTATACAGGAGATTTAACTAACAATGAAAAACTTTCATCTCACATCATCGAATCAAAGTGAAGAAACTTAAAAAGGAAGAACTTTAGAATTAACGAAGGTCGCTTCATTCCCCACAACTATTAAACTATAGTTGTCAAAGCATTTGGTTTGAAGAATTTTCTTTCCTTTCAAAGATTCCGCCTGTCTTAAACATCTCCAACCAGTCAAATTAGTGAATAATCTTTTCGAGTCGATAAACACAGCAAAAATTTGTGGATTATTGCCACATAGATTGCATTTATTTCACAATAAAGTAACGAAACTTGTCACTTAGGCCGTTATTTTTTTATAGCTCTGTAGCTTGTTTTATTTCAAATATATCTATAACTTCAAGATGCTTGATCTCAATAGTTTATTATTACGTGTAGGATTTAACTAACCTTTTTACGGTTGCGATTCAACTTGACTGCTTTGCTGTTGTTATGCAGCCTTTCTAAGCTTGTTAGTTACTACCGGAAAAAAGCAAAAAATTGAAAATTCATTATGTCATTATAAAGTGAAAAAATGTTGCATCATTGGAATAAATCTACCTCAAGCACTCCATCGAGGTATTAGCAAATGTGAGACTTGATTTTCAAAAGATTGATTTTCCATTGTAACCAGCTGGGCTAAGTTACGAACTAGAGAAAAAAAAATTATAGACAAAGAAAGTAAAGTGCATGTTTTTTTCTGTAGCAAATATTCAGGTTAAATGTATTGAGGTGTGTCAAGCCAGCTTTTAATTGTCAGCTTTGTTTTGTATTTGAGGAAGAAAGAAATTGTGCATTTATTTTTGATACCCGTTTTGACATTATTATTACATCATTTCTAATTTTATATGATCCTTGGCACTTTAATTTAGATCCAAGCTTAGAACAAGAAAAATTTATTTTAGGTTACAAATATTTTCAAATGCAAATTTCTGTTACGTTAGTCAGTATAATTCATATCCTAAAATCATGTTAAATTCTTTTGGTTTCTAATTTAAAACTTTTTAGCTATTTCAGAACTTTAGAATCGGAACTGGTGGTTCTAATTAGCTAATTTTGGCTCTTATTAACCGTTTTGTTTGTATGTTTCTCTCTTTTAAATTTTTTATGAAATTTTGTGAACCTACAAATGGAAAAATCCAATAAAATATATTAAGTGATAAAATATTGTGTACGGTAATTAATCCAAATAACGACAATGAAATGAAAATAATTTAAGTACCAAAATAAAGTTGACTTTTGAAAATACGAAGCTTAAGCACATGCTCGAAACGTCGTGTTATAAAAAGTTTGTTTTATTTTGGTAACCAATGTTTTTTAGTGTGTTGTTCGTCAATGAATAATGGCCAAAGATTAATATGAATAAATGAATAAATAACGACTTTGTACATTTGAAAGCTAAATATAACTCTTCATCCTCAAAAATAAGAATAGATAAAGAGTTATGCTCGAAATGTCGAGATTATCTTTAACTTTTTAATGTACAAAGTTATCATTGATAATATTTTGCATTGATTACGAAATGAAAAAGACTGTTAAAACAAGAATTTTCAAGCATGCACTCAAACGTCGTTTTTTTAAAAGTTAATTTCATTTTGGTACTTCAATTGTTTATCCGGTGTTGATAGATAGAACGAGCAAATAAATAATAAAAGTTAGACTCGAATGAAACATTTTTGCACTGTCACGTCAAATTGCGAATTTAGGATTGCTTGTAATTTTGATTGAGACGTCTCTAGATATTTCTATTTTGATTGTGACGTCAAATTTGCAAAAAGCTATAAAAGAGGGCAAAAGCATCGAAGTAAACAGTTTTTACATGCTCGCTTGTAGTTTAAACTACTAGTTGCTTGTGATTTCAGTTCGAGGTTTATTGAGACTGTATTAGAAAAGAGTTGCTGAGGTGAATTTAATATTCGTCAAAAGATGGGAAAAGTTCTTTCAAAACAAGACAAACCTTCACAACAAAGTGAAGAATCAATGAGAAAGGTAATATATATTATATCATGTTATGCCTAACTCAGTTTAAAGAAGACATTAGAGTACGTCAGAGGATGAAAAATGATTTATCAAACAGTAAACATTGTTTTCTAATTTCTTTGTTGGCAAATTAATATTTTATAGACCGAAATAGTATCCTTTTTTAGGTTCAACAAATCACAATTGAATTTTAAGTTTACTTATTTTCAGGAACCAGTTTCCCGCATTTGGAAAATTAGACAGTTCTTCAAAGAGATGAGAAAAAGGACTTCAAAATCCGCCGATTCTGGTAACAGTAAAGAATCTTTTTACAAGGAAAGAATTCGAAAAGACACAGGTTTGTAATCAATATGAAAAAATTTTCTTCTTTTTCTCAATCACACTATTGTATTAACAAAATTACAAGTCCAATTTTAAAGCTTATTATATAATTACTAATATTTTAAGTGTTAAACGATTTCAACGAAAGCACAAATGAAGCTAACATTAATCAAAAAAGTGAGCAGGCGTGCTAAAATTGGAGCTTTCTAAATGAAACAATTCATACGCACGAATATTGAATGATGAAGATTTGTTTTATTGCTTTCAAGATCGTATCAAGAAAATGTATCAAGGGGATTCAAATCCCAAACGTTACAAACGAAGTATTGCAGAGGAACTTTTTGCCAAAGATCTGAAAGGAAAAGGGCTTGATGGTTAGTCAAACAATTTTCTTATCATGTCAGTCGGTATCGGAGAATGAATAATTTATGAAATGCAAACGTAATTGTTTTTACTTCTTCTTTGAAGTTTCATATCATTTAATTTTCAATTTCATTATCAATCAATGCTTACTTCATTTTAATAATTCTTAGCAACTAACACACTACAACACCAAAATTAAGAAAATAATAATTTAGGGAAAAAGAAAAAATATAATAACATAGAGAAAAAGGTATTCTTTACGTGATTGTATTAAAAACAGACGTATAGGCCGAAATGGCCCTTAATCTACTACAGCAAAACAAAACATCGTAGATCTAAATGGTTAATTAAAATTGCTACATCTAAAATTATACTCATGGTCGACTGTTTTAAGAATATCTCTCTAAGTAAAGGAACTAATTGAAAATTTGTTATTTTTGAAAAAACAACATGCATAGGAAAGTGATTTGAAAGTTGTTAAGTTAAAATAGGTATAGAATTTTCTTTCATAGTGTTGAGATTGCATAGCATGTTTTCAAGATTACAGTTTTCAAACAGGATGCAAAATTCATTCTCATAATTTTTTTCTCGACAGATTCAACAATTTATATCATTTACAAGCTTGGATTGTCAAAGTCATTTTTTTCTGAAACTGATCAAGCTCCAGGTATTTGAATTAGCTTTCGTGAGATTTAATGTGAATGATTTACGGCAAATGAAGTCTTAATGTTCGGCCAAATACAAAAAGGAGACATCAAAGGAACAAAATATTCCCAATCATTATATCAGATCTATCTTGTTTGGTAAATTAAGTATAAAAATCATTTTGCTCTGTTCTGTATCTTCAACTTCTTTCTATAAAACGTCTTTTGCCACTTGCAATTAGAATATAGTTGTAGAACTCTTAAAACACCTTTTATCGACTTAATTGTTTTCGACTTTACACCATTGAAAAATTGAAACATCTAAAATGAAAAAACCTTTGATAAAGGTATAAAGTCACATATTTGATACACTTAGGCCGCTCCTTCGTGGATGATCAAGTCAAACAAAGCTCTGCTGTTCTCAGAATGAAGAAGCAAAGGACAAAGAAAGAAAGTAAGATTCTTTTTCTTAAACCAATCTTTGGAATTTTTTATAAAAAATTAAACGTTTCCAGCTTCAGATAAAACATTAGAAAATAAAAAATATATTTTATATAATCGTCAGATATAATATAATCAGATAGAATCTTTTCTCATATCAAAACACGGACAACCGTGTTAAAAGAAAATTTCTTGCAATATCGTCATTGACTGTACTTAGAACGAAGCTGCAAAAATTCAATTTTAGAACAAGGACAACATTAGGAGCATTAGAGCCTTAAATCAAAAAAAGAATAATGTGGCTTCCACATATCTTTCAGTTTAAGACCACCAATTGACCACTATCCTTGAATTATATTCCTTTATATAATATAACTTTTAGGCAATGGTATGCAAATTTTGCATGTTCATAAGACAAACTTTAAAAATTGAATTTATTGTGAACTAAGAGGACAAAAAATGTAGCTCTAGCACGATTTGATTTGAAAGATAGAATAATATTGCTTATAACTAATATTAAATTAGAACTGAATGTTTTCTGTTTTTAAGAGAGTTAGTGTTTCCTTTGAAGTGTTGTCTCTACTTTGCAAGAAGAGTTTACTTTCTACATAAGTAGCATCTGAATTGTGTTCACTTCTTTGGATAAAATCCCTAGCTTTGTAATAGTTTATTGACATTACTGAATGAATCGAAGGATTTTATATAATAATAATAACAACTAAATTCTTGTGCATTTTTCCTTCAATAATCTCTAAGAAATATATTTTCAGTGATGGAGCTTGCTAAGCAAAATGCCGAAGCATCTAAAAAAGATTATCCAACACTGAAGACAGCGAGTGGAGACGACGAGGCAAAAGCCAAAAGCCTAGTGCCAGGTATCTATTCAATACAATTTTTCATGCCGTTGTCATCTACCAGAAAGCAGGAACTTTTTCTAGAAGCTCACAAAGAAAGATGATTGAAGCTCATCTCAAAAATTTAAAAATTCTTCCTGCAAAAAGTTTTAGGTGGTTAATAGAAGAAGAAAAGAGATTAAGATTATCTCTCACCATCTGATTCTAAACATCATCGTGCGTAGAATGTGCCTGATCAATAGAAATACTTGAATGTAAAGTAAAAAGTTTTTTTACATTTCTTGAGATTGTGAGACCAGTTGAGAAAATTACTTATTCCATTCACATTCAAGACTAGCACAAAGAGCAAGTATTATGGAGTAGCAATTAAATCTTTTTTGACTCTAGAAGTAATAATATGACATGGTAGTAATTTACTTTCAAAACAATCAGTCTTTAGGCACCAAATGCTAGCAGACCTGCAATGGATTCTGCAAAAAATTAGAAGACTATACCAGGAAACAGCATGCAATGGTAGGTTAAATGTTTTCTCTACTAAAGTCTTTTTCCGTCAATTTACATTGCGCTTGTGTAGTTCATACAAATTTTCAACGTGACATACATTCGGACAACATTAGATTATTTCAATAAATTTTCTCACCAATCTTTGCTTGTAGTCTTAAAGTTTTTCATTCCTATTGTAACCTCGTATAAATTTGAATTCAAAAGCTAATTCGAATTTCGGTTTAAAAAATAGGGTCTAATGCAAGATGGGAGTAGCCAAGTGGGGTTTTATTAAATAGTTGATCTTATTGGTAAATATATTGAGAAAACAACGAGATTGGTGACAAAAATAGACAAAATGTGAATTCGATAAAAAAGTTTTTATATTAGCTTGTATGAAACTATAATATATTCATGTATGTGCTAGAATGTAGAAAACAATGTGAAGAGGTTCTTGTCAATGGGCTGTCTTTTATAAACCTGAAATTATAATAAGGGGGCTTATTACAAAGCAAATATTATTCGAAGAATGCTTATTCGAGAGATTGGGCTTATTTTGTAATCGATGCTGAAGAGGAAGGGTTGTTCGAGAGGGAGCTTTTTTAAGAGGGGAGGTTTTGTTGAATCATTACAAACTATGAAATTCTGTGTACATGCAATATTCGTTTACTTGTTAATAGCTCATGCATTTACTTAGCTATTTTGTAATGTAGCAATGTTCTTTTTCTTAGCAGAAATGACTGAAAACTGTGACATGTACAGCGAGAACCAAGAATATGATCCCGAGAAGGAGAAAGTCATAGGTATGTAGGAATTTTCATCAAATTTCATCGAATTGAAATGTCCCTGTACACCGAGCGATGCAGGCTACTACTTCCATGACAGTTCCCTAAAAATTTCTATCTAAAATACATGACACTCCATTCTCAGAACATAAAACTTCGCAATCTCAAGTATGATAAAGTGTCGCTATTAATTATCATTCTCTATATAAACTTTTCTTCATTTTCTAGATGGCCTTTACGCTCACATGTGCTACTTTTCTCCGAAAGTCCTCTGCGGTGTTCGGGCCTCGATTGCAGACCAGGAAAAGCGGTTTAAACTGCCAATGATTGAAATCGTCACCAAAGAAACCCCAGAATGCATCATGGCCAGTGTGATTGTGAATCAAACTGTTGTGGAGGAGCAAAAGAGGCATTGCTTTGAAAAGATGTACAGCAGTAGATTGGACGACACATTAAACATGCAAATGGCCATGCTGAACTTGGTCTTTCAGGCTCAGTGGAAGGAGTTCCCTATGCAAGTCCAGAAAGGCGTTTACAATAGATTTGCAACTGCGCAAATCATACTGAAGAAAATTGTGCCATACCAGTGCTCATTGGCTGAAGCTGAGCGAATGGGCATTTGCTGAATAAAGACATCACCCTGACATCTCCAGGACATGATTAAAGATATATTGACTATAATAGAGTTCTTTGGACAATTTAAATCTGACAAGGAATAAGCCTTGGTTGAATTTGTAATTGTATTTTAGCGTTTTAATTGTACATATCAATACATGGATTCAATAATATGTTACTACTTTGATAAAATGTTGTTTATCTCTTGAGTTCCTGCTTTGCTGTGTAAGAAATTTTTAAGGTATTTCAAGATAGTATGAGATAGAGATTTAATTACTCAATGAGAGCATTTTAGAGCAGGTGCTCATCTAAAGCTTTGCGCATCTAAGGCCTGGTTCAAACGTCGCGCTTCTCATGTGCCGAGCCTAACTCTGTTTGGAGCGACACTTGAGCATGTTTAGCGCGACTCCCGTTTCAAACGTCGAACTTAATCATGTCGCGCCAAATGGGTTTTAGAATTGTTACATGAAGTATTTTGGTTAAGGCACGCAATCTCAAATATTTGTTTGAAACGCATGCGCCCTCCGAGAAAGAAATGAATTCTGGGAAGGAAAATAAACTAAATATAATCATGCATTGAGTTCGGTACATGACAAGTTCGACGCTTGTCACCGTGCCGTGCTGGAGCCGTGCAGCTCGGCAAGCTCTGCCGATCCAAACTAGTCTGCCGCTCCTAACTAAATCTGCCGCACCAAATTGATTCAAACGTCGCGCCCCTCATGTACTTAATTCCCGAGTTCGGTTCGGCACATGATAAGCGCGACGTTTGAACCAGGCCTAAGTTTCCAGAAAGACAATATCTTATCACCGTAAGGCATTCGTAGCATGAGCCCTGGGAGTGAGCAGTGATGTTATTCTCCATCTTAACCCCCTTCTTCCTTCGTCTCACATTCCCGCTGTTCCTCTCTAATTCCTTTCTCGACGTTTCTGCTCTCTTTTACTTCAGTTTCCTTTTCTTTCTTATTATATTTATTTCTCTTATCAATACCCCTGTGACTTTATTTCATTACTTTCTCGTAAAATTACCTTACTCTGAATGATTTACTATGATTTACCTTTTAAAGGAAAAAGATGCAAAAAACTGATACTGTACAATTTGTTCAATTGACACTTGACAAAGCCTTTTATAACCACTTAAGAAAGAAAATGACAAATAAATATAAGTAGTCAATAAAAAAGACAATAATAACAATGAACTGGTTAGTCATCGCCCTAAGTTACATTTGTTTGTATACAAAGTGCTGTATATACAATATATCACACCAGTCATAACATATTTGCAAGTAAATACTTCTAAGTAATAATATTAATGAATAAGTAATTATTCATTAATATCATTGGTGTTCATTTTAAACCCGCTCAAGGTCTAGATCTGAAGCCCAGCGCAAAGTACATTATCATACGATGCGAAAGCGCTCTCCTAATTCAAATACCCTCTGACCTACACTCGAAAATACCCTAGCCTACATTGTAAATGCGATTTCCGCTATCAAATTCTCTTTTCGGGTGGTTCGCTGTAGTTTGTTTATTTCACATGAAATATGTCACTGTACCTCCATGCAAAAGGCAATCGTAGGGCCCTTTGGTTGTCCTTGTAATGAAGTGTCAATACACAGGAGCTTTCTGCTACAAGTGCATTAGTTCATCAAGGACCGACAAAGGCAACGGTGACTCATTAGCATCTGTAATTATTCTCTTGCATGCCTCACCCAGCCCTTTGCAACTACCCAACATTGTGATATCCACTGGATGCTCAGAATCAGGATGCGCAGAATCGACCTTAAAAAAGCGTTTGATACGGTGGATCACGGGATTCTTTTATCGAAACTAACCAAATACGGAATGGAAGGGACATCTCTTCGGTGGTTCACATCGTATTTAACCGGCAGAAGACAATACTCTCAAATAAATGGCCATAAATCAAGCTTAAAAACCATTCACTGCGGTATCCCCCAGGGATCGTGCTTGGGGCCACTTCTCTTCATCCTGTATGTCAATGATTTCGAGCAGTGCCTCAAACAATGCACCTCAAACATGTATGCGGACGATACCAGTGTCACCTGTTCTGCCGAAGATATCTACGATCTCTGTAATGATCTAAAAGCTGAGATCGACAATATTGCAGAATGGTTTCGTCAGAATAAGCTTAGTTTGAATACTGAAAAAACAGAATATATGGTTATTGGTCATAAACGACAAACCAACCGTATCCTTGGCCCACTAGAAGTAAATGTAAATGGAGAGCCAATCAAACGAGCTTTAAAGGAGAAATACCTTGGAATCACAGTCGATAAAAACCTGACATGGAATGAGCAATATAAAAACCTTTGATGTTAAATAAAAATGCACTCTCGTCTCTATGGAAACTAAAGAACATACTCCCGCAATCGCAACTGGATCAGGTCTACAAGGCGCTGCTCGGGAGCCATTTGAGATACTGTAATGAACTATGGGGCAAATTGTCAAACACAAAGCTCGATCATCTTCAGCGTTTACAAAACAGAGCGCGCACGCTAATAGAAGGCTCAAGATTAAAGGACGGGTGGAGCTGCGATTGGCTTTCGGTCTCAAATTTGATAAAATTTGAAAGGGCAGTAATGATCTACAAAATAATAAATGGTCTCTGCCCTGACAATTTGAATGGTACACTTGTCACAAGATCCTAAATATCTAACTATTTAACAAGAAATTGCCTTCACCTAGACATCCCAAGGCATAACATAGAATTCTCCAAAAGCAGTTTTTCTATTGTGTTGCACAGACGTGGAACGAGATTCCATTACAGATAAGAATGAGCTCCACGATTACCACGTTCAAAAAGAAATTAAAGGAATTCCTATAAAATTAGCACCTTTTCCCGAAGCACGATCCCTAGAAAGACCAGCATTATATATGTAAATTGATATTTACTTTTTCTTTTTTAACTTAGTTTCTGTGTATAAATATGATAATTGATTGGCCGAGACGGCCTCGAAGCTGTCTTAATAGGGAAAAACATCAAATCATCAAGAATACCATTACAGCCCTCGGAGTTTGTCGATTCTAGTGATAACTGTACATTTTCTTCTTTGTTTTCTGTAGACTTTTTACAGCTTCCGTCGTCCAAAGAGACCTAGCTTTTGAACCTGCTGAGGCCCACTTCAGCTTGCAGCTTAAGCTAGACGCACACGAGAGCATTTTGCCTCAGCAAAGTGTCATTCCTGGTACTTTGCTTAAGCATTTTGCTCCCGTATGCGGCGAACGAGAGCATTTTGCTCCCGTGTGCGGCGAACGAAAGCATTTTGCTTATGACTTAGCAAAACTACGCTACGCATGTGCATTATAAATCAATACACAATATCAATATAATAGCTAAAACGTAAATCTAATCTATTTGTTTGAGGGAAAGATGGCAAAAATCAAAAAGGGAGAAAGAAAGGTGATGGGATGCTTTTGAAACTTTGTTAGAGTTTTTGTCTTTCTTTATGTGTCAATGTATCTGTAGTGGAAGAGGGTACTAGTGTATTGAGATCATAAATGTTTTTAAGGCTTTAGCAAAAGTTATTTTTGATCCTGATTGTCTGATGTCTTGTGGAATGGAGTTTCAAACATCTACACCAACATTTTTTATGAAATTTTCACCAAATTTTGTTTTAGAACTTGGTTTAGAAAATTTTCCTGAGCTAGCAAATGAGTATCTTGGTTTGTAATTATGAGTATCTTTGGCTTTTTTAAAGAGTTTACTGATAGAAGTTTCGGCTATACTTTTGTTAATATCATACACAAACTTAACACAATCGAGTTTATAACAGTCTTCAAAATTTAGAGTGTTTAGGCATTTAAAAACTGGTTTACTATGTTCGGCTTTATTTTCAAATGTTTTCAGACGTACAGCTTTTTTTAACTTTTTATGTAGTGGACCTAGGGCAGTTTTAGAGGCACTACCCCAGTTTAAGAGCCCATAAAGTATGTTTGGTAGTACAAAAGCATTATTTATGTTAAGCAAGATATTTTGTGGTGCAAAATGTTTTACTTTACTTAGGATGCCAATGCCTTGTGATATTTTTGTATTTAAATTTTGAATGTGGGCCTTCCAACTTCAATTTTTATCAATAAGAACACCAAGATATTCAGCTTCTTCTACTTGTTTTATTGGTTCATTATTTAGTTTTAGTTAAATTTTTTGTGTAATTTTCTTAGAGAAGGGTGGATGAACAAAAATTAGACTTATTGAGGTTTAATGTCAGCTAATTAGCAATCAGCCAATCTGAAACATTTTTGAGTTCTTTATTCTTTATGTTTTCTAAGTTATCGGATATCGTTTATATAAAGTAGGAATAACAGAGGTCCGAGAACGCTGCCTTGAGGAACACCATATTTTATTTCACGGTCTTCAGATAGTTCTCCATTAATGCTTACACTTTGTGTTCTATCACTTAGGTATAAGTCACCTCCACCGACACTAGTTTGCTGATTTCGATCAAATTTCAGCGCCCACAAGATTGTTAGGACAAATATGTTGTCTCGTGGCTGTCCTTTACGATTCTTATATACGAGTAAAAAAGAAATTCATTTATATTAAATTGCAGGAGGAATCAAGATTTTGCGAAAGAATGGGTGCACAAATTTCGTAAATGTACAATGCCTGCCAAAATTCTTGGAACACTGACATCAATTTCCAAGGTCAAAACCAATGATCCCCCTCACCCCCACGGAACAATGTCGGTTTACTGTCAAACGGGTTAGGATTTTAGGAGGCACTTTATTTTGCGCTTCTTTTATGATATTTCTCTAAATCATCAACATTGTTTGAGGGGGAAGGGGGCGGAAGTAGCAATTTCTTTTCATGAAAGGAATGAAAGATATCAAATGCAGCGTAAATTGCTTAGGGTGTTCCAAGTACTTTTGGCAGGCATTGTAGAGATCATATTGGTGAATACCAATTAAATCCGCATTTGAAAAACAATATTTGCTCGAGGAGAAGAATTATTGCCTAATCGTGAAGAACGTAACTGCAAGTCAATTTCACTGCTACTAAGATCCGGTTGCTGTGAGAATGCCATCTTGCAAAGTCCTATTATGAAAATCGTGCAGTTCTTTTGTTCCATGTTTACCTCAAATAATTTCGCTTGACGAAAAGTAGAAACTATTTCAACTAATCGTCAAGAGAATTTTCCGATGCACGAACGCTTATTTCATGAAATATTTTCTTCTGCGCATGTGTCATTTATGAACTTATAAAGTCTCAAAAATTTGTAAAAATTGCTCAAGATATTGCGATGAAAAAACATGTTCACATTGTTGCGTCAAATTGCAAACTTCGGATTGCTTGATTTTTTGATTGAGACGTTTCTAGATCATCCTATTTTGATTATGACGTCAAATTTGTACAGAGCTATAAAAGAGAACAAAAGCATCGAAGTAAACAGTTTTTACATGCTCGCTTGTAGTTTATGCTACTAGTTGCTTGTGAATTTAGTTCGAAATTTATCGAGACTTTATTAGAAAAGAGTTGCTGAGGTGAATTTAATATTCGTCAAAAGATGGGAAAAGTTCTTTCAAAACAAGACAAACCTTCACAAGAAAGTGAAGAATCAATGAGAAAGGTAATATATATTATATCATTTTATGCCTAACTCAGTTTAATAAAAACATTAGAGTACGTCAGAGGATGAACAATTATTTATCAAACAGTGAACAATGTTTTCTAATTTCTTTTTTTAATATTTTATAGACTGAAATAGTTTCCTTTTTTAAGGTTCAATAAATCAAAAATGAAATTGAAATTTATTTATTTTCAGGAACCAGTTTCCCGTATTTGGAAAATTAGACAGTTTTTCAAAGAGATGAGAAAAAGGAATTCAAAGTCAGCCGGTTTAGGAAACGATAAAGAATCTTTCCACAAAGAAAGAGTTCGAAAAGACACAGGTTTGTAATTCATATGAAAAACTATTCTCCAATTGCCAAATCACACTGCTGTATTAACAAAATTACAAGTGCGCTTTAAAAGCTTATTAGATGGTTACTAATATTTAAAGTGTTGAAGAATTTCAACAAATGCATGAATGAAGCTTACATTTAACAACTGACGTGCAATAATTGAAGCTTTCTAAATGAAACGATTAAAATTATAAGTAAGAGCATTCAATGATACAAATCTGTCTTATTGCTTTCCAGATCGTATCAAGAATATGTATCAAAGGGATTCATATCCCAAGCGTTACAAAAGAAGTATTGCAGAGGAGCTTTTCGCCAAAGATCTGAAAGCAAAAGGGCTTGATGGTTAGTCAAAAGATTTTTTATTATTGCGAGTCGGTTTCGGAGGGTCAATAACTTATATAATACAAACATAATTGTTATTACTTTTCCTTTGAAGTTTTATAATATTTAATTTCAATTACATTGTCAATCAATACTTACTTCAATTTAAAAAATTCTTAACAACTAACACATTACATCACCAAAATAAAATAATAAAAACTAAGAGAAAAAAGAAAAAAATAAAAATCTGGAGAAAAAGATGTTCTTTACCTGACTGTACTCACGGTCGATTGTTTTAAGAATATCTCTCTAAGTAAAAGAACTAATCGAGAGATAGCCCCGAAACCAAATAAATACAAAGAAACTGGCTATTTTAAAAAAACAAAATTTATCAAGAAGTGCTTTGAAAGATGTTATTACAAAAGTGGGAGAATAATAGAATTGTTATTCATTAAGTGAGGATTGCATGGGATGTTTTTAAGATTACAGTTTTCAAACGGGATGCAAAATTAATTCACATAAATTTTTCTCGACAGATTCAGCGATTGACATCATTTACAAGCTTGGATTATCAAAGTCATTTTTTACTGAAACTGATCAAGCACCAGGTATTTGAAATACTTTTGTGAGATTTAATGCAAAATAATTTACGACAAATGAAGTTTTGATATTCGGCGATATACAAAAATGAGAAATAGGACGAGAATATCAATTATTGTATCAGATCTATCTTGTTTGGTATCTTAAGTCTCAATATTTTCTTTGCCCTGTTTTATATTTTAATCGTTTTTCTAGAAAAACTTCTTTTACTACATCCAGTTAGAATGTAGTTTTTCAACTCTTAAAACATCCGTTTTGGACTTTATTATTTGGACTTTACATCATTGAAACATTGCTATCTATAATGAAAAGGATATATTTTCAAATCTTTGATACACTTAGGCCGCTCCTTCGTGGATGATCAAGTCAAACAAAGCTCTGCTGTTCTCAAAATAAAGAAGCAAAGGACAAAGAAAGAAAGTAAGAGTCTTCTTCTTACACCAATATTTGGAATTTTTTATATAAATTTAAACATTTCCAGCTTCAGATGAAATATAGGAAATGAATAATCGTCAGATATAATATAATCAGATAAAATTTTTTTCTCATGTTAACAAACAGGCAGCCGTGAACTGCAAGTATGTCATTCACTGTTCTCAGAATGAAGCTTTAAAAATTAAATTTTAAAACAACATTAGAAACATTAGAGCCTTGAATCAACAAAAAAATAAGAAAATTGATCTCAGACAAAAATTTTCTGGTCAAATTTAAAAAGAACGTGGCTCCCACCTTTCTTCAGTTTTAGACCATCAATTGATTTCTATCCTTGAGTGATATTCCTTTACATACTATAAACTTTCTGCAATGCTACACGCTAATTTTGCATGTTTATAAGACAAAATCTGAAAAATTGAATCTATTGTGGACAACGAGGACACAAAATGTAGCTCTAGCAAGATTTGATTTGGAGAATAAAAAAATATGGCTGATAAGTAATATTAAACTAAAACTAAATTGTTTCTGTTTTTAAGAGAGCTAGTTTTTCCTTTAAAGTGTTGTCTCTATTTTGCAAGAAAGTTTATTTTCTACATAAGTAGCATCTGAACTGTGTTCACTTTTGTTGGATAAAATCCCTAGCTTTGTAACAGTTTATTGATATTACTGAATGAATCCAAGGATTTTCTGAAATAATAATAACAACTAAATTCTTGTGCATTTTTTATTGATAATCAGAAATATATTTTCAGTGATGGAGCTTGCTAAGCAAAATGCCGAAGCATCTAAAAAAGATTATCCAACACTGAAGACAGCGAGTGGAGACGACGAGACAAAAGCCAAAAGCCTAGTGCCAGGTATCTATTCAATACAATTTTTCATGCCGTTGTCATCTACCAGAAAGCAGGATATTTTTCTAGAAGCTCACAAAGAAAGATGATTAAAGCTCATCTCAAAAATTTAAAAATTGTTCCTGCAAAAAGTTTAAGGCGGTTAATAGAAGATAAAAGAGATTAAGATTATCTCTCACCTTCTGATTCTAAACAACATAATGCGTAGTATCTGCCTGATCAATAGAACTACTTGAAAAGTAAAAAGCTCTTTTACATTTCTTGAAACTGCAAGACTAGTTGAAAAAATTACTTATTCTCTACAACATTAAGACTAGCACAAAGAGCTAGTATTATGGAGTAGTGATTAAATCTTTTTGACTATAGAATTTAATAATGTGAGATGATAGTAATTTACTTTCAAAACAATCAGTCTTTAGGCACCAAATGCTAGCAGACCTACAATGGATTCTGCAAAAAATTAGAAGACTATACCAGGAAACAGCATGCAATGGTAAGTTAAATGTTTTCTATACAAAAGTAACTTTCCGTCAATTTACATTGCGCTTGTGTAGTTAATACAAATTTTCAACGTGACATACATTAGGACAACATTAGTTTATTTACAATAAATTTTCCGACCAATCTTTGCTTGTAGCCTTAAAGTTTTTCATTCCTATTGTAACATCTTATAAATTTGAATTTAAAAGCTAATTCGATATTCGGTTCTGAAAAGAGGGGCTTTTGCAAGATGGGAGTAGCCAAGTGGGGGTTTATTAAAAAGTTGATCTTATTGGTAGAATATATCAAGAAAACAACAACATTGGTGACAAAAATGAACAAGAAGTGAATTCGATAAAAAAGTTTTTACATTAGCTTGTATGAAACTATGATATATCCATGTCTGTGCTATAATGTAAAAAACATTGTGAATAGGTTCCTGGGCTGTCTTTTTTAAACCTGTCATTATAATAAGGGGGGGGGGTATTCCGTAATCGATGCTGAATAGGAAGGGTTGTTCAAAAGGGAGCTTATTCGAGAGAGGAGGTTTTGTTGAATCATTACAAACTATGAAATACTGTGTACATTCATGATTCGTTTACTTGTATATAGCTTATGCATTAACTTAGCTATTTTGTAATGTAGCAATGTTCTTTTTCTTAGCAGAAATGACTGAAAACTGTGACATGCACAGCGAGAACCAAGAATATGATCCCGAAAAGGAGAAAGTCATGGGTATGTAGGAATTTGCATCAAATTTCTTTTAATTGAAATGTCCCTGTATACACCGAGCGATGTAGGCTACTACTTCCATGACAGTTCCCTAAAAATTTTTATTTAAAACATATGACACTCCATTCTCAGAACATAAAACTTCGTGATCTCAAGCATGATAATGTGTTGCTATCAAATGTTATTCTATTTAGAAATTGTTCTTCATTTTCCAGATGGCCTTTACGCTCACATGTGCTACTTTTCTCCGAAAGTCCTCTGCGGTGTTCGGGCCTCGATTGCAGACCAGGAGAAGCGGTTTAAACTGCCAATGATCGAAATCGTCACCAAAGAAACCCCAGAATGCATCATGGCCAGTGTGATAGTGAATCAAACCGTTGTGGAGGAGCAAAAGAGGCACTGCTTTGAAAAGATGTACAGCAGTAAATTGGACGACACCTTAAACATGCAAATGGCCATGCTGAACTTGGTCTTTCAGGCTCAGTGGAAGGAGTTTCCTATGCAAGTCCAGAAAGGCGTTTACAATAGATTTGCAACAGCGCAAATCATACTGAAGAAAATTGTGCCATACCAGTGCTCATTGGGTGAAGCTGAGCGAATGGGCATTTGCTGATTGAAATATCACTCCGTTTGCTATAGAGACAAAACTTGATAGATAGTTGATAAATAAAAATAGTTACTTTATTGAGTGCCTATACCTCTTGATAATATATTAGAGCTTTATATAGGAATTTTGTTGATTAAAATGGTTGATGATCATGAAAAGGATGTGTTCTTTTGTTTTGTCTAATGTGAAGGGAAATAGAAAGCAACCAAGTACTCAAGGAGATATAATGTTTATCACTTAATTGAAAGTCTCAAAAAGGTATATTTTGTTGCCCAGAAGGCTAAAATATCTAGATTTTATATATGTGAATGCAACTGTTTCGCAGTTGATATGCTTCCTCATGCAAAAAAAGACCATTCTGTTTTGCAACTTCGATTTTAAATAAAATCATTGGACAACGATCCTCCAATGGTAACACCTGCTTCAAGGGGAGTTAGCCATTCTAAAAATAATCTTTATCGCATGAAAGTCACGTTCTTTTAAATACAGTTATTTTTATTTATCAGAGAAATCTTTAGCTAGTACCTCGATCATTAAAGATATTATTAAAGATGGTGTTTCCTCTACTTTTTGCAATGGGTACCTCGTCAGAGTTAGCTCTTTTTCAGGCAGAGCCAAATTTGGCCACAATGGATTGAAGTATCTTTTGCTCACATTGCTAAGATAATGAAAAAACCAAAATTAAGCTTTTCCTCTTTATTGTAAGCAACACAAGCTAGCATAAAAGAGCAACTACCATCTTCAATCATCTAGAAAAATCTTATCGATATATTATTGTGTTGTGATGCTGATGGGATCTTTTGAAGATTACAACCCATGCTGATGTTACGAAGCAAAATGTTTATGACATGATGTTCAAGTGCATCTAAATTGCTAAAGCTTATTACAAATTTTTGTGTAACAGACATGAAAATAACGTTTAGGAACGATGCAAAATCTTATATAGCTAAAGTTGCATAGATGGGAAGGCTGCACGATAAAAAGGCAATGATTAGGGAAGGTTGTCGGTGTCGATAAGATTGTTGCAAAGCTGAAAAGATTATTAATTAAGGAAAACATTTCACTTCAAAAATATAATTTTAAAATTGAAAGGGGCGAGGCCATTTTTAAACTAATAGCAGCAAAAGTATTGTACTTAACTTTCATTACATCAAGCTATATGTGACTTTGTATAAGATATCCAAATTGACGTCTTATCACAAACGTAAATAACAGTTATATTTTGCCAGATTTCTAACAAATAAACATGAAAGAAATTTCTAAAAATCCTTACAATCTCAAACATTACCGTCTAAAAAGTTATCTTCAATATATTTCACACAAGAGTCCTCTAAATCTATAGTGGATGAAAAATCGGCTAGATCTTTGGACCAAACTACAAAAATTAGTAGATCCAGTAATTGGTCTTCAATGAAGATATCTAGATAAAAAAAGAACAATAAGCTTGGCTAGGCTGATTATGCAACGGCCTTAACATTTTCTTTTATATCAAATTATAAAGGGAAGTGTAAAAATACACCAATTCGACTTACGACCTCGTTTTGGAAATTTCTCCAAACTTAATTATACGACTTTTTTAAGCCCAGATTTGGTTTTATCGTCATAATTTTAGGCGGGATACCATTTTGCATATTGTTTGAGATTGTATTTTAGATTTTACAGAGAAATGAAGTTTGAAAACTTGCAAGGGATTTGACCGCAATAATCGTTCCGGGGGAAACTTTACCCCCATGGTCGCCAATCACGGTCAAATCCCTAATAAAGTTTTTATCTTTATGTCGTCATAAAATCAATATCGTGAGCAATATAATAATGAAAACTTACAAGTAGACTAAAATCATTGCTGTCAATCCGAATCTGAGGTCAAAAATTTTGCACAAAAGAATTTGAAGAATTTTCCAAAATGAGGCCGTAGGTCGAATTGATATATAGGCTCAATTTCCTAATAAATCTTAAAGAGAATGGTCACGAATTGATAAGAAAGGCAGCATCATTTTACGCCTCTGTAAAGCTATGATTGTGATGAATTGTCTTGAGTTGACAGAGGAAGCAAGAAGAAGATACGCAAAGCAACTGTGAGCAATATTTTTAACAACCCTCGGTTGCCAAAGCAATGCATATACGGGCTTAACGTGAATAAATTAACATAAAATTGATCATGTGCGTTTAACTTTGCTTTTCAATAACTGTTGCTTTATATTTTCTATCTTGCAACAAGAACACGGTTGCCTTCCTTCTGGCTTGAAATTGGAACCCAAAGTACCCTCGTATTCATCAGTTTGGGTGGGAACGAGAATAGCGGAAAAGAAAAAATGGCCGAATGAATTTATCCTAAACAGAAGAAGTTTCTTGGCGTGCATTGGATAATGGAGCAGGTTATAAAAATCTGTGACATGGGATTATATGCAGACCTTATACTTGATGTGGAATATTCAGAAAAATTAAGCATTAATAGCTTAAATTACCGAAAATTTGAATCTGAAAAAGTGAACAAAACATGACGACCCTCTCGAGTGAATAGTTTGTCAGTTGCCCCTTGAAAGAAAATTCAAGACAATACTTAAGCGAAAAATCGGTCATTTACTTCAAAAATGGTATTTTCGTGAGGCGAGAATATCTTGTAGCAACAATGAGCAGCTTCGACTCAGATGAAACTCTGATGGATGAAAGTGAAGCTGGTAGCTTCAAGACTAATCAGGAATCAGGTAGAGATGTTTGCTTGCTTTCAAATAAAGACCACGATAAACTGAATACAATAAAAGAAAGAAAGCTGCATTCCCTTACAGAAAATACAGATCATCAGAAAAAGATTTTGGAACTAACGCCATCAAAACAAACTGGTATGTGATGTGAAAAAGGGACAAGGTTTTTGTTTCCAAGTTATTGGTAGCAAGTTTTTCGCGAGATATTTTGCATTTTCCAACTTCCCAAACTCGAGGATTTATTATCAGCTGAATACGCATTAAAATTCTCTTATGGAATGAGTGAGACTCGTGCATGCAAAATGCATAAGATTTTTTAGGTCTGTTTTATGTCGATACTAAACTTGGTATTTTTTCTGCTGATTTCTTTTCACAGGGAAAGTTGCCTGTATCCTTACTGCAAATAACCCAGCTCAATATCTAAGGAAGACACCCCTTATCAGAAATGCAATTTATTTGAAATGCAGTTTAAATTATTGTGACCAGTCATACTTTTTTTACAGTTTGGTGTGTTGGAGAACATTGCATGGCACCATTTAGTGGGGATGGCAAGTTTTATGAAGGAACTATTGAGAAAATTTGCAGAGACTCAAATCCATACAGAGCTCAAGTTAGATATATAGGGTACTATCTTTTAAAGTCTTTGGTCAAGATCTATGGATCAATTGGTTTTTGCTAAAATAATTCTTTTGCCAAATTGTGAATCTGAATAAGGAGATGTGGATGTATCGAATAAGTAAAAATTTTGAAAAGCAGAAAGGAGGGGCTCATCCCTGTTGCTAATGCCAAATACACAAGATATGATTAAAGTTTTCCGCCAAGTATCAACAAAGAAGGAGAATTTCAAGTTGGTAAATGCTCCTTGAATCTGATGACTCATATAATATCTGATGATATTTTTTTATTGTTTTGTGAGCCTGTAATCTTGCTGATGCTCCATCTGGACAGAATTCTTAGTGCATTCTTTGTGGCATACAGGGAGTAAATTTTTCAAAGTTAATTCATTGTATAGATAAAAGTTCTGCTTGAAAAACCAGTCATCTTAAAGTATTAAAAGCAAATATTTGTTATAAAAAATATAATAGATTAATAAATGATTGTAATTTATACTTTTCACAGTTTTTTGAATTCTTTGCAGGTATGAATCTGATGATTGTGAGACAGTTCCATTGTCAGTTCTTTGTTTATCTCCACAAACAAAAATAATCACAGAAAGAAAAGCAGAAAACAACCCTATAAAAGAATCAAATGTCTTGAAGAAATACTCTGATAAGAAAGAAAAATACATGAAGTGAGTTTATGATTACAACTATGCAGTGTTAGTACATAATTAGTTATCATCTCTTTGTCTCTATGCTATAAGACTTTTTAAGGGACTTTGCTACTAACCAAAATATGAGCTTGTTTGTATTTAGTCATTAAATCTTAATTGAACTCTTTTATTGACATAAACACTCTTTGCTTTATTGTAGACAAAAATATGAGAGTTCAGAGGAAGAATCAGTCAAAAATACAGAAGATGTTAGGAGAAAAATTAGTAAGAAAAGAAAGCTTTGCTTTGATGGAGCCTCCAACAGAAAATCAGCCCCTCCAACTGCTTCAAACACACTTGCAATAGAGCCATCCCTTGAAAATGATAATGGCTCAAAAAATAATAAGGAGAGCCCTAGTAAATCCTTTGAGCTTGGTACGTATTTTGCAAAGACCAGACTTCATAAGTACATCAAATAAAATTGAGAAGTTTTGTTAAACATTGTTTACTACCAATGGTTTTGTAAACAGATCAATGATATTGTATGTATACAAGTTTGAAAATTTGCCAGCAAATCATTCCTAGATGGCAAAATTCTATTTTTGAAGAAAAAAAATTTTCTGAGGGGTACCACACCCCATTTCCTTTTATAGCAATGGCCTTTATTGTAGCAGAACAACTTTAGTCACCTTTTTAAAACTTGGGGATTGAAGGTGTCTTTGTCAATATGACCCACCCAAAAATATGTTCCTTACAGTCCAAGGATTTCTCAATATTGTTATCTGTTCATAAATATTATTATTTGTGTGTAATTATTTTCCAAGGTTTTACTGAACATGATCTGGAAAAGCCTCATTTTGAAATCGAACCAGTTTCTGAGAAAGTTCCATTTGTTTTGTCAAGCAAGGATGAGGCCAAAGTTGTAAAGGTATGATTTGCCATAAAATGACTATAAAAGAAGGTGAACAAAAGAGAAAAGTTATCCAAGAAAACTGAACCATGTTTTTGATTAGGAAAACTGATCCGTTTTTTAAGAGAGAAAGATGGTACTTGTGAGTTTATCCAAATGAAAGCTAATATTCAATAAGTTTAGCTTATCCAACAAAAATCGATTACATTTCATTAATTCGATGAGATTACATTGATTCGATGTGATTACATTAATGTTTATTTGATGTGATCCAACATCTTTCTTAAACCTTTAAAATCTCTAGAAGTGGGAATTTTCTTTAAATTTAGCAAGGCTTTTATATGTGAATTGATTATCATATATTTTTTAGCAAACCTAAATTTTAAAATTTCGATAGCTGCGTCGTAATTTGCCTTCTAATATGGCCGCTGCCGCTTTGGGCTCGTCCGCAATGTCACGATTAAAATTTTCGGTTAAAACTAGCCTGTTTGCCTTTTATGACATCCAAAATGTAGAATGCGATAGAATGAACATGTATTTATGAAAGAAGAATGTAATTTGAACCAGATGAAGAACGTGAAGAAATAATTACAGATTGGATCACACCTGAGTGATTGTAATTCTTTTCTTTAATTAACAACAACTGACAAAACATTCCATGAAGCAACAATGAAACAATACAACATGAAAACGAGGATTGTTCTGTTCAAAAGTTCCAACATTTTTTAGAATGCATTTTTTTTTATAATTTTGCATGTCAATTAATTGCCATCATTGCCATCCTATTATTTATCATATAGTGCTACTAATGATAATTCTATCCTTGAAAAAATTTTTGATCAGCGTTTGGTATTGCCCTAAACTTCTATGGCAATATGTGTATCGAAATAGGATTATTGAATTGAAAAATAAGCTAATCGCAAGGGTGGTTCTTGAGAACATGCTGTATTTTTCAGATTCCATCGACAATAAATCAGTATTTACGGGATTATCAGAGAGAAGGTGCTTTATTCATGTACAAGCATATGTTAAAAGGAGAAGGCTGTGTTCTTGGTGATGACATGGGCCTTGGCAAAACAGTTCAGGTCTGACTTTTCTTATACAAGACTATCAAGTTATCTTTAAAATAAATCTAGGGTTCGGTGATTAACAGTTTGATGGGGATAAAGTGGGATTAAGATGGATTATAATATGTCTCATACCATTATTCCATAGGACTTGATCTTTAATATCCTAAGATTTTAGCTATTTTTTTCGTTCATTGCCTAATCAACGCTTTTTAGAAAAAAATCATTTCTTATTTTTATCATTCATTGAAAATATGATCTCGTCTGTTTCGTTTAAACTTCTCAAAATTCGAACGGTAATTTGAGAAAGGAAAAAATTACACTTTGACTTTTTCAGGTCATTGCACTAATTTCTGCTGCGTTTGGCAAAACAGGTACCAAGGAAGATGTTATCCCGTCATTTATGAAAAAGAAAAAGGTATGATCCCAATCGTTGCAATATTAAAATTTCAGGAGTTCACTTTGTAAATGAAATCCTGTCAGTTAATATATTACGCTAGTTCTTCTTATTAAATCCTATAGTGGCCTTGTTTTTACAGGAACAAGCCCGTGAAAGAGACGGCCCTTTCTTGATTGTATCACCTTCGTCAGTTCTGTACAACTGGGAAGACGAACTCAATACATGGGGCTACTTCAGCATTTCTCGATTTCACAGGGCGTCAAAAACAGAAACCATCGAGAAGGCCAAACGAAGAAAACTGGATGTTGTCCTTACCACATATGAAACGTTTCGAAGCCATGTTGTGAGTTTTAATTGGTTTATGCTGCTTGTAGTTCCTTATTTAACGAAAAAGTGATTTCTGGTTTGTTCTTGGATATAAAAATACAATGCAAAGCTGGTTTGCGCCATATATTAGAGTCGCAGTTGTGTCACGATCTGTAACATAGGGTTATTGTCCTCTATGCATGTCGGTCTTAACTACTCACGAAATGTGAAGAATAAACTGGAATAAAGATAGAACATTTTCTTGCTGCTCAATCTATGTGCATGCTCGGTGTTTGGAGTTCTCCGAGCTGTCTTTGTGCATGTACAGATTAATCTTATTTGCTTGTACTGTGAACATAAACTGCAGCAATCGTTGAAATTTCAAATAAAATTTCTTTTGTTTTCACTCTACTTGCGAAAGCATACCGGCCATAACTGATCGCTTCTTCCAAATATATTTTGCTTTTTTACTGAAATAGGCCATTCTGTTGCAGGAATGTAGAAAAGCTACCGAATTTATACCGATAGATACGGGAGGAGCAGACTGCTTAATGCTTCACCTCAAGAGCAATAAGAATATATTTTCATGTTATTGAATATGCATGTTGTTAGTTAGTTCCTTTTTTTGGTTTCAGGAAGAAATGAACGCTATTGACTGGATATGTATTGTCATGGATGAAGCTCATAGGATAAAAGAGCCGAAATCTCTAGTTACGAAAGCCGCAAAGAAAATGAAATGTCGATGCAGGATTGGTCTAACAGGAACACCCATGCAGAACAAAATGGAGGAGCTATGGTTAGTATTTTCGTAAGCCATGTCTTTTGAAAAGATTTTAGAAAAGTTAAATATTATTCCTGCTATGTTAAATAAGTGAGATATAAGAAAGAATAATGATAAATCAATTAGTTAAGGGAGCTTTGAAAGTTGATACAGGTTAATCAAAATGTGATATAGATATGTTCCGTAAAAATTGCGACAAAATGAGCTATTCATACATGATCTTCCCATATATTCTCACCAGCTTTTTACGAATGATATCCAGAGTGGAAGATATGTGTTTGATGATGCAAGTTCCGAAGAACTAATTCTCAACAACCATTTTTATGGAACGATGCAAGAGACGATTATGTCTCATTTAATAATAACTATGACGGGAGGAACTCAATTCTCGATCCTCTATAACGGTTATAATTCTACACGCGGGATGAATCACTCTCTTCAAACGAAATCCGAATTTTTTCTAAACAATAGAATTTTTAGGGATTTTTTAAGGGATTTTTCTCGAAAACAAAGATTTTTGCCAAAGGTGTAGGATAGATCTGCCCCTCGATTTTACAGCATTTTTAGAGGCAATCCCACACGATGATATACAACCACGGGTCTTTTCAATGTGCATCAACAATTTGTTCATTTATAAACAAGTCCAACTTTGCCTTACACTGGCATATGCAGAAAGGCAAGAATCTCCCCCCTGTCTCGCTACCAAGCCAACCTATGACCGATATTTTGCTTTTCCTTTTGACATTCAGCAATATAATATTTTCCCAAGTTGTCAAAATCTTGAAAGAAATATACTTGAAAAGTTATAAGTAGAATTATAAATGTATATAGGGGATAGCAGACACCGGGTCTAGAAGAACGTAAGAGAGAGAGCATCATTCCTTTCGAAAAGTACACTTTGTAATTTTCAGCTACGATTACACTTTATTGTGGAGAAAACCCAAGGTGACCAGAGGAACTGCTCCTCAACAAACAAACAGTCGAAAGTAGGATGCTAGCGGCAGTCGATTATTCAAAAACATGAAACCGATCGAACACACCATTTGCCTTTCATGTCATTTTCAATCTGCATCCAGATATATCCTTTTCTCTTGCCAATATCCGACGTTTATACCCTGAGAATTCTGTGGTACCAATGACTTATTTAGAGTGTTTTCTGTTGTCTAGAGGCTGTTGCATTTAAAGTTAAATAGAAAGATTTTGCCTAGATATCTATAAGCGGATGATTTTAAGTTAAAACCCGTTTTATAAAGTATTATCTTTCTTGAATAAATTTTAGAACGAAAATGAATGCTACTGTTTATTAAATGCTTCATTATTGATAATTTGATAAAACTATGGTATTGATTACAGAAAAGAGACATTTTGGAATATTTTGGAATAGGCTACAAGCATTGTTTAAGAAAATGAGTCGTTTTGCTTTGCAGGTGTCTGCTGGACTGGGTCAATCCTGGTTGCCTTGGTTCCCTGGAGGAATTCACGGAGCACTTCGCATTGCCGATTAAGCATGGCCAAACATTCGAAGCCACAAAACGGCAGCTAGCAACTGCTAGAAAAAGTGAGAGAACCTCCTGCGTTGACTTATTTTTGTCTAGCATATATGATTTATATCACGAGAAGCTCTAGGCGCTGCCGAAAGGCTCGAAACGTTACATAATTTTGGCATTGAAGAAATGCCAATACAACGAAGAGTTTTTGTAAACTTGTAAACCTATTGAAATTTGATTTCTGCGCTAAAGATGAAAACTATTTAAACTAAGACCACCTTAATTCAGTTGTTGATTGGGAGAATTTCCACCTTTAGAGTTTCTTAGGACTTTTGATCTGTTATAAAACATTCTGATATAGTTGATATATTTGGGAATAAACTTTATATCCATTCTTTTGCTACAAGTTTGAGGTTCTGCAATTTTTTACTCGATGGACTAAACTAAACAGTTGCAAGGATTGTCTAGACCCGGCTAGTTTGTAAGGTATTGTAAAATGGTAGAATTTATGGAAATTGAAGTTTTGATCATGCCGTAGACACAGAATAGATTGTGTGCCATAGATTGTGTAATCATTGTGACGTCAAACAAGACGGCCATTTGTAGAGAGAAGCTTTCTGCATTTTGCTTTAGCTTGGTTGTCTGACTATATAGAATCTGATTGTTTTCCTTACCAAAGTGATCAAACAGATACAAAGCTGTTGAGCCCATCTAACGAATTTTTCTGCTGAAATTTACTTTGAGAGCCTACAAATATTGTCATATATTTACCTTTTTATATTTGCATATATTTATTAAGAGCAACAAGAATTTGCATTGCTGAAAGAGAAATGGATTCTGCGGAGGACGAAGGACATTTTGCAAGATCAGCTCCCTCGAAAAGGTAATTGTTGATTCTTTGAACATCATTTTTATTTGATAAAGCTTTATAATATTATTAAATCATGAAAAAAGTTGAGATTGTTATCTGCTGGTATGTTAGATGGGTCTTATTCCGGGCTCAGAATCGAAACCACGAGAAGCGTATTTTTCGCTGCTTATGGAGAACCTTTGGGGCTTTCTTTCCGAATTCTCAATGCATTTAAGAAAAGTTGCTCATCCGTTATTCCTAATCAAGGAAGCAGAGGAGTTACTGCTTTTCAAGGTTAAAGAAATTACATAGTAGAATTTCTGAGAATACTTCGGTAAATTATATAGCGACATTTCCTTTTCTGTTTTTCCTTTGAAACGCCAATTCCATTACGGTTGGTTCAGCTAATTTTCACTCCAATGAAAGACACATTGCTAGCTACAGTCATTTAAATTTTATACTCAAACTTTAAAAACTATTTACCTGAACTTCAACCGTAAAAGCTGTATCTGATGTTACTTGCGTCTCTTGCAAACCTGTTTTCGTTCATAAATTTTTCCGTTCATAGATTTGTGTGCACTTTCAATATTAGACGAAACGATGGCTTTTGTATAAAAATATTTGAAAAGAGACATTCGAAAATTTTGACAATTATAAAATACGCCTTATAGGCACAAATTATTTGGCAAAAAACGATAGTCTAAAATCAGAGGCTTTTTAAAAGCAACAATCTTCTTAGAAGTTTTTTCTGCAATTTTTCTGAAACTACAAATGAAGTTTTTTCTGTTTAACGTTCAAGCACTTGAATTGTGTGCTACTTTTTTGCTAAAAACATTTCCTAAAACTAAATTTGGATATTTTGGCATAGTATCCTTTTTAAACCAGTTTTGCTACGAAACTGTACACTTCTATTGCTGTTAATCCATTATTTCTATTTTAGATGAGCGAGCTGTCTTTGCGCCATTGACGCAAATTCAGACTGCGCTTTACGAGGCTATCGTTGACTTGCCATCAATTCAAACTGCGGTGTTAAGCAAAGTCTCTGATTCAAAAAAGGTAGTGTTTTTTTGCATCAAAGTATGAATATATCTGTCTTATAAAAAATTTTGAAATAATTTTGAAATATCTTAGTAAATTTATTCACTTTAATTTATTTATTTCATCATAGCTTTTTGTAGCAACTGTTTATTTTTTTAATGAGAAAATCAAAAACTTAAGAATAAATCAGATACAAGGCCCGAGAATATCTGTTGCATTTTAATGGCCATGTCTAGGCTGAAATTTACCCTTTGAAGATGAAATTTAAACCCGTTCCTACCGTTAGTGATTTTTTTTAGTAACGAAGGTTAAATAATTTTTTTATGATAACTATTCAACGAAGGTTTTAGTTAAACATATTAAAAATTCTGCCTTATTTTGCCATTGTGATGAGACTATCTAGGATTATGCCTCGCAATAAGAAAACTTAAAAGTTACACAATGCTACTCTGTAAACAGCGGAAACTAGAATTATCCCCGATAATGTATTCAGATGTAACTTTCATTGCTTTGGAAAGCATGCTACTTATTGGTTATTTTTCCTCGCCATATTTTTGTAATGCTTGGCTGTGCCCTTCAAGAATCTAACTATACTTTACGTGCAAGTGATTTAAGACTTTGAAGCAAAAGTTTAAAAGTAAGGATTCTTTTTGATATTGTGACAAAATTTATTTTATTTCGATAATTCTTCTTCATGTTATTATCTTTTATCATTTCCAGAACGTTCTTGCAAATAAAAAACTATTATTTTGAGCAATTTGTGGAAATATCACGTGTCTAATTTTACTAACTTTTTTTAAAAATTTTAGGCTGAAAAAGAAGAAGTTGAGAAGCATCGAGCAGAAATTTTCCATGTTATAACGTTGCTAAGGAAGGTTGCTAACCACGCAGCATTGCTTTTGCCTTACCACAAAGCTTCCAAAAAACAACAGGAAATGGTAGGTTGAGTTCTATATAGACCAGAGGGTGGAAGGGGAGCACCACCACCCGAACGGAGAATTTATGAGACCAATCTATTCTGGTTCAGTTTTTTGCGTAGATTTCGAATTTGGGTGTTGATCAACGGTTTAAGGGGGCTTTCCCGAGATATGGGGGGTCTAAAGACAAATTTTGGGGTTAATTGCTACAAATTTGGTTTCCTCAATAAATTTCAATAAGATAAAGATAGATATGTTCTTTGACTATATCTATGATTGTTGGCTGATATTTGAAAGTGTTTTTCTATATTTAGAATTTAAGGGAGGTGTAAAAAATTAAATTATTTCCAAAAGAAAACATTACTGTTACAATATATTTGAATACTATCAAGTCTACCTAAACAATTATTCATCTTCATCCTTATCCTCAGACATATCAATGCCTCTTCTTAAGTCTTCCACTTCTACAAGATCGTCAGCCTCCACTAGTAGTTTCGAACATCCTCTGGATTTTGTGAAAGAAATTTATTAAACAGAATTAGAAAAGTCACCTTTCCACACGTGGTGTACTTGAGCCTTCTTGCTCTATCATTGGTTAAGAGGCTTGTCTGCACATATGTGCAATGTAATTTGCAACGCTTGATGTATCTTAAAAGGCTGTTTTTGCATGGTGGCTGCAAAGAGAAGTCTGTGATTTTTGACCTCTTTGAAAAATTTTTCCAAAAATTTTTCCGTTGAATATCATGAACAGACGATAATCTCTTTTCTCCAAACAACGCACACGTAAACCTTTCAATACCCCCAATTACATAATTTATAGGATTACTTGATGCCCCTAGCTTTGCGAAAGTTGTGACGAATGCTTTTGTGCCTTGCATAAGCTTCCAACTTTTTCTGAAAAATACCTACCTACCTACCTCCCTTTCTACCTTCCTCCCTATCTACTTACCTACCTACCTCCCTATCTCCCTTTCTACCTACCTACTTACCTAGCCACATACCTACCTATCTATCCATCTACCTACCTGCGTTCCCGGACATCGAGCAGCCCCACTTCATATACACACTCTTCGTACATGAAAATAACGAAATATAGTCATTTCCACTAAATGCATGCAAGCCAAGCGGGGCTTCTTTTTGAAAGGCCGATAATTCACAAGCAGCTAGAGCGAAGATTTTTCTATTTTTACCTGTCCCACTATCAATAAATATTTTGAAATGAGGTTCCTGCCTAGCAAGCAAGATAACAGGGATGTTAATATATTATATATCTCCAAAACAAGAACGCAAATCGTTTCTCGACCTTCGTTTTGTTGTAGAGCATGATGCAGAAGGAAGCAAACTTAAGCTAGTGATATTTATGCAGCGATATCTATATATATTTTTCTCTTGCAAGAAAAATTGATCACTCTGTTCCCTAAATTACAGCCTTGACGAACCCAGACTTCTTTAACCAACTCAAACAACCGCTCTTTATTCTGTCTTTTCCTCAGAAACGCAACGAAGTTAGGAGGAATCTTTATGTTTGGCGATTTGATGAAGAAATGGTTCTCTGCATTCTTGATGAACCAATCGGCATGTTCGAATGCAATATATACACAGTTGTATTGTGTCCGTAATTCATTCAGCAACTTCGTTGCAAGCCTCCTGAAAGTGTTCGGTATTCTAACTGTAGATCGAATGGTGGCAACCAAATCAACAACAAAGCAAATTGCCTATCTCCTCTTTCCTGTTCTTCATAAGGCTGGTAACTGTGGTATTTATATGTGCCTCATACTTCTAAGTACCTGAGCTTCACGAGACAGCGAGGAAGGGGATACTATCACCGAACTCGGCTTCTAACCCCTTTTTAACTTAGTCTGCTGTTCTCGTTAATGAAACAATACATTCCAGTTAAAATCTTCATTGCAACGGATCGGTTCATGATTTGTTATATATGAATACACAGGAAAGAGTCAGCTTACACTGTTCTTCGCTTGTTTCCAGTACTTCGTTAGTGGGATCGTGGACAGCTGTAGAAGTAAGGGTAGTTGACTTCTTACTACAAAATACTGTGTACTTATTATACCAGGAAAGCTTTACCCTCTCTTAATGCTGGAGCTTTTTGCAGAGTTCGGCATGATGAAAGTTTATATAAGTTTCAATAGTTGCTTCTTCCCCTTATTAACATTGATAGGCCCTTGTTATTAGGCGCTTGCTTTCGTCACTGTTTTCTTTTTTAAGGAGATGCCTTTTTGCTTACTTTCTTCCCCTTTTGCGTTTTGTTTGCAAAGACAGATACGGCCTTCGTAAAGTTCAGGTAAAGCTGGCGATATCGTTGAAGGGCAAAGGATCTGATCTTCAATGACTAAATGAGTGCAATGAACAGCTCATCTTCTTTTTCTGTTTGCCATATATTCTAACTACTTTCATAGTTTACTCTTGCTTTAATCACAGAACATTGAAAATGATAATGAATTTGTAAGCAATGAAATTGCAGTTTTTAGGTCATTTGAAAGAAAATCCAAACCTATACACTTTTACACTCTCAATGGTCTTCAATGTTAACAGGTAATTATCGTTTAAGGCTGTGAAGTACATACAAGTTACATTCTTAGGTTATGACACAAAACCATGTGTTAAAGTACTTCTCATAAAGATTTGCTTTTGGGCCTCATTTCCTTTCTGATCCATAGCAATAAAGCTGTAGTTATATGAAAATCTCCATATCAGTCATTACACATGTCTGAGAAAGCCACATTCCTGGTGAGTACAAACAGCCATTTCCCTATGTGATCATGCTACAGTACTCCATTCAGTTGCGAAAAATCAGTTTTTCGTGGAATTACAGTATTTTGTACTCCTGTTTCGTTTTCTATGGCCCCCACACTTCCAAATGGGAGTCAACAAGCATAGATATCATCAAAAAACTGACCTGTCTATATTTTATTGACATTTATATTAGCCCTAAAATCGGACTTTAGACCCCCTATATCTCTGAAAAGCCCCCTAAAACGGGGGATCAACACCCAAATTCGGAATCTACACGAAAAACTGATCCAGAATAGATTGGTCTCATAAATTCTCCGCTCGGGTGGTGGTGGTCCCCTTCCACCCTCTGGTCTAATAGAACTGGGTATGAATTCCTTACAAATCAAGTTTCTAGTCCGGTCTTTATCAATTTACTTATATTATCAGATATAATCAAAGCTTATGCCAAATAATGCTGGGCTAGATAATTTACAAAAAGTTGGTATAGGTTCTTTCAATAACCAAAATTTTGTGAATCATTTTCTCTAGAATTCTGTAGAATTTTAAATTCACAGTCTCAGAACTTCAATTTTCATAATATATGATTATTGCATATTTAAACGTATATAAATATAAAGATTAGAGATTATAATACAATATTTTCTTTAACTTGAAGGCATTGTCAGTCTGCAAAAAGATTTTCGGAAAATTTCCTGAATTGGAAGATATCTATCGAGACGGATCGTTTGCCAAGATGTCTGACTGTAAATTTTCTGGAAAACTTAGAATCGTTGACAGGCTTTTGAATTCAATGCAGCCTGGAAAAGATAAAGTTCTTCTATTCTCGACTTCTGTTCAGGTCAGTTAAAATATTCAGAGAACTCTTTTGTTACCAAGGCTGGCATGAATTCTTATAAATGGTTATCTTGCATTGGCAATGTTTTAAACTGGTGTATATTTACGAGGAACTTTTTAATATATCGCTTCAAAGCAGAATGGAATTTTTTTGTGCTTTTCCTACAGCAATTTTGTAGTTCTTCGTTCAATAAGTAATTTCCACTCATTATTGAATTTGGCTTTTTCACTAATAAGCATGTCTTGGCGACACATTCAAAAATATTTCCAACAATCTAGTTTGCTTTGCCATATTTTTTTATATTGTTATTGATATTTTATGGATTTAAAGATCATTTGCCAAAAAACAAGAATTTCAATGCATAATTCTTTTCTGAAAATCTTTGTATTCCAGTCACATGGTCCAATTTCAAAATGTCAAGCATGACCTAACTACTGATCAGAGACCATTGTCATTAAGTTGTCCTCCTATGTGATCCGAAAAATTTTCTGACGCATTTTGCTAAATCCTCCCCGTCGGTAGTTTCGTGTATTGATATAAATGCCATTAACAAATTTTGATACATTTTATCTTTCGAAACTCGTATTTTCATAATGATAATCATATCTGTTGAGAGCATTGTTTATATTGCAGCTTTTAAACATATTGGAAGCATATGTGCTCAGCAAAGGTTACATCTACAGGCGGTTGGATGGGGATACGAGGCCTGACAATCGGATGCATGTCATCAGGGAATTCAACAACCAATCAGATGTGTTCATTTGCTTAGTTTCAACCAAGTGAGTCTAAAACCTTTTCATTATACAGAAATACCACTTCTGTTATCTATAGGCTGTTGTTTGCAAAACTTCATTGCCCTAAAATATATAGTTACAAGCTTATTGAAAGGAAGGTAAAGCCGTTCTAGGTTTTTTTGGGATTTTTTCACCAGTACCTGTGGACTGAAAAGCTGCAAGATTACGATTTCGCGATCAAGTCTTAAATTGTTTCATAGTTAGTAAGGTTAGAAACCAGTATTGATCGATATTGATTTTGCATATCTCTTATTTTCACAGAGCGGGAGGTGTTGGGTTGAATTTCACCGGAGCAAATGTTGTTATCATTTTCGACCCTTCGTGGAACCCATCTTATGACAATCAAGCCGAAGACCGTGCTTACAGAATCGGACAACACCGAAACGTGAGAGTTTATCGACTGATCAGCGAAGGCTGCATCGAAGAAAATATTTATCTTAGACAAGTGTACAAACAGGTAAGTTTTTCTTTTTAGTTGTAAAAATCTAAGCCTACATTTGGAAGTTTAAATTTTCGAAATTTTCGATGAAATCGATACTTTATTTTCGGCCTATGCTAAACAATTTCATGCAACTGTTAAGTGAATTGGATTGGTTTGATATTCAGCAATGCAAAGATAATCTGATATCTTACTTTGCCTTTCATATATTCTCATTTTCTGCAATGATTTTAGTTCAATTCTTGACAAATTTTATTGTTTAGCTCTTGTTTGTTGAATTACAAATCCGATCATTTTAGATTGTGCGATTTCATCTCCTTATTTCTTATTGCTTTCCGTCATTTTCATCTTTATCCAGCTATATCTTTTTTCATAAATATACTAAAATGCGTGCGGTACAATATGATGAATTTAAATAACGATAAATGTAGGTAAATTGTACCAGGAAATTTTTTTTAAAATAATGAACAAATTTTAAAAAATTAAAATTATTATTATTATTATCAATTATTATTTTAACAATTTTATTTTAAAAAATTTTTCCTGGTACAATTTACCTACATTTATCGTTATTTATATCTTTTTTCAACCTACAATTTTTTTATCTATCTAATATGTATTAACTAGCCTATACATTATTTATTTCTGGATTGCTGAAAATATTTGAATAAATTGAAGAAAAAAACAATAAATTTGACTCAGATCACATTTGAGACTTTACTGTATAATTTAAAACAACTTTCAGTCGAAGTCACTCAAAATTTGTTTTTGAAGGCCACCAGTCATTTGACTCATTGTTTAGACATAGACATGGTTGTTTTTTTGTTCTCCTTTGATTGTCGGCTCAGTGGTCTAATGGTATGATTCTCGCTTTGGGTGCGAGAGGCTCCGGGTTCGATTCCCGGCTGAGCCCCTTTTTCTCTCTTTTATCTTTTCAATACTTTCGTTTACTCATGTTCTAAGGTTGTAGTTGCTTTGCTGTTTCAACAATGTATATCCAAGATTTAAAAATGAGTTAATTATAATTTTATTGATGGTCTTACATCCTCAAATTTATTTTTTGTGCACTTTTGTTTTATAGTTGAACCAGGAGCACACTCTTTTTTAAAAAGTTACATGAACAATGAGACTCGATTTTTCAAAAAAGTAAGAAAGAACTTAAGAGCATGGCCAGCCCCAGATAGAAATTTGAAGAAAAAACGACATTTTTTGAAAACTCAATCTCATTTTACCAAAAGAAATCAAATTTTATCAGGTGATCAAGCACAACCATGTAACTAAAAAAAGTAAAAATGTCGTGCAAAACTGTTGCCTTATTACACAAAAAACGCGGTACACCAAATAACGCGGAACAAATTAATTCGATCACAAATTAACACAAATTGCGAAGAAAGATGTTATTTTTTATAGTTATTTTTAATTGAAATTGTGAAAAGAACACTTTCCGGTCCTTATGTTTTAGACGCTTTCTATTATCTTCATTTTAAGATTTAATTAAATATTTCAGATATGATAATATATCTAAAATATACACTTTTTTTATAAGAACCAGTAAATTTCAGTTCAGGCTGACTGTTCTTAATTTTTTCGAAAATCTGAGGCTGGATTGTTCTTAATTTGTTCTTAATCTAATAGGGTGTAAGCAGTGCGAATGCTAGCTTTTTCGCTCTAGGGAGGTGTTCAGGCCTCATTTGCCAACAAAGTGAGTGAGACAACCTTCATTTGCCGAAAAGTTTGAATATTCGACGAAAAAGCACCCACTAATCGCTAAAAATCCTCGATTTTGAGAAAAAACGTTGTTCAAAATTGCATTTTGCAGAAGCTCAGCCTCAGCTTGTTCTTAATTTGTTCTTAACTTTCGACCAATTTTGAGGCTCGTGTTCTTATAAAATTGTTCTTATAAAAAAGGAGTGTAAACGGGGTTTTAATTAATGCAGAATTTTTCAATTCGCGTTCACAAATATACCGAGCTATTTTCGTGTAAAAAGGTAGATCGAAACCCGAAGCCTCAGGAATTTGTAAGAGCTTGTCTAAATTTTTGACTGAGTTTCAGCCTGATAACTAAGCAACTAAATTGCTCATTATAACAAACGTGGATTGATAATATTTTTATAGTTCATTCATTCCAGGTAGCTTCTACGTGATCCGTAGGTTGCTAACCATGGTCCTCCAAGAAACCCTGTCACTACACCTACTTTTCAGGATACCATAGTTCTGGATGTTAACCCACTCTTTAATATCGTCCATCCAAGTCCTTCTTTGCCTACCGCTAGATCTTTTTCCTTCAATATACCCCTCCATGATGTTACAAAAAACTGCTCCACTTGATCCTCTTGCCACATGCCCAAAGAGTGCAGCTTTTCTCTTTGCTAAGATGGTAAGAAGCATAGGGATTACATTCATTCTTCGTAGCACTTCTTCGTTGTAAACCCTATCTGTCCATCTGATCTTCAACAACCTTCTATAACACCACATCTCGAATGCCCGAATCTTGTTCGTAATTTCTTTCCCAATAGTCCATGCCTCGCATCCATAAGTAAAAACAGACCAGACATATGTTTTCAGGAGGTTCATTTTCGTTTTCCTGTTGATGTTACTGTTGAACAATTCTTTATGTCGTTGGAATGCAATCTTAGCCATTGCTGTCCTTTTTCTTATTTCGTCTGTGCAGCGTCCATCCTCTGTGATTTGTTATCCTAGATAGCAGTAGCTCTTTACTTGTTCTAAAACAGTCTTTCCTGACGTTATTTGGATTTTTGTTTTCCGGAAATTTTTCGATGACCATTACTTTGGTCTTTTTAGCATTTAATTCCATCCCGTAGATCTTGCATGTTTCAATTAATCTTGTTATCATTACTTGGAGATCGTGTTCTGTTTCTGCAATGATGATCGTGTCGTCTGCATATCTTATATTAGTTATTGTGACACCATTTACTTTGATTCCTCTTGTGTCATCTAAAGCTTCCTGGATAAGTTCTTCGCTATACATATTGAATAGAATTGGTGAGAGGATGCAACTTGTTTAGAATTTAATAAAAAACAATTATAGTGGAAGTAAGAATTACCCAACAATTTATTTCAGCAACTTTCAAACATTGCGATTGAAACAAGCAACGAGAGACGTCTTTTCAAAGGTGTTGCAGGCAGCAGAACAAACTATGGAGAGCTTTTTGGTTTAAAGAATTTATTTGTGCTGAGGAAAACTGGCTCGAATCTTACAAACGATGTTCTTAGAAGAACAGAAAAGATTGAATGCGGTGTTAGGAGCTCAGAATATGAGTTGAAAAGATCCTTGAGCAATAAGGAGGTGAGAAAACTTAAAAAAATTTATCATGTGTAAGTGAATTAGATGGCTGTTTATCGTTTAGCTATCAAAGAAGTTCAACTTCTAGGATAATCATGGATTTATTGACGCATGTTACCTTGATGCATTTCTAGGTTTTCTTAGAAATGAAATAGGAAATTACACGTTCTTTTTTATACTTCTGGTGTATTTGGCAAGTAATGAAAGACTATGATGAAATAACTAAAAAAACCTTTGGCACCGCAAATGAAAGCCCTTTTAATATTTGTTCCAGGTTACCAAACAAAAACCGTTAGCAAATTAGGGTAAGATGGTCCTCAGAATATTTTACCAATTATCAATCATAAGACTGAAGGTGGCGTTCTCTCATCATTTGGACCATTTATTTTTGGGCTGTCGGTGCGCCAATCGCAAAGACGGCCATAAATAAAAACCCAACCGCTTTTAGGGGGTTGAGAACAAGAACAATGGCCTTCTTCCGCCGATTAGCACCACCTTGTTCTTGCAAAAATTGCAAGCCATATGGCCATTAACTAATGCACGAAGAAAAGAAAGATGAATTTAACATGCCTGCAAACACCTAAAATACCTAGATATGGGTAGGGTGGGCAGGGTCGCAAAGGAAAACCTTTCCTCTCTACGTCTAACTTCAGGTTATCTTGTAGCGTGTGAGAGTAAAACTATACCAAGACAAAGTTTATATACCTAAGGCCAATGCACACTTGCACTATTGTTGCTTTAGCCGTATAAAAAACACAATGTAATGCTTACTCGAGCACTCCTACAATAAACACAAACTCCACTTAAATTTCATTAAATCAAGCTGGAAAAACGTTTCCTACATGTACCCATTTAGATTAAGAAAATTTAACGATGACGACAATATGTTGAAACAGATAAAACGAACTCAATCTGATATAACTTAAAAATCTCCGAACAGAAAGTCTCTCAATCTTTATGCGACTTGATTACTCTAAGTTTATCAAATTTGTATGTTTAGTAGGAGATTAAGGTAAAAGAAAACATTGTGTTTGATTTCTTCTGTTTCGTTTCAGTACAAGAGAGATGTGACCTTAAACTCTGATTTAGATGAATACGAAGACAGTCAATGTATTGAAGAAATTGAAAGTGACCTTGAGGCCGATGTCAATGAAACTTATAGCACACAGCAACGAGATCATTCAGGGCAGAGAGCTTGTGATAGAGAAAATGACGTCGTAAGTGAATCTTCAACAGACAATGAGCTCTATCCGCCACTGCGATGGAAGCAAGGGCGAAAAGAAGGTGTTGAAAGCTCTTCACTCTCCAGGGGAGCCAAGAAAAAAAATTATATGAGGAAAAATGCAAAAGTCAGAAAGAAGAAGAAGAAGAGAGGTTCTTTTATTGAAAGCACAAGTGATGACACGTCTTGTGAAGAGGATAAAACTCCCCAAAGGTATCGTAGGAAAAATTCGTAAGTACATCGTGATAATTTGATAATCAGTTAGCAGTTGTTAAAATTTTTTGTCTTCTTGCCTGTGGTTCATGTAATAATAAGATGCTAACATAACTGTACTTAAGTTTTATCCGTATCAGAACTTTTTCTTACCTCATTTTTTTTCATTTCAAAAATTAATTCCAAATTGTTAATGATAATGAAACAGTTTTGTGCCTCTTGGCGGAGTGTCTTGATACTGTTCTTTGGCTTTAGAAGGTATATTTGCTTAAAAATAATTTGAATTTACCCTTTATAGAACACTGAAGGAAGATGCCAAAGAATCAATTGACGATATTCTAGGTATAAAGTTTGTACGCTTAAAAAATCATATTTTCTTTATATGTTAACTTGTGGTTATCGTTTAGTGAATTTGGTGTATCATTCTAAATCTAATGTTGTTGATTGGCGGGTTGAATTGACCAATGAAATCCACGATCATATTCACGTGCAATGACACGATGGTTCACGCTGTGGCTTGGGAATGGCACCCTATTAAAGTATATAAACACAGCCAATTTGTCTTCATAAAGGTCTTTCAGGATCTATTTCCAGCTTTTTTTTTATTTTCAATTTCGAGGAATATTGCTGCTAGGAATTCAAATTAATTATTGAGGTACTAATGATGAATGTGGATGAAAAGATAAACAAATATACTTTTCTTTGCAAGATGAATGTGGTGTCACGTATACCAGTACGAAGAAGAAAGTTTTATCAAAAAGCGTCGCTGAAGACATGATGTCAAAGGAAGCAATCAAGGATGTCTTCTGGAATGGAATTTATTCACAGCAACCTGCACACTTCATCGACCATTCGGTAAGGCATGCAAAGATTAAATCCAAAATCTCTCTTAATAAGCGAGTTGACGAATTCTTTGTCAACATGGCTGGGAATTTCGTTAGCAGATTCTTTCCATTTCGTTTGCAAAGAAGATTTTGAAGTAACTTTGTTGTAAAATGCAGTTCTTATTCTTTAAATCTGGTGAGCATAGCAATGGCCTTTTGTGTGTACTTTTGTGATTTTCAGAAAAGATGTTAGAAAAGACTCTACGCACTGCTTTTCCAGTTGATCCTCTAATGTTGCTGAAATATTTTCTCTGAATTAAACTTTCTAAAAAAGACATTCAGAGGGAACCTGTATCGTGATTTTAGAATTTCATCTCCAAATGCAAGTGCAATCTCAATGTATTTGCTATTGTGGTTTTTTCCAAATTCCATTGTATCCTACACAACATTTTGTATTTTTTCACTAACAATTTTTTCAGTCTTTTCAAATATTCAAATTTTTGCTCAATTTGTGATTGCTCAAATTGTTTTTCTTGCTCTTTTCCATCCAGTCAAGTGAAGAGAGCGATGACGTACTGTGCACAGCAAGAAGTAAGAAACCGGATGCGGAAAAAGCTTCATGTAGTAGCCGGACTGAACAAGATGACAGAAATCCTCCTTACTCTACGTCATCAAAGCAACGAATATTTGAACGGGTTGGAAAAGATATGTTTTTAATAGGTGAAACTCCGCCTCTTTTAAGAAAACAACAGTTCGAGAAGATCAGCAAATATTTCGGGTTTGAGACTCCTTTGGAGTTTGCGAAAGAATTAGTTAAATGTTCAGAGGGGGAGCTCAAACTGAAATTGTTAGATTTCTATAAATCAGAAGAACCATCGATTGTGCGGATTTCGTCATTAAGGAATGTTTATTTTGTTGCGAAAGAGAAAAGTCATTGTGCTAACCCCGGGCAATCCCAGAATGCCTTGCGAGGCAGGTCACAAAGAAAACAGGAGGCAGGAGTCAAGACTCGACTAAGAAATCACGGAAAGCAAAGTTTTTTATCGAGAGGAAAAAGGAGACAAAAGAAAATTGAGTTTGAGCCAGACCTTGTGTTTGAAAGAGATCGTAGGGACGAGGGTGTTGTGTCCGATGATGAAAATGTTGCTGCAAATTGTCATATTGAAGTAGATGAGCATGGATCTTTCAATAGTTCGTCTGAAAGTGATAACGTTATCTCTCATTTTGATAAAAGGATGACGCTCAAACTGCAAGCTGAAATGGGCCTCAACAGGTTCAAAAGCCGAATCTCTTTTGACGATGTAGGCTGTAAAAGATCTACAGAAAATAATGAAGAAAATGTACAGTTATCACTAGAATTGACTAACTCTGAGGGCAGTAATGGTATTCTTGATGACTTGATGTTCTCCCCTATTAACAGGGCTTCGAGGCCGTCTCAGCCTGATTCTGAGCATCCAGTGGATATCACAATGTTGTGTAGTTGCAAAGGACTGGGTGAGGCATGCAAGAGAATAATTACAGATGCTAATGAATCACCGTTGCCTTTGTCGGTCCTTGATGAACTGATGCACGGAGTAGTGCATAGTAGCGAAACAGAGATTAATGAAGGAGCTTTAAAAGAGCATACTGGAGATGAGCTCGTCGTTTCAGATAAAGGTCGCATTATTTGTGCCAACACTTGCCAATCACAAGATTCTCCATCAGTTTTAGATGAGTTGATGGGGTGAAATTCATCTCTTTTATCACACCCCTACAGTAATGAAGGACCACTCCTTAACGAAATCAACTTGTTCTTGTATTCCTTCTAGATGGTAAAAGCCTTGTATCAGAAGTTTCCTATGTATTAACACTTCACAACAATGGACCAACAAAGAGCCCCACAGGTGCCTTTTGCGTGGAGGTACTTTACTTTTAGGAATTACACTTTTGTTTCAGCTTTTACAGATTACCAAAGAAATTCGCTAACTTGGGACTCCCAATTTTTCTTATAATATAATGACCTTTCTCAGAGCAAAATTGCGATTGTTTTAGAAAGGTTTTTTACATATAGTTTTTTGAAAATTTTTATATCAAGTTCAAAATTTAACCCTTGACTGTCTTATATTAGGCCATTGATACCAACCCTCTATAAAGTGTCAGTGTAAAAGTACAATGACATATTACATGTAAAATAAACTAACTACAGTGAGCCACCAGAAAAGGGAATTTGATAACGTAAATTGTATACAGGGTATTTTTGAGTGTCAGGGAGGGTATTTGAATTAGGAGAGCATTTTCGTATTTTATGAGAGTAAATTTTGCTCTGGGCCTAAAACCTGAAGCGGGTTTAATATGAACATCATGTCATAATGATATTAATGAATAATTACAAGTATTTACTTGAAAATATGTTATTACTCGTGTGATATATTGTAAATACGGCATTTGGTATAGAAACTAATATAACTTAGAGCGATGTCTAATCAAATAGTAGTTTTTATCGTCATATTTACTGAATTTATATCTTTATCGGTCGTCTTCTTTCTTAAGTGGTTATATAAGGCTTTGTCAAGTGTCCAATAAACATATTGTACAGTACCAGTTTTTTGCATCCTTTTTTTCTTTTAAAAGGTAGATCATGGTTGGTCATTTAGAATTGTAAGGGAAAGCAATGAAATGAACAAACAGAGGTATCGATAAGATTAAGCGATTTAGTAAGGAAGAAATGGAAACTGAAGTCAAACGAGAGCAGAAATGTCCAGAAGGGGAAAAGAGAGAAAGAGCGGGAATGTGAAACGAAGGAAGAAGCGAGCTCAGATAGAGAATAACATCACTGCTCACTCCCAGCGCTAATGCTACGAATACCTACGTACAGTGATAAGATATTGTCTTCCTGGAAACTTAGATGCGCAAAGCTCTAGATGAGCACCTCCTCTATAATGCTTTCATTGAGTAATTAAATTATCTATCGCATACTGTCTTGTAAAGCCTGAACATTTTTTACACAGCAATAGCAGGAATTCGAGAGATAAACAAAATTTTATCAAAGTAACAACATATCATTGAATCCATGTATTGATATATACATTTAAAACGCTAAAATCCAATTACAAATTTATTCAACCAAGGCTTATTCCTGGTCAGATTTAAAATTTTCCAATGGACTCTACTATAGTCAATATATCTTTAAACATGTCCTGGAAATGTCAGGGTGATGTCTTTATTCAGCAAATGCCCATTTGCTCAGCTTCAGCCAATGAGCACTGGTATGGCACAATTTTCTTCAGTATGATTTGCGCTGTTGCAAATCTATTGTAAACGCCTTTCTGAACTTGCATAGGAAACTCCTTCCACTGAGCCTGAAAGACCAAGTTCAGCATGGCCATTTGCATGTTTAATGTGTCGTCCAATCTACTGCTGTACATCTTTTCAAAGCAATGCCTCTTTTGCTCCTCCACAACAGTTTGATTCACCATCACACTGGCCATGATGCATTCTGGGGTTTCTTTGGTGACGATTTCGATCATTGGCAACTTAAACCGCTCTTCCTGGTCTGCAATCGAGGCCCGAACACCGCAGAGGACTTTCGGAGAAAAGTAGCACATGTGAGCGTAAAGGCCATCTGGAAAATGAAGAAACTTTATGAATAGAATGATAATTAATAGCGACAGATTATCATACTTGAGATTGCGAAGTTTTGCTATCTGAGAATGGAGTTTCATGTATTTTAAATATAAATTTTTAGGGAACTGTCATGGAAGCAGTAGCCTGGATCGTTCGGTACATTTCAATTCAAAGAAATGTTATACATATTCCTACATACCCATGACTTTCTCCTTCTCGGGATCATATTCTTGGTTCTCGCTGTACATGTCACAGTTTTCAGTCAATTCTACTAAGAAAAAGAACATTGCTACATTACAAAATAGCTAAGTGCATGCATAAGCTATCTACAAGTAAACGAATCATGAATGTACACAGTATTTCACAGCTTGTAATGATTCAACAAAACCTCTCCTCTGGAATAAGCTCCCTTTTGAACAACCCTTCCTCTTCAGCATAGATTTTAGAATAAGCCGCATCTCTCGAATATGCTCCCCCCCCCCCTTATTATAATGTCATGTTTAAGAAAGACAGCCCATTGATAAAAACCTCTTCACATTGTTTTCTACATTAAATCACATACATGAATATATTATAGTTTCATACAAGCTAATATAAAAACTTTTTTATCGAATTAACTTTTTGTCCATTTTTGTCACCAATCTTGTTGTTTTCTTAGTATATTCTGACAATAAGATCAACTTTTTAATAAGCCCCCACTAGGCTACTCCCATCTTGCATAAAGCCCTCTTTTCAGAAAATAAATATCGAATTTGCTTTTGAATTCAAATTTATACGATGTTACAACAGGAATAAAAAACTTTAAGGCTACAAGCAAAGAGTGGTCGCAAAATTTATTGTAAATAATCTAATGTTGTCCGAATGTATGTCACGTTGAAAATTTGTATGAACTACACAAGCGCAATGTAAATTGACGGAAAAAGACTTTAGTAGAGAAAACATTAAACCTACCATTGCATGCTGTTTCCTGGAATAATCTTCTGATTTTTTGCAGAATCCATTGCAGGTCTGCGTGCCTAAAGACTGATTTTTATGAAAGTAAATTACTATCATGTCATATTATCACATTCCAAAGTCAAAAAAGATTTAATCGCTACTCCATAATACTAGCTCTTTGTGCTAGTCTTAATGTTGTAGAGAATAAGTAATTTTTTCAACTAGTCTTGCAGTTTCAAGAAATGTAAAAGAGCTTTTTACTTTTCAAGTAGTTCTATTGATCAGGCAGATTCTACGCATGATGAGGTTTAGAATCAGAAGGTGAGAGATAATCTCTTTTTACCTTCTATTAACCACCTTAAATTTTTTGCAGGAAGAATTTTTAAATTTTTGAGATGAGCTTCCATCATCTTTCTTCATGAGCTTCTACAAAAAGTTCCTGCTTTCTGGTAGATGACAAGGGCATGAAAAATTGTATTGAATAGATACCTGGCACTAGGCTTTTGGCTTTTGCCTCGTCGTCTCCACTCGCTGTCTTCAATATTGGATCATTTTCTCCAGGCGCTTCGGTATTTTGCTTAGCAAGCTCCATCACTGAAAAGATATTTCTTTGAGATTATTGAAGGAAAAATGCACAAGAATTTAGTTGTTATTATTATTTCATAAAATCCATAATTTGTTACAAAGCTAGGGATTTTATCCAAAAAAAGTTAACACAGTTCAGATGCTACTTATGTAGAAAGTAAATTCTTCTTGCAAACTAGAGACAACACTTCGAAGGAAACCCTAATTCTCTTAAAAACAGAAATAATTTAGTTCTTGTTTAATATTAGTTATAAGCAATATTATTTTATCTTCCAAATAAAATCGTGCTAGAGCTACACTTTCTGTCCTCGTAGTTCACAATAGATTCATTTTTTAAAGTTTTGTCTTCTGAACATGCAAAATTTGCGTACCATTGCCTAAAAGTTATATTATGTAAAGTAATATAATTCAAGGATAGTGGTCAATTGGTGGTCTTAAACTGAAAGATACGTGAAAGCCACATTTTTCTTTTGTTGATTTAAGGCTCTAATGCTCCTAATGTTGTCCTTGTTCTAAAATTGATTTTCTGCAGCTTCGTTCTAAGTACAGTGAATGACGATATTGCAAGAAATTTTCTTTAACACGGTTGTCTGTTTGTTGATATGAGAAAAGATTCTATCTGATTATATTATATTTGACGGTTATATAAAAAACTTTTTATCTTTCGAATTTTTCATCTGAAGCTCGAAATGTTTAAATTTATGCCAAAAATTCCAATTATCAGTGTAAGAAAAGAATCTTACTTTCTTTCTTTGTCCTTTGCTTCTTTATTCTGAGAACAGCAGAGCTTTGTTTGACTTCATTATCCACGAAGGAGCGGCCTAAGTGTATCAAAATTGTGAAGATTTGTCTTTATCAAAGGTTTTCCATTATAGACGATTTATTATTTCAATGATATAAAGTCGAAAACAATAAAATCAAAAACAGGTGCTATAAAAGTTCTGTTTGATAGAAAAACATTAAAGATATAAAACAGACAAAAAAATAATACACTTAATTTACCACGCAAGATAGATCCGATACAATAATTGGGAATATTTTTTCCCCTATGTCTCCTTTTTTGTATTTCGACGAACATTCAGACTTCATTTGCCCTAATCACTTACATTAAATCTCACGAAAGCTAATTCAAATACCTGGAGCTTGATTAGTTTCAGTAAAAAATGACTTTGATAATCCAAGCTTGTAAATGATGTCAATCGCTGAATCTGTCGAGAAAAAATTATTTGAATGAATTTTGCATCCCGTTTGAAAATTGTCATTCCCATGCAATCCTCACTTAATTTATAACAATACTATAGATTAGTGATAACAACTTTCCAAGCACTTTTTGATGGAGCTGTTTTTTTAAAATAACCAGTTTCTTTGTATTTATTTGGTTTCGGGGCTATCTCTCGATTAGTTCTTTTACTTAGAGAGATATTCTTAAAACAATCGACCGTGAGTACAATCAGGTAAAGAACACCTTTTTCTCTATATTTTCATAATTTTCCTTTTCTCTTAGTTTTTATTATTTTATTTTGGTGTTGTAATGTGTTAGTTGTTAAGAATTTTTTAAATTGAAGTAAGTATTGATTGACAATGTAATTGAAATTAAATATTATAAAACTTCAAAGAAAAAGTAATAACAATTATGTTTGTATTATATAAGTTATTGACCCTCCGAAACCGAGTGGCAATAATAAAAAATCTTTTGACTAACCATCAAGACCTTTTGCTTTCAGATCTTTGGCAAAAAGTTCCTCTGCAATACTTCGTTTGTAACGCTTGGAATGTGAATCCCTTTGAAACATATTCTTGATACGATCTGGAAAGCAATAAGACCGATTTGTATCATTGAATGCTCTTACTTATAATTTTAATCGTTTCATTTAGAAAGCTTCAATTTTTGCACGTCAGTTGTTTAATGTTAGCTTATAATAGTAACCATATAATAAGCTTTTAAAGCGGACTCGTAATTTTGTTAATGCAACAGTGTGATTTGGCAATTGGAGAATATTTTTTCATATGAATTACAAACCTGTGTCTTTTCGAACTTTTTCTTTTTGAGAAGATTCTTTATCGTTTCCAAAACCGGCTGACTTTGAATTCCTTTTTCTCATCTGTTTGAAAAACTGTCTAATTTTCCAAATACGGGAAACTGGTTCCTGAAAATAAATAAACTTAAATTTCATTTGTAATTTTTTGAACCTTAAAAAAGGAAACTATTTCAGTCTATAAAATATCAATTTGCCAATAAAAATATTAGAAAACATTGTTCACTGTTTGATAAATAATTGTTCATCCTCTGACGTACTCTAATGTCTTAATCAAACTGATTTAATCATAACATGATATAATATATATTACCTTTTTCATTGATTCTTCACTCTCCTGTGAAGGTTTGTCTTGTTTTGAAAGAACTTTTCCCATCTTTTGACGAATATTAAATTCACCTCAGCAACTCTTTTCTAATAAAGTCTCGATAAATCTCGAACTGAAATCACAAGCAACTAGTAGCATAAACTACAAGCGAGCATGTAAAAACTGTTTACTTCGATGCTTTTGTTCTCTTTTATAGCTCTGTACAAATTTGACGTCACAATCAAAATATAAATATCTAGAGACGTCTCAATCAAAATTACAAGCAATATGAAATTCGCAATTTGACGCAACAATGTGAACATGTTTTTTAATCGCAATATTTTGAGGAATTTTGACAAATTTTTGAGACTGTTAAAGTTCATAAATGACACATGCGCAGAAAAAAAAATTCATGAGATAAGCGTTCGCGCATCGGAAAATTCGCTTGACGAATAGTTGAAATAGTTTCTACTTTTCGTCAGGCGAAATTATTCGAGGTAAACATGGGACAATAAAACTGCACGATTTACATAATAGCACTTTGCAGGATGACATTCTCACAGCAACCGGAACTTAGTAGCAGTGAAATTGACTTGCAGTTACGTTCTTTACTGGGTAGATTAGGCAATAATTCTTCTCCTGAAGCAAAAATTGTTTTTCAAATGCGGATTTAATTGGTATTCACCTTTATGACCTCTAAATTTATGAAATTTGTGCACCCCTTCTTTCGTGCTTAGTTTTAAAATCTGGCTTCTCCTCCAATGTAAATATAAATGAATCTCTTTTTTCTCGTATATAAGAATGGTAAAGGACAGCCACGAGACAACATATTTGTCCTAAAAATCTCGTGCGCGCTGAAATTTGATCGAAATCAGCAAGCTAGTGTCAGTGGAGGTGACTTATACCTAAGTGATAGAACACAAAGTGTAAGCATTAATGCAGAACTTTCTGAAAACCGTGAAGAGAAGATGGTGTTCCTCAGGGCAGCGTTCTCGGACCTTTGTTATTCTTACTTTATATGAACAATTTATTTGCTGATGATGCTAGTATCTTTTTTTCTGATAACGACGCCAATAACTTAGAAAATGTAATGAATAAAGAACTCAAAGATATTTCAGATTGGCTGATTGCTAATTAGCTGACATTAAACGTCAATAAGTCCAATTTTTGTTCATCTACCCTTCTCAAAGAAAATTACACAAAAATTGAACTAAAACTAAATAATGAACCAATAAAACAAGTAGAAGAAGCTTAATATCTTGGTGTTCTTATTAATAAAAATTTAAGTTGGAAGTCCTACATTCAAAATGTAAATACAAAAATATCACAAAGCATTGGCATCCTAAGAAAAGTAAGACATTTTGCACCACAAAATATATTGCTTAACATATATTATGCTTTTGTACCACCAAACATACTTTATGGGCTCTTAAACTGGGGTAGTGCCTTTAAAACTGCACTAGATCCACTCAGGCTTGGTTTCGGGAAATTTTGGGGGTTGGGGGGGGGTGGGGTTGCAACTGTTTATCTACTGAGTACATTTTGGCAGCATTACACTTCGTTAATGCAATCAGAATATTTTAGCATTGTTGATATTTAAATTTCAGCTATTACAAAGCAACTTCAGCTGTCAAACTATTGGTTTGATGAAAGTTCTAAAATAAGCTTTTGTGGTCACGTAGGTCAACCTTTAGAAACAGTGAATCGAACTCTTCTGTTCTTCAACCGGACCCACTTCTTGATAACATAAAAGTTCTGTGAAAAGTATTTCTCGCACCAAATTAGCGTAAGAGATGTAGACGACCTGGAGCATTGTGCTTCGCAGTTTCAGAGACGGGCCACAAAACTTTTTTGAAATAAAGCCTTCTAGAATGGCTAAAAATGCATTTCCCAGGCTAAAATGTCTTTGTCAAATTGTCTTCTGTGATGTTCCTGAAAATTGTCTCCTGGATCAACGGAAAAACTGAACTGCAGAACTTTTTAATATCTTTGAATGTTTTTAAAAATTACACGAAGGACAATTTTCTACAAAAAAGATTATCTACCTAATAAAATCCCAATTTTACCGATTAAAAAACATAAATGCCTATTCTTGAGGGGGGGGGTGTTACACCCACAACACCCCCCATAGGACCGGCCCTGGATCCACTACATAAAAAGTTAAAAAAAAGCTGTACGTCTGATAACATTTAAAAATAAAGCCGAACATAGTAAACCAATTTTTAAATGCCTGTACAATTTAAGTTTTGAAGACTGTTACAAACTTGAGTGTGCTAAATTTGTGTATGATATTAACAAAAGTATAGCCAAAACCTCTATCAGTAAACTCTTTAAAAAAGCCAAAAATACTCATAATTACAAAACAAGATTTGCTAGGTCAGGAAAATTTTCTAAGCCAAGTTTTAGAACAAAATTTGGTAAAAATTTCATAAAAATGTTGGTGTAGATGTTTGGAACTCCATTCCACAAGACACAGACAATCAGGATCAAAACAACTTCTGCTAATGCCTTAGAAACATTTATGATCTCAATATACTAGTACCCCCTTCCACTATAGTATTGACTCACAAAAAAAGTCAAGTACTCTAACAAAGTTTCAAAGGCATTCCACCACCTTTCTTTATCCCCTTTTTAATTTTCAACACCCTTCCCTCAAAACAAATAGATTAGATTTACGTTTAAACTATTATATTCGAGACCAACTTTTCTATTATTCAAAATGTTTGTTCCTAGTTTAAAAAAACGTTATTTTTGTTTATTAATGTTGTGTATTGATTTATAATTACTTCAAGCAAAGTTCACAAAAGATGGCACATGGCTCAAAAGCTCCTATTGGTTATTAGCACGTGTCATTCAGCTATAACTTTATAGATACAAATAATTATTTTAAATATCTGAACCTTTTATGTATTGAAGTAAAACTAAAATTGTATCTTGATTAAATGTTTGATAGCTCCAAGGGACACACCCACTTTTTCACCCGCTCTATGAAAACGAGGCATTTTGATGGCAGTCATTCACGTACGTGCCAACAAGTGTGCATGAAAACACCAACTGGTGGTGTAAACAAACGCTGTTTTCTATTTTTCGCTGTTAAGCGATCGCTGGCTTACAACAGAACAAAATGTTTAAAATATACAAGCCTTTAGCAGTTAAAAGACTACTGCGGTCTTCATTAGGAAATATCACTTTGCAGAAAAATGTAAGTCATGTGGGTCAGAATTTTTCTTGTTTTTTAAGGTCGTGATCTTTCATGTCCTGATCATAAAACAGGAGAAGAATAATTCTGTTGTGGCGTTAATACTAGAAACATGAAAGTTTATAGGGATAATCAAGTTGTTTATGCTTTGATATGTTCCACCCACAATGCACAATGTACAATACGTCCCTTTTGTATTTCAGAGTATTTGTACCACCAGTCATCTTCATGCAAAGTTTTTTCCAAGTCCCGTTGAAGCTATTAAAGATATCCCAGATGATTCAAAATTGCTAGTTGGTGGTAAGTGTTGTTTTGTTCTAATTCAATGGCAAAAATAGTATCGAAGATTCTGGTTAATTTTGAGGTTTTGTGTGAAAACTAGCCTGCAAGTTCTCCATAATCTTTCGAGTAAACAAACAGTGTCTCGCTGTCTGCATTGAAGCTTTTTCAAAGATATACAATGCATATAAATTCTGTTGTGCTAAGAGAATTTGAAATTTCTTTGTTGATGCAACAATATTGGCTAGTTGTGATTAGGCTAGCCTATCTGAAAAAAATGATCCAGAAGAAAATAACGAAAAGTTAGAATTGAGAGAAAGAGAGAAAGACCATGCAAAGATCAGCCATAAATTTCACCAAAATTGACTTATCGAGGCTGTAAAATGTGTTCCTGCCCAATTGTTTTCATCCTTCATTCCATCCACACCAGACAGCAAACTTAATTTTTTTGCGTGTGCAAATTCACGCGCCCAACTGCATGACTGCAAGCCTGAAATCATGCATTTTTAAGAAATTTGTATTGTTAATAATGTGAAATGTATTCAAATAGGGACTTTGTGCAGCCAATATGCAAAAGTGCACAGATGGAGAATTTGAGTGCGCAGGCAATATATCGCAGGCGCGTGACAAAGTTTCCAGTCTGGCATCCACATAAGCTAAGAATATGCCATATTCCTCAATTAAAGTTTACATTTCTGATTACAAAAAAACAATAAATCCAAGGTCACTTACAAATTTTGCATACGATATCTTGCCAAATATTTGTTATCTACAAATTTGCCAAAGATCCGTTTCCTGCACAACAACAAAAACTTTAATCTCTGGGAAAACATGGTTTGATCATATTAAGGGACTTGTACCTAGAATTCCTGGCTATTTATTACTTCATTATGATTTGTAATTTCATAAAAGAAATAAATCTAAACAAACTGGTATCTTCAAAGTAGAATAACTGCTTTTTTATGTAGGGTTTGGTTTGTGTGGAATTCCTGAAAATCTCATTGGAGCTTTAGTTGAACTTAAGAAAAAAGGACTGACATGTGTGAGCAACAATGCTGGGTAAGAGTTGGTAGAAGGTTATACCATTTTTCTATGTATTTTGATCCAGTATTATGAGAGGTTTGCAGTATCAGTTTTAGTGGAAAGCATTAGGGAATGTTTGTATGAAGCAAATTGTTTGGGACACATTTTGCCATGCTTGTGAGCTTGTTATGTAGAGAGCCATTAAAGGTGGCTTTTATTTTTCTGAAGTTTTTGCACAATTATTTTCATGAATCTCTTTTTCTTTGTTATCTTTTAAAAAGACCAACAGCTCTGAATTTTCAAAGAACGATTTAGCCAGACTTTCCCAAACTTTTCAAGCTGAACAAATGAGTTTTATATGAGCTGGGATTGAGAACATTTTTGTTTTCTAACTGACAATAGAAGTTTTAAGAGGAGACTTCTTTCACTGTAGACTGTAGAAATTTTGCAATCTGCAGACAAAAGGGGGAGGGGACAGCAGGCAAATTGCCCAGGGGCCTTGTGGTGGCCTCTTAAAGTATTGAATTCTGTTGTAGAAATTGAATTAACTAAACCAAACAAAAGAATGCCTTATGTAAAATGTTTAAATGATAGCAACATGTTTAAATGAAAGTAAAATGTTTAAATGATAGCAACAAAATGATTATGCGATATTCTGAAATGTGTTTTAAGCTAATCTGATGGATGTGGTGGTTGGAAAGAAAAACAGGGGACCTTATCTTACCATTTTGCCTTTGGCCTCTGAAACCTCTTGGCGGCCCAGGCAGTCTGTCTGCTTTTTATTTTTGTATCATATTTTAGAGAGTACAATCTATCTAATTAAAACTGATATAACTTTGTTTCTTATAAACATTAGAGTGGATGATTTTGGTCTTGGTCTTTTGCTACAAAACAAACAGGTTCTTAAATTTATTGTTCTTTGGCTTATATGAATATCATATTCATGTTTTTTCATAAAATTTTAGACTGAGACTAATTTGTTAAGTGAATTTAATCAGAGCAAACAAGACTATTTCTTACTTTTACTTTGCATGAACCTCATTGTTCATTTGTTCTAATCGCATTTTTATATGTGATAGCCATTGGTTAGTCATGCTATTCTGATACTGTCTTTGTAATGTAGAATTGTTGAAAGAAGAGCAAATAGGCCTGATGGTTTTTGAAAAATCTGCAACATTTTCATATATGCATAATGTTTCTCTTATCTACAGAATAAGCACAGAAGATAGACAGGCAATAACGCTATTTTTCAATGGAATGAACTTTCCCTGTTGATAGCTTATCAGTGCTGTCATATTTGGGGGGACTGTCCATTGTATTCCTTCTTATTCAGTACATTGTTATAAAGGAAACATACTTCAGTTTGACAACTATTTGGGGGCTCTTGGCCCCCCAGCTCCCCAGGTTCCTATGGGCCTGTTATAAATACCTCAGGTTTTAATTCAGATCAGATTTTTTGAATAAAAGTTCATTATAATTTGTATCTTTAGGTGGTTAATTTTGACTTTGTTTGTCAGGTTAAGAGAATGATCTCATCATATGTTGGAGAAAATGCTGAATTTGAACGCCAGTTTTTGAGTGGAGAGTTAGAGGTTGAGCTCACTCCACAGGTAAGTTAAATATTGTTCAATTTCCTGTTAATAACTCTGAACATCTATATCATTAGTGAAATTAAATTCTACTTTCGTTCGTTACTGCAAAAATTAATTTTGTTATACAAGCATAGCAAAACTTAATGAAATTTGTAGTACAAAAGGGCTAATTTAGCAAGAAATATTTTTGGGAAACTTTTAAATTTTCTCAGCTCATTACATTTTCAGTAGAAGTTTCAATTAATCAACATGATAAACAATGAAAAATCAATCTTGATTTAGGTAAATTAGACTTATTTGATATTCTTATTCTTTACACAGGGAACATTGGCAGAAAGGGTCCGAGCTGGAGGTGCTGGTGTTCCGGCCTTTTTTACACCAACCGGATACGGTACATTGATTCATCATGGCAATGCGCCAATCAAGTATAACCCAGACGGAACAATAGCAATTGCCAGCAAACCCCGTGAGGTAAGTTTGGAATTGATTCATTGATTCAAAGGGATGAGTAATTAAATAAATAAATAAAAAAATATAAATAAATAAATAAATAAATAAAGGAAATAACTTCATAGAGTATGCAAATGCAGAGGTGAAGATTTGATGTTTTTATGAATAAATAATTATTAATTCATATCCATATTGTTTTGCTTGTTTTAGTATCCAGCGCTGTTGCTTTAACATATAATGAATTATTGGCTTGTACATTAAATCTTTTACTGCAGCAAATTTGCAAACAATGTATTGTAATCTAAGCTAATTGGTAATCATTGCTATTCAAGATTAATGAGCGGTATTGTGTGTTGATTGATTTCGAGCAAACTTTGGGTTAAAGGAAATTAATTTATTAACAATAACACCTCCCTTTATTTCCTCAGAGTCTAAAATGTGCTTCAAAGAACACACCATTTTTGGAATGTCTTAAATCTCGTTTAACATTTATTTACTGTTTTATAGTTATTGGTTATTTTGAGCTCTTTTGAGCACAGTAGATACTTCATTTTGTAATGCTACTTTGATCAGCCTGTTATTTTCATCACTATCAAAATATCACTTAATCTTGAAATGATTTAGGATTCTCAAATCATTATTTAGGAAAGAGAATTCAACGGAAGGCATTATATCATGGAGGAAGCTATTGTAGGAGATTTTGCACTTATCAAAGCATGGAAGGCTGATCGACTGGGCAATCTAATATTCAGGCAAGCAATTGACAATTCATTATCATAGGCTTTTCCATACCTATTCACCAACCAAACCTTAATACACCGCCGAACACCCCCAGACACCATCAAATGTCGCCAGACACCATCAAACGCCCCAATCACCGTGAAACATCGCCAATCACCGTCAAACACCGCCAAACACCATGAAACGCCACCAAACACTATCAAACGCCACCAATCACCATCAAACGCCGCCAAACACCATCAAATGCCGCCAAACACCATTAAATGCCGCCAAGCTCCGTCAAACGCTGCCATTCACCGTCAAACGCCACCAAACACCATCAAACGCCACCAATCACCATCAAACGCCGCCAAACACCAATAAACGCCGCCAATCACTGTCAAACGCCATCATTCACCGACAAACGCCGCCAAATATTGTGAAACGCAGCCAAATTATTTTCAAGCACCGCCAAACAGTATTTTAACAACTGCCAAATCTTTATGCACTTTCATGTTGTATTTTTGGCCGATTCACTCCCACTAGGTGGCTGTATCGCTTAACCGCTAAAAGATGTGGCGTTTGACTGGTGAAATCTCGTTGTAGCAGAGAATAGAATTCTCAGCCACGATACCTTGATTGAGCACTGAAATATATGCAAGATATATGCAAGTTGGCCTCAAACCACTAACATTTTTAATTCGTTTGCAATAGATACGGATCGGGCTAATCTAGTACCAGTCGCTATGCTTCTGTGACATATATTTTCTGTTAATCTTTTAGAAAATCCGCGAGAAATTTCAATGCACCAATGGCCAAGGCTGCCAAAGTTACTATTGCCGAGGTAACGTAATGAATGAGTTTTTTACAAGGATCTATCCTCTATGATATTAAATTGATCATCTACCGCTAATACTTGTTGTTTGTAAAATTCGCCAAAAGAAATTCCTGGGGATTTGGAACCATTTTTGTCAACTTGATAAAAAGACATCACCTCGCTATAAGGTATGTCCCATCATAAATAGTTTCTCCGGTAAGGCACTAGTTATTCATCTGCGTGCATCAAGACTACTGTAGCCCCGCCATATGAAATTCAAATATGAATTATACAAAATATATGATGTGAGTGTAAATGTATTGTTAAAATCTAATATAAATCTGTTGTTCAATAAATATCTACTTTATTTCTCCTAACCTAAAGCGTGCCCACTTGACATTTTTGAATTGTTTTTTGAAGTTGGAAATTTGAAGATTTAAGAAGATATAGCTACAGCGTAATGTTTTTATATCCTGGATGAGTTCAAGACGAAAATAGCTTCAACTTTATTATCGTGGTATTAACTGCATAACCATCGTAAGTCCCTGCTTCGGTGTTCTGAAAATTAATTTCCATCACGCGGTAGGGGACTTTGCGTAAAGATGATGTTTTTGGAAAAATTTACGTGTCTTTTATAATCCTATTTGCTATCCAGAAAAATTTTTGAATAAATAATTTATTGTAACTTGGTTTAATATTTTTACGGGTTATGTTCGACAATTGGTTGAGTAGTTTAATTCACATGAACTACTGATCGACTTCGTGTTCGTTAATTGGCCGTGGAGTCGCTATCGACAAAATCATGGAAGCTGGTCGAGAACTTTAAGAAAACCGGCCGCTATGATTGAACCAAATTGTTAAGTTTTATTATTTTAAGGTAAAAAGATTGGATGAAATAAATATGAAAAAATAAATTTGGTTAAGAATCATCATTCTTGTACAGGTTTGAATGCTTACCCTATTCCTGCTTCCCAAACCCGTCTTTATTCAATGCAAAAATAAATAAGCTTGATCTTTCCTCTTTCTCTTCAAAATTCATCCTCCTTTTTCCTTGTTAGGACTTAGCTTTAGGCTCCAGAGCCTTTCCCTGACATAACCAGCCTTGCTTAAACTCATCAAGGGAGGGGCAACTGCCCCTAGTTGCCCCCCTAAATCCGCCACTGCCAGCTCAAACAAAAATATTTGAAGGAAGAGGTGCTAAACAAGGGGCTGATTATATGATAATTTTCAGCAGAGCACCGGACCTGTCTCCATAGATGGGTCAGTTTTCGTCGTCTTTTGTTTATATATCAAACTGCATTTTTGAATGCATTAACAACAAAAAGTTTCGTCAGATAAATTTTCAGCGGATAAACTTCGTCAAAATAAATTTCGGACAGCTTTTCAGAATTTCGCCGTGACAAAATTTCACACAGAACAGCATGGATAGAATATAATTAAAAGTATAAGTGTGAATAAAAGTATAAGATTTTGAAAGCATAGGACCATCTACAACAAGAAAAGTTGGTCTAGAAAATTTTCATTCCTGTAAAGCTCAATATTTGGGTTGAAAAGTGCAAAAATATTTGTACGGAATTTTGCCACGATAAAATTTTCTCTAGTTAATTTAAACTATTTTATGAAGACTTGTGGACTACCGGGCTTCAACAGAGTCAAATAATTTATAAGTGGACACATGTCTCAAAACTATTGTCTGAATCGGATTTGTTAGGGATGTAAAATTACCGATCTGTCACAAAGTGCTTGATGCCGTACAGGTAATGCTTGGTGTATAGAACAGGGCAGTTCTATATTGCTGCTCTGAGTTTCATGCTTAATGCGATCATCAGGCAACTGGTAGAAATAGAGATATCGAAGAAGTGAAAGGTTATGAAATATTAAGGATTATAACTATTAACTATTAAAGGATTCAAGACTCGTTATTGGCTTTAAGATTCCTTACCTCTGGATAACAATGTTGAAAGTTTGGAAAACTGATTTTGTTTTAGCAAGAGCAACAGTAGCATTACAGTAAGTCAGGCTCTCGTTTTATTCTACCCATTCGAGAAACCCCAAAAGAGAATCCATATTGATTATTTTCTCAAAACAATGCTGTTTGTTACCAATTAGTCTGAACATTTTTAAGTTTGATAAAAGCGTAAATAAAGATAAGGTAATGTTTCAGTCAAATTTAAGGGTTTGTTTTATATCTTGTGACAGGTTGAAGAGATTGTCGAAACTGGGGAATTCAGGCCAGAAGATATTCATATTCCAAGTGTCTACGTAGACAGAGTCATTCTAGGGGAGAACTACCAAAAGAGAATTGAGGTAACATTTTTCATTAGAGACAGAGCACTTAAGTCTTGAAAGGTCAACAGTTTAAGTTGTCTGTCGTATTGTAAATTCAATATACCTTTATGCATTATTGCATTCCTGTTTTACTTATCAATGTGAAGGCTCTAGCACGTGAAAATGTTGCAAAGTCACTGCACCTATTGAGTCAAAAGATGATAATTTGCTTGTGCCAGAAGCTTTTGTTATTTATATCCAGTCACAAGGCCCATCAACCTAAGAGAAATGTTCTGATTAACAGTTATTGTTTTTTTTCTTGATTTGTTTATTGTATCAAAAAATTCGTTCAATACATGTGGAATTTTCTCTCAGTACATAGTTGATTTGTAATTGTGGAAGAAAATGCAGTTTCATCTGGTTAGGATTTCCTTAATGTAGATCAGCCTAGTTTCATCCTTCCCTTTTCATCCTTTTCTTAGAAATTAAAAGTACGGCATGAAGGTACAACTTCCAAACCAAAATCACCTGCAGCCGAAATGAGGGAAAGGATTATCAAAAGAGCTGCTCTTGAATTCAAAGACGGAATGTACGGTATCCTTTCAATAACAACCTTTATCAGTTGGTCATAAAAATAAATGTATGTTTACATTTAAATATAAGAAGTGATTCTTTCAAATAATATATGTTTCTCTCTCTGGAAGATAACGAGGATTGTGCGAAACAAATTACAGCCAATAGTGTGTCACGTTGCGAGAGTAGTTGCATTTTCTTTGAAATTAGCTATTGTCAAAAGTAAATGAATTTGAATAAAAAATAATTGAAATGTTTTTGTCAAAGACTGAGACCCCTTGAAACAAGCCCTTCTAGATTTGATTATAGTTCTTTTTTGTCTTCGCGATTTTTTGCATCTCTGTTTATTCCTTTCACCCTGAAATCTTCCCTACTTTTGATGCATATAAGTCTTTATTACATTGTGGCATTACAATTGTTCGGTTTTCACCTGCCTTTCTGTCGTTTTCCTCTCCTTGCTGATTGCTACCAGTACCTTAAAATGCACCTTAAAACTTCCTTAACACGTGACAGCCAACTTAGGTATCGGTATGCCAATGCTTGCCAGTAACTACATTCGACCGGACATAACTGTTCATTTGCAAAGTGAAAATGGCATTCTTGGATTGGTAAGTGAAATGTTTTCTGTTTGCGCATAGATCAAATGTTTCACCTCTTGTCACAATGTTTTCTTATAGCCAGGTGCCCTAAGGAAATAACTGTGATGAATTTAAGCTTATGTTGAGAATTAGAGATTCCTACATGGCTCTTAGTGACTTTTTTTGTTTTTCTTCAAATCTTTATTAGATGCTAATGCCAAAGTTTTACTGTGTTTCATTTTGTTAGAAGTCTTCCCATCTTTACTCTCGCGCGTAAAACTCGGACACATTTTTCAATAACCTTTGCTTTTACTATTTCTCTTGTTCTTCTGTATTTATCAGAACACAACTGACAATGCTTTCATTTGTGTTTCTTACATTTTTGTTTCGCGTTTTAACAATCTTATATCATACTTAGCCTTTGCCTGTCAGTGCGAATGCAATTAAGTCACCAGAACGCTATCATGAGCTGTCTCCATCGCCAATTACCCTGTCTGTTCCAACATATATTCATACCTTGGCGTTGATTAACTTGCTGTCTGTACAATAAGTAGATTTTCAAAGTATTTATTTCACAAAGAAGCGTCTTATTTAGTGTTATATTAAATTCTGCTTAATTGCAGGGCTATGAGAGAGTTATTGCGATAGTTGCATGGGGCTTATTTTTCTTAAGTCCCGTTTAATGTATGAAAATAGAATATTGACGCAATAAATGTAATTTCTACAGCAAATATAAGGGCTATCAACAAGTCAACTTATAAAATAATCTGCCAGTGAAATCACCTAACGAGCTGTCTTGAACTAAAATCCAAGCATTCTATCCACGAATATTTTAAGCACCTTTGCCTCAATGTATTACTGTTATGCATAGGATGTGCCACAACAGGATTATCTAGCAATGCCATTAAATTTCAGTTTAAAAGTTTCATTACAATTAAATTGTAAATGCATATAATATATTCGCCAATTTTAAAACCAGAAAAATCAATAAGGCTGGCAAATAAGAAAGTAAATAACAAAGGGCAATTTAACTCATCAAGTTTTAACCTCTCATTTAATTTGTCAATTTGGCTCAATTTAAAGTGAGAAGATTTTAGCAGACAGTGGCGATTTTCGTTTATGAAAAATCTGATTGCGTTAATAAAACTTGATCAATTTTCAACAGCAAACATTTTCTATTTGATTACTTTAAACTTTTTGATGAGATCTTTTTGGTTTAACAGTTTTCTGTGACGTATTTAGTTTCTGCAGAAACAATTATATAATAAATGTAACAGGATTTGGTTACTTAGTATGTTTAATGTTTAAAACGTTTGCACGGGTCTGTCTCATATATGAACATTAAACATTGACACATTCCACGATAAAGCTTTAAAGTGGTTCCTTCATGACTTCGCTTCATGTAGAATTAAAGTACAATTCCCAAAAATCTACAGAAAGTCTCCTTTCATAACAAGGAGGACAATAGTACTCGGGAAATACCAAAGCACGTTCTACAGAATTTAAGAAAGTAGCAAATTTTGTTTAATCACAGTGTCTTCTGCCATTATCTTTGCTAAGAAAATAGAATTTTAGCCTTGGAGCCTACTAGGGAAATAAGGAATATGGTGTTTTTAATTTGTTTTTTCGTTGTCTTTCCACCAAATCATCTGGTATGGATATGCCTATCATTTACGAGCTTCACCTCAGTTTTATCATTTGATTTCTCTTATCACCACACTTTCACAATTTCTGTCTAGCTATCCGTTAAAAAAGATTGTAGATTTAGAGGATAGTGTAGAGCCATTTTTTAATTGCATCCGGTAACGCCATGAGAAGGTTTTTTGATCAAACAGCTCCCTAAGACTCAGTGCGTATAAATTCTCCAAAAATCGAAGTGGAAGAATAATATCAACTCAGAAACAATATGCCATGATACCATAAGGGCAAACAAGAACTATACCATAATTATAGCTATTCCTAACTTTTACTTGCAATTGGAAGATTCATTTCAATACGTTGATGCTTTCCGAAGGAAAAGAAATACGCTTGTCTTGGTCATAGTTGCAAAGTGGATTGTTGTCGTGGAAAAATGGGTACTTGAGCTATGAATCGATTAAACAACGATTTTGCAGTTTATCAATGTACTTTTTGTTCTCTTAGCTTTTCTAGTTTGACTTGTCCTTAACGATTCATCCCATTATTTGCAATAATTATGGTAATTATAACGAATTCTTAGTATTGCTTAGTGAAAGAATTTTGGAGACAGTTTTATGAAATTAACTGTTCTCTTAATGTTGAAAGATTAGAATATAAACGGAAATTAGAAGTCGTCGGCCAGTGATTGAAAGATTTAATCCTGTGAAATTAAAAGCTTTGGCCTTTCAATGACGTGGTAATTAAAGAGTTGTGACCTTATGAAGAACTTAGATCAGGGAGATTCCATCTAATGAAACAGAAATTAAGAAACAGTGAGAATAACACTTGCACAAGGATTCTTTGCAAGTTTTAATCTTGCTTTAAGGGCATCATTGCCTGAGGAAGTCTCATATCCTAGCAGTTGTTACAGTTTCTAGTTTTAGTTATGCATTTTACACACACTTTTCTCGTCAACTGAATAAGCATCGGTGCAAATCGAAATATCTCGAGGAACAAGCATACAGACCTTTTTGGACCTTAAAGCAGTATTCTCGTGCGCTTTCAGAGTCTTCTCGATTTTCCAAAACGTTATGCAAAAGTGACACACTGAAATAGGAGTATACAAAACAGCCATTGAATGTGCAATCAAAAAGCTGCTTCATCATTTTGGCATGAAGATCTTTGTCAGGATAAGATATTTCATATGTGAAGGCATTGAATAAAATTCTAAACTGCAAGTCTCCAATTTGATTTAATATCTCAATTATCTAAAAAAGCTTCATCTGAAGGTCAGTTCCAAAATATAATTGAGCTTGGGATAATGCTGATATATCAGTTCTCTAAAAACTGTCAGTGCCAAAAAGCCGCTGGTTTTGTAAATGGATCTTTGGCCATTGACAATGGATCTTCATATCAAATGTCTTCTCGGCTTGTTCTCGCAGCTTTTCCATATCTTCAATTATTGTGAATTTCAAAGGGTTGTGAATAACATTCACATGCTATATTATGTCTCATCACATTAAAAAAATTGTTTTCTGATTTTTCTTAAGATATTTTTGGCCGGTCTCTTTATTCATTTCAGCAGAGAATTCGAAGGTTCAAGAAAACGGGTTCTTTTTATCCAATGCACACGTGAATTATGGGAATGAAAGATCTCGTACGAAGTTTCAAGTAATACAGATTGCGCAATTTTTGGATGATCAGGTCTTTTGTTAGCATACAGGGAACGCTTCAAAGTCGCTTTTTTCAACTAAGTTCACTGAGTTCAATTTTCTTGCATCACTTTTTTCAACACCCAAGCCGATTTGTAAACCCCTACATCCCATTTTTGCTTTATGAAGTGACCTACTGAGCACACTATGTTGTTGCTGTTGCTAACACCACAGACAGGTGCATGAAAATTCATCAAAAATACATTCACAGGATTACGCGGCTAATCGAACATATGGAAAATTGTTCCACTGAATCGACGATTTTGACCAGAAGTTCTCCTAGATTGTTTATGGGAATTATCCAGAGCTTGTTACAATAGACAAACTAACGCAACCGTATTAAAGAATGGTTAAACTGATTCAAATTTTTAAATCCGATGAAAGTCGGCAAGTGGAGAAGCAAAAGCAAGTCACTTTGTAGAAAATACTTTCGGTGTATAGCGACGTGAGACAGATGATATTTCCCGAGCTGGTATTACTTCTTTTTATGGATACCCCAAGGGTACGTGAATTCACATGAGAGAATACATCCGCGGCTGCTGGATAAATTATCATAGTTGTGGCAATGTGATGCCTGTATACCGCTGATTGCACTCTAGGCTAAGAGATTTTCCACTCAACTTGCCAATTTTGCATTTTACATGAAAGAAATATTGGAAGGGAGTCTTCATACCAATTGTCGTTATTATTTTGCAACTTAAGCAACCCGTAACGGAGATGTATTATACTTCGATCAGATAACAGTACTTAACGCGAGGGTCTGTTGTCATTTTATCTCCTCCTAATGCTGCAGTAAAGTTTTTTATAGGGGCCTCTGTGTTGGCGGAATGCGGAAAGAAGACTGGTATTGACTCATGTTTTGGTGTCAGTCGATGCGGAGAATTGACAAGAATATCATCAACAAAATGTCTCAGAAGTAGAAAGAGGGTACTATCCAGTGATAACGTGTCTTTCAGCTTGAACCTAAGCCTAAGCTTTTTGCTGCTAGCGCCAGTCGTCAACTTGGTGTTTCGATTATGAGGCCCACTCTATCAAATTAGTTTTGCTTTGCTCAAACAGCCGAATGTTCGTCGACGATCGCTAGCAGTACTTGACAAAGATGCCAGCTGCGTACATTGTTTATGGTCGCATCGCTGTGTATCTGCTGATTTATGTTGTTGGTACAATCGGCAACATTACCTTTATATTTGCTTTTCATAATCATCGGCCTTTGCAGAAGAAAATCAATCAGTTTGTGGTGCATTTATCTTTGGCCTCAACCGTTCAGTCATCCTTTGTTGTTTACTCGAAAATCATCAACCAAATTTTCGGTGCAAAGTATCTGAATTCTGATGTTTGTAGCCTGATAGCTTTAGTTCAAGTTGCTACAACGATCCAGTCTTTTATGATTCTTTGCATTGTCAGCTACAATCGATGCTTGAATATTATGAAACCGAGAGTTTTGAAACAGATCTTTTCCCATGACCAAATGATCTTCTACCACATTTGTATTGTGTTGATCGCTTTTATAACATCATTTCTTGGCCTAAAAAGCTACAGTTTTGATGACATCAGAAGCTCATGCACCATCAAGGTCTCGCCAAAGCGACCCACTTTCGGGACAATATTCATCATGTTAGTTTTGTTTAATGTAGCTTTTATTGCATTTTCCTACACAAAATTCTTCCGAGGGGTCAGTAGAAACCGCTCTTTGGTTTTTCCTGGTGAATTAACTTCTAATTGCAATCTTGATGCAGTGGTGAAAATGCACAATTCAAGTAATTTACCAAATGACAGCAATTTCACCAGTTCTTGTGAAACGTCTTCCATCAAAACAATTTTAAAGACAAAAAGCACAGATGTTTCCCCCAGTAAGACCAACAAATCTAGCCCAACAGATGCAAGGATACAAAGAGATAACAATCATTATGTAGGCCGTAACATTCAATCAGTATATAGCATAGATCACTCTTGCCCTTTACAAGTGGAAAGCAATGGACCTGCTGTATTCAACGACTGTGGGACAAATGATTCGGAAATGAATGATAGTGATATTGATATTTCGAAATTTAGAAGAGTGAAGTCAGCAAAATATAGAAAAAGAACTGAAAAGTACAGTGATCCAGCCAGTTTCAGCTCACAGTCTGGTGATTTTGCAGACGTTGAAAATGAGGACGGTCGTTCAGACCATGATGTCGTTTCAGAGAATCCTCTACCCAACAAAAATAGCTTGGTTTTGGAAGTTGAAGACTTGCGAACGGGCAAGAAATTGGTAAGAGAAGGCACCACCAATGGCGAGAATTTTGATCATTTTATGATGCAAAGTTCTACAAAACTTGGCAATCAGGAAACAATCGAAAACTTTTCTTTGAACCTTTCCAAAGAAAACTTGGACACAGGTAAGGGAGAATCAAATGCGGAAAGTAGAATATATATTTCTTCCAACGTGGATGGTGCAAACCCGAATGGAGATGCAAAAAAATCCATTGAGCCTGAAATTTCGATGGGATTTTTGAGAAAATTTGCGAGCAGAATAGTTTCTATCAGGCAATTCACTGTAACTAAAAAGTCTTCTCGGCCTAACAAAGTATCCCCTGCGGGTGTTCCATTAAAAACGAAGGTCGACAGCCTCCATCTGAATACCCAATTAAAAGGCAGTAACGCAGATTCCTTTTTCCACAACAGCAGTGACCATATCAGCTCTTCTGAATCGAGTTTGACAATGAGGAAAGTTTGCAGGGACCTTAATGCAAACTGTCAAAACCGTCACAGGTGTTGTTATGGAGTAATAAGCAAAGGACCAATTATGTCCGAAGCTCTCGTTGAGAACAGGCAGGGACGTAGCAACAATAGCTTTGAATCTAAGAAAAGCTTCTGCAAATGCGAGAATAGAATTTTACCTCATGAAAATAAAGTCATGGTAAAAGGAAACAAATTACGAGAAAAGACAGTAGGCCGTCTTGATGCTCTGCAAATCAGTCCTACGTCTTTAAGTACACCAGAAACCAACGAATCACAACGTACGCCAGAAAATGACGAATCAGATATGGTAAAGTATTCTTATGCAGTCCATTCGGCATCAAGGACTAGTGCCAAATACGGCCTAAGACCCACTGTACTAAGGCAGCGGTACTTCAGAGCTGAGCTGCATTTAACAAATCTTTTGCTTCGTATCAGCATCTGTTATGTTTTCCTTTCTTTCCCTTCGATTGTCATTATTTGCCTTTCGATGGCAAGATACTCTGGAACACCAGCAATTGTAATTTTGGTTGCAGATCTCCTCAATGACGTTGTTTTGTTGTTGGTTCCTTTGATGTACGTGATTTTCTGTAGAGATTTTCGCCGTGGACTGAAGAAGTGCTTTTGCGGCTCACGTCAATCTGGAAATTCAGGACGATAAAACCTGTCAACTTATCTTACATAACAAGGCTTGTATAAAACCATGTGATGTTTTTATATTTGAGAACTGTGGTGTACCGTTGGCTCCAAATTGTTAAAAAATTCAGATATATAGGTAAATTTACCAGCCAAGAAGAATTTAGCACGGGTCGCTATTAGGGCACTTATAGCAATCCTAGAGTCATACATACCTGACAATATCTTTGAAACAGGCTCTCACCTCCCAAAAATGCAATACTTTTGCAAGAAAGAAAATCAGAAAGCCTAAGAGCAAATAAATCTGGTAAGAATACGAAACAGCGAGGAATCAAGATAAAATACTACATATAAGCTCCAACCACCTTTCTGGGAAATAATGGCAAAGCAGTGACGTAACAATGATGACATATTAGGGCAATGTGTAATAGCAACAGCAACATCAACAATTTGATCGAACTTGTTATATCACACGTACCCCTGCTGTTGCCGGGTGTAGCAAATGATAGAATAGTATTGGAATAAGATTCATTTGCTAATCATTGGAACTGCATGTTTTGTAAATTGTTTATTTTAGAATGACGACAATCGTTTAAGATTCGAACCAGATGTTGGCTTTAATTTTCCTCATAGCCAAATAATTAACGCCAATTTATACTCATAAGATACGCTTTTGGTATTAATTTTTCGCAGACTATTATTGTTGCGAGTTTTTACTTTTTGTTGTAATTTTCATATGTATAATACAGTACATGTTTGTTGGCAAGCGAGAAAGATATTTTAATGTGGTCTATAGCGATAGTTTGAGTCTTGCTGGCAGAGACAAGCTTTGAAATGTTGCGTAAGATTAAGCAATTATAGCAGAAATAATTATCAACAATTAAATGCAATGCAAAGAGAAATGCAATGAATTTCTACACATTTGTTTTAAATATTAATATCCTGTTAAGTTTACGTTTTGCTTAGAGTGTGACTAGCTGCATGCTAGAGCCAGACATATGACAGATTAAAATTTAGTCCAATGCTGATTTGCATATATTCTTGAGCCCTGACACTGAATATTATAAAAACGTCTCAAAGCGAATCTTTGCATTTTTTCCACTCTCGTCTTCATTTATAATGTTACCCACGATCTAATGTACCAATTGTCACCTTGTCAGAGCGAGCTTATTGTATTTGGAAAGTTGTTCAGATGCAATTACAGATATTCTTTAGATTTGTTGCTTTATTCAAGTCTTATCGATCCATGAATTTCTTAAGCCATTAAAATAACAGCCTAGCGCAGAAATGCTTTTGTGAATTATGTTTGCTGATCTTTGACCTAAGGCACCTATTTAAAGGTATTATTTACAATTTTCGAAAACACATAACTGTATAATTACGTATACAGGCCAGTTTCTTCCCACGTTATAACAACTACTCCTGTCATTAAGAAAGGGGTCATCTCACCAAGTAATCCTACTTAAGTGGCTTTAAACCCTTTCATTATTCATGCTCGTCAATTGCTTCAAAAATTCATAATATTAAACAGAGCAAACTGGATCCTGACAGTCATATTAGAAAACTTGAAAACATGTGAGTTTTACGAAGGAGTTCAGGGATAAATTATATTTTGCTGACCCGTTTGCTTTTCGTCACAAAGTATATTCCAGCTTCATTTTTATTCTTGTTACAGATCACTTTCTTGATGAATAAAGTCATTGTTCCTTTGAACTGTCATTTATCTGAGACTAATTGGCTGTCGTTCTTGGAAAATCTTGCTGGTTCTAGCTGCTCAATTTGTCTCTTAAACTCTAAGACCATATTAATTCTCTAAAATCTCTAAAATCTCCATATCTCTAAAATTTGTACCTTGAGGACCAAAATTAGCTTTTAAATGTGCCTATACACACTTTAGACACATACTATATACTCAATTGCCAAACGCTACATGGGGTCAACTTTTGATGATTTTCATAGACTAGGTTTGCTGTTCGTACGAAGTAAATGCTGAAGACAGAACCATTTTTGTTGTTACCGTTTAGCCCATTAGCACAGGAATACAACGAGGCAATCGAATCACGCCAGAAGCTCTCATTTTTCTCTTTAAAGCAATCGAAAGATGCTAAAGTTGCTTTAGCCACATGTCAATCAACAACTGGCCAATCAATAGGCGTGATACAACTCAAAAGCTTGTTGATTGGCCAATACTTGTTTTTATGGCCTAAGGCGCTCTAACATCTTTCGCTCAATGTTCTAGTTGTATCTTTTGAAAGCTAAAACAAGAGTTAGATAATAATGTAAAAAGTTCCCTGCCCTCGTTTCTCTGTGAATCATCTCTCTCATTGAGAATTATCTCATTTTTCAGGGACCTTTCCCAAAGCAAGGCGAAGAGGATGCGGACTTGATAAATGCAGGTGTTGTATATGCTTCAACCCCGTCTTTTAATATGGTGTTGCATTGAGTTGAAAAGTGGTATTTCGGAATTCGCCAGTGTATTTGGGGGGATGGGGTTCATGTTTAATTCCAATCAAGTATAGGTATGCCATCACTCTGAAGCAAAACAGATGCTTTGAATATGGTTTTTGAAATCCAACACCTCCCTTTCCAAGTAAATGAAGATCTGGATGTGTTTCGTACAAAGACGACGAAAATCAAAGTCATATCGAATAAGTTGATGTTACGTTGAATCGGCAGTATGTCTATACGATTCTCAAGGTTTTTCTTATGTAGGTCTTCCTTCCTGAATGGTTTTTAAAAATCTATTTAAAATTGAGCCTTGTTTTTATATTGCAAGTAAGGTATAATTGATAATTGGTTTTTTTATTACGGCTCTTTGACATCCTATTGCTTTCATTCTTAATTGCAACTGATTCTTTTTCAGAGGGCCCCTTGAATAACAACTCCTGTTGAATAACAACTCTTTTTATGTATTTTGTTTTCACTTTTTGTCTTTGTATCCAGGTAAAGAAACTGTCACAACATTGCCAGGAGGTGCCTTCTTTTCAAGTGATGACTCATTTGCAATGATCAGGGGGTATGTTATTCATTACGTAGACCGTTAGGGCTCAAATTTTTAATTATGACGTCACATTAAAAATCGAAGCCGGGCTAGTTATTTTAGGCCTTTTGTATTTTGGGCTTCAGTTTGTGAAAGTGCAAATTTTTCCGTTTCAATTTGTTTTGTTTTTATTTTTACCGGGGAGGAAACAAAAAAGACACATCTACGACAAGTTTTACGTATTTGCCAATTTTGAGCTAAATATGATTGACTGTTTGTAAAATGCTTTGAAAAAAGTATATGGCTCGATAAAGTATCTTGATTTTTTGTATTGGAAACCAGGTTCTTTAATAAAAATTACACTTCACTTCTATGGTAAGAAGCTTGTAGTTTCAAGAAATCTATATTGCTATCAATTCATTACTTGATTCAATGAAAATCCAATTCCCCTTTTACTTAGTAGTGGATCGGTCCTTAGTGCCTAAAATATATAAAGAATGAAGTTAAAGATTGAGAGATAAAGGAGGAAAATCTGCTCTATTTTAGTGGCCATATTGATTTGACAATCCTTGGAGCAATGCAAGTTTCTGAGTTCGGTGATGTTGCCAACTGGATGATTCCGGTACGTGGGTTATGTGTTGATCTTAAAAGTGTTTATGTCATGGGTTAGGAGTAGCTATCATTTAGCTGCATGGGACACTGTAGGCGAGAGTGACTAGAAAGCTATTAGGTAGATGTAGTGATGTGTCATAGAAAGTAATGATTATGCCATTGCTGAGTTGTCAAGGTTAGTCTTCAAGTGAATGAATTGCACCTTGCTGCTATCTGTATACCATCTCATATGCACATTGGTATAACGAAGACCTATTGCCTCGATAAATGTCTTTTTCCTCTCGTAACTTTTTTAGACTTTAGAATTCTACCTTTGAAAATGTGAAAACAAAAAGGGGACCAGTCGTGTATTACGTTTCACTATGCCTGCGACAAATGTTTTTATTTGGATCAGCAGAATACTTAATCAAATGCATCGTGTAGAATGCCCCCTTTCATTGTGAAAAGAGGAGGCATTTGGGGTGTGCCACCTCCTTGAAGAGACTTGAACCTGATTACCCATCTTTATTAGAATGGCTTGCGACGACTCTGGGTCTTGTTTGTAGATTTTCGCTAAAATCAACAATTTATTCGGTGTCAAATTAACATTCTTACTGATTTATCCTGTTACTTAAGTAAGTCCACCGGTAGCACATACTCATATTTTTCTTTGTGTACATTGATGTTACCGTGGTTCCTGTAGAATTAACTAACTGCGATATTTTGTTACTTGCGAAATCTAGATGCATTTGAAAACCAACTGCTAAAATTCTTTGTTAGATATTTTGTCATTTTATTGCGAAAAACATGCGGATGATGTGCCAAAGGCTTCATTTTGCAGTCTGCGTGCATTGGCTAGCATTTTTATCTCGAGTGTTTTTAAATTAACAATCATTAATCTGGAATGAAATATGAATTGCCGACATCCTAGCCATCACTTTGTGGTCATATCTAAATACTAAATTACGACCAGCGATTAGTCATTTGACATAGGACAAAAGTCTCGAAAGTCTTATCAGATGGAGTTTTCTAAAAACTGATAACGAAGGGCGGTCTGCTGGTTTAAGATTCCAATGACATCCAAGCCTACACGTTTTTCTATAAGAAGGTATTTTATAAGAAAGTTGTGCTCGGTACTCCAAAAATGTAAGAAAATTCAAGGGTGGATCTTTGCAACCTAAGAAAGTTGATAAATCTAGATATTCAAAATTTCAAAGGAAATTGTCGTGCAATAGCAAAGTGTGCACGAAATTACTAAGGTGCGAAGAAGTGTCTGTATGGAAATTGGTTTTCTTCGATAGTTGATGTTATGACGTCTACAGCTTTTGGAGAGATATAGTATATATATACAGCTCATCTTCTTTATCACTGCGCAATCTCAGTAATGTAAAGCTTTCCGATTTCACGCCCCAATCCCTACGTCTAAAGCAAGAGGAGGGGGCATTTTATGTTGGTAAACCACACTTTGGTTCAAATGCAAGAGTCAATAGACCAATTCTACTTACAGCCTCGTTTTGGAAATTTCGCAAAATATTATTAAACGACGTTTTTAAGCTCAGATTTGGTTTTATCACAATAGATTTAGGCTGGATAAATTTTTCATTTTGTTTGTGCTTGTAATTTAGATTTTATGGAAAAATGAAGTTTGAAAACTTGCAAAGGATTTTACCGCAAAAATCATTCCGGGTGAAACTTCACCCCCTAGTCGCCAATCACGGTCAAATCTCTTATAAAAATTTTATCTTTATGTCGTCATAAAATCAATATCGTGAGCAATCAATATCAATAAAATCAAAATCAATACTATAATGAAAATTTCCAAGTAGACTAAAATCATTGCTGTTAATCCGAATCCGAGGTTACAAATTTTGTACAATAGAATTTGAAGATTTTTCAAAACGAGGCCGTAAGTCGAATTGGTCTATTACAATTAACAACCATTAATCAGGAATGAAATATGAATTGTTGACATCCTAGCTTCATTTGAAGACCCGAGCACAGCAATGAAATGACCAAATTCCTTGACAAATATGTCAGTTTAGATAAAACGGGGCTTTGTGTTATTGCGAAATATGAAATATAGTTTGAGCTATTACGGATATAATTTCGTTTTGAAATCTTTTTATATCCTACGTCCTTAGGCATTTGTATACTGTCAATCACCTTGTTGAATTTCTGTCTAGTCCCCAATTATATATAAAGACTTTTGTTCATTGCTGAAAAGATGACTTAATCTCAAGAATATTGGGCTAAAGAGTGACGTGAGATTAAGTTCAGAGAATTAATGTTTTCCCCTTTCTTTACATAGTCCGTGATGTTATTCCGTTTGTCCTACTTCAAATAAAGATTTACCCAATACCGGCTCGATTTTCATCATCAAATTACAAACAGGGAAATATACTCTCGAAAAGATGACTTTGATTTTTCGCCGTATTTCGCCGTATTATTGATTTCAATTCATTTCAAATTTCTTTCCTCCCAGATCATTTCTAAGCACCCTATATCGTTTTTCTTCCTTTTCAATCTTTTTTGTCATTTTTCTCATTTTCATTTTTCCTTTCTCTCCCTTTTTCTCCTTTTTGCCCATTTTATGTTTTTTGTCCGATTATGTTTATTTTTGTACTTTTTGTCTCTTCTTTATTTTTCCTTCTTTTTTTCTTTTGGTCTAGTTCTGTCCTTTTTGGTGTATTTTGGTCCTCTTCTGTCTTTTCCATATTCACATTGATGCTAGTCTGTTTACCTAGCGTTTTGGTACTTGTATTTGAATTTAGGAAACTTACATTGTAAAAATCAACGAACTTGTATACCATTTCTTTTGTCACTGGGCTGTCCTTTTTTCCAAGGATGAACAATTGATGTTACTAAAAAACTTTCATTCATCTTGACTTTTGGGACTACCAAGTAACGAGAAATAAGTTTAATGCCCTTGTCCTCTATTTAATTATTGTAACCTTTTGTTTTTGTATAGGGAAAAATGGTCAAAGGAATGGGGGGAGCTATGGATTTAGTCTCAAGCAAGGACACAAAAGTGATTATAACTATGGAACATTGCGCCAAGGTAACAGGTTGATAACAAGAATATTCTCACTGGCAAAACAAGAAGTGCTTTAGATATTGAAATATAAACCTTTTATTTTTGAACAACGGAGAAACAATTCAATTGTTTGTATTACGAAGCCCGTTTGTGGTTCACCAAGAGTTCCCATAAAAGAGCTCAACTTTTGCCATTGGAAATATCTCACTTAATTGTACGATGCACAGTTTTATGTTTCTGTCGTTTTGCCTTTTCTGACAATTAACAAGAAAAGATTGGTTCTCACAATGAGTGCTTATAGGACAAAATTTTGTTATCCCGTAAAAAGAGAAGTTGTTAACATCACAGAAATGAAACTTTTTCATTCAGTAATTGCATCATTATTTTTCAACATAATTACTCATTACATTAGGCGCGTATTAAGATGTTTAAATTCATGGTTTGCTTCCATAACGTGATTTAAAAATTCGATTGGCCCGCATTTGACGTTAAATACGAAACTGCAATTTGTTTCATTTATCATTTCTTAATTTTTTTCATATTGTCTTATTGTGACAATAAAAAATAAAGAATATATAACAATAAAGAAACCAGTTTTCAATACTTTTCTGTATGTTTTGTTTTCCTCTCAACCTGACTAAATTGTTTAAGAACCTCCTGCTATATTGCATTAATACTACAATCATTTTTTGTTGTTCCTGTATTTTAAAGGGTGGAACGCACAAGATTCTTGAAGAATGCACGTTGCCATTAACTGGGAAAGGATGCGTGAATATGATCATCACTGAAAAGGTAGCCATTTGCACATACTTTTCCTCTTTCTTTTAATTGAATAATGACTTGTAAAGTGGGACTCTAATCTCGATATATCAACATAAATTGCAGCTGGAGCTGCTTACGTAGATTGTTAGCTCTTACGTAGAATAAACTTCATATCTACAAGGCAATTCTAACAATAAATGTTTAGGCTTAAACAGAAACATTCAAAACAATCATTTCTTGTAAATATATAGCTTAAAGAACTAAACAAGCCAATAATATACACAATTTTGAAGTTTTATCCTGCTTTCAATACACTATTAAACATCATTAAAGAAAGGATCCAGCCCCGTTTTCATTTTTATGCTTGCAATACAGCCTCTTATTTTTGATCCCTTCCCCGCTTTGTTAAATCGTTCTTTCACCAAGTGTTTGCCATGTGCTCTGTTTTGCGCATTATTTTGCTTTAATACAAGAAAACATGAGCTGTTGGCTCTGTTCAGGCTAGGACACATCCTAATCAATTGTGATTAGAATTAATTGCCAGTCATCAAATAAGGAAATCTTAAGTTGCTTAGCTCTACCTGTTTGAAGTTTGGCTTGTTACTACAATGCTTTTGACGTGAAAAAGACCGTGGCTGTAATGTTTTACTTTGGGATCAACATGCTTACCTTTTGTCCGAATAGATTATCCCAAAACGAGGCGCATTTTCAATTGCAAAGCCTCAAATCCATGCTGAAAATTCTTCACATTGTTTTTGCTAGCAATAAGCAAGAGCGCCTTTCACAATGAAAGGTGAAATTCAACTCCAGCAAAGGAATTTGATTTGAATTTTTGTGGCCATTGATGAATCGTTGCTAACGTGAAATAAAGTCTTTTTCCAGATTTGTGAAAATCATTTCAATCCACAATGGTAATTGAAACGGTTTGGCAATTGCCAGGACGATAGTGAAAATGAATGAAGTGTCAAAATTATCTATTTAAGGAAGTCTTTTATCTTTTCTAAACTGTTAAAAAGAATATCAGGTAAACCATTGATATCTTTTGAAGAGATCTATTTCTTAAATTACTTTTGTATCCGCAGGTCGAATATTTTGCTTGAATTTCCAGATTTCTTAGAAAATGCCAGTACTTTTTTATTTACGTTTGTTCGGTTCCTCCATTGATGGTTTTTTAGCCTCGCACTGACCATGTAAGGCAGCCTCGGTTTAAGCCTCTAAAAACTTTGTATCTTTAATGTTGCCATTTTTGCCAATTGGTATTTTATGTATGCCTGTCTCCAAGATCCTTTTAACCAAGCAAAATTACTTGTTTATTAAAACTCATCCCAGCTTAAGCCCCTTTTATAGTTAAGTAATACAAAATGCCTCTGCAAGACGAATACTTTGTGCTATTTTGACTTCGTACATACTGTTGGTGGAACTATTACGAACTTTTGTATAGGATTTCACACTTCGACGTTACTGTTAGTGCTCACAAATAACTTACTCTCTCTACCAAAGCCTCATGAATCCAGGGATAAAGTATTGTAGACATCTGCAGTGGCAACGAATGTATGACTAGTGAGACTAAGTAACAGAGATAAAACAACGTTACTATATTTCTTGGACTAAATAATGGAGACTCTGGTATCCAGGGCGCAAATAACTGAGCTTCGATTATACATGTTATTAGCAGTTGCTAACTCTATTACCCGTTCAAACATAGGGCTTTTGCAGACGTTCAGTGAAGGGTTTAATTAGTTTGGCAAGGAATGCGCTGTTTCTTAGCATTAGAGGCCTTTGCAAATATGAATAACTTTTTGGATTTCACTTCCTGAAACTGACTCTAATCCAACTTTTTGGCCATTTTTTCTCTTATTAAAATATCATTACTACATGAGACTCTTGACAGCTTAATCTTGATCTCAGAGACACCCTCCAATTGACAGTGTATAAAACGTGAGTGGGCTCACACCTCTTCTTCCCCCTATCCCTTATAGCCCATAATTTCAGGATGGAGAGGACATTACGTCATCTTGTCTCGCTATCTACGACACTTCCAATGCTACACCACAGTGAAAAGGAGGAGAACAGTAGATGACACAGAAAAAAGTATTTAAAAGCTCAATTCCGTAGTTTTGTTGAAAAAACATAGCAAATTGTAGCTTCCAATATTGGCTCATTTGCAATTTGACTGTACTTGGTATCACCAAAGAGAATATGTTCACATAGATCTTTAGAGTTCAAATTGTCTAAGTTCAATTCAAGAATACCTGGGGGAGTGAGATTGTTACGCATTTGATGACACAACGGGCAACGCAGAAAAGCTGTATGTAACGAGAGATTTGAAGCTACATGGGCTCCGATGCAGGTTGGAAAGTGGAAGGGGGGGGGGGGAAGGCAAGGAAAAATTTAACAATAAAAACAAAAGATTTAAAAAAATCTCTATTGTTTTGCAACAAAATGGGGCAGTCATGCCCCCGATCGTCAGAGCTATACTCTAAATAGGCCTTATTACCTTTTGAATTGAGTGGGTTATCTAACGGCAGTCATATCAGCTAAATTGAGCAATCTGCTAGATGTTTCACCAATATGCTAGACTAGGCAGAAATTGCACATCCAAAACATGGCTGTGTGAACGATTACGAGGTATGGAAAAAGTTTTTTGGTTAGAAATTAGCTTAACTATATACATGCATAAGAACTGGTCACTCTAGTATGTAGTTTTGGTATATTACAGCTAATTTAGCCTTATTGACGTGATATTTTCGTACTACTTTATCTATTAAGGCCTGCTATTTCCACTCAATTCCATTAGCTTTCACGGGATACTAAAAGGATCAGCCGGTTCCATTATCTGCAGTTCTAGTTTGTTGGAGTTACGCGCAGTTTGATCGGCCATAATCCAAACCTCTTAATTCCTCGACTGATAGGGCAACTAAAAATGACCATTGAAAGATAGTTCTTCATTTAACTCTAAGCTTTCTCTTATGCTTATATGCAAACTATCAGCTTCAAGGCACAGCGCGCTTCTCTTTTTGATTACTAACAGGTCAATTTAGTCAGCTGTTGTCTGTGACCATAAGCAGTCGTCCTACAGTTTTGAATCGAACCGTTTAGCAAGAGTTCAATTCGTCATGCTCGTCAAATGCCCCGTAAGATTTCACTCAATATTCAAACAATTGGCACTAGTTTAACTTCGTCTCACCCAAAAAAGTGTGATTTCGGCGCCTTTGTGTAGCGCTACCCTCGAGTTTAGCACTACAGTGTCTACTATATCCCCACAATATTTATGGTGCTTCTAAGATCGAAGTCACTTAACCTAAGAGTGTTCTAATATGGACCATTCCAAGTCGGAAATGTTTTTAAATCGTCTGACACTCAAAACACTATTTAGCTCAAACCTTTGGAATGTCTTAATCCTTCACTTCTTGGAGTAACAGCCATTATGGGAATTTTAGCCCAAAGTGTTAACCGTAAATTCTCCGTCTTATGATTATTATGGTCGATGTCTTGTTAATTCGCACGTCTAGTTTCGTTTAGACTAGCCGAGACTCTTTTTCCTTTGCAAAAAAAATTCCAGTCATTTTAGACCTCTGATGAAATGTCTGGATTTACATGAATGAAAGGCATTGCCAAATTGTCTGTATTTTTTCAGAATAAATGTATAATGCTTTATGCTAACCTTCTGCTCTTCCGAAGGGATAAAGTCTCTCATATGTCACCTTTCAGGGCCTGTAGTGGCACTTTTGTGCCAAAAGGACTGTTTATAGCCCCAAGTTTGCTTCATCCATCCTCCAATATGTGATAAGAGAGCGATTTTCTTTTTTAGATTATTTTTTTCATTAAATTTGAATTTCTTAAGACAAGAGCCTTTTTGAGTCCTCCACTGCATAAAAACATTTCCATTCAAATTGCAATTTTCAGTGCAAAATTTCTGAGAGTCTTCCTTAAATTTTTCCACTATACGACAAAAGATCCAAATTTTGGTAAATTATACTAAAATGAATCAGGTAAAACGTTGAAATAAACAGGAGATGTGCTACTATAGATAACGCTTTTTGCAAATTTTGATTTACTGTTTGACGCAAGGAGTAGTTCTTCTCTCCCATACATAATGAAATCCTCGCCTCGCTCCCGTTCCCCTCCCTATATGTTTCTTTATCTTATTAATTTTGATGTTTTAACTGCAGGCGGTTTTTGACATTGATCCGGACGATGGCTTGATACTGAAGGAGTTATGGCCTGGAGTGACGGTCCAAGAAATCCAAGTTGCGACTGGCTGCCAGTTCAGATTGGCAGATCAATTAGAGGAAATGGGACAAATCGAGTATTGAAAAGCAGATTCTTGACCTCAAAATTTTGATAGTGAGTGAATAGATTATGAGACGTTTTGGATCTAGTTTGAGGAGACATCTTATGTTGAATTTAGGACACAAAGTGACACTATTTATCAAACCTGACGTAATTACACCTCAAATCACCCTGTCGTCAAACAAGAAAACTTTGTTAAATTCTGAATTTTTGGCATTTTATCATTAAGAAATTGAATGTTAGCATTACTATATGGCTTTTTACCTTTAAGAGATTTTTTTGTATAGATTTCCCAGCAAAATTCTATATTCAAAAAGCATGGGAAAACCTTCGGGTAAACCCAGTCAGGCCATGATAGATTGGCGAGATCGAGAATGGGCTTCAAGGATGGAAAACTATTTAGATAATAAAACCTATATAGTTACCATGGAGTTTAAACACCCAGATCATCAATGCCAGTAACAGAAATGTGACTTCGCATAACCGTTCACGGTACACAAAGAATCGGAGGCGTAGTTTGACCATCCATACCAGGGGGTGTAGAGTCATAAATAGTAAAATTTACCGACGAAGACATTGTATATAAAGAAAAATTTAGGTGCTATTTCACCTATCAATAGATGATTTTACCGACAGACAAAAGTTTGGTTGACCAGCTACAGTTTTTAACGACCAACTCACTAAAAATTTTGGTGGAGGGGGTGTCACTCCCTATATCCTCCCTGCAAAGGATACATGCTTTATGCATGTTTTGTTTGCGCCCTTATTTTGTACAAGGAAAGAAGAGATCAGACAATATTTTGATCACTCTTAATATTTTACCATGATATTGACCAGTCAATGCCTGGCATTGTTTTGAAAATAATACCCAGCATTGGTTGGTGGTCCTTTTAGCACTCAATTTTTGTAAACGAACAAAGTATACAAACATCCACTCAATTCCATTTGCTCTTGAAATGATTCATCTGAGATATTTTATGCTATTATAATCAAAGTCCTTCTTTTGCAAAAACTAATTTGATGTAAAATTGCAAAAATACATTAGAATATTTCTTGAACCTCTACCTCTATGAACAGCATGTGTGCAGCGATTGCTATTAAATGGATTTGTGTACTCCATGAAATGTTTCTTTGGCAAAACTATGTATTTTGCAATATCAGGGTTTGGTGCTTTGTATAGATGCTTCGTAAATCATAGTTAGTGAGTGACATTTTGAGGGATTTGAACTTTAGTTCAAATATTTATTTTTCGTGTTTCGAGATGGAGTTTTATATGTGCGTGATAAATGTAATATTCATTTCTTCGCTCCAAAACAGAGATTAAATTGGCTTTGGTTGTGACAGTTTGGCTGAAATATCTCTTTTATGTAAAAAAGCTTGTATTTTACAGAGAAGAATCTTATCTCAACAAATTGCTTCTCGATGCAATCAAGCAACCCCTGTGTTGCTAAGTTACGAACTGTGATGCATTATCAGTGTTGAGAGTTTATTGATATGAATGTGATATTAAGGTTTCTCCATGTTCATTTTTGTCATTTTCACGTGCTTAAAGTGTTCAACACAAAATATGAAATCTGACATATGTCTAAAGCTGGGCTGGTCTTCCAGCTAAGTAGACAGGTGACTGCTTATGGTCGATGACCTGTAATATCAATCTAACATTATGTTCATATGAAACAGAAATTTCTATTGATTAAATTTTTCGTTCATGCTTTTTGTGTCTTTTCTTGTTTACAACGTCAAATTTCTCCATTTTTGAAGTGGAAACTGGGATTTTCCTTGATATTTGAACTAGAATCTCTATCTGCAAGTTTTTTTCATTGCGTTCTATAGAATGCCTTACGATCTTGGTATCTCACTTATTGACTTACTAACTATCTACCTCACTAACTAACTAGCTAACTAACTAACTAACTTACTAACTAACTAACTAACTAACTAACTAACTAACTAACTAACTAACTAACTAACTAACTAACTAACAAACTAACTAACTAACTAACTAACTAACTAACTAACCAACTAGCTGAATAACTAGCTAACCAATTAATTGACTAACTACCTAACTAACTAACTAACTAACTAGCTAACTAACTAACTAACTAACTAACTTACTAACTAACTAACTAACTAACTAACTAACTAACTAACTAACTAACTTACTAACTAACCAACTAACTAGCTAGCTGAATAACTAGCTAACCAATTAATTGACTAACTACCTAACTAACTAACTAACTAGCTAACTAACTAACTAACTAACTAACTTACTAACTAACCAACTAGCTAGCTAGCTGAATAACTAGCTAACCAATTAATTGACTAACTACCTAACTCACTAACTAACTAACTAACTAACTAGCTAGCTGAATAACTAGCTAACCAATTAATTGACTAACTAACTAACTAACCAACTAGCTGAATAACTAGCTAACCAATTAATTGTCTAACTAACTAACTAACTAACTAACCAACTAGCTGAATAACTAGCTAACCAATTAATTGACTAACTACTTAACTAGCTAACTAACTAACTAACTTACTAACTAACCAACTAGCTAGCTAGCTAGCTAGCTGAATAACTAGCTAACCAATTAATTGACTAACTACCTAACTAACTAACTCACTAACTAACTAACTTACTAACTAACTAGCTAACTAACTAACTAACTAACTAACTAACTAACTAACTAACTAACTAACTAACTAACTAACTAACTAACTAACCAACTAGCTGAATAACTAGCTAACCAATTAATTGACTAACTAACTAACTAACTAACCAACTAGCTGAATAACCAGCTAACCAATTAATTGACTAACTACCTAACTAACTAACTAACTAACTAGCTAACTAACTAACTAACCAACTAACTAACCAACTAGCTGAATAACTAGCTAACCAATTAATTGACTAACCAACTAACTACCCAATAAGCTAGCTAGCTAGCTAGCTGAATAACCAGCTAACCAATTAATTGACTAACTACCTAACTACCTAACTAACTAACTAACTAACTAACTAACTAACTTACTTACTAATTAGCTAGCAGCCATTTAACTAACAAGCTAACTAACTAAAAAACTAACTTGCTAACCAATTGATCATGAAATTTGTTAGTTAAACATAGCTAACAAGATCTCACTGATGTAGGTTTACTAGTTTAATCTGTTGTCAGTTTACTTAGAAGAGCGCACAAACTAGCTAACTAGCTAATTAGCTTGATTTTTGGTATTTCAGAAATAAGTTGATTTTTTCTTGTTTGCTACTCTTTATAACCTTTTCTGATGTTTCTGAATTCCGTTTATGAATCATCTGACCAACAGAGTTTTTTTACCCTGGTTTTTTGATTTTTTATTAAATTTTCAGATTCCTGGAAATCTCCACATAATTGTGTACCTTTCTAAATCAAAATTTCATGAGCTCCAATCCTACAAAATCTTGGATCTAAGTTTTGTTTAATCCTCAATTGTGTATTTTCATTCTTTCTTTTTTAATTGGATTCATTCTATACTTTGAAGGCTAGACGAGTCAATATGTTTCTTAAATGAATTAATTTGTGCCACCCGTTTTAATGAAACGTGGGCTGGATCTCTTAACGAAAGGAAATGAGATTTGGATTGCATTTGTTGGCTCACGTTTGGCCTATGAGCATTTTTAAAGAATAAACCTTATATGTTTTCTATACATTCGACTGTCTGCTTACTATAGAAAATAGCTACAGAATCAGCATGTTTCAGTTAAGGTCCCAAGGGCATAGAGGAGCACATTATTCTGAGCCACAGTCGCCCTCTCAACCTATACATAACCCGTTCAACTTTAAAATACTCCCTATCTCATTTGTCTATAGTCTCAATTGAAGGAGGTATATATGATTCTGTTTTTCAAGATCAATTTGGTCTTGAGCAGATTTCTACATTTCTAACAGAAGCTACCAACCTGTTAAAGACAACTTACAAGGTTCTGGTCCTGCAAAGTTGGGTGATCGCACATCTTTAAAAACATAGGCACGTACTTTTTCAAAACTGTTTCATTGCGTAGATGATATGCAATATATTTGCACCAAAGGTATGTGAAGACATGGTCAATATAGGGAAACTCTCCATATCAACTATGGTATAGAATGCATAAAATGTAAAAAAGACTTTCTTAATTCATGTTTTTAAAGATATTTTTAGAAAGATCATAGACGCTGCGCAGTACCTCTGAGCCCATGGGAGTCACCCAAAATTGTTACATACGGGAAGGTCCATCCGCAATTATCAAAATTCAGCACATCTGTTCTTATATTCCTGTTTTTGATATTGTTATATGGCAGTTTGATCCATAGGTATCAGGAGGCTCATATTGTTAAATCAGGTACCCAAAATTAACAGATCTTAAGGAAAATGCTTACCCATATTTGCTGGATGGATCCCCCTGTTTATAAAAAGCCCAAGTGACCCCTCTGGGCCTCTGAGCATGTGGTTGCGTCGTTGTTTTGCTTTTTGGCGTGATATTACGTTTTAGGCCAACTTGCTTTTAATATTGTACTTAGGCCAACAGGAAGCCTCATAAAGTATCAAAACTAAACTATTACCAAGCAAAACTAGACTATTACTATACAAAAATATTAAATGCAACATATTTCAAACAATTTTATGAAAGTTGCTTATGGCAGGACACCGACTGGAAAAGCAGGCACTGCACCTTCTGTTAGAAAATACTGACTTAAAAAGCGCACTCTTTGACCCCCTCCCTTCAACACAGAACTTAAAAGCTCTCGAATCAGCGTTTGTTGGTAGTAATTTAATGTGGTTTGCAGCTTATGTTTTCTACCACAGGTTTTCTCAATACGTCAAAGCGTAGCAGCACTTCTGATCTTGCATTTGGTGGTCGTTTTGTACTTCTAATATTTCTTTGTTTCTTGAAAGTTGAAACATGTTTAAGCAATGCAATCAGTCAGCAGAGGATCATTCCGTAATGTCACATAATGCTCACTCAGTGCCGTGCGCTCCTCGTTGCTATTCTACTTCTTAACACTGAGAACCCCTGATTTTCTTTGACTCTCGTGTTTAAGACATCCCCGGGCCAGTCTAATGGATATTTTGAGCTGGTAAGACAAATTGCAGCTGGAAAGTTTCTTAAACACCACAGAGATGTGGTTTATCAAATTAGATTTAGGATTTTAAAACCGAAATGGATACCGCCTTTTTTCCTAGTGAAGGCAATGCACGTGATTATCTTTCCATTTCGAAGACGTCTTGCTGCAGGAGAATTTTATATCAGATGTC